CCTCCAAGGAAGACAAGTGCAGCACCAAGAACGATGCCAGGATCAATGTGATGCCCAAATACGCAGAATGAGAGGACAAGACTGATGAATTTCCTGAGATTGAGGACGATGCTGACCGACAAGGCTGTTGAGTGTGATGCGAGACGATTCACGCCACTGATGCAAATCAGCTGAGTGATAACATTGAGCACCAGATGAACAACAAGTGAGGGTGGATTCAGGAGCGATGGTTCAACGTGGCCATCTGCAAGCTTGAAGAAGGGCTCTGACTTGAGCAATATGTGAAATTGCCGGTTGACCTGCCCAAGCAGGGGCAGGAAGAAGGGCAACGCCAGGATGTGCTGCTGTTAGCCGTGTTTCACACAGAGAAAGGACTAACCGTCCAGAAGAGCGACTCTTGCCAGGATGCACCGTGCTTTCTAAATGCACGCTCAAGAAAGAGTCCCATCATGGAAGCGACGAATTGAGCCAACACCATCAGGGCAATGCCAATCATGAATCGACCAGACATCTCTGGATCACTTGCAGAGGATGCATTGTTTCTGGAAGCAGCTGTAGAGACAACGACACCGAGCGTCAAGAGCGCTACTGCTGATATTTGTCGCTGCGTGTACTGACGGTCATAAAAGAGCCAACCCAGCAGCATAGTCACAACAGACCCGCCACTGCGCATAATGATGAAGACAGGCACAGAGATGTGAAAGTCCAACACCATGTTATTGAGCCATGACACGCTAAAGTGGCAAATGACAATCTTGAGATAATCCCACAGCGGCACTTTGCGATTCCATAGGGCTTGCCGACCGATTGCTGATGAGGAAAACATGCCAAAGGATCCAATGACGATGCCAAAGAACTGCGCAAAGGTGATGACGCTGCCTGCGGCGGACGTCCTGTGTGTGATGGCTTCTAGGGTGTAGACATTAGAACAGCAGCCGCCAAAGATGAGGAGGAGAGGTGTGACGAGTCCCCACGATGCCATCGCCATGATGGCTGGCGATACATTGAACATACTTGCTGTCTAAGGTAGCGATGCCATAGACTGCTGAGCGGTAGACAAGGGATACGTTGCAGCTGGGTGTCTTGCGCTTGTCGCGTCTCTTGCCGTCGCGGGTCAGGATCAGATGGAGCACAGACTACACAAGTACACATACATTTTACTATAGTCTACAGTCAAGCGGAAGCTTCCCTGGGACTTTCATCATTGGCAGGTGCCTCCTCGAATGCAGGATGGTTGACATTTGCACTGATGGCATCAGCATCCAACTCCTGGCGAACATTGTCTTCATTCTTGGCAGCTCTCAAGGGACCTGAGATCGCAGCAAGGCTGTACGCAGAGGGCTGCGAGACTGGCTTTGGACGTACAGGCGCTTTCGTAGCTGTGGTCGTAGCATCCTCGGCTGCTTCAGTGGTAGAGCTAGCAACAGGAACCGCAGTTGGCAAGGTCGTGCTGTCAGTCTTGCTCCCACCTTCCGAATCAGCCTCTGTCCCGCGCTCAGCTGCATCTGCTGCCGCTTGTTCAGCCGCTTCTTTCTCCTTTTGCTCAGCGAGTAGCTGCAGTGAGGCCTTGGAGTATCGAATGCATCCCTCTGGATCATTGCGTAGTGCAACAATTTGCCGCTTATTGACACGTTCGTTAAGTTCAATCAGCAGCTTATCACTCTTGGGCCCAAAGAGAGACAAACCTTTCATAGCACTCCAATTCTTGCTTGTTGAATTGACGGAGATGCGTAAGGGCGAGTCGCGCGTGTTGGGCACAAACTCAGACATGCAAATCGCACTGAGAGAAGTGTCCGCTTCAAAGGCCTTGTCGCTTGTATATGGGCAGCAGAGAAGACTTGAGATGTTGCCGTCATCAGAGCCAACAAAGGATGTCAAGACTAGATCGCGGATAGTCAGGTTCCTGGGCGTGAAGTCCGGCCGTAAGCTGAACAATGCATCGAGGGAGCCAATACGGTCGGCATTGTCTATCGCTTGGAAGAAGAGTTCCTCGAGCGAGTGCGCATAAACAACACCCTCGTTGACCTGCCGGAAGTTGGCATCATGCACGGTATAGTACAAGATAGGTGTATTCGAGACGTTGAGCGACTCAGTGGGCTCTGCGGCAGCTTTGTACTCGTTGTGTACCGCTCGGCCCTCTTGAAGCCGTTTGAGGGCCTTGTCCTTGGCAGTCAATGCCTGTGCCATGCTTGCTCTCTGAGTGTCCACCAGGTGTGTATTCCGTGTATGACTCGAGACATGCATCTGGCGGCCTGATTCTGGATTCTGGCCCGTTGATGCTGGATGGCGGGGACGGAGCTCCTCCCAGCGTAGGGCAAATCACAAACCACCGCCAGCAACAAGTGGACTGCAGGGCAGCAGCATCTCCAAGCTTTTTAACCTATCAACATCCCTGGACAGCTGCTTCTTGCTGCTATCGCTCTCATGACTTTTGCTAGTTTGTACTGATATTGCTTGTCCAGTATGTTATTCAAAGGCCACGACGCTGTACAGCCAGAAGTCGCTGCAACGGAGAGAAGACCCGTGTACTCTACATTCAGCAAGAGACAAAAGAGCTTCATCACGCTGCTCGTCTCACTTGCGAGTATCTTTTCCCCAATCTCGGCGACAATCTATGTTCCAGCACTGCCAACCATTGCAAAAGACTTGAATGTTAGCATAACACTCGTCAATTTATCAGTCACGAGCTATATGATATTTCAAGGGCTCGCTCCAAGCTTATGGGGTCCATTGACAGATGCTATCGGCAGAAGACCCGTCTACCTACTTACGTTTCTCATCTATATCGCGGCATGTATCGGACTGGCCTGCACAAACAGCTTTGCGGAACTCATCATCTGGCGCTCCTTGCAATCCACAGGAAGTGCGAGTACAATTGCAATTGGAGCAGGTGTGATTGCGGACATCACGCAGTCAGGCGAACGTGGTGGCTATATCGGCCTCTACTCTGCCGGTGCGCTGGTTGGCAATGCGCTAGGTCCTGTACTTGGTGGTATTTTTGCACAGACCATTGGCTGGCATGGTATTTTCTACTTTCTCACGGCACTGGCTGGCTTGTTTTGGCTTGTTTTACTCTTGACGTTGCCGGAGACCTTGCGGAATATCGTTGGCAATGGGTCTATTCGACCAACGGGCAATTTGCTGAGACGACCGGCGTTGCCATTTCTGGAACCACCGGATGCAGCGCCAGATGATATATCGCCAGCACAAACAGCAAAGCAATTTGATCCACTCGGACCAGTCAAGATGATGGGCAAAGCAGAGGTTGCATGCAGCTTGCTGTTCACAGCTTTGTATTATACTGTTTGGCAATCGTCTCTGGTCGCTTCTGCCACTATTTTCGACAAGGAGTATGGCTTGTCGCAACTGAATATTGGCTTATCCTTCATTGCGAGTGGCGTGGGTGCTATCACTGCATCGCTTATTACAGGCCGCATCCTCGACTATGATTATGCGAACGAGGCAGGTGTTGCACATGCACAGATGCAGCAAGAAGCAGAGTTGGATGCGTATGAAATGACACGACGTTTGTCACAGAGGCCGCTTCGACGACTTGAGTATGCACGACTGCGGCGTATGCCCATCAACAGTTTAGTCTACATCGGCAGTGTGCTGGCTTTTGGGTGGTGTGTGCAGGCAAAGACAACCGTGGCACTACCGATCATTTGGACATTCTTTTTAGGCTTCACCACCACCTCCATCATGTCTGCGTATACGACGCTGATTGTAGACTGGTACCCGGATGCCGGTGCGTCGGGCACAGCTGCGTTGAATCTAGCGCGCTGTCTGCTCGGAGCAGGTGGCACCGCTGCTGTACAACCACTGATGAACAAGACGAATACAGGCATTACATTCACGATTGGGGCTGGCATCACGCTGTTGTGCACGCCGCTGTACTGGTTGGTGATCCGGTATGCGAGGAGCTGGCGGCTTTCGCGGTTGAAGCAGCGGGGCATGCGGGGAACATGAGGGTATTTGGATGATTGTGACGAGCGTGGGTATACAAGGCATAGGGATGTTTCAGGGATAGACCAGTCAGTTGACCAGTAAGTTGAAGAGTAAGCTGTCTATGTGGTGTTGCGTGCTGGCAGTCACACTCCCGTCAACTGCGTCGAATCTCGCTCTGAATCTCGCTCGGCTAAATTTTGCTCAGGCAGCATCAGCAGCAGCACACAGAGATACACCCAAGGAAGGACTCTATAATCAACCACGACATAGCCATGGTGAAGTTCATCAAGTGCGTCCCATCAGCTGCTCCAGACATCACCCAGCTAACATCTCCCTAGACCAGGAAAGGTAGCCATCGTCACACGCGGCCGATACGCAGGCAAGAAGGTCGTTATTGTGCAACCAGTCGACAACGGCAGCAAGGCCCACCCATTCGCGCATGCTCTCGTTGCCGGTGTCGAGCGTTATCCGCTCAAGGTGACCCGCTCAATGTCCGCTAAGCGTATGGCGAAGCGATCCAAGGTCAAGCCTTTCGTCAAGGTCATCAACTACAACCACCTGATGCCTACACGTTACGCACTCGAGCTCGAGTCACTCAAGGGAGTCATCTCAGCAGACACATTCAAGGAGCCTTCTCAGCGTGAAGATGCAAAGAAGACCATCAAGAAGTCTTTCGAGGAGAGGTACACCTCGGGCAAGAACAAGTGGTTCTTCACACCTCTGCGATTCTAGAGCCCTTATCCTCTTGCAGTTGCTTGAAACGGCACCTGCACTAGCTTTTCTTTTGTTCGAGCGAGCTAGCTGTCTATGAACAACCATGCATTCAATGTCGTCCACGCTTCACTTTGACCTGATGTTCTGTTTTCTTACCGCGACCACTATGAATAACGTTGCGGCCTTGAGTTCCTCTGTCCAGAACAACGATGGCCCTAGGAAATCAAGCATGGACTTTGCTGACAACCTTGCTTCCCACTGTGTGCCGTGACCTCCTTATCGCTGAACCAGCCATCACACTGAAAGCTTCATGCCTCGTGCATAGAAGCTGACTGACACATCACAGAGGGCAGCTTCATTAATGACCATGTACGGAGAGCTGAGCAAACGCAGCATATTTGAGTCTCAATGGCCTACTTCGTAGCTATGCGCCGCATGTCTACAGAGATGTGGTTGAAAATGAATCAGCTAGGGCTCTGCTGGCCCGATCGCGCTATACAAGTAGCTAGCTACTTCTGAGCGAGGTCATGCATGGACCCCAGGACTAGGTTGACTTGGGTGGCCTCCTCTCACGCGCTACATGCAACACTACAAAAGTCCCTCAACGCCCACTTTTACTTCCGCACCACACCACACACAAGCGAGTACATAGACATAGCCATACACCAAATAGCGTCAGTCTTCTCATTCGATAATGTCAGTGAGAGCTTCCCGTCTGAAGACTTCAGGCAAGATGATGCTCGCCTTGAGTTTGAAATGTCTTGTGAGCTGGACGAAGCGGAGGTCTTTTCTTAGGAACTTTGCCCGTCACCAGTGCTTTTGCAAATGGCGGATCCAGCAGAAATGTGCGACTTGCAACGCTGAGGTGCTTGTCCATATTGATCTCGTAATTCTGAAGACCGAGCGCTTCGCAGCTTGGTGCGCCTCGTCTCGATACACAGAGTGGCCCCAGAACTTCCTCTTGCTGAATCGAAGTTGTTTTCTGTTCCCACAAAACAGAAGTAGTCAGCCTCTTGACTGTGGGCTCGGCTTGCCAAACAGGTACTCAGCGCCCTGGAAGGATTCCGCGCGGAGACACATCACTGACATCTGCATGTGCCAGTGCTGCGAGGAGCCGCACAGCCAGCTTGAAATCTTCTGGGTCCCGATCGGATGCGAGGGCATACTTGAAAAATTCCGACCCAAGCAGCAGCCACAGTGCTTCACAAGACGACTCATGAGCCAGACTTTGTGCCATGTGAAGGAAGAGAGTTAGCCGCTGGGTGTGAAGCTTCCTTTCGCGTTCACTGTTCCAGTCGCGAGTCGCCATCCGCTGCAAGACTGTCGGATGAGTCCGGCACAAAGCAATGGTGAAAGCTTGGCTGAACCTTCTTTGAAACAGACGCAGCAGCCTCACAGCCACGAGTTGTGACTCGGTCGTAGTCAGTTGAGCCAAATGGAAAGCGAGTGCCACTGCCATGTCCAATGCTGTTGCAAATGGGGCTTGGTTGTTCACAATAGCCATCAAAGGGGCGTCTTGCAGTTCTTTGTCCATCTGCTTCAGCAAGAGAGTGCCTGTGTCATCCTGTAAGGTGCAAAGCATTGCACAGATGTGTAACTTGGTTGCTAGATCTTTTCCGAAGGAATAGTTCCGCCCAGACGCTTGCTCTACCAAAGAGCTTGGCTTGATGGTAATGATGTACTCCTGATGCAGCGAGTCACAAGCCAGCGTTATCCCAGGCTGCGAAACGAACAGCGTGGCAGAAGGCGAGTGTGCACAGAGGTTGTGGCCTATTGTAGCGAAGAGCTAATGTGTCGGACCCACTCACTTGTCAGTATCTGGAACTGATTGTCCAATGCCTGTGACTGCTTCGCTTGCCCTGACGAACCAAGTCGAGCGCCTGCTTTGACACATGTATTCAATATCTTGCTTGTTGCCTTCTGACCCTTGCGATCCGGCAAGGTTTGTTGTGCAGAGGAGCTGAGATGTAAGCTGCCAACGCTTGCGCGATGTGTCTTAAGCTAAACAGGTCGAGACGGTCGTGGGTTGATTGTTTTGATTCGCATGCACAGACCGACAAATCGGCGACGATAGCGCCACGACAGAATGACACGCTCATCGAGGAGTAGAGCCAGACATCGCACTGGTTTGATGATTTTCGGATCATGGTAAAACTGGCACAACTGTACTTCTGAGCCATGCAATCGTTCCTGACTGAAGAAGCGATCCGATCTTTGCGAGCCAGCCGTTCGTGTGCTGAACGGCGACAATGCCCTTGTCATCTTTTGATACATGGATTGCATCAATTGGTTTCGGGCGGCGTTTACAGAGCCTGACACGGCCATCAAGCACAGCAATGATCAGCGAGGGTGGTGCGAGGCGCTCGATGCGTGTCCGTAGATTGAGAAGTTATTGATTCGATGCATTAGCATGACAATTGCTGTGTGCGAACGCGCGTCTCAGGAGGGTTCCCAAATCTAAGAGAATGGTCGCCGGCTTGTTGCGCTGTCGATCAGGTTTGTTGGCTGACACTGGCTGTACATGTCGCTGCCTTACGGGCGTCAGCAAGCTGCGGGCAACCGGAGGTCATTGTGGTGAAGTAGAAAGGGTTGAGCAGCACGAGCCCAAGTCAGGGGAAGCGGCAACTATCGCAGTCACATTTTGACCGAAAATCAGCAAAGTGCCACGGAAAATCATACACTCATGGTCTTACTAAGCTTCCTCGTCCTAGTCGACTACGAAGCGGCTGGTGTGCCTTAGCTTGATCAAGTGCAACTTTGTCAAGGGACCTTGCAGCGACTCCCTGCTTCTGCGCGGTCCGTTTCCTCTGTAGCCTGCAAATCGAATTGTCCAGAGCTCTGCAATGATTGCCCTAGGAGAATACGCATAGACTTGACCAATGACCATGTCACCCGCTCTGAGCCATGCCTTCTTATCGCTGGACCATCCATCGCACTGAAAGCTTCATGCCCGTATCTCGAATCTCGATCTTGTGGTTCGATTTGCGTTCCATCTCGTTGATTTTTTGTCGAGGTCGCCCGTTGACCATGTACTGTCATGTACACATACTGGTCCGTTAGCTTGTAACAACAGCTTCTTGGCCTGCAAGCAGGTCATGCCACCCTTGGTAGTTGAATCGCAGGTTCTTCTGAACCAAGGGTCAGCAAGTATCTGCAGATGGCTTGAGCAGGTGACCTCCACCGATGAGCTTCTCACTTTTCTGCAGGATTGGAACGTCTCAATGCTACCGCTCCTCAGAGTTCGTCCAACGGATGCTATCGTTCTACAAACAATCGTTGAAAATGTCATACCGCGCTTCTGGTCGCCAGAGTCTCCTCGTGAGATGACTGCGATTCTTGTACAAACCTTGTCTTGCATGAGCGGTGTCAATGCTCTCTTGCGCCATCTACGTACGGATATCGAAGCAAAGCTACTACAATGTGTACTCGAATCACCGGCCTTTACTTTGGAGGCCACTCATGCTGCTTGGTTCGAAGGCAGTGTCCTGGGTCCCGAGACAGCAAAGCAGCTCTGGGCTACTTACCTCTCATTCGTTACCGGTAGCAAATTGATCAATGCGGTTGCAGCGCACGAGAAGAATCTGTCTCTACATGTCTGTCTCTTTGCCTCGGCTGAATGGCTCACTGCATATGTGACACGATCCATTCTGGCGCTTTGCCAAAGTTATCAGACTAGAAGCGCTGAGCTACACGAAGTTGAGATCGCTGAACTACTCTCTGGTGCCATCAGTTTAGGCAATGCAGACGTCATTTGCGGCGAGTCGATTGAGTTCCTATCCAAATATGAGCATGAAGGGATTTGCGCTTTATTCGGCAAGGTCGTTTCATCGATGGGGATGCCGGCAAGAAACCGACTCATGTTGGCATCGTGCGCCTATCTAGAGGAGAAGTACTTTGCGCAGGCATCCACATCAGCGGCTATCAATGATGATGATCGAATCGGTGCAGCAGGTTCTTTGCTGAGTATTTTCAGTGGCAATGAAGAGGACTCGCCTGCAAGGAGATGGCTGATCCATCACTCTCACAATACTTCTCTTGAGCTTCGTCGGGCAGCATTATTAGCAGTGGCAGTCTCAAATGGGCTGTTTTCTTTGGCTGAAGAACTCCTTGCTCTATGGGCAGACAAGACGCAGATGCGGCATGCAGGCCTTGACAAACGACGTGCCTTGGTGGAAACGTTTCTACTGACTCTGGGTCGACTGTCGAAGCAACAACAGGCGATGCTTGCATCATCATCGCTCGTCATGACGGGCACGTCAAATCATCTCGAGAGCAGCTCCGACTCGATCCGTGCGCAAGGCATGGTTGTTGCCGAAGTCATGTCAAAACTTGCCAACAAGTCCAGCATCACCCTGAAGTTTGATGTGCCAGGGACCACTGGATCAGAGGCAGAATACTTTCGCTCACTTCTTCTTGTTCGTGAAGATACAAAGCCAATCAAGTTGCTCAAGTCTGGACAAGTCAGCTTGCCTGCCGAATCGGCGGATCCAACAAATATGCAGCCCACCAATTCTGGTGTGAAAGTAGAAGAAGTGGCGGAGTTTCCAGATGACCAAATAAGTACGGAAGACGTCAAGCCAATGCGTCTTCCAGACTCTGACGATGAAGATTCAGATGAAGATCCGTCTTTGGTCGATCGCGACAAGGTCCCTCCGCCGCTCTACATCCGCACCTTGATCGAGCTGCTCACGCAGCATGACTCCTATAAGAGCATTCACTGTGGCTTGAAACACGCGCCGCAGCTGATTGTACGGAAAGCGCAATATGGCACTGAGCTTAGCAATTACGCAACGAATCTAGCAGAAATATTGAGTGGTCTGCGAGATACATTTGACATGGAAGACTTTCATCAGCTCGTTCTGTCAGCACTCTTCGCACTGGTCGCTGCGTGTCCAGAAAAAGTCGGCCCATACCTGAGCAGAGCATACTTTGTGGCAGATTACTCACTCCAGCAGCGAGTTATCATCTTGTCCGCCATCTCTCTTGGCAGTCATCTTTTGGCAGAAGGAGGTGATCTTTCAGGATGGGCAGAAAAGGAGTCGCGGGCTCTTCAAAAGCTCTGTATGAATGGCATGGTACCCAATGAAAAGCCGGTGGCAAGGTCCAAAAGCAAGGCGACTTGGCAGAACTATACGCTGCTACCGCTCGTTGGCAATTACCAAGCTTATGCCTCTCATATGGCGGGCAGAGATGACAGTGCCTTTCACGAAACCATCTTGCTCTCTCACTACATCAAGACAGTGATGACCATCTATACATTCAGTGCGACGACCGCCAACTTCAAGACAACCACGAATGAGGTTGTGAACTTCATCTTGGGTTTACGATCCAATCGCGATGAAGAGATTTGCACAGTGCTATCCGAGCTTGTTGCCCGTGTCTTGGAACTCAGTGATGCACGTACAATAGTGCAAGACGGCAAAGGAGATACACTGGTCGCCCTCCAAGATTGGGTACGCGGGGCATTTGAGGTCTGCAAAGATGCAAAAGTCAGAGCACGTCTCGGTGGTAGTGCTGTCAAGATTGCAGAAATGGCACAGGAAACGATGGACTTGGTGCTAGCTGGTCAATCTGCATCAATGTTGAGTACCAACAACCGATTTGGTCTGCGCGGGCTGCAGTAGACATATCTAAGGGTCTGATACCTTCTAATCTCCTTTAACTTGTGACGCAGCAGCAGCAGGCACAGACGCTTCCAAGTCTGCAAGGAGTGTCTCAAGCTTACTCTCAAATTCTAGCAGCCATATTAGCGAGCATTTTTGGTCATCATATGTGTACGATTGAGCTGTCTTTCTAGAGCGTCCGCCTGTCTCTCTGCATCAGCCATAAACTTGACTGCAGAGAGCGTCTCGTCGTCCATGCTAGCTGGTTTCCAGTAGTTGGTCAATGTCGAGCCTGGTCGTCGTGAGCGTCCACACGTGTCTCCCACGTCACTCAGCAGCGACTTCACTTCAGCACGCTTCATCCACAAAGGCGACGACGAGCCTAGCTTCTTGTTGCAAAAGACAGGCCTCGACGACTAGGCCCTCTAGACGATGGAAGGTCTATTCTGCCAAGACATCAACTACATCGAGGGTATCGTGCGTGGCTATCGTTCGGGCCTGCTCACTAGCGCCCTTTACCAAAACCTGACACAATGCGAGACGCTCGACGGTAGGCTCTTGCTATAATGAGACGTGGGCTAATGCTAGACCTCAAGATGCAACTGAGCGCAACAGATTATGGCAATTTCCTCGCGAACGTACCATCACCCTTGACAACGAGCACAATTGCGGCAAAGGCCAATGAGAAGCTTGTGAGTGAATTCAAATACCTGCGCGCCAATGCAGTGGAGCCCATGTCGACGTTTCTTGATTACATCACGTACTCCTACATGATTGACAATGTCATCTTGTTGATTACAGGAACGCTGCATGAGCGCGACCTGAATGATTTGCTGGAACGGTGTCATCCACTGGGATTATTTGAGACGATGCCTGCGTTGTGCGTTGCGACCAATGTGCAGGAGCTCTTTGAGTCTGTTCTTATTGATACACCGCTGGCGCCGTACTTTAAAGGCTGCTTGAGCGCTTCTGACTTGGATGAGATGAATATTGAAATCATCCGCAACACACTCTACAAGGCGTACCTCGAGGATTTCTACAAGTTTGTTCAAGGCGTGGGTGGACCAACGGCAGAGCTGATGGGCGAGGTACTCGCCTTTGAAGCGGATCGACGCGCTATTACCGTCACCATCAATTCATTCGATACAGAATTGACAAAGGAAGAGCGTAAGAGTCTGTATCCAACTGTTGGCAAACTCTACCCGGAAGGCACGTTCGCCCTCTCACAAGCAGATGATGTGGAAGCTGTCAAGAATGCAGTAGCAGGGGTCGGTGCGTATGCTGCCATGTTTGAGCAACTCAATTCCGCAACGGTTGGGGAAAAGTCGCTGGACGATTTCTTCTTTGAGGAGGAGGCAAAACTCAACAAGCAGGCTTTCTTGCAACAATTCCACTTTGCCGTGTTGTATGCTTGGCTCAAGCTCAAGGAGCAGGAGATTCGCAATATTACGTGGATTGCAGAGTGTATTGCGCAGAATCAAAAGGACAAGATTGGCAAGTACGTCACGGTGTTTTGATGCACGAGTCAGATGGGACTGCTAGGTTCAATGTTAGATCCCTTGTCGGTTGCTCGAGCAGAGACTTCTTGGGGGAACTAAAGCAGCAAGGCTAAGCAAAGTAGCAGAAAACACATGTACATGACATCAGCGAAAGTCTTATGCCAACAGATACCAAGTAAAGCACGACATGAGCAATTCAATTTCACTGATGACTCTGCATTGCTATCTATCCTAGTACATGAAACCATTATGGTGAAATGGTGACGCGTTAATTTTTTGTTGTCTTTCTCATCGAGTGAATGCAAAAGCGGTTTGCCTCAAATAAGCAGAACAAAGAGTAGAGGCATTGTCTAGAGGTCTGCATCATCCTCATCAGGCAAAGGCATAGCAGCAGCCTTGCTCATCTCCTCGTCATACGTCTTCATGAGGTTTTCATCGACCTGGACCTCAGGTGGTGCCAATGCAGGTGAAGCCACAAACTCAAGACCACTGTTACCAACGAGCTTACGAGCAAGCCACAGGAAAGGCTTCTCGAAGTTGTAGTTGGACTTTGCAGAGATATCATAGTACTGCAAGTTCTTCTTCCTGTGGAAGGTAATGACCTTTGCCTTGACTTTGCGTTCCTTGACATCCACCTTGTTGCCGCACAGGACAATGGGGATATTTTCACACACACGGACAAGGTCCCGGTGCCAGTTGGGGACATTCTTGTATGTGATGCGCGATGTCACGTCAAACATGATGATGCCGCATTGGCCCTAGCCTTGTTAGTCTTTCTTGTTGATATGCAAATCAGTGGACACACCTGAATGTAGTAACCATCACGCAGACCACCAAACTTCTCCTGTCCAGCGGTATCCCACGTATTAAAGCAAATCTCGCCATAGTTTGTGTGGAAGCGGATCGGGTGCACCTCCACACCGAGCGTGGCAATGTACTTCTTCTCAAATTCTCCCGTCAAGTGACGCTTGACGAAGGTTGTCTTGCCGGTACCACCGTCTCCGACGAGGACTAGATGGCTGTGTTAGTGACGCGAAGGATGATTGTAGCGGCTTCTTTTGTGTTCTCGAGCTTTTGGGTCGATGCTAGATCGAATGGGACATAGCGCGAGGAGAAGAAGTGCTGCCTGGGTGCCTTACCGAGCTTGAATGTAGGGATCTCTGCCATGGTGAAGTATGTGATGTCGAGTGTGGTCGAGTGAGTGATGGCAGCAGGAAGAAGAGAAAGAGAACCAGGAGATGGGGTTAGGCAGCACTACTACAGACTACAGAGTACAGTGAGTAGAGTATAGAGTATAGACAGGGTATAGAGCAGAGATGGCGAGCAAGTATGCATTCTCAGGCACGCTCAAAGAGGTACGCAGACACTCTCAACCTTCATCACTCACCATCCAGCTCAGATTCCACTTCTGCCAGACAAGCGAAGCAAGCACAGGACTCAAGTACAACTTCCCGATTGTCTAAAGAGCAACAAACAGCTGACTCGTTCTCTAGGCAGTTCCTACAAAAGGCATATCCAGTCATGAAGAAGCACAATCCAAGCACACCGTTGCTTGTGCGCGAGGCATTCGGCACACCACCCAAGATATGGGCGCGATACGGTATGTTCTTGCTTGCCTCTGCACACGACAGTCGCGTCGATTGATGAACATATGCTGACAAGGCAATAGAGAAGGGAAGAGAGGTGAGTGTCAGTGTTGATGGACTCAGCACGGCGGAAGTGGAGAAGCAGGTACAAAGTCTGGCGCAGGCATCATCATGAGTATGTCCCTACAGAGAAGGCTACTGGAGCACGTATCCTCCCAACGAAGCGGTGTCATCCTCTGAGAGATCTATCGCCTGATGGTCTCGGGTAACCCTTTCGGTATTGGCCTTCGTAGAACGTCCTACACTTTCATACACCACACCACCAATCCTATGTGCTCATGCCACCCAAGCTGCTGCTCCTCGTAGGTCTCGTCGGCTCAGGCAAGACAAGCTTCTCCCTAGCTCTCTGTCAGCACTTTCAAAACTGGCAGCGCATCTCACAAGATGACCTAGGCTCTCGTCCTGCCTGTGAAGCAGCAACTCGAAATGCTCTTGCTCAAGGTGCTGATGTTGTCATTGATCGGTGTAATTTTGACAAGAGACAGCGAGAGACTTGGTTGCGTATTGCTAGGCAGTTTCATGCCGATGTCTATTGCCTTGAGCTCAAGACGAACCTTGCTGTAAGATTGTCTTGTGAAGACAATTAGCTGACAAGAAGCTATGCCGTGCGCGCATCATGAACAGGCATGATCATCCAACGCAAGTTCAAGGGACATTTGGGACAACTGTTCTCGACAGGCAAAAGGCGCAGTATCAACCGCTACTGCCTATCGAACTTGCTGCCATCAAGAAAATGTATACACTTACAATCACCGACAACTCTGTGGAATGGAAACAGTCACTGCTAGAGGGCGTCCTGCAAAGGCTCGGCATTAATGTCCCTCACTAGCATCAGCGGATTGGATTCCAACAGTGATCCTGCGAGAACACGCTCAAAGTCATCCTGGCCTTTCATCTGAAAAACACAACGGGTGGCGGACACTTCTCCGCATATATGACGACCTTCTGCCACATATACTCTCCTGTACTCTATAACCTCATCGCTATATGTCTACTCGCTCCTCTACTCGCTTGACAAGTGTCTTGAAACAGACCAAGCCACGCAAGATCGGCAAACCAGCTACAAAGCTCAATCTCTCTGCTTCCATCAAAAGGGAACTAGAACACATCAAAGCTGAACAAAGTCCTGATGAGCCCCTGGCACAAATCAAGTCAGAAACCGTCAAGAACGAACAAGACTTGCGGGACATCAAACATGAAGCCCAAGCACTGGATGTCGCTCGTCCCGGCGTCTTACAAGCAGCGATAGCACATCTCATATCTGTGGATCGACGCTTTGAGCAACTCTCACAAACGTATATACCAAAACCGTGGTTAGATGAGAACCTGGACGAAGACATGGACCACTTCAGGTCGCTGGTACTGGGTATTCTATCACAGCAAGTCTCTGGGGCAGCAGCACGTTCCATCTCTCGTAAATTCATCGCGTTGTTTGAGGAGGCAGGACCACATCATGAAGGTGCCCTCAATGTGGATGTCGACCCAGAAGTCGCAGATGGTCCTGCTGCAGGGACTTCAGCGCCTGCGCAAGAAGCTCTCCAAAATCACTTCTTCCCAACACCGAGCATGATTTTGGAGAAAGACTTGCTCACCTTGAAATCAGCGGGCCTCAGTATGCGGAAAGCAGAGTACGTCTCTGGCCTTGCACAAGCATTCCAAGACGGACAATTCACGGATGAGTTCTTTGCAACAGCACCCGATACACAGATTGTTGAACGGTTGGTGAGTATTCGTGGTCTTGGGCCTTGGTCAGCCGAGATGTTTCTCATCTTCAGTCTCAAACGCACAGATTGTTTGTCGTATGGTGATATTGGTATTCAGCGCGGTATGGCACATTGGCTCGGTAAGGATGTCAAGGATAAGCGAACGCATTCAAAGGGCAAATTCAAGTATGTCTCACAGCAGGAGATGGATCAAACGTCTGAAGCTTGGCGTCCATTCCGCTCGATTGGCTGCTGGTTCATGTGGCGCGTCAATGGGATCATTGACAAGGTAGAGGAGGACGACAAGGCGAAGATTGAAGTGAAGCAAGAAACGTAAAGCTAAAATGGAAATGACTAGTTAGATAATGAAGTGCTTTTTTGGGTTACTCTTTTGAGGATATCCTGGCATTGCCACTCTTTTGCTGACCACCTTCAATCGTACCGCCGACAGCATTGAGCACAGCTTGCAAACTAGCAGCGGTGGTGTCATTACCCACGGCGACACCCCAGATAGATCCTTCTGCGACATTGTCGGTGCGCTTGACCTCAATGAAACAAACAGCATTCGTCTTGGTACCTGTACCGAGCGACTGCTGCGTGTACGTCTTGATTTCGGCATCAAAGTCAAACAACTTGCTCATACCATCGAGCAACGACGACAAGGGACCATTACCGAATCCATTGATTTCGTACTCCTTGTCACCAGCCTTTTTGATTTGTCCCTTGAACTCCTTGGAAACAGGTTCATCCGCACCAGGCACTTCATTGACTGCATAATGCAACAAGGAAAAGATTTGCTCCTCCAAGCCATACGCCACTTGAAACAACTTGACAATCTCCGCCGGTGCAAGTTCTTTACCCACACGCTCCGCTTCCGCTTGCACAACCCGAGAAAAGGCAATCTGCAAGTTACGTGGCAAGTCAAACTTGAGTTCCCGTTCAACAATGTACGACACACCACCTTTGCCAGATTGACTATTCACGCGAATCACAGCTTCATAGGTAGCACCGAGATCTGCTGGGTCGATGGGGAGGTAAGGGACTTTCCAAAATTGCTTGCCTTCTTGATGCTTGAAGCCCTTTTTGATGGCATCTTGATGAGATCCACTAAAGGCAGTAAACACCAAATCACCAGCGTACGGGTGACGTGGGTGTACAGGGACTTTATTGCAAGCACAGCAGATCTTCATTGTTCTGGCGAGATCTGAAAAATCAAGGGCCGGTGCAACACCTTGTGTGTAGAGGTTAAGGGCAAGGGTGACGAGATCGACGTTGCCTGTGCGTTCGCCATTGCCAAAGAGACAACCCTCAATACGATCAGCACCGGCCATTTGACCCAGCTCAGAGGCCGCAACGGCACAGCCGCGGTCATTGTGTGGGTGCAACGAGATGCAGACTGTTTCTCGATTTGAGATTTTGGTGGAAAAGTATTCGATTTGGTCGGCATACACGTTCGGTGTGCACATCTCCACAGTTGCTGGTAAGTTGAAGATGATGGGGTTCTCAACACTTGGCTCCCAAGCTGCTTTGACGGCTTCGCAGACTTCGAGGGCGAAATCCGGTTCGGCATCGGAAAAGGTCTCTGGGGAGTACTCAAAGGCCCAATTTGTCTTGCGATACGCTTCATCGGGAGAATCCTTGGTGAGGGATCGTACGAGTTTTGTGCACTTGACTGCTAGGGCGACCGTTTGCTCTTTGGTATTGCCAAAGACAACTTCACGGAAGCACGGCGAAACGGCATTGTAGATGTGTATCGTTGCATTCTTGGCACCCTTGACAGATTCCACTGTGCGAATGATGAGTTCCTCCCTGCATGGCGCAAGGACTTGCACGGAAACGTCGTCAGGCACTGCGCCGGGCGTCTCAATCAATCGCCTGACAAAGTCAAAATCTGTCTGACTAGCAGAGGGAAAGGCGACTTCGATTTCCTTGAAGCCTGTTTCCACAAGGAGCTGGAAGTAGACCCATTTCTCATCACCAGACATGGGATCCACGAGGGATTGGTTGCCATCGCGCAAGTCTGTGCTCAACCAACGGGGTGCCCTGTCCAGGATCTTCGAGGGCCATTGTCGGTTTTGGATGGGGACTTGTGGGAAGGGTTTGTACTTCTGACTGGGGTCTTTGAGCATGCCCATCTCTGTGTATTAGCTGATGGGTCGATGGATGGTAGATGGATTTGCGATTGCTGGCGATAAATTTGAGTGGAGCAGCAGCAACGACAACCAAGGACCACAGGCTTATGCTCGAAGTCATCGTCAATGACAGACTCGGGAAGAAGGTCAGGTACGTCGCGCATCTTTCGCTGGTACTTGGCTGACAAGATAGAGTCAAATGCAATGAGGATGACACGATGGGCGACTTGAAGAAGCTGATTGCCGCTCAAACTGGTACTGCAGCGTATGTCTTCCTCTACTGTACCTTTGCAGATGCCTTGCTAACAGCACAGAGACAGAATCATCCTCAAAAAGTGGTACACGACTTTCAAGGACCATATCACACTGGCCGACTATGAAATTCACAATGGCATGAGTCTGGAACTCTACTACTCATAGTCTCAGAGAGAAGTCAATGAAGAACAGAAGCTAAGCTACGAGCAAGAAGTAGATGAGGAACCCCCGTCTTTGCGCTAAAAATCACATACAGATACTTGCCTTGTTTTTTTTTTGGTGTGTAGTGGATGTGCGCTTAAGCAGACACGCCATTGCCATTCGCAAGCTTGGCCTTCTTTGTAGCCGGTGCCTCTTGCGCAGCCTCAATCGCCTGCTTGGTCACACCAATCTGCATACCAGCCTCGACGGCAGCCTGTTCAAGATGTTCCCTGAGTGCTTCGCCATCGATCCTATCAATAGCAGAGTGGAATTCACGCAGCAAGACATCGACATCATCCGCTGCAAGTGTCTTGACATCCGCCATCTTCTTAATGTGCATCGTCAGCACCTTGACTTGCTCAACCGTCAAATCGAGGTTGAGCTGTTCAGCGCGTGACTTGACGGCATTCCAACCAGTCAATCTTGATCCAATATGCACGTAACGCGTCATACCGAAATCAGTTGGGTTGAGAATCTCATACGTTGAGGGATTTGCCAGGATGGCCTTGGCGTGAATACCGGCTTTGTGTGTGAATGCGCAGTAACCGGTGACTGGGTTGTTGAAGGGGATATTGATATCGACTGCTTCGGCAACGAGGTTTTCAAGTTCACGCAACTTGTTGAGCTTGTACTTGCCCATCACATACTCCTTGTCAGCAACGTACATACGTGCCAAAAAGCCACCAAGCGGCGTGATACCATTCCGCTCGCCAATACCAAGAACAGAGGTATCGACGTGTGTAGCACCTGCTTCAAGGGCACAGTAGGCATTGGCAATCGCACACCCGGTATCGTCGTGGAAGTGTGTTTCGATATCACAAGAAACAACACCACGCAGCGTACGGAGCAAGTCGTACACTTGTCTTGGGTTGGCGCAACCAACGGTATCAGCAACACCGACTCGATTGACACCAATCTTGTCGACTGCCTGGTAAATGCTCAGCAAATCCACCAAGTCAGAGCGGAAGGAGTCTTCTGAGGAGAATCGGATTTCAATGTTGTGTGACTTGACGAATTCAATAACTTCCTTGGCGGCCTTTGTGATATAAGTCATATCCTTGCCATGGGAGAACTCGCGCAAGAAGGAGGAAGTACCAATCACGACATCCACGCCATCGACACCGGTCGTCACGGCAAGACGAGCATCGTCCATGTTGCAACGGATATGGGTGAGGACCTTGGCCTTGAGGCCTAGCTTGCAAATGGCCATGAGATCAAGCCTGGACTGTTCCGAGGCTGCGGGGGAGGTGACTTCGATGTAGTCCACACCGAAATCATCCAGCGCCTTGGCAATTTCAATCTTCTTGGCCGTATCAAAGAAGGCATTGGCGAATTGCTCTCCCTCTCGCAAGGTGGATTCGATAATCTTGAAGTTGCCGACGTTGGAGAGGAAGTCGGAGGCCTTGCTGCCGTACGGGTTGCTGGTGGTGGTTGGGCGCTTGATGGTTGCTTCTGTGACGCTGGTCATGTCGTTTCCTACAGAGGGCGGCATGCTTTGTTCTTGAGTCCTTTCTGAGTAGATGCAGACGCTGGGAGAGGAGCAGCAGGAGTACTGGTAGCAGTCCTTGGTCGCCGTCGTGCTCTCGAGATCTTTATCAAAGCCGACACAGGGTTAGGCAGCGACTGACTGACTACTGCAGTGACTACTTGACTTACTGTTGACTACCAGTACTTGACCCTCAGCATGGCCTCCGATGTCAGAGATGTCCTGGGCATACCCTCCTCCTCTCTCGCTGCTGGTCCACCACAAAAGAAGCAAAAACCAAATGGACCCGCAAAAGGCGTCAGCAGGGAACTCTACAATCTCCTCGGGGATAACCTACCACCAACCGTCGCACAGCACAGTGGACAGCCCTTCAAGGAAAAGCCGCGCTTCAAACAAAAAGCAGTGAGTTGGGTGCGTGCGCCTTTCAAAAATGGTGCGCGTCAAGATGATTTGGTGCTGCGACATTGGATACGTGGGCCCGTCACTGATTTGGAGACGCCTGCAGAGCACTACCATTTCGAGGTCTTCAATAAACATCCCGATGTTGCGCAGTATAGCAGTGAAGAGTATGCGACTTTCTTGGAACGGCCAGATTGGACACGAGAGGAGACGGATGTTTTGATGGATTTGTGCAAGCAGTGGGATTGTCGCTTTGTTGTGGTCCATGATCGCTGGCCCTCCGACTTCAAGCAGCGTTCGCAAGAACAACTCAAAGATCGCTACTACAGTATTTGTACGGCATTGTATGCTTCCCGCGGTCAAAGTACCGATGGCTTGCACTACGACCTGGCGCGTGAAGAAGCACGTAAAAAGTACCTCGAGGAACTCTTCAAGCGTACACCAGATGAGGTCGAAGAGGAGAATAAGCTGATTATCGAGTCTCGGCGCTTGGAAGCAGCAGAAAAACAGCTGGCGTTGCAGAAACAGGAACTCTTGAGGACTCTCGAGACACCACAATCCACTGGGTCCATTGCTCAACACATGTCGTCACAGGGTCTTGCTGCTCTTGCACAAGGTATGCTCACAGCAGACAAGCAAAAGACCAAGAAGAAGCAACTCGAGCCAGCAAGTGCTTCGGCAAAACAACGCTACCGCAAACTCTCTCCGCGTGAACAACGCGAGCACGGCGTCACTTGGCATGAGAAGTTATCGAGCGGCGCATTTTTACGTTCACAAAAGACAGTGGCACTCAAGCAAACCGTTGCTACAAAAGTCTTGACGGTGATGCAAGAATTGGGTATGAGTAATGTCTTGACCATGCCTACTGAGAAGACAGTACGACGCTTTGATTTGCTGCAGAGTAAAATTGCGACGTTGTTGGAGGCGAAGCGTGTTGTGGACAAAGCAGAGCAAGTCAGCGATTCACCTGCTGCTGTCATATCGTAGACTTGCTATATGTTATATGTACGTTGTGTATGTCTAAAACTTTCCGCGCAATGCTTGTCGACCCATGTGCAGGGCCGTCAACTTGCAAGTCTTCCAGAGGTTCGGGAAGTCCAGGGTACTGGTAAATGTGTCTGCAAAGCCTAACTGTTAGTACTGCCAAGCAAAGCAGATGAATTTACCGAATGGGAGCATGGCTGGAATCCAACCTTGTGCTAGCTCCAGGGCGAAACACTTGGTCGGCATTGCATACTGCGTTGCTTCTCCTCGACGCATGAAGTTCTGATCACCCGGGTTATACACATGTGCTTCGAGATCATGTGGTTTCGCAGCAAGTTGCTGACCGACCAATATAGTAAAGTAGTCGTCTGCCGTATGAATGCCTGAATGGCCTTCTGTTTGCAAAGCAGTGCCAAAGAAGATGAGGTACTCTGTGATACTGGCATGCAGAATGACCATGCTTCCCATGGCACCACCGGCGTTATTGAAGAACCAATCCTTCTCACTCCATTCACTGATAGCATCACCATACTCTTCTTTCAAGTCTCGCGTGAGTTGCTTGAGCAGCGGTGCGGTATTGTTGCCATGCATTGCAATGGCTTTGCGAGAGAGTTCTTGCAGTTTTTTCGGGTCAAAGACGTACTGCGTGTGCAGGTAGCCGTCGAGTACATAGAATATAGAAGCGAGTACGGCCAAGAGGATGGCAGTACGACTAGAAATGAACATCGCTGAAGGAGAAGACAGAGGTCTAATGGTTGAGTTTTATGTTTTTGTCGCTGCTGGTGGCCTGACTACGAGCACGTGATTGCCCCTGACAAGGTATCTTTGTCCAAGTCTGTTGCTATAGGCTTGGCTATGATATGCAGCCTGCCATGACACAGACACACGGCATCTACTGAAACCAAGGTCAACGTAAGAGAAGAGAAGAGAACAGAAGAGAAGTCTCACAAGACCAAGTATACTCAGTATAGGTTGAACTTGTCTCACGCTCTAGCCTAACCCCAGCAACGACAGTCACTCCAACAGTCACGTCTCTGCGCCTCCATAGACAGTCACAACCACACCCAGACGCAGTCCTCACCCTATAGGAGGCCTGTATAACGCTCTCTACAAGTGCTTCACCAGCTGACGCGCTTTTTCTTGCTTCTAGTAGACTGCCATGGATCAAGACTTGCTCGCTACCTTGTTGCGCGATGTCGCTGCACAGGCAAACAACGGCAACCACAACACTCAGCACGCCGAGCAGCACCAGCAGCAGCAGCAGGATAATAATCCCAGCCAAGCTGAGGGACAGGATGCTGCTCAACTTGAATTACACGAGACGTTGCAAGAATCTCTTGATGTATGTCCAAATAACAAACTTCAAACCTCGCTAACGCACTCGAAGAAGGCAGAGAGACAGTCGCAACGGCAACAACGACAGCACCAGCAGCTAGAAAACACCGATGGGTCGCCAAAACCCACCCTCCCCATCCGTGAAGTCTCGGCGTCTCGCTCTCGCAAGAGTTCCGATGCCATGGAGCTTGACAAGGAAGCGCTCGATCCGCAACACAAAAAGATCCGTACGGAGAATCGTGAGCGCAAGAAGCGTTGGCGAGAGGCGAATGAGGATCGCAATAAGGATAATGACTTGCGATGCCGTGTGCATAAACGCGCACATAAGCTGTATGGTAAGGAAAATTCACGCATGAAGGAGATGTGGATTGAGGAGGAGTTCAATAAACGCAAGCACAAGCGACAAGAAAAGGAAGGAAAAGGACCGGATGGCTTGCCGCTGATTGATGGCACGGATATCGCTGATTTGGATCAAGAAGAGCTGAGTAATGCCATCATGGCAACGCTCACGAGCTTCACCGCTCAAAACATGCAGAATGGTGATGCGACGCATTCGAGCGAGCTGAATGCGTTGTTGCAGAAGCTGACGAATGATCCGGATGTGCTCAAGAATATGTTGAGTGACAAGCCGGCTGCTGAAAAGAACGATGCAGCTTCAGCGCAGCAGTCTGAAGAGCAGCAAGAAGGCTCACACGAAGGTGCATCAGAGCAGCAGACGCAAACGGCTACTGCTGAAGCTGCTCAAGAGACGCACGCACAGACACAGGCACAATCGCAAGCACAGGCAGCTACAGCAGACGCAAATGGCGATGTCGACCTCGGCAATATCGACATCCATTCCATCGTGGGCGACTTGCTTGGCAACGATGCTGCATTGCTGGGTGATAGTCATGATGCATTGCTTGAAGGTGTTGCGACAGGGCAGATTACCCTGCCTCCAGCTGCTTCGCGCAATGAAGGGCGGCCACCGCAGCAGACGACGCGCAGTACGCGCCGTTCTGGCCAGCCTTGAAGAGGACATCTCGTATCTCTGTGTTTATATATTGTTAATCCTTGTTCCATCTTTCCTGGTGATGTCTTTGTGGTCAAATTTGACAGCCAACAACCCGCCAGGATGCACAACGCCGCAATATAGCACAGAAGCGCACAGGCATGGACGGCACAGGCCACCGCATCTTCGACGACTACTGCAGTCCACCTGCATTCCCACACATCCCCGAGCTTGCCTTCGGTCTGCACAAGGACTTGAAATGGGACTACACCGATCGTCGCATCTTTCAAGAAATCCAACCAGGTGTCTTCCTCGGACCCCTCGCTTCTTCACGGGCATGTGAGACGCTTGCTGAACATCGCATCACGACGCTCGTTGCCATCAGGACAGAACAAACGCGCAAGATCTTCAAGGAACGCTATCCAGAGCAGTTTCGCTATGAGTATATCGATATTGTGGAAGGATCACTCCTTTCAGTATTACCGCGCATCACGCCATTCATCCAAGGCTGTCTCGGGAGGGGTGAGCGATTGCTGTTTTATGATGAAACGGGTAATGCAAAAGGGGCAGTGGTGGTATGTGCGTACTTGATGGAAACCCTTGGCATTGACTCGGCAACGGCGTACTCCATGGTCAAGAATAAACGACTCTCAGTGACGCTGAGTGAGCATGAACGGTATCAGTTACAAGAATTTGAGACGCTGTTGCAGGCACGCAAGTCGGTTATGACACACAGCTATACCGCGCAGGAACTTGAACGACCGAATCGCAGGAGACGGCATGAGGATGGGGAGAGTGATGAGGATGGTCGCGATCGTGATGGTCATTACAGGTGACAAGACGACGCAGTGTATGCTTGTTGATGATGTTTGCTTGGCGCTTTGGCAATAGACGCTGCTTTTCTTTCTTTCCTTTTCCTTACTATACAAAGCCTTTGTATCCATGCTGAGTACCAGGCTGATGCTGTCTTTTATCGAGCGACATATTCAATCGAGACAGAGGCATTAGACCTTAGACCATCAGTGGGCCTCATCACATGCCGTCTCATGTCCTTGAGCAGTCACTGCCTACCAGGACCTCTCGTGTAGCACTCGCGCGTTGCCTGCTTCCATGACTCTTGGACGTACTGCTACTACTCCCACCTGCTGCTTTCGTTGAAACAGTACTGACCCTACCAGTCCTCTTCTTCTCCTCCATAGCAAGCCAATACGCTTGTCGATACTCCTCAAACCCTTCCCTCACCTGCGGCTCACCACCAGCACGCGCTGAAACAACCAACTTGACGTGCGCTTCCCCAGGCATCTTTTCCTTCCGTAAAAAGGATAGCCAACCTGTCTGCGTCGGTACAAGCTTCACATTGAATGGCCGCAGCCCACGATTCGCCTGTGGGATGAATTTGCGTGGTTGGAGGAGTGTGCTGTTATACAGGCCGCTTGCATAGAATAGAACCAGTGTGACGAGACCTGCTAGAAGACAGATGCGGTAGAGGAATAAGACGTAGCTGTAGTCTGACGGATTGACCCACGTCCCATGGAAGAAGAAGGCATTCCAAGCAATCAACAGAGCAAAGAAGACTTGTCTATTAGCATCCAGCACAAGAGATAGAAGCTTGGTGCGTACGCGTATATTTGCGCTTGAGGACGAGAAGCCTTGCGTATTCCTTGCGCAGACTTTCTTCGAAAATGAGAAGGTCGCCATACTGATCGGAGCCGCTGCTCATCGCATGCCGTGAGTAGCTAGAACAGAGCAGAGACCAGTCGACGGAAGTTGTAGCTGGTCGTGTTGATTGTTTCTGAGTTGCCGACACAGAAACGACGCCGACGACCGAGACCAAGTCATCGAGCAGGAGCTTCAGCATCAGCTAAGGCGCGCTCTGGAGGAAGGGCCATGTCGCTGAGTGTTGAGCTCAAGAAGAGCGAGACAACAGCTTCCTTCTTCACAAATCTCGACCTCATCGAAGGCCGCATCCACCTCAATCTCGCTTCTTCCCTCAGCGTCAGTGCTATCGTCATCAAGCTCGAAGGAATCGCCAAGTCTGTGTGCTATACTCAGCCGCATCACGGCAAGTCAAGAGCCCGTGCACCAGTCCAAGAGATCCATAAAGTGCTCTACCTTACAGACTCGGTGTTTCCCGATCCACAGCTCAAACAGACGTCCTCGGCGTCGTCTTTTACACTGCAAGAGGGCAAGCACAGCTGGCCATTCAGCTTTCAAATACCCATCAATAATGATTGCAAACAAGCATCTCGCTCTCAGGGACAAAATGCGCTCGGTGCCTTGCTGAATGGACAATCGCCCATGTCGAGTTATGACCAACAAGTGGATTCCTATCAGCATGTCCAGCAGATCCTACCACCGTCTCTTGCAGGCTCGGAAGATGTCTGGGTACGGTATTTTGTCAAGGCCGTGGTACAACGTCCCTCAAAACTGTCCCTCAACTATCGCTCCTATGCGCCCTTCTTGTTCCTACCCATCGACAGGCCGCGTGCAGATGAAGGCGCCAGTACGGCTTTCTTTGTAAAGCGTCAACATACACTCAGTATCCTCGATGATGCGAAACGACCACGCGGCTTGCTCGGTGCATTTCAAGAACCCAAGAAACGCATGTCTGATACGATTGCCATTGAAATTCGACAACCCAATCCTCCTACCGTCGTCCCTGGCGTGCCAGCCAATATCGAACTTCTCGGTTACATCGAGACGAATTTTAATGACTTGTCTGATTTACGCATCACGCACATCTCCGTCTACTTCCTCGCCACAACGCGCATCAAGGCGCAAAACCTAAAACGTACATTGGGTGGCCGACTCCCCGTGTATGCAACAGACCTCAATATCCCTTTCAAGCGCGCTTCAGGACCCACAGTACCAGCGTGTCACGTACACATGGCTAGACTCCCCACACCACTCATTGTGGCGACGGATTGTGCACCGACGTTTGTCACATGCAATATTTCACGAACGTATGAGTTTGAATTCAACATTACGGTTCAGCATGGACCGAGTAAAGCGACCATTCAGCTCATCTCACCCATTGAAGTCTTGAGTGGCGTGAGTGCGCCACCACCACAAGAACGGGGCGATGCGGTTGTCGCTGAGGGTGAAGGACCACCGCCTGCGTTGCCTATTCGCCCACAAGTCAAGCGTATTGTGAGCGCAGACGGTCAACAGGGGGAAGAATCATTACCGTCCTATGAAGAAGTCAGTCAAATTGGTCAAGGACCTTCTGCACGTCCTGCCAATTTAGGTTCGTCACGCGCACTCAGACACAGACGAACGACGTATGGCGTTGCAGATTCATATTTTGAGCATCCGGAGCGATATGATTAATGGATTGTATAGGTACTTATTATGCTAGTTGTTGTCGTAATCTTTCAATTTCCGTTTCTTTACCCGGTGCAAGTTGCGCAAGGGTCGTGCCTTGTGATAGGAACCGATGAGCAACGAGAAAAGTGCCGAGATCATACAACTTGTGTAGGAGCGGTCTGCGTGTCGTTCCTTTGCATTCATGTAGTAGAATGAGACTAAACACAAGAGAAGCATAGCGCGCTGTCAAGTGAATGAGATTCAGGTCGACTTCGACGGTGGTATTCTCGAAGGTACCGAGAAACATAATGATGAGGGCATCGCGCTCGTACGGCTGCATCGGCTTTCCTTGCGTTTTGCAATCTACTTCAAGTAGCTGCACGGCCATCACAAACATCGCTTCATCGGACAGGCCCGCTTCAGGTATATCGATGGTCGGGGTTGCTGTTGCGGCCACGAACTCGCTGACAAGATCACTGCCTACTCTCAACCATTCAGTCACACCTCGTTCGTTCTGATGCACCCGGGGAGGCAGTAAGTCTTGGATGTGATGATAGGCCTGTGCTCGAATCTCCCGTGAACACCGCCAGATGGACTCGCGCTTGACGTTTTCCAGGAGAAGGGGAAGGTAGAGATTGCCTGTACTCAGCAGTTCCATAAGTATGCCACTTGATTTATTCTTCTGGGCATAGACATCGAGGGTCGATGACACTGGAGAAGCGATCCAATCGAATAATGCTGCTGAACGAAGGATCTCTTCTTGTATGACATGCTGACGAAGGTGACCAGCTTGTAATTTACTGATACATAGACGAGCTGAAGCGTGCTTGCTGGCAGAACCTTCTGTTCCCATCATCGTTCCGAGTTGCAGTAAGTCTACACCCAGAGACGCACTCGTCTGTGCATAAAAGAAGGCATGTCCAGATATCTTGTCGTCTGCAAAGGTCACCGTGCTCAGTGGCATGTACGCGGCTGCAGGACCAAGATCAAATAAGTGCATGTCAGAATCTTGTGAGAGGATGAAAACTTGTTTTGATGGCCCTGCGCGCCTTGCGAACGCACCTGCAGTGCGCGCACAGGTCAGATCTGCCTCTTCGGGGGAAGTTGTAACGGGATACCCGGCATCCGACAGGACTTGTTGGCAGATGAAAGACACAAAGCCAGGAACCGGGACCCAAGCGTCAAGAGCACCGACGTTACGAGCAGTGAGCTTCATGCTTCGTCTGACACGTTCTTGACGAATGGGAGTCTTGTGGGGTGGTAGGTTTCCGTCAAAGCATATTTGCAGCCTACACTGATTAGCATGGTACGTGAAAGTGCTGCTCAACGTACACTTCAACACCAGCTAATTTGATCTTGTCCATGAATGCAAGAATAGCTTTTGCATAGCTTCTGTAGTGGCCCTCGAGGATATTGGCTTCCTTGTAGAGATGGTGTGCGAGGGCATTGCCGTCAATCACCAGCCAGGCTTGTGTATCATCTTTTGGCAGAAGCAGCTCTTGACCGTATGATTCTAGGAAGCTTTGCAGGCCTTGTATGCCCATTCAGCGATGAATAGTAGGGAGTTGATAGCTGCGCAGATTATGGATCTGGCTGCTCTCTTGGGACCAAGCGAGTAAACAGTCACGGATACATGCAGACAAGTGAAACTACTGCTTGAGCCTGTGCTGGGAAGGAGTAGAGCGTCTTCTTTCAGCTTCTATGCTTCCATGCCTGATAGCAGACGTGAAGTAGCTGATGCGGTCCATGGCGAACTCAAATTTGGGGGCAAATGGCTGGACACAAAATTCGGAAAACAGCAACACCCAGCAGCAGCGACTGGTATAAGCTGGAGGAGATGCCCAAGATGCAGCCTCACGCTCGCTCTCCTTCTGTTCTACAGTCTACTCCTTCCATCTACTCATCAATCATCTACAGTAGCAGTAGCAGCAACAGCAACAGCAGCAGATGCACTACGCACACTTCATCACCATTCTCTTAGCAGCAAGTCGCATCGAGGCCAAATGGTCAGACTGGCACAAACGGGCTGCAGTGCCCATTCTGACAGAGACGGAAGAAGTCGTTACAGTCTGGCATACAGCTTACACCAGCTGTCCCTGTGCAAGCACCACAACATCCGCCTCAACAGGAGCGACGCAACTGCCCTACAACATTGTCGCTGTCAATGGCGGCGGACAAGCGGCGAATCAAGACGCAGTGGTAGTCACAGCGACACAAGATCCCGTACTTGTCTTGCACCCGACGCAGGCGCCGCAAGACCCTGACGCAGGCATCCTTGATCTGACCGTCTCTACCACAACTGTCGAGGTCACATCAACAAGTACGGTCATTGTCTATGCAGACGAGACAGAGGCTGCAGCGATATCTGTACAAGCTGGTACTGCTGGTATGGCTGGACTACCGGTTGTACCGACGTCAAGCGTAGCTCAAACAACAACCTATACAGTCATCGTCACAGTCACGGCAGAAGATGCGACAAGCAGCAGCAGTTCTTCTACGGTCATCAACACGAATGGTATTGCAGGTTTCGCTCAGACACCGTCTACGACTGTACTGCCATCTATTACGCCAAGCATCAGCAGCGTCACTGCAACTGTGGCAACATTCGCGGCAAGTAGTGGCATTGCTGCATTCCCGGGCATTTCAGCACTCTTGAGCTCCATGTCCGTCTCGTCTGCATTATCTTCTACGGTACTATCTGTTTCAAGCACGCTCGCCGTTTCTACTGCGTCGCCATCATCGCCATCGCCATTGTCAAGCAGCAGCAGCAGCAGCAGCAGCAGCAGCAGCAGCAGTCAAGGAACAGCCTCTGTGCTTGGCCTCGCTCAAAGTCCATCTGCTTCACTCTCAAGCACATCCAGCACTCTGTCCCAAACATCCACATCAGTTTCGGCCAGCAGCAGTTCAAGCGCGTCACTCAGCGAAACAACCACGTCAATCTTGTCGACGACATCCACCACGATGATGCTCCCTTCTAGCACTCTTGCCTCCTCGACAAGGACATCGACAAGCGAATCGAGCAGTTCAAGTGCATTGCCTGCATCGTCGCTGACCAGCTCCAGCTCCGGAATCGCATCGCCATCTGGAACAAGCTCAGCAGCTGTACTGCCCAGTGCAGTAGGTATGGCCATCCTGCCTTCCATGGCAGCGCCTGTGCAACAAGCCATCAGCGAGCCATCCTCATCATCCACGATGACAACGCAGTACATTTCCTCAACGACAGAATCTGTTTCGCCAACAATGACGCCACCTGCAGCCATGGATCCTGCTCGCTTCATCTCGGCAACGTACACGATTCGTACAACTGTCACCGCGGAGTAGAGCACTCACTCACAATTCTCACCATTCGTTCCTTTAGTCAATTCTTTTTGTTAGCGTAGGCGAAATTCATCTCCCTCAACTACCCTCCTAAAACATGATTGTGTCCTCGAAACTGTATCGCGGTAAACTCCTGTATTCAGGGACTTTCGCCACTTTCCACAAGTAATTGTCAAGATCCACCTCATCACCAATATACCCATACCCTAGCTCCCTTGCACGCTCGACAATTCTCTCAGCAGCCACAATGGACGCAGCACGCAATGAGACCGCTTGATGCAATGTCAACTGCGTGACATCATCGCACGGTGCTTCATCGAGCTTGAGAATCCCAAAATGCTTCATCATGCTCGGCACGACATTATCAGCAAAGATTGTCAAATCACCAGGTTGAAGCCATGGAATTGTCATGCCTTGTCGTTGTAATTCTGAAATCATAATTTGCGCCTTCTTCATGATTGTAATGGTGGGCGTGTACTCGGGAAGGTCGTAGACGTCTCGTAGCGCTGGTACGGCTGCTAATTTTTCAAGCATCCCATCGATATCAGAGACTTGAGCTGCACTTTGCTCAACATATGCTGCGAGTGTCATGACACCAGCTTGTTGCAAGAATTGACCAGTCGATTGTAGCGCCCCTGCAATCTTATGGGCAATCTGCGATGCTGGGCTTGCTTCAACCATGGACAGTGCAGCACCCATTGTTGCGTGCGGCTTTTCAATCGTCATATTGATATGCATAAGTTCACCAATCGTTGCTGCATCCACTTGACACATCCATGCAGCATCAAGCGTCCCGTGGGATAGATGGAACCCAGTCAACAGTCGGATAATACCTTCAAAGGCGCCTGATCCAGTCGCCTCCTTCAGCATGAGACGATAACCCGAGCAAAAATTGAGTAGATGCAAAATGGCATAAAAGTTGAGCTTTTGCCCATCCGACTCAAAGCGAAGAGGTAGTTTGAGGTCAGAGGCTTCTTTCGAGACAATCTCTGCATAGCGCGCTTGGTTTGTGTTTTTTAAGAATTGATCGATTGCAGGAGATTGGATGGTGCAGGGACATGCAGCTGATTCTACGAATGCTTTGCAGCTCGTTCGGACGCGAGATTGCATAGCTCGCTAACAATAAGATGTAGACCTGACCTCAAGCTCGAGCTTCGAGCTCGAGAGACGTCGATAGATGGCACATTCTTCAGATGGGATCTCGATGACTCTCTCTAATAGTCTCTACTCAAGCAAAGCAGCTACAACAACAGACCCAAACTCTTCCAATGCCTCATTATACGCATGATGTCCCGCATTTTCAATGACATGCATCTTGACTTGCCCGCCTGCCAAATTACACACTCTCAGTGCATCAAATCCGGCATCCACAGACATCCAATCACGCTTGCCATAGATTAGTAAAATGGGTACATGCATTGGCAATTGCCCCATTAATGCTTCCCGAGCATGTGCACCAGGCGCTAGTATATAAGAAAGCAGACGTTCAGTGGACGCCGGTAGTGAAAAGACGCGGAACGCATAGTCATGAATGCGGTGTTTTGCGCAGTCTTTTGAGTTGTGGGAGGTTGAGCTCGGCACAACGAGTGTGTGGGACCAGGCAGACATGAGTTTCGGTCCAAATGGCCCCGCCCAGCGAAGAAAGTCAAAGGGCGTATAGCCTGTATCCCAAAGATGTTGAATGAACCACGGTAAGGGATTCGCCGGTTTTGCCGTTAGCAAGGCAGCGTCGCCAAGTAGACAGGCGCGTGCGTCTTGATAGGGATTCTCATTCATCCCAACAGGACTGATGAGAATCAGCTGCTTGATGTAATTCGGAAACCGCTGTGCATAGCGAACGGCGAGGTACGCACCAAAAGAATGAGCCACCAAGACAAGTTGGCTAAGCCCTTTCAATACACGCCACTCTTCTAGTGCATCGAGGAATTTAGCTTCTGCAGCGATTCTTTGTTCAGTAGGAGTTCCGTCAGATATTTTGACTATTGGTCGACTAGAAAGACCCATACCGAGCCAATCGAGCGCATACAGTGGTCCATGCTGCTGCATCACGTCTGGTGTTGACAACATGTCGAAACTCGCAGCAAAACACGCTAGACCGCTGCCATAGCCATGCAGCAAGACAATTGCCGACGTTTGCTTGATTTCAAAGAGCAATGATGAGATGCACAGCTCGTTGATGGCGCGATCTTGGCCAGATAGCCGTATAGTGCGTTGACTAATAGTTCGGCCTGTAGATGACCAGCCATCGCAATAATACGCAACTAGGCGGTCTTGAGATTGAAGAGCAGGCTCTCTGAAAGAGCGAATGTACTGCAAGAAAGAGCGATGGACGGATTGAGGGAAAGAGGAGAAGCCAGCTGCTTTTTGAGCGATACATTCAATAGCGGCGGCTGCGAGAACTAGAAAGAGCGTAGTGACGAAGAGAATGAGCCACGTCTGTGTATGTGTCTCATTGAGCCGGTCCAGCCAGCAAGAGAGTGAAAACATTGTCAAGACCGTGTGTTGTACATCTACAGGTGTATATATATCGAGGTGCCGGAGCCGAATTTTGGTTGTTTTGCAACTTGACAGCTTCGATTGCGCACCAGCCAGCTACAGTGCTACACATGATACTAGACATTTATTCAACATAACCTTAGCGTCAACTGAGCTAAGCGAAATATCATCATCAGAATCTGCTCTGCCATACCCGAGAAGGTGCCACTACTTTCGGCATTATGCATTGTAAAAGGCTGCAGGTCAGCTGCGACCTCACATCCGGTTGCGAGCCTCACTGATCAGATGGCAAGGCGCGAGCTCAAGTACTTGCTGTCTTGGCACTCCTTCACGTACGTAAAGATGCTTGAGAGGTAAAAGGCAAGGAGCCCATAATGCCCGTGGCTACACGAGCAAGGCCCGCTTCGGCAGCAGCGACATCGATAACTACCACCACCCCACCACCATCGACGCCTATCTCGAGGTGACGTCCTATGTCGATCCCGTATCCACCGATTTCGCTAGCTCAGCAGCTGCGAAAGATGCAGGAAGAGGTTGAGGTCAAGCTAGAGCGCCTGAGGAACGACAATACAGTGCTCTCAAAGCAGATCAACGTATTGGAATATCTCGCGAGGCGCGCTGCAGCCCTTCCACAAGTAAGGCCAGACGAAATAGAGCTGATTCACAAGACGCGGGCAATCAGGCAATACTTATATCAGCAAAGCTTCCATGCATTTTGGGCATTAGTCGTGTGAAGTATGCGACGATAGCAACAACGATCAGGCTGTTCTCATCAAGATGAGGTCGCTGTATGTAGATGTCGTTGTTGCGCGAATTGCTCGTCAATCATGTAATCATTGAGCAGTAGGCGTTACCTTAGTCCGTTGAACCTTGTCGAGCTGCGAGTATTCTGTCTCCGTGAATAAATACCCAATGAGAAGAACTGAAAAGAAGACTTCAGGTCCAAGACGCGGCAATAGAGAAATTGGAAGATACCAGTAAAGCGGATCGCCTTCTTGCCTTCGACGACGCAAATCATGAAGCAAATTGTTTGCCAAGTGATCACCAGCGACAGCGCCTCCCACAAATCTGTCGATCTCTTCCACGTATTCGCGCCATGCCCTGAGATATTGTGCAGTGGGAGCAAAAGACGCTTCTGACTGCAGCGCATCTCTCGGTGTCTGATCGGCCGCGATCGACGGCATCCATGATATTGCCACACCGTGAGCAAGCAAATAAACCATATTTCGAATTTTGTAACGCGATGAGCAAATGCAGCTGCAAACCTCAACACTGAGACATGGAAGCACATTGCAATAATCTGACTCGGCTGATTGCTGTAGCACATGTATAGTTTGGTGCAATTGACTGATAGCCGCCAAGTATTTGTGCAATCGCTCGAACCTCCAAAGCGGACAAAGAAACAGGCTGTTGTCCGGGCAACTTTAGAGCAATCAAAAATCGCAATCATGGCGAAAGAAATTGTCATTGTCGAACCAAGTCGCCATATCTTGCTTGTGTGGCTTGAAGTTCTGTTGCGACGTGACAACGAGCACCAATCGATCGAATTTAAGTCCTCCTCGAATCGCGATGACGCAGGTTTCCCGAAGTAATTTGCCCGCCGTTGCCTGAAAGAGGTCGGTATGTTTTTCGAGCTTGTTTTTCCACAGTATCATCTGACTTGACTGACTCAGGGCTCGAGCCTCTTCTTGACAGTAGTACTGGTTCGACACACGGACTGATCATCTGACACAGTTTAATGGTCAAAGCGCTACTTCGCCACGTATCCTTGTAAACAAATCGCCTTGGAAAGAAGCCACTTGCAGCCTGGGATTCTAGAAACTCGTTTTCCTTGACGAGGCATTGCTGCGCATCAATCACGGACATGGATCCGGGGTAGGGTCGACCATGCCCAGGATGGATGACTGTCACACTCGTACTGGGCAAGGCGCGCTCGAAGATAAAAGTGAGATCTTCGATCGAAAGTTGTGTTTCATCAAAGTAGGGTCGCAAAAGGTAGACCTTGTTGATTGCCTGTGTATTAGCACTGAATAAATTGGTAATAAGTCCTCACCTCGGCTCTTTCTGCGATGCTTGCTGTGTCATCAGGCGCGAGGTAAAGCCCTACAAGTGTTTCGAGGAGGACGTTGCCTTCCAGGTTTTTGATGAACGAACGAGCAGAGGAAGTCATGGACGTGCTTGTATCGCAACAGACAGCCAACGCGACAGTTACGGGACAATCCTCATATGCGACACCATCCCATTTAAAAGACATCTCGCGTACGACGTGTTTCTGCCAGGCCGCAACGTATTGAGCAGAAATGAGTGGTTGAAGCGGTTTGGGGTCAGACCCACCATGTACTTGACTGCTTATATCGTGTGCGTACTGGTTTTTGTCGATGAAGACATTCGGATGCAAGCGATACGGCGGGTAGCATTCCATCTCTTCCTGGGTCTTGCCATAAATCATCCGCAAAGGAAGGCGATCGTGCGCTGAACGCCTTCCACAAGTAGGGTCTGACCAGACAGCGCTGATTGGCAAGTCGTGGGCAACCAGTTCATCTCTACCAGCGAACAGTAAATCAAAGCGATGCTCAATGTAATGCTCTTTGAACATCAATCGTTTAAGGTACGCAGCAAAATCACCAACGGTTAACGTGGTCTCATCGAGATGAGGTCGCTGAGTGTAGATGTCGTTGATACGCTATATGCTTGTCAATCATGTATCTTGTCATCCTTTGGCCTTACCTCGGCTCGCTGAATCTTGTCGAGCTGCGTATGTGCTGACTCCGGAAATAATACCTCGTCCAAAAGGCTTTTAAAAGAGACTCGATTGTTGTGGTTCGGCACTAGAGAATCAGGATAATACCAATACCATGCGCCCTCCTCCTTGTCTCTGACGACGCGGACGATGAAGAAGTCGTTTGGCAAGTAATCTCCGGTAACAGTGTCTCCCACAAATCTGTCGATCTTTTCAACATATTTGCGCCATGCCCTAAGATATTGCGCAGTGGTAGCAAGAGAGGGTTTTGGCCTCAGCGTAGCAAGTGATGTCTCGTCGGCAGCCATCGACGGCGTTTGTAGTTTCAGTCGCAGTTGCAGTTGCTGATCTGGTAGCAGAATGACGGACTAAACCACAAGCTATTTAAAGAGTTCTTCTGAGTGCACTTGACTCTTGAGACAGGAACAGGAGAATGTTCAAATTTAAGATGAGCTGACTTGGAGAATAGCTGCTTTTGAGCTTCTGAGAGAAAAATGAATAGCAGGAGCCCCGAGCGGGTGAGGAGCAGAGCTGAGAGCAGTGCGATGTGGAAGGCTTTACTTGCCAGCGATAGCTTAGTCTAAGGCAGGCTTGTGATCGTAAGAGACGCGCAGCTGCAGGAACCCTGATCTATTGCCAGTTTTGCGCATAAACTCTCGCCACGCAAGTGCGAGCCTGTGTATGCGTAGTGTGTTTTGCTGACTCCTCGGACGTAAGTCGTACGCCCGGAGGAGGTGTCACGTGACCAGATCGGTTGCCGCCGACAAATTTGGAGATTAACCGTGTCAGCACTCATCTTGCCACATGTACAGCTACTGGCTTCAGTGAGATGATATCTGCTTTCGGACGCCGCGACGTACGGCTACCACGATGGAAGATTCAGAATACATGATTCGGTCGCAAAGTTTGGGTAGAGGATGATATGAGGATAAAGAAACGTGCTTTGATCGCCAAACAGACGAACACAACAAACGAGGCCTAAGCCATGGTCCATGCATGCCATGCTTGCCTTGGCTGACAGGATGGTTCAAAATAGCTGATGCACTTGTAAGCTGTTAACCCTCTTTCGAACTGAGCCTTCCTTATCTTTTGGCAACTTGTGTTTCTAGAGGAAGCCTTCGGGTGCTGCTGGCAGCTGCTGCTGGTGCTCAAAGGGCCCGGCGGCCTTCCTGCAAGGAACTTTGGGAGGTTTGTCATGTCGATAGTTTCGGGCCTTCGGGCTTGTCTGTCTTGCTCCACATGAAGGATGCTCTCCGCTTCAATTTTGTTGCGGTGTTGTGAGCCGGTATGAGACAGCTGTCTGTTTGGGAACCATCAGCAGAGAAGTATATCAGCAGATAACGGTCTGCCACTGTCCGCCAGTCGCTTTTCACAAACTGCTCTCCGGCATAGCAGCAGCACTTGACGCGCCGGTGTCTCTGAGGATTCCTTGGCATTCGCATGTTCGAGATTCCTTGTCTGTTGATTGCCCTTGAGTCCTCGCTGATAGCTTACAGGCTCCGCAGATGGCCTCGTCAAGAAGTTTTGATTAGGCAGCCATCAAGATAACTTGGCAATGTGACACAGCTCAGAGATGCGGCCACGAGTCTTGGTACGGTCCACCGGAGCGTGAAGGAGAAGAAGTTCAAGAGGAAGAAGATCACCGACGCCAAGTTCAACAGGGTTACCGAGTCGGGCAATGTGTTCAAGTCGGCGTCTGCTGCTTTTCGGTCGTCACGTTGCCAAGGACCTGCTAATGCCAATGTCTCGTCGAACGCTTGCGAATTGCAGAAGGAGGTCAATGAGGCAAGTGACAAATCTGCTCATCACCATGACATTTGCTGTTCTTGAGAGACTCTGCTTGCTAGTCGGTACTTCCAAAGCTGCGGACCAGACTCGGTTCGACTGGGCTGCTGTTACTGCTGTACCGCACATACATCCGTGTCGTTGCAATCGTCCAAGTCTACGTCGGCACTGGCTGGCTCCCTGTCGCAGTCATCATCAGGTCACTGTTGAACCACAGTTGATACATCCTTGTCGTTGCAGTCGTCCAAGTCTCTGTCGGCATTGGCTGGCTCACTGTCGCAGTCATCATCAGGTCACTGCTGAACCACAGTTGATACATCCTTGTCGTTGCAGTCGTCCAAGTCTCTGTCGGCATTGGCTGGCTCACTGTCGCAGTCCTCATCAGGTCACTGCTGAACCACAGTTGATACATCCTTGTCGTTGCAATCGCCCAAGTCCACGTCGGCACTGGCTGGCTCATTGTCGCAGTCATCACCGGGTAGCCTTCTCTCGCCATTGAGGAGGTGTTTCATCGTCGCGCAGTACCTCCTGCATCCTCCACCTACAGGTCCGTCACGTTTGCTTGACTGTACCATCACGCCGTCTCATCGTGTCCTCGAGCCTGATGCAGGTTGATTGTCCACCCCGGTCATTCACGCCGCCAGCCTGATGACAATGCTGTTGCCGGGCGGCTTGCTGCTGGTGTCTCGCCTTCTCGCAGAAGCGCCGTGTTCTGCGCTGACCTTCCGTTTGGCGATGTCTGGCTGCAATGCGCTGCCAGTATGCTCTCGATGCGTTCCCAATCAGCTTGGCTGTGCTGACGACGAGGACATGTGATCACTGAAGCTGCATTCAAGAGGAGCATCGCCACTTCACAGCTGACTTCTCGTTGGCTGAGGCGCTTTAGGGAGCTGTGCGAGGGCTGTGTACCTGGTTCCTGGGTCTGCGCTGATTACTCTTGGCTGGAGCCTTCTTCTTCTTTCCTCCTGCTTCTCTTCTCTTCTCTTCTGCTTGGTGGCGTGCTCGCTGTTCCTCTCTGCTGCTTCTAAATTTACTCCTGAGCATGGCTGGACATTCCTCGAGAGAAATGGGGCTCTCGTGCTCTCTATTCCTGTCTGCTGTCCTGCTTACTCTGCTCTATGTGCAGGCACGCCAGCGTATGCTATAAGAGTGCGCTCGCCCTTCCCACTTTCTATCTACAAACATACACACCATGCCCGCCGAGTATGTTCCCCCGAAGTACGTACTGAAGCTCACCACTGTAGACCATCTCTCATCGACGAGTCACCACGACTCCACCGCATCATCACCAAGCAGATCGGCATCGCAGCGATGATGATCCTCTGCGGAACCATCGTTCTCATGGTGGCACCATTACTACAACTTTTGGTCATCGAGCGGTACGCGCTTACCACACGCCCAGAACCGTGCAGACTGCAGATTGCCCACATCATACTTCGCCAGGGCGTACAAGGTTAACCCGCGAAGACGGAGCGCATCGCACGCAACATTAGTGTTAAGAAGTGGTCTGAGTACGATCTGCGTTGCTTCACGGTTTAATCTTGTAAGCTCTTGCGACAGAATTGTTGGGGAAGCTGCAATCAGCACGGTCTGGGATTGTGTTAAGCGCATACCGCTCAACGACGAATGACTTGACAGGTGGTGTGATCAAGATAATAACGATGCCGCAGAAGATCGTCAAGATGGCGTTGCCTGCCTCTTTGAGAACGGCACGCACATAGCGTGGTGGCTGCTGAATTGCGTCGTCGATAAGAGGAGGTCTGCATTGGTGAGCTTCAGCACATAGTACGGGGAAACATACGATTCATTAGTGCAACGGACGTCCTTGAGAGAATCTGTTTGCTAGCCTGTACCTTCAAGGCTGCAGTCCAGACTTGATTCGACTGGGCTGCTGTTACTGCTGTACCGCACAAACATCCTTGTCGTTGCAATCGTTTGGCCATTTATTGGCACTGGCTAGAGAAGATCAAGAGGAAGTGATCACCGACGCCAAGTTCAACAGGGTTATCGATTCACGCAATGCGTTAAAATTGGCGTCTGCTGCTTTTCGGTCGTCACATTGCCAAGGACCTGCTAGTGCCAATGTCTCGTTGAAAGCTCGCGAATTGCAGAAGGAGGTCGTTGAGGCAGGTGACAAATCTGCTCGTCATCATGACATTTGCTGTTCTTGAGAGAATGTGCTTGCTGGTCGTAACTTCCAAACCAGACTTGATTCGACTGAGCTGCCCTCACTGCTCAATCGCAGTGTAATGGTGCGCGAGCAGGACGGGAGGAAGGGTCCTGCTGAGGAAAGAATTTGGGCCAGATGTAGGTGAATGCCGATGAACATCGGCTCATGCTTGCCGGTAAGCCCTGGCGAATCAAGAAGTTGGGGAACTGCAGTCAGCACGGTCAGGGCGTGTGGTAATCGCGTACCGCTCGATGACGAATAGCTTAAACACAGGTGTAATCATGAGCACCACAATGCCGCAAACGATCGTGACAAGTGCCTTTCCGACTTGCTTCAGCAGGCACTGAAGCTGATGTCGTCGCTTCTGTGGCAGAGGTTGCAGGTGGTGAAGCTGATTTTGCTGTGTGTCCAACACCTGCCTCGGCAGCGACGACGCCAATTTCATGCCCTGCTCAAGCAAACCGGGAAGGCAACTGTCACGATTGTATGCGGTATCGTGGTTCTCCTCATCACGCCACTGATCAAGCTCATCGTCATTGAGCGATTCGCGCTTACCACACGCCCAGAAACGTGCTGACTGCCGTTTCCCAAACACTTGGATCGCCAAGGCATACAGGCTGGCCTGACCCTGAGTTTCAGCCCTTGAAGAAGCCATCCCCCACTGCCAGTTCATACAACACTCACTTCTTGAGGCGTCCAAAGGATTAACAAAACATGCAGGTAGTCATATCGCTCTTGACAACCTTGTGCTTGTCCTCCACTTCAATATACAATTTGGATCGTTTCACGTGAACTCGTACATGTACCCACCAGTCACATAACTTCTATTGACGCTACACAGTCACCGTGTGCCATGAGCTCCAGTCGGGCAGCTCTCTTTGTCGACGACAAGATCTCTCAAGCTGTTGTGCCTAAAGACTACTCGATCCGTCCGCTCAAGCAAGACGACCATGAACGCGGTGAGTGAATACTTGCATCGCAGAGCTCCCTGATTGCCAGGCTTTTTGACTATCCTAGATGCTCTTGTGTCAACGCAGCTTCCCTTGAGCAGAGAGATATTCACAGCACCTTTTCAGGAGCTGCAACAAGCCAATCAGGTCTGGCTCAATACTCTCGTCCTCGTCATTCTTGACCGTGATGACCAGATAGCTGCAACAGTCACGCTGCTTGTGGAGCATAAATTCTTGCGTGCAGGAGCCATTGCAGGCCACATTGTGGATATTGCCGTACGTCCTGATCAGCAGGGCAGAGGCTTTGGCCGCATTCTTGTCGAGGCGTTGACAAAACTTGCTGAACGACAAGGATGCTACAAGGTGATTCTAGACTGTGACGAGAAGAACTTCGCATTCTATGAAAAGTGCACATACGAGAGAGCTGGTATAGAGATGAAGAATTACTTTTGATGAAGAGACGTTTGTGACTGTTGCGCTTTTCCCCAGATCTGGACCAGGTCGCAGCTCAGTGGCCCTCCTGCGACCCTACAAATAGAGTAGGAACAAGAGAAGACTGGATGTCCAGCATGGGTATACCTCTCATACATCAAGCTCAAGCTTCTGAAATTAAACCAGCTGCGTCGAATGATCTTACAGCTTTGCTTCAAAAACGGACAGAGATTGAAGCTGAACTAGACAACTGCAGCGCTGTGCTCGACAAGCATCATCTGTCCATGTCTGATCCACTGATCGATTCGCAGGGCTTTCCACGCTCTGATATCGATGTGGCCGCTTGCCGTATTGCTCGAACGTCCATCATCAGGCTACGCAATGATCACAAAGCCGTCATGTCCGCGATTGAAGCAAGCGTGCATGCTGGCTTCCAAGTAGAGACTGCTTCCCAGGCAGCACCACCACACGCGCCTCAGCCTGCTTCAGCACGCACAGTCTTTACTGATCGTCAACCGTTTGCGCTTGTCAATAGTGTGGCAGATGCATCGCCTGCCGCGCTGGCCGGTCTTCAAGCAGGTGACCAAATTGTCACTTTCGGAAGTACGCATGCCCAGAACCATCGCGCGCTCGCGCGCCTTGCTGAAGAGGTCGCTCATGCAACACAAGAAAACACTTCTATTGAAGTCACCGTGCTACGCAAACAGGAAGGACGCACGGCGTTTCTCAGACGCGCAGTGAGGCCGAATACTGCCTGGGGAGGACGTGGCGCACTCGGAGCTCACTTTTTGCCTCTGTGATGATGATGATGAGTTATGTACTGAGCCTGATGCGCTGCTAAATGGGCTTCGCTGTAGTTCTGACGGCTCTCGAGGCGCGTCATTTGCCCTTGGTCCGGGTCATCTGGCCGAGGTCTCCTTTACAGAGCAAAGTAAATACCCTAGGCTATCATCCAAGGGTATCAAGTGCACGCAGAGTCACGAGCAGATACGTAGGACTATCAGTGAAGCTTATGAAAGTGATCGCAGAATCGAACATGGCCAGCAAGCGAAAACGTTTGTTTGACAATTTTGGACAGACGTCAAGTTGCTATTCGCAAAGTATGGTAGAAACAGCTCTGTCCAGAGACTATGCTTATGGTTCATGCTCAGGCGATCATTCATGGTTCGACAGAGCGAGTCAAAGAGCCAAAGTGATCTGAAAATAGCATTAAGAAAATTTCGACCTGCGTTTTGCCGCGATGGTCGAGTTGCGGACTCTGTTGAAAAGACTGACGGGCGATGAAGGTCTGTCTCTGCCACTGAGCATCGACGAGCCGTCTCCTTAGCAAAGGCTTGTAAGATGCACGAGGTCTCAATCGATGATGTTGGTGACGACAAGAGGCATCAAATGCGCTTTTTCCCGTGAAACAAATGTCCGCGCTCTGCATAGACAAATCTCGCATAGAGACTAGCTGCAATCGCCACAGAGCAGAATGAGATCGTAGCCGAGATTTTGAATTGGTGGACATCTGGCAGTGCAGCTGTGATGAGGAATGTGGCGAGCTCAAATATGCTTTGCAGCGCCCACTCTGTCGTTGAAAACGCGGCCCGGTCAGCCTCATGAACATGGCTTTGAATGAAGACTTGAGAAGACAGATCGAAACCCCAGAGCCCAACGCGGCTCAAGGCGACACCACAGACGAAGAGAAGCAATGCGGTGAAAGAAGTTGGAGCAATCCACAAGGGCACGATAGCCATGCATAGACAGATGACTTGTCCGTTGAGAAACCAAAGACCTGCTCGTATCACACCGACCCTTGCCATGAGCCACGGCGCAAGCCAAGTTGCTGAGAGCTCGCAAATGGTTGAGCCAACTCTGAGCAGTGCAAGCAATGAACCGCTGAAGCCCATGGCGAGTAGAAAAGCCACCATCTGCCCACCGAATGAGAGACTTGTCAGATATAATGCTGAGAGACATAATGAGGGATAGAAAGCGTCTTGCGAGACATAGGTGACGACATTGCGTTTGCATGATTGATACCACGACCGAAACCAAGCTATGCCCAGATGATTATGGGATGCAATATCGCTGATTGGACGTGAAGAGCTGGCGTCCGTTACTGCCACCTTATCTGCGAGGCGCGGAAATGATTGAAACGTGACTTTGATGAGAGAATACTCGATGGCTGCAAAGATTACGTTTGTGCCGGCAATGTAGATGATGGCAATCTTGGTAGATGCGCCCTCAAGCAAGGCAATGGCGACTGGACTGATGAGCTTGCAGAACAAGTCGATTCGACGCATTTGCGAGTTTATTGTTTCGAGCTTGGTTGAGTCGTCATTCGCAATGACAATGACCCAATCTCTTTCGACTGAGATAGTACATGCCATACTTGCAAGCTTTTCAACGCCAGCGAGCAGAATGACACCACACAAGAGCCATGATGGTGACCACTTGCTAAAACTAGCTTGATGCAAAAGAGGCCAAAAGAATAGACACGATGCAGTCACTGAAGCCCTTTGCCAGAGAATTGATTGGCGTATGACCATTAACCGATCACCCCGATCAATGTACTTGGCTACGATTGGAGCACAGACAATGGCCGATAAAGCTCGAAATATTGCGTACAGCGACAATTCGAGGAGACTGCCTGGATAGCTTCTTGCTAGGAACAAAACGGCACCGAATTCGAAGCCACGTGAAAGCCATGTAGATAGAAAGTGTGATGCATACAGGTACAGCATAGCATGTCTAGACGTGTGATGTGATTCAGGCCCCAAATTGTCACTAGCTGCCGGGAGTAAGCGTAGAAGCTCACTGTCACCAGGAGCCTCGTGAGAGCTTGTGAGAGTCATAAGTATACTAAAGCCAGGGCATTTTCAAGCTAACTTTCTGCTGAAGTCGAGATGGTCGTCAGGAGAGTCGAGTGACTCTTGAGTACAGAAGGACTTGCATGATATCGAAGTAGCCTTGGTGCTCAATTCCGCATTTCTTGGCAGCCAGGTCGTTGAATCGAGCGTGTGATTTATCAGGCTTGTTCAGAAGGCGAATCTAAACCGAGACGTCTCATCTGAATATGCTCACCACTATATATCCCGGATCTGCTGGATGAGGCAGACTTGTGGCCTAGCTCGAGCATACAGAGACCCAAAGGCAAGCTAGACAGCAACACAATCAACGATGAATCAAGTGTGCCGAGCTCAGAGCACAGGGCAATAGGGATTTGTGATGCAGCTCAACAATCAGAACAAGAAGTAAGGCTCGTGAGATTCGCGGTTCACAAAGGGATACATTCAGAAGACTAGCCTGACATTTTCTGGTTCATCGCACTAGACTTGCCAGCTTCCTCAAGCACTCGTCTTCAGAACAGCTGCAACGTTGACCAGGTTATTGTTTGTGAATGTTGTAGTCTGGATTCTCGTACCAACAGGGGCCTCTGCTCCATTCAAATAGAAAGAGCTAAGGTAACGCTCGTCGTGAGGATCTCCATCTGACCGCTGTAGGCACGCTCCGCCGTACGCGAACGCGCCGAGAAGGTCTCCTTCGAGCACAGCGATCGGTTGATCGAGGACGAATGAAGCAACTTGGCCAGAACCTGTCAAGACCAGCGGCTGGCTCGATCCGACAAGATCAAATTGGTTTGTGCCTGCTGGACGCCACACTTGAAAAGTTTGGCTAGCCTGATGTCCGTCGAATGTTGTTGCATATCCGTCATAAGTTGTTGCAGAAATAATGGTGCCTGCTTGTGGCACCGTGTACGAATTTCCCATCGACTTGCGCTTGATCTGCACGAGATACACCGAGCCACCGCATAATTGGATAGTATCTGCCGAGGCAATCTGGCCAAGTGCAATCAGATCCAGACTCGAGCTTGGAGCTGCAGCAACGCTGGTAGTCGTTGTGACTGGAATAACACCGACACAGCTGCAAGCACTCGAGAAGCGTTGTGCACGCTTCTCCACACCCTGACCGTCACAGACAGTTGCTGCGGCAGGAGGAGGTGCTGTTGCAGTCATTGTTGTTGTGACTGACCCAGAAATGGAGACTGTCACAGTCGACAAGCCAGTCGAGCAAGCGGCCATGTTGGCGGCAGATGCTTTAGCATTTGCGCCAAAGAGGCCTCGAAGACAGTTGTCGGCATTACATTTGAGTGGCGGAGGTTGCGTGACCACGACGGCAGAGGCAAACCGCAGGAAAACGATTAGGTTGACAAAGCTGAGCACTTGCATCTTCTGTGAGCTTGATATCCCATTCTGAGAGCCGTAATCCTCCTTTTATATTCCTGAGCAGGGTCCTTCTCACTTGATATTGATCTTGGTTCTGGGGTAATTCCGAAGCTCTGGCCATATCAGGCCGATACAGCACCGAACGGCTGATTGACAGTGATTGTGCGGCGTGTCCGTCGCATGGATGTGATAGACGCAGGTCCCGTGTATAGATGGCTTTTTGGCCTCAGCGTATACGATGTAGCCTGAAGCCGCAACTGGCCCGCAAGGCCCGCAAGGCCCGCAATGCTGCTGCGTGTTCGGGGTCATTGATCACTGATTCACTGGACACTGGTGGCATTTAAGGCCTAGGCTGCGCTCCAAGAACCGGGACTATAAGCGTAATTGCCAAAGTTGGTAGAAACGTATTTCACAGCCGCGGGTATTTGTACTCCAGAGCCGTGCAGTTTTCAGATGAACGAGCTCAACATTGCAGTGTGGCAATAGAGACTTGCACAGGAGGTGTAGCATGAGTCACAGAGGCCAGAAGACGACCCTCAATGGTTTCGAGGTGCACTGGTTGATCCCGAGGGTGCTTGTTGCGCGAGACAAAAGCAGATTCATGCGAGTTTGCAACAACCCCAACGTATGTGATGCATATAGCAGCCAAAGTATAGTTCGGAGAGACTGTACCCTCGAGCTCAAAACCAGGATAGTCTACTTGTTCAACAGACACAGGTGCTTGCCCATGGAGATCAAGACGTAAGGACTGCAGTGAGATGAATTAACATGGACAAAACTATCAACAAATGACTACCAATCTGAGACTTTGACCTTCTTGTTCTTGATGGCTTCAATCTTGACGGGCCCTTCACGATCATAACCCTTACCATCAAGCCAAGGGAAATGTTCTGTACGCATCCGCTCAAATGCCGTAATCTTGTCATTCTTTTGCATGGTAAGGCCGATATCATCCAAGCCATTGACAAGACAGTGCTTCCTGAATTCCTCCACGTCAAACGTCGCTAGCACTTCGCCACTCGCTGAACGAATCTCCTGCTTAGGCAAGTCAACAGCCAACGCTTCTCCCTTTCCAGCAACGGGACTGAGTTTTGTGCGAATGGTGTCTTGGTCAAGGATGATGGGCAACATACCATTCTTGAAGCAATTGTTGAAGAAGATGTCAGCGAAGGAGTTGGCAATGATGACTTTGATGCCGAAATCAAGGAGTGCCCAGGGTGCATGCTCACGAGAAGAGCCACAGCCAAAGTTGACGCCATCAACGACAAGAATCTTGCTGTCGGTGTAGGGCTTCTGGTTGAGGATGAAGTCCATGTTGGGTTGATCATCATTGTAACGCATAGACCAGAACAGGGCAGTGCCGAGTCCCGTACGCTTGATAGTCTTGAGGAATTGTTTTGGGATGAGCATGTCGGTGTCGATATTGTCAATCTTCATGGGCGCTGCAATCCCTTCCACCACTTCAAATTTAGGCATGCCTACCGCTTCAGGCGTGACTTTGGGCAATGCTCCATCAGCCAATGACTTTTGTGCTTCCAACTCTGCTTCAGCATCAGATTGTGGTAAATCATTGATGGCATCCTCAGGCACCAGATCTTCTCCAGCTTGCGTTTCATTTGTACCGATGCTCTTTGGTTTGGGGACATCCTTCAAGTCTTGCAACTCGCGCACATCCACCAAGTGTCCTGCAATAGCAGCGGCTGCAGCCATGGCAGGGGAACACAAATGTGTCAATGACAACGCACCTTGTCTTCCTTCAAAGTTGCGATTACTGGTCGATGCACAACGTTCGCCCGGTGCAAGAATATCGGGATTCATGCCCAAACACATGGAACAACCAGCTTCACGCCACTCAAACCCAGCAGCCTCAAAGATTGCATCGAGACCTTCTGCTGCTGCTTGTTGACGCACGAGACCCGAGCCAGGCACGACCATGGCGCGTTTAATGTTGCTTGCGATTTTCTTACCCTGCACAATGCGTGCTGCTGAGCGTAAATCTTCAATACGCGCATTGGTGCACGAACCAATAAAGACTTTATCAACGTACACTTCCGTCATTGGGGTGCCTGGTTTGAGCTGGATGTAGTTGAGTGCACGTTCAATGGCAGCTTTCTTGGCAGGATCTGTTGCTTGTGCTGGATCAGGAACACGTCCCGTGATGGGCACGACGTCTTGTGGCGAGGTACCCCAAGTGACGGTCGGCACAATTTCACTGCCCTTGATGTCAACACTGATATTGTACTTGGCATCTGCATCAGAGACAAGTGTCTTCCAGTATGCCACTGCACGATCCCATTCTTCACCTTGAGGCGCCATAGGACGACCCTTGAGATAATCAAATGTCGTCTGATCGGGATTGATGAGACCCGCGCGCGCACCGCCTTCGATCGACATATTGCAAATCGACATACGCGCCTCCATACTCAACTTTTCAATAGCCGTGCCGCAGAATTCAATGACACAACCCGTTCCACCCGCTGTACCGATCACGCCGATAACGTGCAAGATGAGGTCTTTGGAGGTGACACCGTCTGCGAGTTGGCCATCGACGCGAACACGCATGTTTTTACTCTTTTGCGTAATGAGTGTTTGTGTGGCAAGGACGTGTTCCACCTCAGACGTACCAATACCCCATGCCAATGCACCAAATGCACCATGAGTCGAGGTATGCGAGTCACCACACACAATGGTTGTACCAGGCAAGGTGAACCCTTGTTCAGGTCCAATCACATGCACGATACCCTGTCGCTTATCAGCGAGACCGAAATACGTCAACTTGAAGAACTTGACATTCTCCTCCAACGTCTCACACTGCAATCGTGAATCCGCCTCTTCAATGAAACTCGAGATATTTTTGAAATGCTTGCGTGGGGTGGTGGGGACGTTGTGGTCGGTTGTTGCAAGTGTACAATCTGGTCGTCGCACACCACGGCCTGTGGCGCGCAAGTTGGCGAATGCCTGTGGTGTGGTGACTTCATGACAGATTTGTCGGTCGATGTAGAGGAGTGCTGTGCCGTCTGGTTGGAGGTCGATGGTGTGGTCGGCAAAGATCTTGTCTGTTGGTGATTAGTCTTGGCTCTGAGTGTATGTATGATTTACCGTAGAGCGTTCGTGGGCCCTGTGATGCGACCATGATGGTTTGTCTGTTGCTAGATGGTCAGCAGGCTTCTTTATACTCAAGAGACAACCTGCTGGATACTGCTCAAGCTGCTCAAGATGCTCAAGTCGCGGAAGAGACGGCGGCTCTGGCGGAAGAAGGAAAAGGCGGGAGAAAAGGAGCAGTCACAACACAGATGAACAATTGAATTAGTACAAGACACTACAAGTGAATAGAAAGGAAAAGGGACAGATGATCCAAAAAGACAGAGGGACAGAGAACAAGTGTGTGGTCAATAAGACGATGCTTTCGCAAGGCAAGGCAGCTCAGTGGGCTCAGGCTCACCCTTCAACTTTGCCAACTCTTGCTCTCGCATCAACAAGATTTGTCGTAGTTGTGCATTCTCAATCTCAAGCGCATTACACCGAGCTTGCGCAGCTGCCAGCATTTCTCGCTTCTTGAGACGGGAGCGTGCTGCTGCTTCTGTGTTTTTCGAGCGCAAGTGTTCACGCTCTTCGGGTGTCTCCTCATGGTTTGCTGAACGAGCACCACGACGCGCTGGTTTGCGTGTGCGTTGACGAGGAACAGAGGCAGAGGGAGCAGGTGGTGCCACACCCGTGGAAGGACCCGGTGCAGCGTCCAAGCGAGGAGAGGTAGACGTCAGCAGGTGCAATTGCTGGGTAGGTGCAGCGTGGTACTCCATAGGCTGAGGCTCTTGCTCTTGCTGGTACGGAGCAGCGTGCTCTGCTTGAGCTGGTTGCTGTTGCTGTTCTTGCTGCATGGTAGGCACATACTGAACATGTCCAGCACCACCCGTCACTTCCTCAATAGAACGCGACATGTAGACTTGATGTTGATGCTGGTACTGCGCTTGTGTGAGAGGGTGAGCAGGCGCTGCTTGTGTCTGAAGCGCTGCTGGGTCGACGAAGTGAAAGGGTTGTTGTAACGCGTGAATAGCAAGCTGTGCGTGACTCTGCTCTGTAAACACCTGCTGCTGTTGCTGATGCTGTGATGGATCCCGGAAAAGTAGTCGCTCGACGGGAGTAGTCTGGGGTGTGTAGTCTGTCGATGACTGTCGCTGCAATGCAAGTACTTGTTCCTCAACACCCGTAGCAGCAACACCAGATGTATAAGAGACTGCAGGCTCGTGGTAAGACTGCTGCATACCCATGACAGGTGTCACATCAGCGTGAGTCACGGCTGGTTCATGAGTCAACATGAGCATCTCTTCATCCTCATGAGGCTGGCTGTCTTGCACTTGCTCTTGATAACTTGGAAGCGTCAAGGCAGAAGGTTCCACAAAGCCACCGGCGTCAAGATGAGGCTGGTCGAAGGCATCAGCGAGTTCAGCGTTTTCCACCACATGCTGCTGCTGCTGCTGCTGGAGCTGCTGCTGATGCAACTGCTGTTGTCGTTGCTGCTCACTGTTGCCAACACCACTCGTAGCTTGCTCTCCAGGAGCACGGTAAGCAGCATCAAACTTGGGCGATAGACGATAAACGCCGCCAGTGTTGTTTGCAGCAGTATCCATAGACACATCAGCATCATCATACAATGGATAATCCAAGCCAAAGGAGAGATGTGAGGCTTGTTGCTGCTCTTGGCCTGTGGTGGAGGACTGTTGCTGCAACGGTGGTGCCGGTGCATGTACCACTTGCTGCTGCTGCTGCTGCGGCTGCTGCTGAGGACGTTGCTGCAGCTGCTGAGGACGTTGGAATGTAGTCTGCAATGGCGTAGTGAGCGTCGATGCCGGTGCAGACTGTGTACCAGCTGGCACTGGCTCAAAGGGACACCAAGTGAGTAATGACTGATACTCAGCAGCCACCCTCAAATCTGGAGATGTCAAAAACTCCACATCCGGTGTAGATTGCAGTGTGAATGTGGGTGAAATCTCAAGCCGCTGCGGCAAGTGTCGTGGTGCGAGCATGTGGCCGGCAGGAACAGGGCGACTGCTGCTGGTGCCAACAGTGATAGCTGGAACGGCTGACGCGCGAATAGGGTCTTGGACCAGGGCGTGCATGCTCTGGCGCGGCTGCAGGTGCCGTGGTGTGGCCTTGTCTTGGTCTTGGGCGTGTTGAGTGGCCGGAATAGAAGTGAACGGGGTGGACGGGTGGGCAGAGGCGCCGACACCACTCACTGCTGCGGATGTCTCTGGTGTTTGAAGAGGCAGCGCAACAGAAGGGCCAGCAGGTGCCTCTGCGCTAGGTGTTGGGTTGAGGGGTGTAGACATGGACGACATGGAGGTCGACGAAGATGGATGAGGAGGCACGAAGGATGGACATGCTGATGGATCTTATATAGCCGTTAGCTCTCGATGCGCTCTTCGAAGGGGGACTGCTGCTGCGGGAAGGTCCCGACGTAGATGGGCCTCCCTGGCAGACGAATGAAGGGTCCGGGGAAGCGGTAGGCCTGGCATGTCTTGGATGTTGTGCTACTTCTGCTGTCTGGACGGTGTAAAGCATCGACGTCAAGCGAGAAGGAAGCAGAGATGAGACATCTACCAGGCCATGCGAGCCCGTCCACCCGCGTCATCGTCCAGGAATAGCCAGCAGCAGACGGCGGCAAAGAAGGAGAACATACTTTCTGGGGTATTTAGAACATGTTGACTTATTGTGACGAAAAGTGTGTATTTGGGTGTAGGGATCAGGTTGACGGGCTGATCGGGTCACGGCCTAGGCTTTCACTAGACAAGCAGGGAGAGGGAGGCTGGGTGAGTTGCAGTAGCTGTAGCTGCTCCTGTATACACGACGATACAGTTGTATGCGCTGGATGTATTCTGCTGCTTCTCAAGGTTCCCTCCCTCGACATTTGTAAGAAATCTGGGACTTGGGGATGGGCACGTGTAGATCGGGATTGCCGGAGTATATAGAAGGCAGTAGCAGTAGTAGTCGCATAGAATGGACTCTATATCTATGTACAGGTCTACAAAATGTCCAGCAAGAGGATGCATGAGTCTGTGTGTCTGTGTTGGGGACTATCTTCCCAGCTGAACTGTGACTGCCATTGACGCATCTCATCAGGGGAAGACTCACCGTGACAAGTTGACAACTCGGCCAGCTCAAGCTCAAGCTCACCTGTATCCATCTGCATGCATCCGCTGGACCGCATCGCTAGCCGCATACCCAAGCATCGAGACCCACCACCGATATGAAGTCCAGCACATCTGTATCTCCCTCAACGTCCGGCGTGTCCGTCTTGACGGGTGAGACAGAACAACCTTGTCTGGTTCATGTGCCGCGTGGCCAAGGACAAGGCTGGCAAGGAGAAATGAATGGCGTAGGTTCTTCCTGTGTCTCTTCGATAAGATAGTTGGTGCCATAGTGGAGATATAGGTCATTGTGAGTACAGAGGTGTAGCTTCAATCCAGATCCGGGAGACTGAGCAGTCGCCTTTTCTTAGACACACTCGCGTAGATCAGACATAGGTAGCCTGCCACCAGAATCTATTTGCGGCTATGACTGTTTTAGAAATGCGCCTTGAAACAGTCAATCTAGGCGAAGGCCATGTCTCCCAGAGGCGGCTGTTTCATCCTCGACCTCAATCTGAATCTTGATGAACGTCAACGCCAATTGCAACCGTGCAACGACTCCTAGTGTTTGTGAGCAAGCTGTCTATAGATCGGCTATGGAAGATGAAGAACGTAGATTGCTAGACTTCATTGAAGCTCAATTCTTCCAACATGTGCCAAGTCGCTCCTTTTCACTCGCTCCATCCACGATGGGTGAAGAAGTGCTCAATGCTCTATGGCAGCAACCAAGCATACAGTCTTCATTGCTACGCCAAGTCATAAAATGTGAAGAACGGCCTATGCCAACAAAATACACAGCCAGCATCCTCAAGCTCCTCCTAAAACACCTTGAGCGACTCAATGCAGAGCTAGACGATGAGCTCGTCCAGTACTACACAGACTTGCTCCATGACCCACAAGCAAAGGCATACCCACTGGGACAATCATCTAGCATACCAGACACAGAAGGCCACGTGGATATTCACTATCTCGTCGCAAAAGATAGCTATCTTACAATTAGCGAACAACCCAACGTCCTTGCACAAGCAGGCACAACGGGTCATCGCACCTGGTCTGCAGCGCTTGCACTCGGTGAGTATCTCCTCAAAAACCCACACTTCATCCAAGGCAAGCGCGTCCTTGAACTTGGAGGTGGTACAGGATTTCTCTCGCTACTGTGTGAACGCTTGCACAGCATGTCTGTGTGCTGCACGGATGGCAGTCCACGCATGCTAGACCTCATCCGCACCAACATCCACAAGAACAACGCAACCATCCAAACGCAGCAATTGTTGTTTGGTGGTGATTCACCCATCCAGCAAGAACCGTTTGATGTTGTTCTTGGTGCTGATATCACCTATGAGACGGGTATCGTTGCAGAGTTGTCGTGTACGCTTGATGCATTGCTGCATAGTCAGCCAGAGGCCTTGATTCTCATTGCAGCCACAGTACGCCAAGAACGAACGTGAGTCTTTCAAATTCTGTATCATGCTAATAAGCAAGCCTCCATGCATTTGAAGAAGCGTGTACCCATCGCAACATCCAATGGAGCAGCACACCCTTAGCACCGCCTCAAGAACACTTCTTTTATGCGCCTTGCGAGATGCGCTTGTATACGCTCACGAGACATCATACTTGAAACGTACGCTTCGTTTGTTCAACGACACCAGGGACTTGATTCGCTTGTCTTTTTGCATCGACGATTTCCGGCTCAGCGTCTAGTTTCGCGCGCATCATCCAACGTGCTCCTTGCTCCATCAAGGAACGCATCTTACTACTCCCCCGCAAGAAAGGAACAACTTGTAAGTGTAGCGCCAAGGATCCTTCTTGACGCACCAATGCAGCCATTTGAACGAGCTGTTCCCATGCTTCATCACTGTCATCGCGACGCGTTTGCGGTACCAAGACCGGACCTACTTGCGCAATGGCTGACAGAACCGTCACGAGCAATGATTGAAGGATCGTGACATGCTCGAATTGAACACGATGCGATGCGATTTTCGCAAAGATTGGAAAGCGTGATTGTGCACAGACGAGCGATGCATGAATGCAACCCAGCCCAACAAGACACAAACCACGCCAATAGGTGCCATATGCGTTTTGCTGAATAGCACCAATCCCAACAACAAAAATGAGTGATCCGACGTAAAACGGAAGACTTGCATACACACCACTCTGCATCATGCCAAGCATTGTCTTCTCCTCCCATCCAGCAGCAGCAGCACCGAATCGATCATACCCAAACTTGACAACAGGATTTGAGAGTGCATCATAGGCTTGTCGAAGCACACGGAATTCCGCTTCATCACCGCCTTTATCTGGATGATGTATTTGTGAGAGTTTCCTGAATTGTCTCCTCAATACCTTTTCATCCACATCACCAGGCTGCACGCCTAGCAAGGTGTAGTAATTCGGACTGAGGGAAGATGTTGCTTGATAGACGGTATAGGCGAGATAGGAAACGACAACGGCGATATAGATGAGCCGTCTATCGCGCGCATACCCCACTGTGCCGGGCAAACTTGGACTGAGGGGTGATTTGAAGAGGAGGTTGTGGATGGTTGAGGTTGCTAGGTTTGGTAGGACTGCCCAGCCGATGAAGTTGAGGATGGCTTGGGACATGGCGGCTATGGATACTTGGTAGATACGGGACAAGCTTGATGAGTCGCTGTCTTGTTGATGCAGCGTGCGACAGACTTCACTTTTTTGACCACAAGCCAAGAAGTAGAGTACAAGGAGTAGAAGTACTGAACAGGAAGAGAGGTCATGTCGCAGCAAGGGAAGAGAGAACTAGATTCGCCCGTCCAAGAGACGCCCGCAAAGAAGCGAAAGCACAACACAGATACAGCCACGGAAGAAGTACAGAATGAGGCAGACGCACCACCACCAACCAAGAACCTACTGCGCTATGCAGCAGGCCGTACAATACCCGCAGGCAAGGCCTTCCAACGGCGAGACCTTGAGTTGACACTACTCCTTGCTCCCATTGACGCGTCAGATCCTCTAGCGGGTGTTGAGCGACAACTTGATGATGTCTTGTTGACCTACCTACAACAAGCACAAGGGATCCTCATGGGCTGGCAATCACCACGATTCACTGAACCTGCAGCGCGGATGCTCGATGATTCACCATTCAGTCTTGTGCCTGTTCGATTTGATAGTCTGCTTTGGCGGCCTCGACAGGGCGATGACCTTGAAGGCACCGTGAAACTCATGGGACCCTCACATATTGGCCTCCTCATCCTCGGTACCTTCAATGCGAGTATTCCACGACACTTGATACCACCAGATTGGGTATTTGAAGAAGATTTAGAAGAGAATGAAGGGTTTTGGCGGGATGGACAAGGGACACCTCTGACGATTGGCCAGGAAGTGCGGTTCTCGACGCATGCGATCAAGAAGGGCAGTCATATGTTGAGAGTGGAAGGATCACTCCTCAGTCAAGTCTTTGAGCCAAAATACATGGATACAGGCAAGTTTGGTCAAGGCGACAACCAGACACCTGGCATGATCAAGGAAAGCAGCACACAAGACAAAGCAGCGAGAAAGGCAGCCAAACAAGCCAAAAAGCAACGCAAGGAGGAAAAGGCGAAACGGAAAGCCTCACAAATCGCTTGATTTCTCATAATCTTTGTCCATTACTAATATACACTACGACCGGCTTCTAGCCATGCCGTGCTCCTTCAAAATCAAAGCCTTCGCGTGATGCATCATGCGATGAGGTGAAATCAAAGCGCAAGTACTGCGAAAGCCGATCAGCGCCCGGTGTCCATTGTTTTGGGTCCGAGACAGGTTCATGCGGTGTAGCGGGTCTTGCATAGGCGGCTTGCAATTGTAGTAAATGTTGTTGTTGCTGCATCGTCATGGCAATATCACCTTTGTACAAGGCATGTTGATTGGTCATGTATGTGCCATCACCGTGCATTGCGTCGTGCTTGAGGGGATACCTACCACCAGAGAGGGTTGACAAGGTCCCAAGCGAATCACTGCTCACCAGCTCAGGTGTCGAGACGGAGTATAGACTCGGTTGGAGGCCATACATAGACGTATTGTATCGACCATCGTCCATCTGCGCTGCGCCATATGCCATATCCGAAGCAGAAGGTGAATAACCCATCTGCACAGGCCAATCTTGCAGGGTGGGCGAACCGCCCACAAAGCTCTGTGCATGACTTGCTTCATAAAAGCTTGATTGCTGCTGCTGCTGTATCGAAGTTGGTCGATTAAGGGACGGCGCATGCATCATTGTAGGACTTTGAGATTGTACGCGAAACTGCTGTTGTCCACGACCACTGAGCTGATTTGCTTGTGCTTGAATCAGCGATTGTGAGTAACGCATAAGATTACTCGACACTGCTAAATCACCAGACGTCGAACGACTTGCAGAGGAAGGCCGCGCATAGGGATGCGAAACGACGCGTTGAATACTTTGAGCGGATCGCTTTTGGCCGTGTGTTGGTGACATGGGGTACGGCACTGATCGTGAAGTCGCATGCGACGAGCCATTTGACATGGGATGATGTTCACCCGGCTGTGAGACATTCGGTAGACTATGCGCACGACCAGAAGTGGCTGCAGCCAGTGAAATCTCACTGCCACTGGATCCGTTGCGTTGCGCTGCAGAGGTCGTTGGTAGACTTGCTGGGTACGAGCTGAGTAGCTTTTGTGGTTTATCGGCAAAGACGCACTCGCTCTGTGCACGAAGACAGCCTTCGCACTTCTCACCCGTCGGCGCACCGCTGCATTTTATTTTACGTCGTCGGCATCGATTGCACTGTTGTTAGTGGATACTGCAGAAGGACGGAAGATCTTACCGCTGTTGATATTCTCGTGCGCGGAGGATCAAGGTCATGCGCATGTTGCATCATGAGAGCCAGCGGAGGCCTGGCATAGTAGTTGTGTGTGTTCATCGTCGCACAAAGACAGGCAAAAACTTCTCGGGCAGAATCGCTCGCACTCGAAATGCCAAGGTGATGTCGTCGGCGCGTCGATAGAGAAGTCCTACTGTACGGCCCTAGTGGTCGCGGTAACGCGGTGTACGGTAGTCAAAGAAGAGCGTTGTGCCTGGTGATCGACGCCTTGATAACGGGTGTGCACGTTGTGTGTTGCCCAGCCTTCTGTGGGATTTCTGACAGCTGCAGGCTCCAAAGGAGGACCCTGGAAATAACAGAGACGGCGGGCCGCGATATCTTTTGAAACAGCGCTTGTGGATGCAGCAGAGAGCTAGCTGGAGGATGCCACGGAGAGCGTGTAGAGCAAGAGCAAGATGATGGTTGGGGAGGAAGAAGCAGAGCAGAGCAGATTTGTGTTTTCGAAGCGATGCCCAGCTGACTTCTCACACTCGATCGCAGATTCGACGCAGAAGCAGCTTTGAACTGGCAGGCCGTCCCCGCCTGAAGTCTACCAGATCCAAGAACAATTTGAGCAAGAGGAGGCCGGTGCTGCCGGGAAGGGGGGCGCTCTGTGTGGTTGGCTGAGGCTGTTTCAAGCGTCGGCATCCGGGAAGTTTTTGTTCAGATTGCAGAATTGGCAGCAACCGAAATCTCCGACCGCTCCCCCCGATCGACCTGTCACCTCGCAATCAGCTCAGGTGCTTTGACAATCCACATACGCATTGGACATGACCAGCCTTGCTTGGTCTTGACTCTTGAAAAGGCACATAGTTCTTGACGGCCAATAAGGTCGCTACGTTACAGCTACTCTGTAAGAGTCATCGGCCGGGCGCAGTACTGCCGAGAGGGCAGTCAGTGTTGTCACTATTATGTACTAGGCTACTAGCCTCTTAGCTACGCATCGGCCAGTCTGTACATGTGACGTGAAGATCTGCCGCGCAAAGTGGCCCCGACTCCCGAGTCCCCGACCCATGGAACTTCACCCGACGATTGCGCAATATTAATATCTAGGACTGATCATGGGCTTAAGCCTAAAACCCTTGACAACGAGCTTTGAAAGTGTCGGCCTTCTTTCAGCAGGGTCCTAGTTGGAGCGCTGAACGTGCATGGTCTGGCGCTGGGAACTTATCTGTTCTTTGTCTTGGCGTGCGCATTGGTAGCAAGATAACTTCGACTCATCCAAACAGACTCTGCTCCGGCTTCGCTCAAGTACATGATCTCCTACATAGCACTTTCAGCATCTCATGAGTGCTGTTCCGCATTGCCATAGCCAGCGGATTGAGCGACACAGTCCATGGGCAGGAATCAAGTACTCTAAGGATTTTGATTGCTCAGATCGGGATCCTGTACATAGACAGCAGAGCTGATGGTCTGCAGCTGCAGCCTGCAGCCTGTAGCTTTGAGTGTGAGCCCGTGAATCTGTGATGCATGCGTGGTCCAGCAGCGTGGAGCCTTGGACAGCTCGATCGCGCCAACGTGACAGGTCGCAAATTAAATTTTGTCGCAAACTTCAAAGTTCGAACTGGGCAACTTGGCATGGTCGCGCTTTGACGTCACGCATCCGGACATGTCGTAGCATGTCTACTACAGTGCCTAGGTAGACTCGTGGCAACTATCTTGGTCAATCGAGCGCTACCTCATGCTCACTCAAGCCTTAGCTATGCGATTCAACAGCTGCAAAAGTCTTGTGTCTTGACTTTCCCACGCACAGAAGGCGCTAGAATGCTTTGTTCTTCCTTGGACGACAGATTCTCAGAGTGCTTCTCGCTACGTCACTCCCTGCTGCTCATGGATCGCCCGGCTCTTGAAAGTAGGTATTGCTAAACAGTACTAACGAATCATGGCTCATCGCAATGCCATCCTTAGAAGCGCTATCGGCTCGCTGCATTTTTACCAGCCGCAGTGATGCACACCAGAACGTTTCTACTCGACACTACATGCAAAATGGTATCTCTGACTCTTGATCTTTTGCGCTGATGGCTAAAGACTAACAAACCTGGGATCTCAATTCGCAATCCGAGCATTTGTGGCTCTTTCCCTGCACATCGCCAACGTGAATGCTGCAGAAGTTGACCTGATAATAGTCTGAGTTCATCGGAAGCCACGATGTGTACCAGATGTGGACCTCTCGCTCAATATTATCTGTATCCTTCACAAGGACTAACGCCTAAGACAAATTAGCTTCCGGGCCTTGCATGGGGTTGAGCTTACGCGTTGGATGTGTTTGTTCAAATGGCATGAAGAGGCAGCCTGCACCTTTGTTGTGCAATAAAGTTGGACATTTGGGCTATTTTCCATTGCGTCGACAATAGCTTTGGCGCTCAAAGCAAATTGTTTCTCTGCTTCAGGCGCACAGACAAAATTGCGCTGCTTGACATCTGGAAGGCCGGCGAATTTGAAGTATTTCTGTGCCTGAGCTTCTTCACATGACAGGGCAGCTGCAGCTGAGCAAAATATCAGAATGGCGAGCTTCATGGCTAATGAAGTCAAGCGCAATGTCAGTCACCTGCAGCTGGCGAGACATCCTTTTATCTTTTTCATGAAGGTTCAGGAGTCGTCCTGTTGGCAGATTGCGCATCTCATGTTTGTGACCTCAAATTTTGAGTAAATTGCACCAGATAACAGCACATGCATACTGCATACTCTCCTGACACGAATCGCAAGGGAGATTGACCGGATCGTCTGTCAAGAACTGGGTAAGGCGGCGACACCAATGTTGCTTCTTGCTTAGCTTCGGCGAACCCTGGGCTATAGCTACTTGTTGTCTCGAAACGTATCTGGCCCTTGCAATCATTGAACAATCAAATTTGGCCAACCAGTAATCAATCGCCGGACCTCAGGCAATTATATGTTTGCGAAACTTCATTTACCCCTGACAGGTCTGCAAATTTCCGAGCTCATGGCGGCCCCACTGGTAGGAAAGCATTTCGTCTACCCCTGTTCGAAAGTCAGAACATTAACATGATCGCAAGATGAGATGAGTTCTCCGATCGTGATTCTTGCCCAATGCATACCATATCGTCTTGTCAGAGTGCTGCGTAAATGACCACAGATTCGGTAGAATAGCCTTTTCTTTGTCGTTTCTGCGAGTCTTCGACGATATGCTTGTCATCCGTGAGTCTCTAAGCCCAAATATGCGTATGTTTCTTTACGATCGATCACCAATATGAGTAGGTTTGTTTACGATCAATCACCAATGTGGCGCAAATCGCATTTCGGATCAACATTTGTCATTTTGGGCTCAGCCCCTGGTGAGTCTTGTTGTCCGAGACTATACTGAAGTCTCTTGGCGTGATGCTCTTGAACCTTGGACAACAAGCAAGACGGAAAGATCTGCTTGTGCCGGAGACATGACTTGAATAGAGATGTATGTGTACATGACTAATTGTAAACTAGTGATCAAACAGCAGGAGGCTGTCTTCTTATGTCTACCAGGCTCGAGCAAGGGAGCGATTAGCAAAGAGTGGGCAGAGCCCGAGAGAGCCCACTCTGCGAGAGAGCAGACAAAGTAGAAGGGATGGAGAGCTTGGGCGCCGATGTGGACCGCTCAGAGCTGCGAGACGAGGCCAACCCTTGAGTATTGGACAACGTAGTGAGGAGCGACATGGAGTGAGAGGGAAGCAGTGAGTGCCTTGATCAGGGCAGCTTTGTCTGTGGGCTTCTTGAAAAGCGACGACAATGTCGCCCACATAGACGCAGACGATAGATGTGTTCGTCGCGTGGTGGTATAGAGGCAGAGCAAGTGTAGTCATTGGCAAGCATTGTCGCATTCATGCGGTCTTTCCAAGACTTGGCCGATTGCTTGAGGCAGAATAGTGAGCGTTTCAACTTCACCAGGCGATTGGGCTGATTGCCCGGTGGAGACGTCATCAAGATATCCTCGGTAAGGTGACCATTCAGGTATGCTGTGACAACATCCATCTGGTGCACATCAATCTGCCATCAAGCTCGCAATCAACCCTGTTTTCCACTTCTGCTCAAAGCACATCGATACACAATATCACTCTGTGCGCGAACACATTGTGCTGAAGAATGTCAAGACCTTGGACAAGAGATGGAGACGATTATGATATTTGCCAGATTCGCACGTAGCAAGTCTGGCTTGATGTCGGAGTAGATGCCGGTGAGGTTGATGCCGTGAGATTTTGCTAAGCGAGCGATTGATTGATGTGCGCCTTGCACGAGGCCGAGAACAGCACGGTGAGGCAGACCAGTTTCAGCAGGATTGCGCTGTCGAGGGTCACGGTTGGGAAGCGGCCTCGGTCCACACAAGCTGCGCTGATGAAGCAACTTGTAGCACCGGGATCCAGAAGGGCAAACGTGTCGAGGGACCTATCACCACGGGAGATGGTAACAGGCAAGACACTTTGCGGATGAGACGAGAGAGGAGGCAGAGAGATTGAAAATAAACAGAGATTTGCGCTATCGTCTACAACAGACAAAAGCGAAGGCGCGTGAGGGTCCTGAATGGCCCGGTCCCAGGAGTGCCCTACTGGTTCCTGCCGGGTCCATTTGGGGACTGCCGAGGCTTCTTTGGATATTTGTCTTGGTAGTGACCTGCTCCACCACAGTAAACGCAAAGGTCGTCCCGGATGCGTTGCTCCTTGCGCGCTCGTCTCTGAGCGGGAGTCAGAGGTCGGAAAGTGGCGGAGTCGATCTCCATCGGCTGAGGCGCCTGCGACGTCGAGGCAACAGGGCGAAGGCGCTGCTGCAGAGGTTGGTAAGGGTGGTCGCGTTTTGCGACTCTGGCGAGGTCCACAGTTGAATTGTGCAAGCGCCTTGCGAGATTTTCGCGCTTCCGGATGCGCGACTCCACCTTGACAACCTGCTGCGCTAAGGCCGCGTAGTTGTTGTCGACTACCTCGTTGAGCTCGAAGAGGGCCTCAGTGAATTTTTCGTTGAGTGTGCTGAGAAGCATGTCGCACTTGGTTTCCTCAGTGATATTCAAGACCAGAGTGAGACGCTCGAACTCGGCCAGGTGGACGCTGACGGAGGTCTCCTTTCCTTGCTTGAGGGTGGCGAGCTGCTTCTTTGAATCTGACACGGCGTCGCGGACTGCAAAGGACTGGATGAGGGCTTCGAGAACTGCATTGGTGTCTGACAGTCCAGGAAACGAGATGAGACCAGTGATGGGGCCCGTCACAGCATCCGCGTCGGGCCATTTAGCCGCATCGCCTCGGAGAAATTGGAGAATCCAGGCAATGGCTATGCCCTCATTTGGAAAGAAGTAGGGGTAGGCCTGCATCTTGAGGCGACAAGAGCGAGGCGCTCGAAGTCGGCCAGGTGGACGCTGAAGGAGGTGGTCTTCTCTTGTTTGATTGTGGCGAGCTTCTCCTTGGCAATTGACACGGATCCGCGGACTGCAAAGGACCTGATGAGGGCTTCGTGCGCCTCACCCAAGTCTTGAAAATCACGGAAGAGACCAAGTGCGACATGCTGCTAAGTACTCTGAACGAGAAGATCACCGATGCCCTCTTCAAGCTCGACGAAGTAGTCGACGACGACTATACGCCCCGGCCCAGCAGGTCGTCAAGGTGGGGTCGCGCATCAGGAAGCGCGAAAATCTCGCAAGGCGCTTGCACAATTCAACTGCGGACCTCGCCAGAGTCGCAAAACGCGACCACCCTTACCAACCCCTGCAGCAGCGCCTTCGCCCTGTTGCCTCGACGTCGCAGGCGCCTCAGCCGATGGAGATCGACTCCGCCACTTTCCGACCTCTGACTCCCGCTCAGCGACGAGCGCGCAAAGAGCAACGCATCCGCGACGACCTTTGTACTTACTGTGGTGGAGCGGGTCACTACCAAGACAAGTGGCCAAAGAAGCCTCGGCAGTCCCCAAATGGACCCGGCAGGAACCAGTAGGGCACTCAAGGGACCGTGCCATTCAGGACACTGACGCGCCCTCGCTCTATTGTAGACGATAGCGCAAATCTCTGTCTATTCTCGATCACTCTGCCTCCTGTTTCGTCTTACCCGCGAAGTGTCTCGCCAGTCACCATCTCCCACATCATCGCCATTGCTCTCATGCTCGTACCTGGTAGACATAAGCAGACAGTCTTCAGTTGTCTTGTTCCTTAGACTACAATTTTCTATTCTCGTCGCATCTTCCTGCAAGCCTTCTGCTGTCTTGTTCCTGAGTTTTGAAAGTTTAACGATGCGCGAGCAGGAGGGAAGGAGTGCTAGTGCTAAAGACAGGACTTGGGGGAAGATGAGGGTGATGAGTATAGAAAACTGTAAACTCAGGAACAAGACAGCAGAAGGCTGTCTACTTAGCTCTATGTCTAACAGGCTCAAGCAAGAGACAGCCAAAGAACATGAAAATGAGAGCGCCGGCGCCGGTGTGGATTGATCAGAGTTGTGAGGCCTGAAAAGGCCATCGTTGAGTAATAAGCTACGTGGTGAAGAGTGCGCTAAACTGAGCTCTAGAGAAGGAACCGTTAAAGCGGATAGAATCAGGATGGAGTGTGTGTGAAGCTGGTTGGTCGAGGTCGAATATTGGCACCGAGAATGAGCAGCTCATGTAGTGAGCTGTCAGATGGGAAGATCAAGGGTGCGTATTCCTGACAGCATGCCAATTGCGAGTCTCAGCCTTCGTTGGTTACATGCACTTGCTTGCCTCATTGTCGCAGTTGATGCATCGACCAAGGTCCTTCTCACTCTTATCACTCAAATGAACGCTGCAAAACTCAATCTCAGGCCGATTCTCTCTCATGTCCCAAAATGACCAATACTTGATGATAAAGGTCCTTCCATTGAACTGGAAAGGATACTCGACAATTAGCTCAAACCATAGCAAAGTTTTGGAGATGTTACGCTGTAGGGGTCGCTGCAAGACCTTGGAGGCTGCTGCTTGACAATGTTTGGAGGGACTTTCGTCAGCTGGTCATCCAATGTTCCTGCGTCGATGACCGCAAGCGCATTATACGATTTGCAATGCACTCCTTTAGCTGGAATACCTGAGATTCCCCTAGGGCCGCCCAGGTTATTTGGTCGCCGATGGACACTGGGCTGAGGACTTGCTTCTCGCTTTTCCATATCAGCCGTCACCAAGTCAAAAACACCTAGAGCAATGGCCAAGAACTGTAGCTTCATTTTGATGAAGTGCTCCGTGAATGACAAAAGAATCGGAAGGATAGCCTTCCTTTTGTACTTTCTACGAGACTCAGGAGATATGCTTATCCTGTGTATCTCCAAGCCTAAATGTACGAGTCTTTGTTTGCAAGCAATTACAAATATCTCGCAACTCGCATTTCGTATTCCCAAGCGGGATTATTGTAGTTTAGAAAAGAAAAGCCTCAATATTTGTCTTTTGGGTTTCCCTTGCAACCCCTGTCGATTCTTGTAATTGTTGGTCGAATCCCAGAAACCTCACGCAAAGCTGATGCGACATTGGAACTTTGGTCGAGGCGCTACATTCGTTCCTTTGGGAAATGTGAGGTGGTCAGACGTTCGGGAATAGTTTTCCGAGCGCGAAAGTAGTCAGCCTTCTTGTTATCTTATTTGGCGATTCAGGGGTCGAGGATCGCGAGTGATACCGTATGTGCAATGCGATTGGAGATTTCAAGTTTGCGAAGCCGATCTCTCGTGCAAGATTGCGAGAATTATTGTATCATGTTCGAATCCTCTCTCTTCGCTCAAGCTCAGCACAGGTCACTGATTCACTGATGAGATCGATTACGCCAGCAAACCGTGTGGGCAGTAATTCGACACACTACGAGTGACCTGTCAGTTGCTTCGGCTACGATGTTCTTCGTTTGTTTGCAACTGCAATGTGAGTACCTGCAGTCGGAGCTTTGTCCTCAATTGGCAATGATGGCGCGAGTGCATGAATCGTCGCAATCAGGGGTAACTGTTCTCGAGATGGATCACACTGCCCTCGTAGAATAGACGAGCGATACGAGACCGATCGAAACAATCGGAACTACCCTCCCAGATAAGACTTGTACAGAACATAATATTACAAGATATCAAACGGGCTTATACTAAGCCCAGGGCCTCTTTGAGCAGATCCTCATCAACATGCACAGGCTCCAACACCGCCGGCTCATCCTCCACTGCTACAACGGGTTGCGACACAGGCACCGGCATTGCACCTTGCCATAACTTTTCCAACCACTTTGCAGACCGTTGCTTCGATGCACCAGCCGATGCTGCCGTTGATCCTTGAATAGCTTCGCTAGCTGCTGCTTTCCCAATTTGCAACACAGCAGGACTTGACACGACATGCACGCCATGACCGGCACCAGCGGAAGATCGTCGCCAGAACGAAGAAACACCAGGCGCATGTTTGCCAGGTGGCACGAGACCACCACCCGTCTGTCGTTGTGCAGCAGCAGCTGTTCTGAGTAATGCTGAATAGGACCCCATACCCGCTCGTGGACTCGATTGGCCGCGTCGATAGGCAAAGCCGCGCGCTGTAATCAAGTCTGCTGATAATGTACTCGTCACCGGTGAATCGACTGCTTGTAATGGTGACGGTTTCGGTCTTTTCAAGTGGGCGACGTCTGAAGTGATGCGAGAGGGTAGTAAAGATTCATGTGACGTTGAATGCTGTAATTTCCCCATGAGATCTTGCTGTAACGTGACGGGTATGTCTGAGTATGCCAACTCTTGCGGTAAGATACTATCCACTGAATTCGAACGTCCACGCGGGATATACGGCGTGGTGGCAGCACTCACCGTATGTACAGAACTTGCACGTTGCTTGAATCGCGTTGGTGTGCGTGCAAGATCGCGCTCTGATTCGTCATCCGTTGTGCTGGGTAGGTCCATTGGTGTGGATGGATGCGAATAGGAGGAGGACCGATCTCGACTGACTGAGAAGTATCCCGAATCACGAGGCCCCCGACGTGTCGGCGCAGTTTGTTTTTGTAATGAAACGGGACTCGCTAGACCATGCTCAACAACACGCGATACAGGTGCAGGCGTGGTATACTCTGTTTCCGATGATACGAGCCTCCTGAGACGTGTAGAGGATGATCGTTTCTTGCCAGTCTTGTCAGGAACGTGGTAGTAGTGATGGTAATGATGATGATGCAATTCCTGAGAGATGGTTTGACGCAGGGTCGGACTGTGCGGACGCGCAACATGCGTCAGTGTTGTGATGGGTTCTTGCCGTAAGGCTGCAAGTTCCTCTTGTGAAGCGGCAAGTAATCTGCGTAGCTCGGCTGCACTTGAAGCAAGGGTTGCATTCTCCTCAAACAAGTCGGCCACGAGCTTCGGCGGGGCTGTAGAGGTTGCGGGCGAGTGGGATCTTTGCCGTGTTGGTGTCCTCGGACGTATTGAATGCGGTATATAGGTAGCAGGTTGCGATAGCCTCTGTAATGTTTCCTCCAACTCATCAATCTTGCGTTGCGCCTTTCTGAATCGTGCAGCAGAACCTTCTTGATCGTGCGCAAGGGACTGCACTTGTTGTTCAAGTGCTTCCTTTTCAAGCTGAATACTGGATACTTGCTGCTTGAGCGTTTGCGCAGCGAGTGCTTTACTAGAGAGTGAATCATTTGCCTGTTCGGCATCTGCCAACGTTGCGAGTAAATCTTGGTTCCTCGAATCTGCATGATTGAGTTGTGCATGCAACTGCTCAAGTCGTTTCATGAGGGAGAGGTTCTCATCCATGACACTGTGGTTTTGTCGCTCCAACAAGCGATTCCCTTGTTCTAGCGCTTCTGCGCGTTCTTGGATGCCGCGCTGTCGTTCAATTTCCAGCAACACGGCGCGTCTTTCCTGATCGGCCTTGACGACATGTTCATCATGTTGTAGTATGATGCGTTGGCCAAGTTGAGCAGCAAGGGCGAGTTCATCCTCAAGTAACGTCATGAGCTGTTTATTTTGTTGTTGCGCGGCGCACGTTTGTTGAAGGCAGCAACACGTTGGCTGGGCGAGTGTTCGGGTTGCGGCTTGTTGGAGGATTGTTGCTGTTGATGTGTGTGTGCTTGGGGTATACAGCATAGAGAGGGTTCGCTGGCCTGCTCTTTGTTGAGCTGTTGAAGACAAAGGAGTGTGGTGGTTGTTTTGTTTGCGCTCGGGGCGTGGTTGATAATGAAGCGGAGAGAAGTAGAGATTGAATGAGTAGGATAGCAGAGTACAGTAGCTGATCAAACAAGGCGCAGGGAGCTATAGGCCTGTGTCCATGGACGTGTGTACAGTGGTAGTGAGTGTCGTGTTGTTTTGTCGCGGTCGCTTCTTGAATTTGTTTTGGCAACGGAAGGGAAGCATAGATGAGAGTTGTCATGGGTGTGATACAGGTAGTGAGATGTGATGGAGTATATCTGAGATTCGTACGACATGGCCCGATGATACTAGAAGTTGTGTTTGTGACTGCGAAAAGTACGTCACAGATGGTTGGGGAAGCAGGGACGAAGCTTCACCTCAAGAGACTACTCAAGTACTCCTCCTACTACCACCTCAACATCATTCACAATGGCACGCGGCGGAGAATTGACCAAAGCAGTCTACAAGGGCGAACACGACCACTTCATCGTGATTGTCGAGTCAGAGGATATTGTCCAGAAATGGCGCAAGGACTCCTCCATCCCACTCAGTGAGGTGGCTAATTCCTTTGATGTCTTTACGGGGAATGGCGCTCAGGGTATCTTGGAGCGTCCTTCGAAGCAGCAGCTTGAGGGAGAGGTATGTCATCTAGTAATGCCTATTTCAGACTAACCTCTTAGTTTGGCTCGACGCACCAGGATGATATTGTCAAGAAGATCATCACAGAGGGCAAGCTTGAGACTTCCAAGACGCCCAACAAGCAAGGCGACCGTAACCAGACAAACGCAAATGGAAGTGGTCGTTGAAGTAGTCCGTTGCAAGTGTTTGCCTTTTGCTTCGTTATGATGATCAATGAGAGACTCAAGTAGATGATACGCTACATCTAAGCATTCCATCCATGACACTGCTGCTGCTACATTGAGTATACTGTATCCCTTGTCTTGTTTGTGTTTTGCTCCACACCGGAAGCGACTTTGGCCCCGCAATCGACGACGACATCAGCTACAGAGCACTACGACTCAAGCTAGAAGCATGGATACACAGACACTGCATATAGCAGGCCTCCCAGTCCATCTCTTCACTGCCGCAGATACCCCTCCCGATGCCCCTTTGACGATCCTCTTCTTCCTACACGGCAGACTCGGACAGTACCAAGATAACCTCCGCCACTTCCAATCCATCCTCACCCATCACGCCCACCACAAACGACAGTGTGATTCAAGTCTCATGCTATGCTCATTCGATCAACGTAATCACGGCCATCGACACGTCTCAGAACGTGCCAATACAACATGGCAAGATACACCGGGTAACCCACTGCACGCACAAGACATGCATGCGATTCAAGTGGGTACAGCACGGGATGTTGTGCTTCTGATGGATTACCTACCTGCCTACCTCACCACGCACACCATCAAACGATACCTCTGTGCGGGTATCTCATTGGGTGGCCATGCAACGTGGTTGGCCTTACAGCTGGATACAAGATTAATAGCCGGGATCCCCATTATCGGGTGTCCCGACTACCTCTCCCTCATGACTTCTCGCGCACGCACGCTGAAGGATGGAACAGGTGGCTTGACGGAAGCGTTATTTCCGCGGGCGTTACGAGAGGTTGTTGAACGACTCGATCCAACGATCCACGGGATGCGTGAGAAACGACTCTTGGTGTTGTGTGGGGCGCGTGATAGACTTGTGCCGTATGAAGCGGGTCGTCGATTTATTGAAGCCTTGCAGGTAGAGCAGCAACACCATGGTGGATCGACGGAAGTGGTGGTGGAGGCGGGAGTGGGCCATCGATGCTCAGATGCCATGATTGAGCGATTATGTGCGTTTGTACTTGCAGAGATGCATGTCCCGCAGGGTGTGCGATTGTAGTTAGCTGAGAAGCGTCAGGGATTTCTGGAAGACGTTGCTGAGCTGTGCTTCGAGTCGGATCTCTGTAGCTTCCTCGTTGTCTAGCTCTTGGATGACTTGTGTCTTTGGCTCGAGCTTCTCAAACAGTACTGCTCGACATGTCCCAAATAAAGCGCGGAGACGTGTTGCTTCAGTGATAGTGACGAGATCCGCTTGAATCAGCCCACTGTACATATCATCCATCTCGGCCAGCAGTACAAATATGCTGGATGTATCCTCTGGCAGTGCCAATAAAGTGAGGTGATCCATGGTGGCATCCAATATGGACATGAGATATGCAACAGCAAGCGATGCAGAACCAGCTGGGACTTGCTTGAACAGTGCAAGCAGGCCCGTCATGTGAGAGGTGAGGAGAGCAAGACTAGCAGCAGCATCTTGACTTGAGGCCGTTTGGCGCTTGAGAGAGCGGGAGAGGGTGAGGAGCTGTGCGTCTAAGTGGTGGATGAGGCGTGTTTCTTGCTGCTGCGAGAGTGCAGTCATGCATAGTCTGCCAAGTCTAGCTACTGTCAATATAGTCAATATAGTCAATATATATACTATTGTATAGTCAATATATAGTCAATATATAGTCAATATATAGTCAATATATAGTCAATATATAGTCAATATATAGTCAATGCAGTCAGTATATGACGGACACCCGGGTGTTTCTTCCCCCTCTCCATCCATCTCTCTGCCAGACACCAACCGGCCATACCCACTCCCCCAGGTCAACTCCCAGCAAGCCTCCCCCGCGCGTCTCATTGTCCTCCTACAAGCACTGCCTGTCTGCGTACATTTGCCTATTTTTCTCTCTTCCCATTGCTTGCGAAAACTCTGCTCAAAATCGACCGACTTACGATCTTGTTTGTTTTTTGTCCCTCTCATCTTACAAGCATTCTTCCTACAGCAACGTCCAAAGCACGTACATCGATCTTCAGGTTTGACTGATTGATCCTACACAACAGCCAAGCAACAAAACAATTCCTTGAAAGTACGCGACAAATGAGTTATCAGCAATCGTTCCAGCAGGGACAAGCATCACCTGCAGGTGAACATCAGCAACAACAGCAACAGCAACAGCAACAGCAGCAGGGACAGGGTCACGAATCGCCTGCTCCAATGGAAGCCAACACTGCTCCTGGATTTGGCTCGGCCATGCCGCAACAACAACAGCAGCAGCAGCAACAAGGTGTGCCTGGTCAGCAACAAATCAACACGGCTTCCGTTGATAGCCAGAATGGTGGTGAAGCTGAAAAAACGACATTGTGGATGGGTGAGCTGGAACCCTGGATCGATGAAGGTTTTGTGCGACAAGTGTGGTTCAATCTGGGTGAACAAGTCAATGTCAAGATGATTCGCGACAAGTTTTCTGGGTACGTCCAAGTACTACATCTTCGTGAAGGCTAACAATAGCAATGCCGGGTATTGTTTTGTGGATTTCCAAAGTACAGCCGCGGCTACAAAAGCCATCTCCCTCAACGGCACACTCATCCCAAACACCTCGCGCCCATTCAAGCTCAACTGGGCATCCGGCGGCGGTCTGTCGGATCGTAAAGATGAGCGTGGCCCAGAATACAGTATCTTTGTGGGTGATCTCGGTCCGGAAGTGAACGAGTACATTCTCGTATCACTCTTCCAATCACGCTTCCCAAGTTGCAAATCTGCCAAAATCATGACGGATCCCATGTCTGGCTTGTCGCGTGGGTATGGATTTGTTCGATTTGCAGATGAGATGGATCAGCAGCGTGCATTGACGGAGATGCAAGGTGTGTATTGTGGCAATCGACCGATGCGCATCTCAACGGCAACACCAAAAAACAAACCTGGACAGATGCAAGGCATGCCACACCATGGTCAACAATCCCTCGTGGGCGGTCAGCCAGGTCAACAGCATATGGGTATGATGCAGATGGGTATGCCACAGCCATTTTACGCCGGTGTGCCGCAACCCATGAACCAATTCACCGATCCAAACAACACAACGGTCTTTGTGGGTGGACTCTCTGGGTATGTGACTGAAGACGAGTTGCGTTCCTTCTTTCAAGGCTTTGGTGAAATCACGTATGTGAAGATTCCACCAGGCAAAGGTTGTGGTTTCGTGCAATTTGTTCAGCGTCATGCCGCAGAAATGGCCATCAATCAAATGCAAGGCTACCCAATCGGTAATTCTCGCGTCAGGTTGTCATGGGGACGTTCGCAGAATAATTCCGGGCCAGCGGGGACACCGTATCGTCCGGCACCACCACCCCCTTTGTATCAGAGTATGAATATGCCGCCTCAGCATGCTTACTCGCCTTTTGCACCGATGAATCCACATGCTCAGCATGGCGGGTATCAAGGAATGCATCCTGCTGGATTACAGCAACAGCAACAAGTGGGACAGCCTGGTGCACCTCAACTGGCAGGTCCACCAGGTCAACCGGGCGCCATGCCACCTCAAGACCCAATGGACCCTGCAAACCCACAAAAGATGAATGAGTACTATCAGGGAACCCAACAAGAACGCATGCAACGGATGGATAATGATTCTCGTGGTTACGGTGGTATCTACGCTAATTAAGTGTTGCAGAAACAAAACAAAAAGAGCATTGGCGTTTTTCATGTTGCAGGGAAGGAAACGAAATGTATTGGAAAGGGCGCGTTTTCAGCGAGGCGAGTTTTCGTTGTTTGAAGGATCTTGTCACACACCCCGGCGTTTTCTTAAACTCATCTAGATACCTAAAAGAGATCAAATTCAATACTCCCTTTTCAGTAGCGCGGCAGGTACGATGCTTGCCATTCGCCTGTGACTTGTCGTCCAGCTTGAATGAAATGACGCTCGAGGCTCTCTTGCAAGTGCTCATAAAGTCCCGGAAGGCATGCAGGGATGCACTCGACCTCTTGTTGTGTTTGTCCCTGTCCTTCAATCTGGGCGAGTGTTGTTGTTTTGTAGAGGACCTTGATGGCACGTTGGCCATCCCTTGCGGTCTCATGAGACGATGTCGTCACGCGCATATCGAGTGTCATGAGCCAAATCAAAAGACCCGCTTGATCAGGCGCTTGCGTGCCATATGGTGTCACGAGGAATCGATGTACGGCGTGTGCTTCGACTTGAGCGAGCAAGTCTGCAGAGAAATAGACAAGCGCGTCGACCGATTCGTTGTTGTTTGTCGTGATGGCTTGTTTGTAGAGCTTCACGACTTCTTCTTGCACCGTACCGCATGGTGCCTTGCATGATCTGCATTGCACCAACTCTTCATGTTGAATCTATAAGTTAGCATAAAAATTCTGTAGCAAATGAAGCTCATCTCGTATGCGTGAAGATACAAATCGTGCAGCACATGGTAGTGAGTGCAATGTTGCATGACCCATCATTTGCGTGAGCAGAGAGGGTCGCTTGCTCTTGGGTCATTGTATCGAATGACTGTACAACGGAAACTGTACGTCTTCTTCTTTTGACCCATTGATCTGATACGAGAAAGACAAGGAGGTGACATACCAGTGATTCCCCCAGATCGTCGCGATGCACAAGGAAATGCGATAATCCAACAAATGGTCTTTCTGGTACGGGAACGATTCCTTGTGCGGCATGGACAATGTGTTTTGGTAATGTGTATTGCTCATGATGCTCTTGATTATCTCTATGCGAGACTCCAGCATGACAATGCCAACTGTCCATCATTTCCTGCCAATGCTCACTCGGTGAAGATCGCCAGCGTAATTTTGAGGGAAGTAGTTGTGTTTGACAAGATGCGCAGCAAATTGTAGATTTGGATAAGGTAGCTGGGTCAGAAAGTGGTACGGGATTAGCGTCGCTGTCAGTAGGCATCAAGGATGACTGGGCTTTGATACGCACACTGAATGTATCATTGGCAGTGTCCTCCGCAAACTTGAGATTTAACCGTTGAGCAACATCAATGGATGCCGGCAGAGTAATAGCATATGAGCGACAAGCATGACGGAGCGTCAGGGTCTTGCGATCAAAGATAATGAGCGATGTAGAGCTATCAGGTACTGAGTCGAGCTGAACATGGAGATGACAGACTTTGATCTTTTCAAGATGCTCGCAAAAGTACAGCATTGGCACTCAGCGTAGAGCATCGTACATGATGTGCAAGTAGAGTGGTTGGATCGAGCTTGTCGCTGTCGATTCATGCGGCGTGCGAGAATTTTGGACTTTTGAGACTCGACGTAACGCACGCCAGTAGCTACATTTGTACACAGCTAAGCTCAATGCGCATACGCATCAAGTCTAGCTTGCAGGACTTGCAAGTCAAGTGCTGGTGGGAGATATCACCTGAAGACTCGGATAAAACTGTCAGCGAGCTGATCCAGGACTTGCAGGAAGCTCTATCTATTCAGCTACCTTTGACATCGCTCGAGCTTCAATTGGATGGATATATATTGATGCCGCAGTCTAGAGTACTGGGCCTGCTTAGAGAAGATGACACAGTCGTGTTGCGTCAAGCTCTACAATCTATACGACCAATCAAGGGCAATGTGGCCGATGAACCTGGACAGCTACAGCTGCAAGCTCCTCATCCCAACGAGCTAGATACGCTGGTCAACGCTGTACAGCATCTCACAAAGACTCTTGAGTCAAATCAACACAAGGACTTGGGGTGGCAAGAGCCCAGTACGCAAGTGATTGCCCAATCCAATACTCCAAGAGACGAAGCTGATTCATCCGACAGCACCAGCAGTAGTGCTTCAAGTTCCTCTTCCGATAGCAGCTCAGATACGAGCAGCGACGAGCCTGATGCAGAGCCACCCAAGAAGAAGCTTGCTATGGCTGATCATGACGATCAAGTCAATGGTATACCCTTTGAAGGCACATCTCGCACCGCCAAACGTAATGATCGCCGTCGCAAAAGTAGACTCTTGCAATCACTTGTACAGGCAGGAGAGCTGCGCAAAGGCTCGACATTCAAAGATCTTGACCGTTGGCATGTATACAACTATGGTTCAAAATCCTTTGGTATGCAGAGGGCTGACAAGTCGGATGGTGAAGTCAGTGAGCAAGATGAATCACCGTCGGAGTACAGCGTACGTGGAGAAACCAATGATCAGGCCATTGTCAAACCTCAAACGATACCCCTGCCAACAGCCAATCTCCCAGCGCCATGTCTAGCATCCCCTGAGCCTGATTGGGAGTGCTTTTTGAGCGTCAAACGGATAGAATGCGAGGACGAGTATACTGAAGAAGACTTACCTGTCATGCAATACGTGGAGCATCAGTACGTGCAGATGGAGCCTCGCGGCAAGAAACGCAAGCGAAAGCAAGCCAAGGCCCCTTACAGACTACCGGCCGCAGAGGACAATGACGAGTTCAATGCAGATCTATATGGAGAACCCACCACACTCGATGCGCACCCTGTCGAGTCTATGGATGACGCTGTGGCTGCTAGCCAACTCACCGCTGACGACCTACCTGCCTTGCCGCTCAACTTGCATACATTGCAACCACTCAATGCAAATTCAGCTGAACTGCGCGAGATTGGTCGCATCATTGCCTTTCGGCAACTCGTCATGGTCAATTACGAACCTCAAGAGTCAGACTACAAGACCGGCAAGATAGTAGAGACGGACGGGTCATTTATTAAGCTGCAGCTTGCGAAGCGGGATGTCGAACCGACGCAGTATGACTACGATGGCAATAGGATCTTGGGGAAATTTGAAGTCGAAGGCGAGGAGGTTGAGACGGAGGAAGGATATTGCTGGGTCGACACGGTCGAGCTCATCGACCCCTTGCTACTCCAGTGAACGTGCTCGCCCGATCGCTATCGCTGCCGTGGCACGCTGGTCGAGAACGATGGAGGATGCAGCCGCGATGCTGGTAGTCGTCGTGACTGGCTAAACGCTGACGCAATTGCATGCGCTCGAGAAGCATTGCGCACGCTTACTTCATCGTTGTCGTGACGGATCCTCTGATGGTTCTGTGGATCAATGGCCATGCTGGCGACAGTCGCCTCGGCGTTGAACAATGCCTCGAAGATAGTCGTCTGTATTGCGCTTGGGTGGTCAAGATTGGGTTCCCACACCAGCGGAAGCGACTCGAAGCAGAGCCCCGAAATGAGGAATCTGAGGAACTGCATCTTGCTGGAATTGATTAATGCTGTATTATCATCTTGAGGTCAGCTGTAGTCCTTTTCCAAAGATTGTCTCTTTGCGGAGAACACAGAGAGAAGCTTGAGACGGTCCTTAGCTTCAGGACATAGTTAGACGCGTACACATGTGAAGCATTCAATAAGTGGTCATGCTGTAGCCTTCTAGGCTAAGATCGAAGCCTTCGCTTAGATGATCCTTCCTTCAATAGAGTGTAATTAGCCGCAGAGTCGCAGTTGTACAACGTTGACGAGCCAATTGGCTTCATCCCATCTGAAATTTGCTTCGAGCGACGATCGTACACTTGTGCGTATGCGTATCCAAAGCTTGCGATTGCAACTTGAAAACAACTGTGTTGCATTGAGGAAGCAGCTTCCTACTTGAGTCCTGTAGAAATGCTCCTCGAACAGCTCCAGACTTGACTGCGGCAAAGCTAAACTTGGCCTATGCAGAGCTTGTCCTCAGCGGCGTACTTACTGCACCGTAGTCTCGGCATCAGAACGCCAAAGACTAGCGATCTGCCAAGCTGGTGCAATGTCGAGTCTGTCACTATCCGCGACTTGGACACAGGAAACTTGAGTTTGAGGGAACTCGTACTTCTAGGTCCTCGTTTTGATGACCCAATGTGCCTCGTGGGTCTTGCACGCTGGTCTCAAGCTGTTATTGAGATTCCCCTTCAATTCACCCCTACAGGTCTACGTCTTCAGGACCCGGAAGCATTGGAAGACTATGTGTTTGGCGATCACAAGGACAGCAAAGTAGCTCGAGCAGCTAGTGACATCCATCTAGATTTCCCCTCACGCGAAGATAGCTGGTACAAGTTCGTTCGATTCGTCGACGTCGAGGGCATGATGTGGACGATATCAGTCATTGGGGAATGGGACCTCATGGAAGCACACTCTATAGAGAGCTGGAAGGTTCAAGTCCAAGTCGTTCCAGCTTATGCGCGTGGACGCACAAGACAAGCGAGCGCTCAAACTCGGGAGTTTGTAGTTCACGGCGAGTGCCCTCAGATCTGCTATGCGACGCGAGATGGGGTGATGCTTTTGCATCAAGCGCGCTTGACGTTCATTCGGCTTCGACCATGGCCTCATGTGCCTGAATCGCTACCAGCTGGCTGCTGGCAAGTAGAGGACGACGCAGTCAATGGCTATTGCGGCTTGCCTACAAAGCACCTTGAGCTCGATATCCTGCTGGAAGAGTGGTTCGAGGAGGATTATGGAGAGATTAACATGAAGTTCTCTTTCGGCACCAATCTCTTTCCAAAGTGGCGTGAGGCGTCCGACTCGATGCATGCCAAGTCCAGTGTGGCTCTGGATTGGGACAGCGGTTGTGCCATCGAGCTTGTACTCTGGAACAAAGAGAGACACAACCATGTCAGACTTGTGAAAATTTTTGTGGATCCTTATGCGGATGGTCTGTCATCTGCAGATACATGCTTACTGTCCACAAAGACTGCACCGGTACAGGCCAGGGCGCCGAATTATCCTAGCGAGACTCTTTTCCTCGGCGATTTGGATGAGTCGCTCGAAGATAGACCAGCTCGTCCTTCCAATATTGCCGTGTGTGCATGGGATCATTACATGCGTAGGGCAGATCATACCATACGCAAAACGCATGCCTGTGTGGAAGAGGACGTGTGTGGACTCAAGTTGGAGTACTATGGCCGCCATGGTGTCCTCTTTTACGACATGATCCTGACTCCAGCGACGTTAGCAACGATCAAGACGCAGCTGTGGTCTGTTGCTGCGAAGTATTAGTGAGAGGAATACAGCCAATGTCCAGGTGCATCAGGCGGCAATTGGCGAGGTTCCATCTGAATGGTTCAGTGCGAAGGAAGCCAGGATCAGCATGAGATCAGCGAGGAGATTTGATAAGATTAGTGGAATTCTGAGTATATGTATAGACATGTATACTTGGCCTAGTCAAGAGGGCTCGCTGTAGCCTCCAGGCTTTGCAATGAGGCTGTTTCGCTGCAACTGATGTCTCATGTATGCCCTGGTGCTAGAGCCCCCGCGAGTCTGTGCATGCGACGGCGTCTCCGGGTGCTTTTTGACTCTTCCTGGACGCCAAATTTGGAGCGCGACACGACAAAGCAGCGGAGGCCCAGCTCAGTGCTCAGTAAGCTCAGGCAAGCTGGCACCAGGGCGCGGCCCCACTCGTATACCAGGCCCAAGAGCACAGACGCGGCTCCTTCTTTCCTGCTCCCATCCCTGCAGCATCCATACTCAGCAGACAGGTAGCAGATATACAGCGACACGGCCTCATATCCTAGTACTGAGCACTCACACATTATCAATCTGTCACAGCCTCACAGCAAATCGGCCCGCCAACAAAGAACGCGTCTCCTGACTCCTGAGACCCTCCTCACCAGCCTGACAAACAAGGGACTCAGTCCTGCCAGTATCTGTCTGTCCCTTTGCAACAACCCCAGTCGCTCCTTTCGCGTCTCACTCTAGCTCTGGGCTGTGAGCGCATTTACACGTCTCGACTACTTTCCTAGTCTCCAACCGTTCAACAGACACGCCTGCCATGTCCGCCGCAATTGATGTCGCGTCAACGGTTCTAGAACAGCTCAGTCAGGGTCAGTATCCAGATGAAGTATGGCCTGGCGAATTGCCAGACACACCACAAGCACTTCGTCTAGCACAAGCCATTCGCGGTATTGTTGAGCACCAGAAGCGACTTGAAGCAGATGCTGCAAGGACTAAACCCGTGGCAATCCCACAACCTGCCGATGCTAATGACACGCCGCGAAAACCATCGTTTGATGCACCAGCACGCAGTCCATCCATCAGTCAAGTCACATTTAGCGATGGCTCTACGCAGATTGTGAGTTCCATGTTTGGTAGCTTTGTGGGTACAGATGCAGCCGATACGATTGGCCTGCAATCTCAAGTCCGTCTGCTCAAAGAGCAATTCGCTGAATCTGAACGTCTACGTGTCTCGGATGCCTCTGAGAAGGGTGTCCGCATTGCATCCCTTGAAGCAGAACTCGCCAAGTCAAAGCAAGACATTGAAGATTTTTTGGAGGCATTGCGTAATATTGGTGCTGTCACGAAAGCTGTCTCGAAGGGTGATTTGAGTCAAAAGATCTTGATCCAAGCGAAAGGTGTGGAGATCTTGGAGCTCAAGAGTCACATCAATGAAATGGTGGATCGTCTCAAGTTTTTCGCAGCGCAAGTCACGCGTGTTGCGAGGGAAGTCGGGACAGAAGGTCGATTGGGTGGTCAGGCAGAACTCAAAGACGTTGAAGGAATCTGGGCAGAGCTCACCAACAGTGTCAATCACATGGCCGCCAATCTTGTAAGTCGCATCGCATCTTGCAACTTTCAAACTGTGCTAACACCCAAAAGACGATACAAGTACGATCCATTGCAGAAGTCACGACTGCCGTTGCACGGGGTGACTTATCGAAGCAAATCGAAGTACCAGCTCAAGGAGAGATACTCGAATTAAAGGTGACCATCAATTCAATGATGCACAAGCTTCAACGCTTCTCGACCGAAGTCACGCGTGTCGCACGTGAAGTCGGTACAGAAGGACGACTTGGTGGACAAGCACACATCACCGATGTCTCTGGATGCTGGCGAGAACTCACTGATCGTGTCAATGGACTTGCCTCAAATTTAACGGCTCAGGTCCGTAACATTGCTCAAGTGACTACCGCAGTCGCTCGTGGAGACCTGACACGGAAGATTGAAGTCCCTGCTCAAGGCGAAATATTGGAATTGAAAGTCACCATCAATCGTATGGTCGATCAGCTTTCCAGTTTCGCCAGTGAGATTACGACATTGGCTGTTGAAGTCGGTACCGATGGTAAACTCGGTGGACAAGCACAAGTCAATGACATTGAAGGCGTCTGGCTCTCTCTACAACAAAACATCAATAGAATGGCACAAAACCTGACGAATCAAGTGAGATCCATTGCAGAAGTCACAACGGCCGTTGCTATGGGAGACTTGAGCCGCAAAATCGCTGTCCATGCAGAAGGTGAGATTTTCGAATTGAAATCTACCATCAACACGATGGTGGATAGGCTCCAGGTCTTTGCCTTTGAAGTGACGCGTGTTGCACGTGACGTCGGTATTGACGGAAAGTTGGGTGTTCAAGCACAAGTCTCTGATGTCCATGGTCTCTGGAAGGAGATCACATTCAACGTCAACCAAATGGCACGCAATGTGACGGCTCAGGTTCGCGCTTTTGACCAGATCACAGCGAGCGCGACGGATGGGGACTTTAGCCGCTTTATCACAGTGGAAGCCTCTGGAGAGATGGATCGCCTCAAAACAAAGATCAATACAATGGTCAGCACATTGCGTGATAGCATCCAGAAGAATACGGCGGCAAAAGAGGCAGCTGAGATGGCCAATAACGCCAAGAGCGAGTTCCTGGCAAATATGTCACATGAGATACGTACGCCCATGAACGGCATACTGGGAATGACGGCCCTTACACTCGACACACAGCTGACGCGTTCTCAACGCGAAAACCTCATGATTGTTCAGAATCTTGCAAATTCATTGCTGACAATCATTGATGATATACTCGACATTAGCAAGATTGAAGCGAACCGTATGGCGATTGAGGAAATCCCATTCTCGTTGCGCTCAACGGTCTTTGGCATCATGAAGTCTCTCGCTGCCAAGGCTACTGAAAAGAAGCTTGACTTGCTTTATGAAGTGGATGCTGGTATCCCAGATCAAATTATTGGCGACCCCTTGCGTCTGCGCCAAGTGATTATGAATCTTGTGGGCAATAGTTGCAAATTCACCGCGACAGGCCACATTGCGCTACTCGTTCAGCAAGTGAAAGTTTCGCCTGATGCTGTTGTTGTTCAATTCATCATTCGCGACTCGGGTATCGGTATCCCCAAGGATAAGCTGGAAGTCATTTTTGACAACTTTTGCCAAGCAGATGGATCTACCACGCGTAAATTTGGCGGTACAGGTTTGGGTTTGAGTATCTCGCGCAAGCTCGTTAGCCTCATGGGTGGTAATTTGAGAGTGGAATCTGAATTTGGTCAGGGGTCATCCTTCATGTTTGACATTCACGTGCGACCAGAACCGAGCAACGACTCACTTGTTTCCAAAATGGGCCAGTACAAAGGTCAGGCAGTCCTGTATATTGGCACTCAGGAAGAGCTTGAAGAGGCAGGCGCCGCTGCTTTACTCGAAAAGTATTCTCTCAAATCGTTCATCTATTCCTCGACTGAGGAAGCTTTTCAAACACCCAAAGCTCTGCCTACACTGGCAGCTGCCATTGTCTCTTCCGTGGAAGTGGCGCAACAGCTGCGTCAGCACAATTCGCTCAAGTACACGCCTATTGTCCTGTTGGCACATTTCGTCGCTGAGCTCAATATCCCAACCTGCTTGGATCTTGGCATCAGTGCTTACAGCAATACACCGTGCTCTGATGCTAGCTTCATCAATGCACTTTTGCCCGCGCTGGAATCTCGAGCTTCACCTGAATCTAACGAAAAGTCTAGCAGATACAAGATTCTTCTGGCCGAGGACAATGCCATCAACCAGCGCGTTGCGGTCAAGGTACTTGAGAAATTCAAGCACTATGTTGATGTCGTGGACAATGGTCTGCAGGCTGTGGAGGCTGTCAAGCACAAAGACTACGACTGCTGCCTGATGGATTTGCAGATGCCAGTGATGGGTGGTATTGAGGCAACGGCCAATATTCGAGAATGGGAAAAAGTGCACAATAAGCGACGCCTGCCAATCATTGCGCTCACTGCACATGCCATGCTGGGCGATCGTGAAAAGGTGCTGATGGCGGATATGGACGACTACATTACCAAGCCGCTACGCATGAATCTTTTGATGCAAGCCATCAACAAGTCTGCTACACTTGGCAGTCTTGTCACTTCTGCACTAGTCAAGAACGACGATCCGCTGACTCTACATTCGCCAAAGGTCGATAAAGCCATGCAGCAGGATATCGAATCAAGTCGAGCCATGGCAAGCAATCACAGTCGCTCCTCAAGTCTTGCAGGCAGCAGCACAACCAATCATCTCGAGTTCCCAACGACTCAAGACAAGACGTCCTTGCCGCATGCAAATACAGAGGTTGATTTGCCCACTTGCAAACGATTTGGTGTGCGTACTGCAGACTGTGCCCCGCGCACCGCAAGTCCAACACGCGCAGGTCTCAAATCAGCGGGTGCTCCCCTGACGATCGATACATCAACAGCCAAGGGTACGTTGACCCGAATGGACTCGGAGGAAGAATCGCGCACTGCCAAGCCAGATTTGCACCGCTTCCATTCAACATAACGGCAACACCTTTTGCTATGACCTTGAATCTTTATGACTGCACCTTTGCTTTTAATGATGCACACACTCAACAGAGTGGATGGCTCATAAATCACTACTTATGGCCAGATGCCCTTGTGTAAGAAATGATTACTGTACTTTTGCTTTCCAGATACCTACATGTAGATGCGTAGGCAAGCTTTTGTCCCACATCCGGGTCGAGCTTGTTTCATGATTAGCTATACTTGTTGCACAGCCTTGTCCTGGTGTCCTTGTTGTGCTTGTATTGGCATACATCTTGTGTTCCGGGCAGTTTCTGGGACCCGTTGTGACTACTAACACAGACATCAATGATCAGGAGGATTGGGTGTTGAGGAATATATAGAAGAGCAAAGGGACGGTCTGCTTATAGTCTACTGAGGAAGTATAATACTTGACCCAGAAACGCTTTATATATATGACATAGATGAATTCACATAGGTCAAGACAACATAAGCGCATCATCACAGCAATCTCACAGCAAGCTTTATGTGATGACCCCTGATTTTGGACTTTTACGCCAAATGTGGGATGTCCATCTGAACACTGCTTCTGTACTGGGAAGGACCAGATCGCGAATGCGTGATCCTGTCGTCTGCAGTCAAAGGGTTTCTTTGGCTTGAATGCCAAGACATCTGCCCTCAACATGACCGCATGCTTCATCAGGCTTTGTAGGCTGTCGACAGTGGCATTCCTCATCTCGGGGATAATCATGACGACCACGACGGCAACGGCGCATCCTCCTGCAGCACCATTTGTCTGTGACGGTCAAGGCAATGAGAAGTGTGCACATGATTGGGCTGTAGTAGCAACGTCATGTTCAATCCATCAGATGGTAGTATAATCAATTCGGCTTAATAAAAGACAAGCCTGCTACTGGAGACGCATACTTCAATCAGGATGGTTTGGATACCTGGTCAACGTAGCAGTCAATCTTGAGCCAACCGTCTAGTTTTGTTTGTAGTTCTTCTAGCAGTTCCATACTTATAAGACTTGCGAATCGACTTAGAGGTTGCGCCATCAAGAATACCCGCCCGTAATTTGAATGCTTTGCAAGCGCGCAGCACTTGTCTCCATTGTATCGAGTGGCATCTCATTAACGTCGATATGATCACCCTCTACCTCTGCCAATAGCTCAACTGGTTCCGGTGTGGCCATGTTGCCAAGCAACCTTGAAATGATGCTTGCCCACTCCCAGGGTCGCTCAATAGAGCCTGGTAGAGAGTTGAAGTACTCCCAGCCACTGATACCGCCAAATGCGGGCCCTCTATCAGACTCACCAGGGAACAGGGGTTGATTGTCACGCAGTAGAGCCAGGGCCTGCATCTCTCTCAGAACAGATGAGAAGGTTCGTAATGGAACCCAGCCTTTGCAGTTGCTTGGATTCGTAGAGACCCCTACAACCACACGTCTTGGATCCCATCCATTGTCGAGTATACGCTGGTAAGAAGAGATGTTCTTCAAAGAACCATGGCCACAATAGAACTGGGTATTGTAAAAGTCAATGTAGCGGCCGCGTGCTACTTCGAGGTCAAAGTAGTTGAAGCCAGACAAATTGTTGCCCTTCAAAAGTAGTGCCGTTGCCACAGGAGCAAGAGTGATGATAAAGTCACGCCCGAAATCATCGACGAGGCGGTCAATCAGCCGAATGATGCCACCAAGGGACATCTTCTCCTCCACATCAAGGTCAATCCCGTCAAAGTTGCGCTGACGCAAGAAGTTGCGCAGTGGATGATAGTACTCCTCAAATGAGAGCCGAGCGTGAGCATCGAGCCGCTGAAAGCTGCCTTGAGCTGCGCCGCCCAACATGGCCATGACTTTGATGCCGCTGGCTTGCAAAGCAGGCACTTCAGACCAAAGCTGCGTATAGCGTGTACTTTCCGGCGGATCATCGTTCAGACTGAGGCCCCCTGCTGAAGTCTCATTCAAGTGCACGGCGCCAATGATGAGGTGTGTGACACCGGCCTGATGCGTGACGAGCGGTAAAGCAGAAATAGGCATGCCGCCGACATGATGTGTCTGGTGATACACGACAACCCGGGATCCTGTCATGTTGAATAGGTGGTAGCTGCCATTAAAGTGCCCGTCGCCTCCTGCAAGCTGATTCAGGTTTGTGTGTTGTCGTCGACACACGCTGTGTCGCATAAACCGATGCGGGACCGCAACAAGATTGGAACTCTCGCTGCACTTTCACTAGCTTCAGAGCCATGCACAGGCGAGCTCGCCAAGCTCGACAAAGAGTCCAGCATGGCAATGTTCATGTCCCAGCTGCTATGGCCACTTGGACAGAAGCACTGCCCCAGCTCATAAAATTGCTCAAGCTCATTTGGCAGCTAGCACCTACAAGAGGCTTGCTCATGGTCATTGCAAGTTGCCCTTGCACACTAGGCAACCAAGACTAACCTCAGGGTAATTTCACAAAATCGGCTTTACCGGCTTATGATTTGAGCCTTCGGGCACGCTTGATTGATATGCTCAATGACATTATCCGGCATCAAAAGCAATTCGATGGCCCTCGTGTGGGTCGATTGCTCCTCTTACAACTTCTCTCTCTAGTGCTGCGTAATGTTCTACAAAATGCTGTTGACCAGAATCAGCTCGTTGTCAACCAGCGTGTCAGTGCGGTCTTGACGCAACAGCTTCTTCGAGTGCATCTCTCTCTAGATGTTGCGGCTTTGAATGATGAAAAGACGATGCAAATTCTGGGCGATGCGCGTGGTATTGCCGATCAATACTATCTCACTACAGTCATGGATGCAGTGTTTTCGAGCTTTAATGCTACAGTCGATATAGGTTCGCGTGTGCTGGCTGCGTACTCTACACTCAGCTGGGCATCTATGCCCTATTTTATGCTCTATTCGATTGTGCCGGTGATACGGAGCGTCACTCGACCTGGGCGCACGTTCCCTCATGCACAAGTCAATGAAGTGCTGAGGAAACGTGAGCTAGAAAAGATTATATATGCACAAAAGTATCGTCGGGAGGTAACCCTCTTTGGTCTGGAAGGTTGGCTGCTTGAAGAGCACGCTCGTGTTGCAGAAGCAGCTCGTGAGGCTGTAACGATTCATTCGCCCTTCAACACGATCACATCACGCGCCGCTCAAGTGTTCAGCTCTTGGCTTGATACTGCAGTGCTTGCGTATCTTGCCTACCAGTCAGGTTCGAGCGATATCACCTTGGCAGACCTGCACATCATTGAGAACACAACGTCTTCCTTCATTCGTACGGGTCAACAAGCGTATAATTCGCTTGATTCTGCAGCTGTGGTATGGGATCAACTCATCAATTTTGACAAGTCGCTTGAGCTGAAGCCATTGTTGCCGGTAGCTGAGGACCCCATTGTGTACAAGAGTGCAACACGTGGCATGCGTATCGAATTCCAAGATGTTATGTTCGGATATCCTGGTCAGGAACCTGTGCTCAATGGCATCGGCTTCGTGGTAGAGGCTGGCGAAATGGCATGTATCGTCGGCTTCAACGGCGCCGGCAAGTCCACCATCATTTCGCTTATAGCTCGCGTCTTTGATCCACAATCAGGGTCGATTCTCATTGATGGGAAAGACTTGCGTCTATACGACCCAGTATCTCTGCACGCACACATGGCATTTACATTCCAAGACTTTCTGCGGTATCCGCTGACGGGACGCGAAAATGTGGCGATTGGTCAAATTGATATGCTCGAGGATGACCGTCGAGTCAGAGCAGCAGCACACACAACTGGCGCTGATCAAGTTTTGAATGCAAAGGCATCGAGTGACAGTGATCGCACTCTTTGGGACAGCAAGTTGTCACAGCGCGTGCCAATCGTTCAAGGCGTTAACGCAAATGGACCAACAATGCTTTCAAAGGAACCACACGACTTGAGTGGCGGTCAGTGGCAGAAGGTCGCGCTCAGCCGATCCTTCATGCGAGACAGCAATTTACTCGTTCTGGATGAACCAAGTGCAAATCTGGATCCGCAAGCAGAGTATGACTTGTTTTACAAGTTGCAGCAGAGCCGCGCACATCGCACTACCTTGTTCGTCACGCACAGATTAGGAGTTGTGCGTTCGGCAGACAAGATCATCCTGGTGGAAGAAGGGAAAGTGCAAGAGATGGGATCGCATGATGTGTTGATCGCGAAAGAGGGCGGTCGGTACAGGCACTTGTACGAGCTGCAGAGTGAGGGATTCGGCAAGTTGCAGCAGGAATCGCGCGGTCCATCTGAATGAGCGAGTCTGTGCAACGGCGAAACGAGGTCCATGCAACGGGCTCCCAGCACAAGAGACGCCCACAGCTACATCTCTCCTAGACACAGGGACGACGACTGCGCGAATGAGTATGCTTGGAGGCCCTCAGACTGCTGCAGACTGGCTAGCGCACATCGAGCAAGCGCCATACACACTTCTCGGCGACTGCAATCTCGTCTTGCATGATGAAGCAATATTCCCTGAATCCATCAGCGCTTTCCTTACCAAGATCGCTTCTTGTGGGTCTATACGTGGTGAAGATGAATGTGTTGTCATCAATGGTCCATCTGCGCTCGCAGAAGACGTGCTTGCGACACTACTCGAAGGCCTCCATTGCACACCCCTCACACGAGCGATGCAAGTACTCAAAGCGCTGACTTGTATCACGCTACAGGATGGTATCACACAGAGACAGCTTGAAGCTGGACTCGAAATCAATTGTCACCTGGACAGCGCTGGACAATGTGTCGGCGCACAGCTAGTCCTCAGCCAAGTCTCAGCAGGTGCACTCACACGACAAGTCCCAGGGCGCAACCTCGACGTCTTTTACCTACTCATCAACTCAATGGGGTCTGCAGAGAGTGCATACCTTGGGTTAACCGAGCAAGACCTCACGTGCGCCATGCTTGCTTCTGACTACCAAGCTCCAATCTCCGAGGAAGCGCTTGGGGCAGACTTTCGCGCTCTACTGAAAGAGTGCGGCGTTCAAGGTGCTTTGTCTCAACAAGTCCATTCACTTCTAGCAGCATGCATCCACATTTCCAAGCTTGAATTCCGCGAGAATGCTGCAGGTGCTCGCATTGAGGATTCGTCCGCCTCTGATGAAGTCTGTTCTCTTCTCAACCTCGAGTTTGACACTCTGACCGACTTTTTCCGTTCTAGTGCAGCTGAGAGTCGCAGCTGGCTCATCAAGACACTCTACAACAGCGCTCTGCACCAAGTTATTGGACAATTGAATGACTATCTCGCAACAAGTCAGGGAACCGCAGTGACCACATCTGTCGTGACACTCTTGCACACGCCTGTCGTCGAAGGCGATGCTTTGAGTCAAGTTCGATCCCTTGCTGTCGCCAACCTCGCACGATCATTCTTGTTTGAAAACATTTTCGCAAATGCTGGCATCAATGCTGAGCGTATCGAGGATGGTCTCGATCTTCCACAAGTCAGCTGGTCAAAAGATGCTACTGCCATGGCCGAGATGTTTGCCAAGCTATCTGAGTCTCAGCAAGATTTCGACCATATCATTACCGTTGGTCAAGTCTCGGACGACATCTTGAAGTCTTCCGGTCATGTCATTGACCTCAACCAGCTAGCTACGACACATCAAATCAACATGGAATGCAAGCAAAAATGGGCCAACATGCAATGCAAGATCTCTCTACCGGAGACCAAGCTTGATTTGCACGCCTTGTTTGAGCAGTCTCGCCCATGGAGCATCATGATTATCGACAAGACACTGTCCATCTCCAGTCAAGTACTGAGCTTCCAACTACCACGAATGTCTCAAAGAATGACTGGTCCTGCTGCTGGATGCGTCGATCTTCCAATTGACACTTTTGTCGAAGCACATGGCCATCTGCAAGCTCAAGGTATTGACTGGGGACATAGCAAAGTCTGGCTCACCTATGAGGCTTGGTCGACATTGCCTCAACAACGATTCAGCGAGTCCAAGTCTATGTATGCCACTGCTTTCGAGACAAGTAGAGATGACTTGCTTACAAGGGATCCCGAATTGCAAGAGATTCACAATGAAGTCAATCCAAGCACGAAGCGTGTTGATGTCAAACCACAGACGCGATCAAGACGGCTTTGGCTTGTTATTGTTACCTTGTTCACCTGGTGGATACCAGAAATTTTGCTCAAGCATGTTGGGCGTATGAATCGTCCTGACGTTCGTCAAGCATGGCGAGAAAAGGTGACATTGTTTGCACTCATCATGATACTCTGTGGATGTGTTGTCTTTTACATCATAGTGCTAGGAAAGCTCGCTTGCCCGGACTTTGACGTCGTTTGGAATGCAAAAGAGGTTTCTAGTCACACTGGCGACGACGATTTTTACGTTGCTCTGCGTGGCAAAGTCTACGATATCTCTAGCTTTTGGCGTATCCAGCATTCTGACGGGGTTATTCGCACCACACCAGACGTCATGAAGGCATTTGCTGGGCAAGATCTGTCAGATTACTTTCCGCCGCCTTTGCAACAGGCTTGTCCGGCACTTGTTGTGGATGATACCTGGTTACTGCAAAACACGACCGTCAGTGATCCAACTGCCCTGCATTACTCAACCCAGCCAAAGTGTCTCAATGTCGGAAGCACTAACTCAGCACTTTGCGCTACGAATTGGTACCTTGATCGCTTTCTGCCTAAGATGAAAAAGTTTGTTAAGGGAGACTTGGTCGTTACACGAAATAAGGTACTCGCTGGCGCACAGAGTGGTGAACGTCAATGGGCCATTATTGATGGCCGCGTCTACGACTTGACAAATTATTTCTACACTTCGGCCTTGCTCAATCCTACGCATGCAGCCATCAAACCCAACTACTACTTTCTCGATGATTTTGTGGAAGGGCTGTTTCAAGGAAGTGCCGGCCGAGATGTGACGAAAGAATTCAACAACCTCGCCAACTGGAACGCTTCAGCACGAGCAGCCAATCTACAATGCTTGCAAAATGCTTTTTACTATGGCAAAGTCGACTTCCGCCAAAGTGCAAAGTGCCAAGCCAACAACTACATTCTGCTTTCATTCACAGTCATCCTATGTACTGTCATTGTGGTCAAGTTTCTGGCGTCTCTGCAATTTGGTGGAGGAAGACCCGCAAGACAAAACAGGCTCGTCATTTGCCAGTACGTTCTTCTCATCTGACACTTTCGCTAATCACAGAATCCCAACATACACGGAAGGTGAAGATCAATTGCGCAATGCGATTGACTCTGTTTCCGACCTGGACTATCCAGATGAACTCAAGCTATTGTTCATTGTATGCGATGGCATTCTCGTTGGCCAAGGCAATAAGAAACCAACTTGCGAGATTGTGCTAGACATCCTCGGCGTCGACCAAGCAAAGATTGATCCTCCAGCGCTTGCTTACGAGTCAGTATCCGAGGGCACAAAGGTGTATAATCGAGCAAAGACCTATGCTGGTCTGTATGAGCATGAGGGTCATGTTGTTCCATATCTTGTCCTTGTCAAGGTTGGCAATGAAAAGGAGACGCATCGTCCGGGCAATCGAGGAAAGCGTGACAGTCAAATTATGCTCATGCGCTTCCTGAATCGATTCCACGAAGAAAAGCCAATGACACCCTTTGAAATTGAGATGGCGTACCAGATGAGTCAAGTGATTGGTGTCAGTCCTGGCTTGTACGAATATGTTCTTATGCTGGACGCAGATACGAAACTGGCCCCTGATTCGCTCAATGTCCTCATTTCTGCTTTCCAAGCCGACGCGAAGCTCATGGGTACATGTGGCGAGACTGCTTTGGCCAAGAAGGAACTCAGCTGGTGGACCATGATCCAAGTGTATGAGTACTACAATTCTCATGCACTGAGCAAGGCATTTGAATCGCTCTTTGGCAATGTGACTTGTCTCCCTGGCTGTTTCTGCATATATCGGATCAAATCTGCTCGTGGTCTGCCGTTGCTCATCTCTGATGAAGTGGTTGATGGCTACTCTGATTCCGACATTAGCACTTTGCGTATGGCTCCTTGATATTGGAATTTGCTAATGATAGACAAGAAGAATCTGCTTACGCTCGGAGAAGATCGTTACTTGACGACTCTCATGACCAAGCACAATACATCTATGCGACTCACGTTTTGTCCTCAAGCAAAGGCGTACACAGCTGCTCCCGAGACGTGGTCTATTCTTGTTAGTCAACGTCGTCGCTGGATCAATTCTACCATCCACAACTTGTTTGAGCTCTTGTTTATTGATGAGTATGGCCACTTCTTACTGACCTTGCTGACCTTAGCATGTGCGGCTTTTGTTGCTTTTCCATGCGTTTCGTGGTCATCATTGATCTCTTCGGAACACTAATCCTGCCGGCAACAACAGCCTACCTGGTCTACCTCATTTACAGCGCCAGCTCTGGCAAGTCAGCGTTCCCATTGATTGCAATCGTCATGCTTGGCGCAGTATATGGCCTGCAAGCACTTGTGTTCTTGTTGCACAGGCAGTGGGAGCATATTGGCTGGATGGTTATCTGGATCATCAGCTACCCCGTTTACTCGCTCATACTTCCGCTCTACTCCTTCTGGCACCAAGATGATTTCAGCTGGGGAAATACACGCGTCGTTATTGGCGAGAAGGGACAGCAAATTACATATGGCACTGAGGAAGAGGAAGAGTTACAGCCTGGCGTGATTACGATGCAGCGTTGGTCCGAGTATGCTGCGAATGCAGGTCTCGAGGTCGAACCAGGGGCAACCAGGATGACTACAACGATGGACTCGCATTCCGACGTGGAACTGCAAGACTATAAACAAAAAAGCCTCGTGGCGTCTGCTTACAGTATTGGTGGTTTGACTGAGCAACAGCGAAAGCAAGAGCTCCGTCAAGCAGTCTTTACCGTTTTGTGGGGATGTGATTTGGACCACACGACAACCAGGGACATTGAGCGTCTTGTCAAAGGTCAAGTCGGCAACAACCTTACAGCTTTGGACATGGAGTATATCGATGAAGCAGTCGACGAGCACCTGTTGTCATTCAACAAGCATGATGTCGTCTGACGGGAAGTCTGCCGACTGTCGTACGATGTGTACCGGCACCTCACATAACGGCAAAAGTGTGGCCTTGATGGAGGAACATGACCAAGAGAGAGCTATGTGAGAGGCTGGAGGCTCCGCTGGAGAGGATAATGATAGACTGCATAATACTTGCATGGCTCAAACGTCCGTGGGCGACGGGATGGTTCGCTCTTTCACACAATAGATATCAGGCAAATACGATGTCGAAGCACAAACAAGAATGTTTGAAGAGCTTGACATCCATCAACCTAGCGATAGGTAAAGAAACGTCTCGATGAGCTGCACTACATCCTTTGTGTACTCCTGTCCATTGAAGCGCGACAGCTACGCGTCAATGACCTCCCGCAATGGCCCAATCTTGTCTTCATGAAGGAATCGGAAGTTGCAATCAAGGAGTTCCCCGAGTCTCCGGACATGCCAATCGCTGCATTACCTTGACGGCAGATAGTCAATGCGTGTAGTTTCTAACTCCTGCGCTGTAGGCATGCAACAAATCTTGATAAAATCGGCGCTGTCATTGTCGTGCCTTGGACCATCTGGAACGAGTTCGCCTGGGCCATCTCGTGCAATTTTGAATGTCGCAAAGGCGCCAGCGACAATCTCGACGTTATCCGATGCTCATATTTAGACGTCCTTGGATACGATCTAGCTTCTTTTGGCCAATGGCTAATGACTCCAGGAGCAGAAGTGCCCTCAAGTATTCAGCGATCGTGCATTACTCTTCATTGACTAGGACGTGATTGCTGACATCCATTGCCTCGGAGAGGATAGCTCATACTGTGCCCAATCGGGAATAAGATAGGACATGGCTGCCCAGCTCACACGACTCAAGTAGACAGGTGAAGACTGACCCCACGCGCTGTCGAGAAGGTCCATACAGAGCAATTGAAGTACCAAGGGGTTCTCCAACACTGCCGAGCGCTTCACGTTTGCATGAATTAGCGATCCAAACAAAGGCAGGACAACATCTGTCAGAAGCTGTCGCTTTTGCGTCTCTGGGACATCCTGCATGCAAAGGTTCATGACTGTCCTGAGCCGCAAAACGTCGCCATCGCTTGCAAGGATGACCACGACCTGCTGAAACCATTCAACGCTCTTTTCGACTCTATGGCGGTCTGGCAGAAGCGCAGTAAATCGTCAAGAGTAACGGCTTGTTCTGCCCAGACTTTGGTATTGCCTAGACTTGAAACATTTGAGCGTCAAATTATCCAAAGATATTGGTCATTTTGGCCTTGGACGGACCAACAAAGGCAGAATTTGGAGGAACGGCTGCAGCGCCATGTATGTGCACTTGTCACCCTTGATACACGAGCCAACAGCGAGGAACCTGCACGGTAACATTTTATAGCTACCGTTAAGTTTTGTTGACATGCTGGCTCTGAGTTCAAGCGCATCGTATTGATTGCTCAAGCGCGCTGACGTGAAGTGCGGGCTATGATGAGTACAAGGCATGCACGAGCAACATCACGGATAACTTTGAAGGCCCACATCAACTGAATCTATCGACTCACACTTGTTTTGGCTTTCCCTTCTGCTCGTAGGCCTCCCGGTCTTTGAAAGCTAACATGCTTGACGACGATTTTGGGATAGCAGCATTGAGGCCGCCATCTGCGACAGCACAATGACTGCGTTTCGAACTACAGGAAGCTCCTTCGAAAAAGCTCCCACTCCAGCTGTGAATCCGAAGCGAGCCTCTCCGCGATCAAGTCTATCATGTCGTTAGGCAGCGGAAGCGACATACACGCTTTGATGTTAACATTCTCACGACGTTTGTTGCGTAAATCAGACATATGCAAGAGCTCAATCCGCTTTATGATCGGGGCCATAGATTCTCCTTTGCAACAGAGAACGGTATTGCCTGGATGCGTTTCGTTCCCAACGTGATATTTGATGGTGCAGTTGCTCGATTGAGATGGATCCAGACCACTAGGCAGTGTATTCAGTCTGAAGAATTCGTCGGCGAAGAGATCCGCGCATTGTGCATCGCATGCGATTGAGTTGATAAATCCTGGGCCAATGTAAACCGCATCCCAAATTCCATCTTCCAAGACGTAATCTGGGTTTGCGCCTGTGAAGGAAGGCTCGGGGTACCATGACTGTTGCTGAAGCACCTTGAAAGAATTGATGATTCGCTCTGACGTCTTCAAGGGTTCACAATAAGGAATGTAGACAGGAGGAGCCTGACAAGGTGAAGTGTCTGCAGAGGAATTCGCAGAATCTGACTCAGGCGGTAGCCGTTGGACCACTCGCTGCATCACCATATCGACTTTGCATAAACACAGACCACCCTGCGCCAACGTAATGCTCTTTGCCTCTTGTGGGTGTCGGAAGAGGATATCCCAAGATGTGGAATCTGTTGTGTCCATGATGCGTATGCAAGGATCCGCTTTGGACCTAGCGATGCTGTAATATAGATCAGCAGTACGCTCCACACAGACAGTTTCGCAGTCTGGCAGTTGTTCCCAGGGTGATCCTATCCAAGCTCTTGTTGTCCTCCATGGGCTTTCTAATGGATCGAATGAGCACCTCTCTGAGCCTGAAGTGCTCGCCTCTGAGCCGCACCCTGGAGGAAGAAGTCGAGGACGGTTAGGCTTTTCAATGTCTGTCCCTGCCGACGACCCTTGCAGATATGACTTCAGGTCTAGCGCATCGAGCGAGCACGTCTTTGAGATCAATGAGTTGCCGCAGTTTGAAGCGTGAGACTTGAACTTAATCTTGACAACTGAACAGACGCTTAATTGGTATTGCATGCAATCATCATCTTGTGCCAGTATGCCGCGATGCATGGAGAACAGCAACGACAGCCGGAGGGATACATATCCGATGAAGCATAACAGGCCAGCAGTGGACGTCAACATAGCTTGAGCTCGCAGGGTTGCAACGATGCAAACGTGCACCGTAAGCAACAGCTGTCCTATTGCAAGCCGATAAAGAACAGTTGAGAAAGACTTTGCGGCTGCAGCGACTAATGTGAAGGATGCGAAGCTGTTTATTCGCAAAGATATTAATAGTCGCTGCTACCTCCTGATCATCATAGAAGTCTTGGCCTTTGCCAAATGGTCACTTTATGCAGGAGTCGCTAGTAATTTGGTCTGCTCTCCTCAGACTCCTGAATTATCCATTCGGGCATAGGGCTGTGCACCTCCTGCTGACTTCCCAAGAATTCTGCCTGCACACGAAACAGTCTACGGGCGGGATCTCGAATGTCATATTTTCAGCTCAAGGATACGTTTCTGATCGATCAATGGGCGTCTGTTATTCTGGCGGCAGCACTCTCGTGCGGCAGATGAATCTCAATTTCGATTGTGTAGTTGCCGCAGAGCATGTACAAGAGCTACAACAGCAATGCATACTACATGGTCTGCGATTGTAGTATCTGACAAGCCATGCTCTTTATGCACAAGGGAGGTTCTTGTGTTCTCCTGAGGCCAAGACCACCCAGCACGTGTACGATATATCTTGTAGTCCAATGTGACAAGAGTGCAGTACGTCCTCAGCAAAATGGAGAACTGCAAAGGTCAGGGGATAACTCTCAAGAAGGGCGAGATGAGAGCTTCAGTAGGCAGCGTCCCTATGATTAGAGAAGGGGGGCAGACAAAGGACCTCTGGCCATATGGTCGCATAGGCAGAGGAAGCTTGCATCTTTGTATGCCTATAGCTATGCATATGAGAATGGTACTGCAGCGAGAAGCTCACATCAAATCGCCCTATCGACTAACAAGGTGATTCTGATTCGTTTTGGCCTTCCATTCTCCCCATAGATCTCTCGGCTTTTGGGAGCTGACATTCTTGGCAACGAGCTTGGGGTAGCAGTATCGAGCCCGTCATCCGCGATACCACAATTTCTGCTTCTCGAGCTACATGAATCTCATTTGAGAGAGCTTCCACTCCAGCTGTGAACCCGAAGCGAGTTTCTCCGCAATCAAGTCTAGCATATCGTTAGGCAGCGGAAGCGACATACACGCTTTGATGTAAATATTCTCATGACGTTTGTTGCGTAAATCAGATATATGCAAGAGCTCAATTCGCTTCATGATCGGGGCCATGTATTCTCCTTTGCAGCAAAGAACGTTATGGCCTGGATGTGATTTGTTTCCAACGTGATATTTGATGGTGCAGTTGCTCGATTGAGATGGATCAAGACCCCTAGGCAGTGTATTGTAGCCTATGTCGGCGAAGATATCTTGAAATTCTGCATCGCAATCGACCCGGCGGTACATATCAGGTAGAGACTTGTCCCAACCGTTATCCTGCGACTTGTACTCTGGATTTGTGAGAACAGCTGTGTAGGCAGGCTTGGGGTACCATGACTGCTGTTGGAGCACCCTGTCGGAACTGACGTGTCGGGCAACTATTCGGAACGGTTCACAATAGTCATTGTTTAAGACAGGAGCCGAAGGACTGGGTCTGTTTGCAGAGGTGCTCGCAGAATCTGACTGAAGCGGATGTCGTGTTATCACTCGCTGCACCGCCATCCCGAGTTTACATATACACACTTGACTGTTCGCATCCGCCTCGGTCAGGGGACTTTTCGGGTGTCGGAAGAGGATATCCCAGGATGCGGAATTGTTTGCGTTCAAGATGTGTATGCAAGCATCTGCTGTGGTCCTAGCAATGCTGTAGATCAGATCAGCAGTACGCTCCGCACAGACAACTTCGCAGGCTGGCAGTGGTTCACAAGCTGGTTCTGCAGCTGTCCAAGCTTTCATTGTCTTCCAAAAGTTTGGAACGCCCAGGAATGAGTCGCACTTCGGAGAGGGACGCAGAAACTTGACATCTAATACGACGTTATATTGGTATTGCACACAATTTTCACCATCTTGAGCCAGTATGCCGCGATGCATGGAGAACAGCAACGACAGCCGGAGGGATATAGATCCGATGAAGCATGACAGGCCAGCAATGGAAGTCAACATAGCTTGAGCTTGCAGGGCTGCAACGATGCAAATATGCACCGTGAGCAACAGCCGTCCAATTGCAAGCCGATAGAACTAAAGAATAGTTGAGATAGACTTCGCGGCTGCAGCGACAAATGTGGGGGATGCGAGGCTCTTCATTCGCAGAGATATTAATATTCGCTGTTACCTCCTGATCATCATAAATATCTTGGCCATTGCCTAATGGTCACTTCATGCAGGAGTCGCCAATAATTTGGTCTGCTCTCCTCAAGCTCCTGAATTATACATTTGGGCATAGGACTGTGCACCCCCGCTGACTTTCCAAGGACTCTGCTTGCACCTAACAAGGCGTACGAGCGGGACCTTGGCCGTCATACTATCAGCTCAAGGATGCGTTCCTGAGCGATCCACCAGCGAATCATGGGCGCCTCTTGTCCTGGCTCTGATGTTTGCGTGCGGCAGCGGACCTCAATCCCAATTGTGCAGCTTTTGCAGAGCCTGGACCAGAGCTGTAGCAGTACTGCATACTATGTAGCCTGCGACGGTAGTATCTGATAAGCCATGCTCTTTATGCACATGGCGGTTCTTGTGTTCTCATGTGGCAAAGACCAACCAGCACGTGTGTGATATCTCTTGTAGTCCAATGTGACAAGGGTGCAGTCCGTCCTCAGCAAAATGGAGAAGTGCAAAGGTCAGGAGATAACTCTCAAGAAGGGCGAAATGAGAGCTTCAGCCCTACAGAAAATTTGGACCGGCAGATTACCGGCGGAAATTACCAGAAGAATACCGGCGGAATACCGGCGGGAAATCCCTAACTTTGTAGGCGCAGTAATACCAGCAGACTACCAGCAGACTACCGGCGGAAATAAGCACGCCTTTATCAGAGCCAATCGGATGATTACCAGAGGATATGACCTGCCAACGGGTGAGCTTAAAAGATGCTGTAGCGATAGTAGGTGTAGCAACTAGACCATCTATGACACACTACAGACGTGCTGCCGCTTTCTTGGCCTTCTTGGCAGACTTGCGCGCCTTTTTTGCTTGTGATGCTGCAGTCTTTCCCTTGATTAGAGTAGCGCTGCCTTGCTCAGCATCCTGTGCTCTGCGTGATAGCTTTGATGTTCTTCCAAACTAAAAATGCATCGTTAGTATGTCATGGTAGGAGTAGCAGAATTGCAAACCTTGCGAGACGAGGAGGCAGATCGATCTTTGCTTGACTTCTGGCCACTGGTCAGTCTTATAACATCAAAGATGGGACGGACTTGCCTTGGAAACATGATAGCTCTTGTTTGCTTGACGCTACATCTTGTTAGCCAATGTCTGCTCCGCATAAAAGGCTCACATTGTGCTGAGACAAAGTTGGCTGCAACTGAATATGTTAGTGAGTCACATCAGGCAAAAGGAGAAACCCACAACTCTCGATGCAGCCTCGTCAATATCATCGTCTTCAGACAGGACGGAAGCGGGTGTCTCGCAGCGGGTATTCTCGTTATCGACGCGAGCAGATGACACTCCATGGGCAACGTCGTGCTCGTGGCTGACATCATCGTCTTGGGAAGAAGCAGCAGTAGTAGTCTCTCTGTAGACTTTCGCTTTGCGCGTCTGTGGGTGCGTCAGTCAAGAGCTTGCAAGGTACAGAGACACTTTCACCGCTTCATTCACCACCTTCGCGTGGTGCTGGCAGATATTCAAGGCAATCCAATGTCCATGAGCTCGTCCCAGCACAGAGACAGCCTTTTCCAAGTTGTGAATGACCGTCTAGAGCTTCCCAACGTTGCGGTGACGCCATGTGACCGTCCTACCTTGCGCATCAACCACAATCTGGTGAGTGTCTATCAGTTACCGTGCATGTGCAGTGATGTTGTTCCATGTGGCATCGCGTAATGGCGTTCGTGGCCAGAGTCCCATTGCGAGTTGTAGTGTCTTTGTAGAGGGACTATCGGTTCTAGAGAAGCCATGCGACGTGCGCTTGGATCTTAATGGTGTATCGATACGCTCAATAGATCCTGCGAGCCTGTTGTAGTCGTCGAGGCTGTCTGTGGGAGACTCCTCTTCCTATCTGGGTCAGTCGAAGGTATCGCGCTTGCAGCATGCACTGCTCACGCGAGTAGAGGACGGCATGTCTTGAGAAGAGTGATCGAGCACCTTCAGACCCTACAGGCTCGAGCGTGTGTCAGCTCAAGGACAGTGAGGTGTTGTCTACAAGCAGCAAGACGGTGCAGAGCAGATGCGTGTGCTGGTCATCCTATCTCGTCCTGAAGTGACAAGACAAGAATGAAGCAAACCGCCAAAGTCGACGATACTCAAGATTCGCTAGCACTACACTCTTCCAGTTTTCAGCTTACAAACGCCAATTTGTGGCCAAGATATTAAGTGGCTAGTCGTCAGAGCACCACAAAGATCTTCGTTGCGAATGACCTCCATTCACGAAGCAAGGTCGCGTTCAGTGAGCAGACGTATGAAGCGCCCGAGGTTGACGACAATGCAATAGTGAGCTATGGGGAAGTTTTGTATCTGTTTGAACACGATAGCAGGCATTTGGCGATCATCAAGGTCTCGCAGACCAAGTTGTCGTGCGGCGCAAAGTCTCTCAGCAAGCAAGGACACATATTGCAGGCCATTGTGCCAGTTTGCCGTCCTCTTGAACCAATTGGCTTATTGGAGAGAACAGAGCCCGACAAGAAAAGAGCAGCAGGCAAGCTGCTTAAGCGAAAACGGCGCGTACGAGGGCAGAAGCACTCTTTATGGGTAGCTGAGGGCTATCGAATCCAGTATAAAGAGCTTCTAGATTTGATTATGAGCGGATGTTGGCCTCTGATCACTTGATAACAGTGATTGACTTGTGTATTGTCTGCCTTTTGGCGTGGCCCAGTGATCCGCCTCATCATATCCGCTGGTTTTCCTGCGGTGTGCAAGTTTGGAAGTCGGAAAAAGGCGATGACTTCTGTGCGGCCAAGGCCAGTCCGACATGATTCATAAAAGTGAGGCACCTCCTAGCTCCATACATCCTGCATGGTCTAACGACAGCTCCTTCCAAGGACAAGTCCAGCCAGATCATCCATAAGAGCGTGCTCTGCTACGACCAGCTGTGTATACTATAACTTCTCAATCCATTGCTTCCTCTATTGACTTTCACTCTGCTAGTATGACGGCAGAAGAGCTTCGAATCTCAAAACCTTCGGATGATGACTATGAAAGTCCACTACACGACTATCTGGGATTGACAGAAATCCCAAAGAATGCCAACGAAGACTCTAGGTTTCAAGTTGATCCTCTCGTCGTCAGTCAGTCGAAAGATTGGAGCAAGCTGGTGTGGTCTTGACTATAAACGGGAAGCAAGTCGCATGGGAACATGTCCGTACAGACTTTTAGATGCCAAGGTCTGTCGGTATAATCTCATTCACTGTGCACGAATCTGAGTTGCAAGATGCTGAAGAACTGATGCGAATGAACGCGCAAAGTACCCAGGACGCCAATGCAGAGGTCGCGCTTTATGATGAAACACCATGCAGCCTCACTACTCTTCAAGATTCCTCAACCATGCAAGTCAAGGTCGCAGATGTTGCTGGAGAGCAAGCCAAGATGTTCGAGGTGTCCTCTACTCGAGCTATCCCATCTGCCATTGCTGGTTTGACAGTGATTAGTGCTTCGATCCTGCCGAGGACTGGCGACAAACGTCCACATGCCACATCATTGTCAGAAGATGAAGATGCCCAGACAGGCTCTCTTGTTCATTCGGCGGAGCTCCAAGTCAGTTCGGAGAGGGCATCTGATATTTGTCCAGTCAGGAGTCAAAGAAAGCGTAGTGTCCCTGCTCGCTATGGTGTAAAGAAGACTCATTGATGGCCCATAGCTGGCTAGCACAGTACTATATCATGCATACCTTGTGTAACTCAGCCTTGATCGGTGTCACTGAGCTTGCCAGTTACGTGTAATATCTGCTTGGCTTGTCTATAGGCTTGAATCGTACTATAGGTCGCATCTTGGACGCAGCATCGCACCAGTCTCGAGAGGCCCAAACCTTGCGTGTGCATTTTATTCGCGTCTCTATAGCTAGGGGGCCAATCTTGCGCGGTGAAAATCCCGGGCCCCGGGATTTTCAGCCCGGGATTTCCTACCAGCCGGAAGTCGGTTGGCTCCGGTAATCCGCCGTGCTTGAAAAATTTCTCACGGTAATCCGCCGGTTGGCTCTGGTACACTCCGGTAAATTTTTCGTAGGGTGCAGAGAAGGGGGGCAGACGAAGGACCTCTGGCCACATGGTCGCATAGGCAGAGGAAGCTTGCATCTTTGTATGCCTATAGCTATGCATATGAGAATGATACTGCAGCGAGCTGAACGTAGATGAAAGCACTGCCGTAATTGTGTTCACGCATGCCATGAATCTCACCCTTGCGCTAGCTACCTCTAAAGCTATTCGATGACCACGACAGGAGCTGGCAGAAACTGCATGTAACCTTGACGGACGCATTCATGCATCAATTGCAAGCGAGACGATGTCACCAAATTGCAAGCCAGAAGACCGCGATCCAATGTGGAATTTAGATAGCGTGACATGTCATGTCCTAAGCCACGAGAGTGACATGCTTCTACTAGATCTTTCGGTAGCTTTGACTTTGAGCTACAGAGTGCTAACAGGTGACGAACGAAAGCATTCCATCTGTCGCTTTACTCTGGCTAAGTATTGGCAATCCAGACTCTTGCATCTCCGCTTCAGCTGCAGCAGGTGCCGCAACGAAGAGGTAACAGCGGTCACACCAGTACTGCCGCAAAAGCTATTTGCGACAAAACCGTATCGACCGCATCTACAGCGCGCCAAGAGTATCTCCAGGAGAGCTCATATAGAACGACCCGCGAGTGATTATCATCAATGGTCCACAATGCACGCTGGAAGTCCAAGTTTCCATTATCAAGAACAAGAACGACCTCAAGAACCTTTCTGAACGGCACAACTCGGACCGCGCGGATCTTTTCTTCTGGAGTGAGCGAAGAACTGTGGAACAGCACAAGGCATATCTCAAGAAGCAGCTTGTCAAATCGCACATCCTACCAGTCATTGGTCACATGGACGGCACGCTCTTTGGACATCTTGAAATTTATTGGGCTATGGACGCCTATAGTGCACCATTTGCTGATGCTCAAGACGATGATCGAGGCTTTCATGCAATTGTTGGTGATACAATAGACCGTGCGTCGGATGTGGGACCGCATTGGTTCTTCACTGACGCATCACTGCTTCCTGGCAGATCTCAGGACAACGAAGGCCATGTTGGAGCCGCCAGCAGACGATGATAGGTTCATCAACTATCTTGTTAGATCTGGATACTACCTGGAGAGGGACTTTGACTTTCCTCATAAGCGTGCAGCGCTCATGACGATCTCGAGGGACAACTTATTTGAGTGCCAACCACCGAGTTTTGAGGCTTTCATGCTGCGAACTGTCAGATCTTGAGACAATTGCGATTCGATAGATACGACACGGATCTCAAATCATCCCTTTGCTGATCACCTTGTTTTTTTTGTAAATTCAAATCATTGCTCAAGCACACTGCTGGCTATGATGAATGCACGGCATGCACGAGCCACATCACGAAAATCTTTGAAAGCTCACATCAAATCAAACTATCGACTTACAAGGTAATTCTCATTTGTTCTGGCTTTCCATCCTCTCCATAGAGCTCTCAATTTTTGCAGCTGACATGTTTGACGACGAGCTAGTAAAAGTAGCATTGAGCCTGTCGTCTGCGATACCACAATTTCTGCTTCTCGAGCTACATGAAGCCCATTGGTAACAGTTTCTGAAGCTGTGACTTCGAATCAGATTTCTCCATGATCATGTCTCCTGTCACGTCAGATGTCCCAATTTCCATGCACACTTGTTTGTCAGCCTTGCTGAAAGATCTACCGCCTAAGTCATTCGAATGCAAGACCTCAATCCGCTTCATGATCGGAGCCATAAAGGCTCCTTCGCAGCAGAGGACGGTGTAGCTTGAATGTGATTCGCCTCCACTGTGATATTTGATGGTACACTTGCTCGAGTGAGGAGGACGAAGACCATCAGGCTGTTTGTTCGTTTTTTTGTCGGCAAAGATATCTTGAAATTCTGCGTCGCAATCAAGACCATGAATGAAACGTGGCAAGACGCGACTCGCAATCCAACCTTTACCCTTCAAGATGTCATCTGGACTTTCGGCTGTGTAGGAAACCTGAGGGTACCATGACTGTTGCTGGAGCACTTTATCGGGATTGAGGACCCGGTCTGTTACCCTTGGCACTTTACAATAGCCATAATCGAAGACAGAAGCCGAAGGCCAGGAAGTGCCTGAAGAGGTGCTCGCAGAATCTGACTGAAGCGGGTGTCCTGTTATCACTCGCTGCAACACCATCTCGATTTTACATACACACAGATGACCTTCCGCATCTGCAGTGCTCAGCGGATTCCACGGGTGACGGAAGAGGACATCCCAGGCTGAGGAGTCCTTTGTGTTCATGATGTGTATGCAAGAATCTGATTTGGACCTAGCGATGCTGTAAATCAGATCAGCAGTACGGTCAGCACAGACTTGATCGCAATCGACCAACGGTCTCTGTGTTCGTGCTCCAGCAATGTCTGCCGCTGCCCGATACCTTTCCTCAAAGAAATTTCGTGAGGGTGGCGAGCACGTCCCTGGACTCGAACTGCCCGTATCCGACTCGCACTCTGGGAGAAGATCAGGACGCTCGACCTCGACGTCTGTCTTTCCCTTCAGATCATCCAGATATGACCACAAAGCGTCTGCATCGAAGCACATCTCCGGCTCTGGAACGCCCGTGTTCGGGTCGCATTTTGGAGGAGGACGCTGAAATTTGACTTCTAGAGTGGCGCACACTTGGTGTTGCTCGCAATCAGCTGCATCAACTTCTGCAAACAGGCCTCGATACATGGAAGACAGGAACGACAGCTGAAGGACCATACACACGATAAAGCGTGATAGGCAACCAGTGGAGGTCAGCATAGCTTGCAGGGTTGCAACGATGCCAACGTGCACCGTGAGCAAGAGCTGTCCTATTGCAAGCCGATAAAGAATAGTTGAGATAGACTTTGCGGCTGCAGCGACAAATGTGGGGGATGCGAGGCTCTTCATTCGCAGAGCTATCAATATTCGCTGTTACCTCCTGATCATCATAAATCTTGGCCATTGCCTAATGGTCACTTTATGCAGGAGTCGCCATTGATTTGGTCTGCTCTCCTCAATTGCAAGCTCCTGAATTATACATTTGGGCATAGGGCTGTGCACCTCCCGCTGACTTCCCAAGAATTCTGCCTGCACACGTAACAGTCTACGGGCGGGACCTTGACCGTCATACTATCAACTCAAGGATGCGTTCCTGAGTGATCCACCAGCGAATCATGGGCGCCTCTTCTCCCGGCGCTAATGTTTGCGTGCGGCAGCGGACCTCAATCCAAATTGTGCAGCTTTTGCAGAGCATGGACCAGAGCTGTAACAGCACTACATACTATGTAGCCTGCTACGGTAGTATCTGATAAGCCATGCTCTTTATGCACATGGCGGTTCTTGTGTTCTCATGTGGCCAAGACCAAACAGCACGTGTGTGAGATATCCTGTATTTGAACGTGATGGGAGTGTAGTTTGTCCTCGGCAGAGCGGAGGACTGTACAGAGAAAAGGTCCTACAGCTGATGCTTCAGAGATCAGCCTACAAGCTTTAGCCTTTTAGCAAGGAAGGTGATATGAGCTTCGACAAAGCTATTGAAATGTAGAAATAGCGTCCCCATGATCATTGAAAAAAGCAGACAGAGGACCCCTGACCACATGGTCGCAGAGGCAGATGAAGTTTGTATGGTTGTATGCTTATGAGAATGCTACTGCAGCGAGGCTGAGCGAGCTGAACGTAGATGAGAGCACTGTCGTATTTGCATTCGCGCATGCCGTGAATCTCGCCCTTGCACTAGCTACCTTCTATAGCAATTCAATGACAGCGACAGAGAGCTGGCAGAAGCTGCGTGCAATCCTGAAGAACGCGATGATGACCAGTGCTGTTCAATTAACTGTAGTGTGCACCTGAATCAGGAAGGTTGCAGGCAACCATTGATGCATAAGCAGAGTCACGACGCAATATGCCATATTAGTAGCGTCATCATCAAACGAGGAACGAGCTGACGGCCTCGGGCATTGGGTATGTCGTGGAAGCAATCGAAGAACATGTTGTTGTCTGTAGCAGAAGTGCGGCAGATCGAAACCTTTGATATGCGCAAGTCTGAATTTTGTATCTTGGTGAGTCCAGAGTTCTTGAATTTATACTTGCCAAAATCAAAGGATTGTCTGCACGGCGCGAAATCTGACTTGCAGCGTCGCAGACCACGACGACACCCAAGCATCCATCAATCGCAACTTCCTCAAATCTTGTCCTATCGATCTGAAACCTTGCTTACGCTTCTCTCCGTCTTGTTATCTACCAGTTGATGGTCTTTATTGCACCATTTCCGCAGATTTGAGGAAGTCTACAAAGAGTCGTCCGGCTGACGTTTGCTAAAGTCTTGGCTCAGCCAGAGATTGCCAGAGTCTGAATTAGCCAGCCAGTGCAATGTCGCGGCCTTCTTCTGCGCGGCGCCCATCGCCTCTCTCGGATGACGAGCAGGCCACAAAGCGGAGGAAATTGTCACATACTGGGGCGGCTCAGCCCGTTGCCTTACAGGAACCCGCAAATCCTGAACAGCCTGCTCCGGTACGATTCTATGTCACACATCTCATGCTAACCTCTTAGGAACCGGCTACCGTACAGTCTGCGCACACCAGCCCAACAGCGACTAAGAAGCGCGGACGACCCTCAAAAGCCGATCTTGCTGCTCGAGCACAAGCACAAGCTGCGAGTGCTGCAACAGAGCCAGAGAAGACTGTCAACAGGCGGCATAGCTCTCGACTGGCTCCAGAAGCAGAGTCCAAGGCGTTTTCTACAGAGGAGACCCCTGTGGCTGAAGCTGCGGGACGACAAAAGACACTGAGGACACGCGAAGCTGCGGTGGTTCCAAGCAAGCCCGGTACAAAGACAAGTAGGACTGAAATGAGCGACATTGCTTTGGCTACTTCTGCTACCCAATCTCCGCCAGTCAAGCGCGGGCCTGGCCGTCCGCGGAAAATCAGACCTGAAGATGATCACGTTGGCTCGTCCAAAACTGTCGAGAAGAAAGTCAAGCTTGAGAGGGCATCCATGTTGAGCAAATCTACTAGCAAGACGCTGAAAGACCCAAATGCAAAGCCGAGAGGTCGCCCGCGTAAAGAGACGCTCGTCAAATCTGAAGAAGCCTTGGCTACAACGTCAACAGCTAATGTGCAACCATCTCCAGGCATCAAGCGATTCAGACTCAAAGTCAACCCTGTCATAGCTGGTCCTCTCATCACTCATCCCTTTCACATGCCTCTGCCACCGAAATACGCATCACTCGACGCATACCTTGCATCCTTCATCTCACTCGACGAGGACGTCACGCCTGAAGTTGCTCAACAAAAACGAGCGGATATGACACAACTCAGGCAACAGGTGGATGCTGCACGGGCAAAAGGATTGCTGGAGGAAAAACAAAAGTCGAAGCCGCCGCCGCTCAAACCTGTCGAGCCTGTGGTTCCTCCATCACATCAGGATATTCTCAGCAATCAAGCATGCTATTTCGCCAAACTCATGCAGGATGAACGTCGCCGAAATCTCAGTAATGCGCGCAAGATTGCGGGCATGGTTCAGCAGCACTTCAAGCGTATCTCTGGTGCTGACGAGCGACTGGAAAAGGACTTGCTCAAGCTCCAACGAGGTCTCGCGAAAAAGACTGCAAGCGAGGTGAGGAGGAAGTGGCGATTGGCTGGAAAGGAGGTGCAGCGTCGTGTCTTGGTCAAGGAGCAGGAGCAACAACGTGCCTTGGGCAAACAACATCTCAATCAAATCTTGGAGCATTCTACAAGCTTGCTAGACGCACGACGCAAGTTGCATGACGACGAAGAGGCGGAGGAATCGTCCGAGGCTGAGTCTGACGACGAGGATCACTATTTGTCTGTGGAACAATTGCGAGAGAAGTATGCGCATATTCCTGAGGTCGAGCCAGCGTTGGACGCAAGTGTGTCTGAGTCTGTGTCAAATGCTGGGAGTGTCAGCGATGAGGAAGAAGCTGTCGAGGATGCTCCTGGATCTGATCATGAGGACGACTCTGACGGCAATAGCGAGCCAATGGACTCTGAGCTTGATGAGAGTGGAGCGGATGACGAGGAGGATGGTCCGGGTTTGTCCTTTTTGTATCCAGAGCTGGCGAAGCAAGCTGTGGTTCAAGAGGAGCAAGAATCGTCTGAGGTGGACGACGATAGTCCCATGGATTCTGAAATGGACAGCGACACACAAGAGGCGGAAGACGACGGACCAGGCCTTTCTTCACTCTATCCAGAGCTGCGAAAGGTAGATCGAGCCTCATCTTCAGCAGACGCGGCCGAAATCGACTCGACTGTTCCGATCCGGCCTGCAACACGCCAATCGAGCGGTGAACTGATGGAGCTTGCGTCTGATGTCGACATGGTCGAGGACGACGACAGCAGTCCAATGGATTCTGAAATGGATGATGACGAATCTGGCAGCGAAGTGTCTGGGGCTTCTTCTGGTCCAGGGTTGGCCTACTTGTACTCTATGCCCGTCAAACCCAAAGCACAGATTGAAGAAGTACCTGCAAAGCCTGTCGAGGTACAGGAAGCTGTCCCTGCTGCTGTACCCAAGGCTGCATCGCCAGCTGAAGGACAAGTTGAAATCAAGACACCAATTCCATTCCTACTTCGTGGCACACTGCGAGAGTACCAGCACATTGGCCTTGACTGGATGGCAGGATTGTACCAGAACGGGACGAATGGTATCCTTGCTGATGAAATGGGACTTGGCAAGACCATCCAAACAATCTCCTTGCTCACCTGGCTTGCTTGCGAACGCGAAGTTTGGGGACCACACCTCATCATTGTTCCCACCAGTGTCATGCTCAACTGGGAGCGCGAGTTTAAAAAGTTTGCTCCTGGTCTCAAAGTTTTGACGTATTATGGCAATCCCAAGGAACGCAAGGAGAAGCGACGCGGCTGGTCCAAGCCAGACTCCTTTCATGTCATCATCACGTCTTATCAGCTTGTCATCTCCGACCAGGCTACGTTTCGTCGGCGTCGCTGGGAGTACATGATTCTCGATGAAGCGCACAATATCAAGAACTTCAAGTCACAACGCTGGCAGACGTTGCTCAACTTCAATACTGCGCATCGTTTATTGCTGACCGGTACGCCGCTTCAAAATAATTTGGGTGAGTTGTGGTCGTTGCTATACTTTTTGATGCCTCGGGGTATCAGCGAGGATGCGAGTTTTGCCAACTTGTCTGATTTTCAAGAATGGTTTGGCCGGCCGGTGGATAAGATGATTGAGGATAATACGGGTGGTGGCATGAGCGACGAAGCACGCAATACAGTGGCAAAGCTCCATCGCATCCTGCGTCCTTATATTCTGAGGCGATTGAAGGCAGATGTTGAGAAACAGATGCCCGGCAAGTTTGAACACGTCATCGATTGTCGACTCTCGAAACGCCAACGTTTTCTATATGACGACTTCATGTCGCGTGCCAAGACGCGCGAGACATTGGCATCAGGCAATTTTCTCAGCATCATCAATTGTTTTATGCAGTTGCGCAAGGTGTGCAATCACCCTGATTTGTTCGAGTCTCGGCCCATCGTCACTTCCTTTGCCATGCACAAGTCTGCTTCTGCCACGTACGAGACGCGAGAATTGCTTGTTCGTCGGCGCTTGCTGACAGAGGCCCCTGGGACGCTGGTTGATTTGGACTTTCTCAATCTTCGCTTGCCGAGTCGTGAAGGGTCGTCAAAAATCAACCAGCTAGAGATACGGCATCTGTCTGAAAGGTTAGACGTACCTGATTTGGTTGAAGTGGTGGACGATGATCATCTGACGGTCGCAGGAAAACAAGCTTTTTTGAGATACAAAGATCAACTCTTTGCTCGCGATCGCGCACTGTACAGACAACGCGTCAACAACTTTCGGACGCAGCGGGTGCCCATCTATGGTACGGACTTGCTTCGTGCGTGTCGTACAAAACGACACTTCAAAGCGCCACCAGGATTTGATAAGGCATACTGGCAACAAACGTCGCACATGTCGAAACTCATGCCGAGTTACGAAAGTGTTGTTGCGTCTTGTGAACCTGCCGTGCGAAAGTTTGGCTGCATCACACCAAAGGTACTAGCACTGGATCTACCACAGCGCATGCTCCCATTGACTGCAGCACAACAAACAGAATTACGCCATGGTATACGGGATGCTGCTCATTTTTCACGCACATGCATGTCGATTGCGTTTCCCGATAAACGACTGCTTCAATTTGACTGCGGCAAATTGCAACGTCTCGACATGCTACTACGCGATCTCCTTCCGCAAGGACATCGTGTCCTCATTTTTACACAAATGACACGCATGTTGGATATCCTTGAGCAATTCCTGAATATCCATGGTCATCGCTATTTCCGACTCGATGGAGCCACCAAGATTGAACAACGACAACAACTCACAGAACGCTTCAATAATGACCCTCGCATTCCTGTGTTTATACTCTCGACGCGGTCCGGTGGGTTGGGTATCAACCTGACGGGTGCGAATGTGGTTATTTTCTTTGACAGTGATTGGAATCCTTGTATGGATCGACAGTGTCAGGACAGAGCGCATCGAATTGGTCAAACGCGTGATGTACACATCTACAGGTTCGTGTCTGAACATACGATTGAGCAAAACATTATGCGCAAGGCAAATCAAAAACGCATGTTGGATAATGTGGTTATTGGACAAGGTGACTTTACAACGGATTTCTTCAATAAAGTCGATTGGCGGGATATGCTGGGTGAGGAGCTCGGCGAGACATTGCCGATGAATGCAGAGATGGATGTGTCTGGCGGTGGTTTGGAGGCAACATTGGCCATGGTGGAGGATGAAGATGATGCTGCTGCTGCACGGGTTGCTGAGCGAGAGATGGATATTGATGCGGTTGAGTTTGCAGAGACGGGAACACCCGCTCAGCAAGCGGCGTTGGCTTCTTCGACGAACGCTGCGCCTGTCGTTGCCGACGAAGGGGATGAAGAGGAGCCAGGCAGTGTGGACGACTACATGATTGAGTTCTTGCTACGGGAACAAGGTCGCATGGACTTGATGGATGTCGTATGATATCCCTCTTTAGGATCCTATTATTGACTCTTGTCTACACCAATCTACAAGCGTGCTGAGGCAGCTGGAACAACGAGACTGCCGAGGCCACCAATAATCTGCTCAACCTCACCTTCAATCTTTGCAAGCATAGCCTCACACGTTGGCACATCATCAATCAACGCCATCGATTGCCCAGATGACCACACACCGGCCTCCGAATCACCTGCTTCATACACAGTCTTGCCGCGTGCACCAGAAACGAGAGCAGCGACATCCTTGAACTCTGCGCCACCACGCTTCTCAATAGCAGTGACTTGATCGGCAATCTTGTTTTTGTAGATACGCGCCGTGTTCTTGAAGGATCGCAACATGAGTGCTGTATCATTCTCTGTGCCCTTGACAATTTGTAGTTTGATGTCATGGTGAATGGGTGATTCCGCGGTACACATGAATCGGGTGCCCATATTCGCACCAACAGCACCGAGTGCAAGTGCAGCGGCGACACTTCGACCATCTGCCATACCTCCCGATGCAATGAACGGAATGGTCAAGACTTTCTTGGCTTTGGCAAGGAGGATGAGGGTACCGACATCGGCTTCTCCAACATGACCTGCTGCCTCGAATCCATCAATCGAGAGACAATCCACACCAAGCTTTTGTGCACTCAGTGCATGTCGAATGGAAGTACACTTGTGAATGACGGTGACGCCTGCTTCTTTCAGTTGTTTGATGACCGGTCCGGGATTGTCTGCATGTCAGCGCTTGAATAGAACAAAGTCGGGAGATTGACATACTTCCGGCAGTTTCGACGACTTTGACGCCTTCATCAATGATGGCCTGTGCATACAATGCGTAATCTCCAGGCTTCAAGGTCATTGATGGCAACAAGGTGATGTTGACACCGAATGGCTTGCTTGTCATTTGCTTGCATCGTTGGATTTCCTTGCGCAGAGCATCAGGGCTAGGCTGAGTAAGGGCAGTGAGGATACCGAGTCCACCTGCGTTGGAGACTGCAGACGCGAGTTCTATGGGTTAGAATTTGGTGTATTTGCGGGGGATGTGTTTATACCGGCAACACCGACCCATTGCATGCCGCCTTGCACGATGGCTGATGCGTTAGTGATGAATCCAACCAAGAGAAGCACATACGGACGCGAATGCCGAGTGTTTCAGTGAGCCAGGTCTTGATAGGCATAGTATACTGGTATGGTGAGTGGTGTTGGATGATTGCGGAGTTTTATTTGTTAAGCGAAATCTCGGCGCAAGGAAAGCGAAAGCACCGAGATATACAAGTAGAAGTGCATTAGCAGCAGTACAGTGTAGAGCCTAGTTCCCAGCATCATACGGAAGGCCTGCACTGCCCGCACCATCTGCACTCGGCCGGCCGGCCAACAACGCAGCCTGTTTCGCATCATGCGCATCGCCATCTACAGCTGCCTTTCCTGAGATAGGCAACCCCGTGGGTCCCTTCATCTCACCGCCCGTTGCATCGACGTTTTGTTCCCTCTTCAATGCATCCACATCGCGCTCGACCGTACCGCCTGTCGCTCGTCCATGACTTGCCTGTTCCAAGACATCACCCTCTGCCGTCCAATTCGGCGGCTGACTCGCTTGTGCGGTACTAGAGGTACCGAAACCCGCTTCAGGCGAGCCGGATGACTTGTCCTTTGTGACATTTGCTGAATTCACATCGTGGCCGAGACTCGGTGTGCCGCTGCTAGAAGGTGGTGTCATCGCATTTGATTTGTCGGGGACAGGGACAGAACCTGCGCCTGGAGCGAGGGGTGCTTTGCTCGAGTCGTTCAGCTGGCCACTCATGCTGATGTCTGTAGCTGGATGAGGAGGAATAGACGCCGTCTTCTCTCTTGGTTTTGTGTTACATCATCGAACACTACTTCAGATGGGCAGGGGCCGACAACATCAAAACTCATGCTACCATGAGCCTGTATCCAGGTATTCGTACTGAGTACGAAGCATGAATCTGCGATAGAGACTCTAGATCGCTGGTACACAGATTAAATCACCAGAAACTACGAGCTGTGGTTCCAGGATTTCTCTCAATCATGTCCAGAACGACCAGTGGACCTGACATTATGTCTTCTTTTCAGCTGGCAAGAATGCTAGTCAGATAATTTCGTATGAGCCGATTCAAATTGGCCATGAAAAGGACGCATGCCAACGCTTTGAGGTGTAATCCATAAGGACCACCCACACTTGTTCTGCAGGCATTCATCCCATCTTCAATTGAAAGCGAACATCTACTATGCTGGCCCATGCTGCTCATCGAATGTCGTCCTATCGGAATGAGCTTTCTTCTACTGCTGAACATGATTGAATGTTGTAAACTCCAAGGGCAATGTCACATTGTCACATACGCGGATTGTTTCAGGCGTGGGCTGCACTGGACTGAGAAAGGTCTTGTAAGTCTTACTTGAAGTATTTCCTGGGAGGTCGTAGAACTATCTCACAACCGAGAGGATACATGACGGCTGATTGTCCATGTTGACTTGTCCAGTTGCGAGTCGTGATGACACCGTTTTCTAAACGGTGCCTCTTACATGCCAGAGCAGCCAGCAAGCCAGAAACTGCTCTTCGGCTTGAGAGACGAGCAAGGGGTGCTCTACCAACGCTATAGCATAAGGCAATCACTTTCCTAGACTGGTCACTGCTGGCTGTGTACAACGTGCTGCGTGTTCCCCGCGAATTTCTTTTGTCAGCAACCGGCCGGGGATGCAACAAGCAACCCAAAAACTACTCAAGAGAAGACCTAGACGCTACGGGCTCAATCCTGTACATACATTCAGTGCAAAGCTATACTTAACCCAAGTTCTATTAGCCTCTTAAGCAATGCCTTCCAAGAAACGCGCTGAAAAGGAAGACATCATCCAGTCAATCTTATCTCTATCCCTCAATGAAGCAGTTGGTCTGCAGCTCGCAGAGCCACTCCCTCAAACGGCTTGCCGAGCAGTCCTTCAACTCACCACAACGAAGAAACACTTGACGCCTGTGGGTTCGTTTCATGGTGGCTTATTCGGTGTTGCACTGGATACGTGTGCGTTGATGGCTACCTTGAATGCACTAGATCAAGACGAACATGCCGTCACTGTTGCGAGTGCCATGCAAATCATTGCCGGTGTTGCAGGAGAGGGAAAGCAAGTAACATTTGAGATGCGATTGCTGAAAAGAACAAAGAGACTGGCATTCTTGGAAGGGGAGGCACGCTCAGCGGATGGCAAACTGCTCGCCAAAGCAACCTTCACGAAAGCCATTGTTCAACTTTCACCAAAGGCGAGTAGATTGTAAGATACGTATATATAGGTAAAGGGACGCTTAGCCTGACCAATTGATGGATTTCAAATCGATCCCATCCTGCACCATCTCCCACAAGGGTGAGAGTTCCCTGAGGAAGTCCACTTTTGCAGTGACTTTATTGACGACAAAGTCCACCTCCTCCTTTGTTGAGAAACGACCCAATCCAAAGCGAATACTTGAATGTGCCATATCATCATCCGCACCCAAGGCATGCAAGACATACGATGGTTCGAGACTTGCAGAGGTACACGCGGAACCACTTGAGAGGGCAATATCCTTGAGTGCCATCAACAAGGATTCGCCTTCCACATAAGCAAAAGAGACATTGACACAACCTGGATACGTAGATTGCGGGTCTCCATTGCGGACGGTATGCGGTAATGCCAATAATCCAGATAGCAGCCGTTCACTCAGCATACTGACGTGTTTGTGATCATACGCCAAATCTTGCTGTGCCAAACGACACGCTTCACCGAAACCGACAACAAGCGGCGTTGCGAGGGTACCTGAGCGTAATCCACGTTCTTGACCACCGCCATTGATGAGGGGTTCTAATCGCACTCTTGGACGACGTCGAATATACGCAGCGCCAATACCCTTTGGTCCATAAATTTTGTGTCCACTCAGTGACATGAGATCAATGTTGGACTTATTCACATCCACAGGGATCTTGCCAACCGCTTGTGCTGCATCGGTATGGAAGAAGATTTTCCGTGATCGACACAAACGACCAATCTCTTCGACTGGTTGAACAACACCAATTTCATTGTTGACAGTCATGATGCTGACGAGGGCGGTATCGGGACGCATAGCTGCTTCGAGTTGTGCCATGTCGACGAGTCCGTTTGTTTGCACTGGCAAGTACGTCACCTCAAATCCTTCATCCTGCAAGACCCTGCATGAATCCAAGACACACTTGTGCTCCGTTTGCGTTGTGATGATGTGTTTTTTGTTCTTTCCATAGAAGCGCATGACGCCCTTGATGATCATATTATTGGCTTCCGTTGCACCCGATGTGAAGATGATTTCCTTGGGGTCTGCACCGATCAAGCCTGCGATATGCTTACGCGACGCTTCAATAGCCTTTTCCGCTTCCCAACCATACCAATGTGTGCGAGAATGCGGGTTTCCATACCCCATGAGTGAATAGGGCAACATGGCATCATTCACACGCGGATCCACAGGCGTCGTCGCTTGCATATCCAGATAAATCGGTCGTTGTCCAGCACCCGTACCATCACCGACAACCGATTGACCCGTTGCGCTTTGTTCAGCGCGTGAGAGTGCATGATTCGCCACGAATGCCGCTTCATCGAGTGATTGACCAACACTGATCTTGCCAACTGCTTTTGCGCCACTTGGCGTGCTTGGCGCTACATAGCGTCGGATCAAAGCACGTAGCGGGCTGCTGCCTGTTTGTCTGAGGCTCGTTCTCAGCATCGTTGGCTATAAGTCGTGTTTGGGTTGGTGAGTAGATACTGGCGTTGTGGTGTAGTCAGCTGAAATATTCGAAACCCTCACGACCAAGACACAGACTACAGTGATTGTCGTACAGTAGAGAAGAAAGCTTCAAGCTAGCCTGGGCATGGAAGGCGAACAGGTGGCGGTCGTACCGAGAGACGCGCGCTATACAGACATCACGCCCGATAACACCCACACCGCTGTTGACGAAACCGCGCAAGCTGTCAAGAAACGACGACCGGCGCGACGCCAAGCAGAAGGCCGACGTGCTGGTGCTCATGGCGGTAGTGGTGGTGTGGCTGCACCGGGACAAGTGTATAATATCTGGTACAGTGCGTGGTCTGGTGGTGATCGTGAAGATCGACTTGCATCAGAAGCGAAAGCAGAGAGTAAGTGTGATCCTGTCCGGGATAGTGGATGGACGCAAGCGGATAAGAAACGCGGCAGTTACTTCTGTCTCTTCTTTGCACGGGGGTGTTGTCCGAATGGTCCTGATTGTGGGTATCTCCATCGCTTGCCACAACCAACAGACATCTACCCACCCAATGTCGATTGTTTTGGACGAGACAAGCATGCTGACTATCGAGATGACATGGGCGGTGTAGGCTCTTTCCTACGGCAAAACCATACCCTCTACGTCGGTCGCATCACGACCACCAACGATATCGAGGAACAGGTGGCGAATGCCTTTTGCGTTTGGGGACAAGTCGAACGGATTCGCGTACTCAACTCACGAGGCATTGCATTCGTCACCTACTTACATCAACATTCAGCAGAATTTGCAAAAGAGGCTATGGCGCATCAATCACTTGCATCAGACGAAGTCCTTAATGTTCGCTGGGCCTCTCAAGATCCAAATCCACAAGCAGCAGAGCGGGATGCGCGTCGGGCAGAGGAACAAGCGGCTGCTGCGATTCGGAAAGTCTTGCCTGCTGCGTTCCTTGCTGAGCTGGAAGGTTCAGCGCACGGTGGGAAGCGGAAGAGGGAGGATTTCGGGTTGGAAGGGTATCGTCCGCCGGATGCAGTTTGGTTTCAACGCGGTCAAGGAGCCGTCAATCCTGCTGGGCGGACAGAAGGTAGCCAAGAGGCAAAGCGTATTGAAGTGGGAGATGGACAGGAAGAAGAAGTGGAAGAACAAAGCACAGGGATTGTGGGTGGCCGAGCATTGCAGGCACTCAAACAGCTGCAGGAACGGAAGGCAGCGAGTCCCGTGGTCAAGCAACCGCCAAGACCAGCCAAGAAGCCGGCCTTGGTTGCGTATGATAGCGACGAGGAGTAGTCATGTAACAACAAAGCATATAGCATAGCACTAGCATTCTCTCGTGTTTGAAATTGGTTATTGGCTCATCTAGTGCGCGGGTACTGGCAATGCACTCTTTGCCTTTTCCTCTTCCTCCTTGATGAAGTTCCTGCACAGTCAGCAATCGCTCTGAAGATAAGGAGCAAACATACAAGATGAATGACTCTTCGTCCTTGCTGCTCGCGTCAATGGGAGGCATGGCCTTTTTGAGTTCCTCGGTTGTCTTTGTGGAGGGTGAGCCAGACACGGCATAGGCCACGCCACCGAAGAAGGTGGTGAGTGTGGCGATGGAGAGCCACTCTGCGCCGATCTTGCGGCCTGCAATAACGTAGGACATGGATGCTGCTGGGGTTCCTGGGTACGCTGTCTCTGTCTGTGTCTTGTCGGTCGTTGGATTCGGATCTTAGTCAGGGTTAGGCGAGAAGTGTTAGGGTTGAGACTGCTGAATGAAATCAACAAGAAGAGAAGTGAAGAATAATGACTGGAGCAGACTAGAACAGAGAACAGACAACAGAGAACAGAAGACACAGCTACTACTCACTCAAACATGCCTACTGTATGCTCTTCTGCTCAATCTGCTCTACAAGCACAATACTAACTCATCCCAGCGATTCTCAAACACCCGCAGGCACCGTGGTAACGTCTCGGCCGGTCACGGTCGTGTCGGCAAGCACAGAAAGTCACCAGGTGGTCGTGGTCTTGCCGGTGGTCAGCACCACCACCGTATCAACATGGACAAGTACCATCCTGGTTACTTCGGTAAAGTCGGTATGCGTCACTTCCACGACTCAAAGAAGACGCTCGGCACCATCAACCTCGACAGGTTGTACAGCTTGTTCACTCCCGAAGTCAGGGAACAGCTCGTTGCTGGCAAGTTTGGCGACAAGGCACCTGTCCTTGACTTGACCTCGCTCGGTTACAACAAGTTGCTCGGAAAGGGTAGGTTGCCCGAGGCCGCCATCATTGTGCAAGCACGATTTGTTTCGCGTCGTGCAGAGGAGAAGATTAAGGCTGCTGGCGGTGTTGTTGTCATCAAGGCATAAACACCTCTTCACTCTCAACGACATTACATCTTGCATCTGATGCACGTCGCTCCCCTGGCATCGGCTACGATCAACCCAGCAAGACACACAGAGTGTTTGCTGCAAATTCTATATAGGCTCACACCAAGCGAATGCATCACCTTTCTGAAAACTCACTTCGAGCTCAATCCGAGCTGTTCATTCTTGCCATTGTTGTCAAGTCTGAGCAAAGTGTTCTGCAACAGCTGCACATGACGCAATCATCTTGGATGGTCATGCACAGCGTTGATGCATGTTCGACTGCTGTCCATGGCATTTGCAGCTGTTGCACACCCTTTGTTCGACCCGTTGCCACATTGTGTTGTCTTTGACCTGTCTTGTCCATCCCATCTTGAAATGCCTTGAATTTGTTTGACATTGTAGCATCTATAAACATCAAGTCCTTCATTCAGCCCAACAGTCATGTTTTCATCTACAAGGATGTTATGTCGCCGTGCTATCTTGTATCTCTCAAAACCTGTGACTCATGTCAGCTTGAGCCTTGACCACGAGACTTCAAACACAGCCAATTAGTCCCTTGAGCAACAGGAGACTGGCAAGCTACCCGTAGGTTGAGAATCCTGTACATTTTGAGATGAGCTTGAGCATGGCTGCGACGAAGATGCAACACAATGTAAGCTTCTGGACCTCGACTGCTCGCGCGTCTGCGCCGTGTGAATCTGGTCTATCCACTGCTTAATCCCGGAGAACTGGGCGCATTTGAATTAAGTGTCCAACAGCAGAACGCCTCCAGAGCTCAGGACGCTACTCAGGGGTAGACCCGGGTAGTGAGACTGTCAGAGCTTCAAATCCAAATGCCGTCGACAATCTCGGGACCGGATCTCATGCACACGGGCAGCGTAGTCTCACGGTTGCTCTCCCGCGGATCCTCGCAAATTCGCCCTCCCAGTTTTAAGTCGAGAGGGCTAAACTGAGGACCAATTGCAATGAATGCCAAAGGGCTGGCGAACACGCACAGATGGGTGAGATGGCTATCAATCGCGATTCGTGAATCGCGTCAATGTGTATAACACTGTATATGCACAATCTATAATGCCATCATATGCATGCGGAATCATCGCGGACTCATGCTACCATCGCGGCATCAGCTAGGACAATCTCACAGGCTGCTTGTGAAGTTGTGATGGGCATGGGAATTTGTGCAGGAGGACTGCGGTTGATTCTGCAACTTCAACTGCAAGGAATCCAAGGATGTCTGTTCCGGAAGACGTCGAGTCGTCAATTGGCAAGCTTTGAAGCTCAAGCTTAAGCTTTAATGTCGATCGATATCGGAACATTTGCTGCCTTGCAAAATCCGAAGCTTGCCACTGGCGGTCAAGTGCGTAGAAGGAAGTCAAGGAAGTTGAAACTTGGAAACCAAATCTTAAGCTCGAAAACGCGGGGATGCCACCACGAATGGCATTTTGGAAGTCGATCAGTGCACGGATGACGGCTGTCAAAGTAGACCACAGGTTCCACAAGTTCCACAACTCAATGCGAGTTTGCGAAGCCCTACCTCACTGTCTCAGCTCGGAATCAGCTGCAACACCGAAGGTTCAAGGTACATAAGGAAGAATGACCCCACTTGCTCTTACACCCGCCTCATCTTGTTCTTCTCTCAGTAGCTCAGATGCTCTTTGCCCTTGCTGCTTACACAGCAGTCGTCACCGCCGCTGCCCTACCGGAAAATGAGAGGCGTCAATTCTCACCCGTCGTCGAGCTCGACACGGCGACCGTCACCGGATCGTAAGGTCTTCACCTTTGACACTCGTCACTAACAACAGATCCCTCCTGGGGATCGACTCTTTCAATGGCATCCCATTCGCCCAGCCTCCAGTCGGCAACCTGCGTCTGCGCCCACCGCAGCCAATCACCGCCAATCTCGGCAAAATCAACGCGGTCGGTATGCCCAAATCATGCCCACAGAGCATCCAATCGTCTGATTTGCAAAAGCTGCCACCTGGTGTTGTTCAGACACTTCTGAACACTCCCTTGTTCACGGCTGTGTCCGGCGCCAGCGAAGACTGCCTCACGCTCAATGTTCAGAGGCCCTCTGGCATTGCTGCCGATGCCAAACTTCCCGTCTTTGTGTGGATCTATGGAGGCGGCTTCACCGCCGGCTCTGCTGGTATGTATGATGGCTCGGGCTTAATTCGTGCCTCTCAAGCCAGCTCGAGCATCGTCTATGTCGCTCTGCAGTACCGCCTCGGTGGCTTTGGTTTCCTGCCTGGCAAGGAAGTGCAGGACTCAGGTAACGGTAACCTCGGTCTGCTTGACCAGCGACTTGCCTTACAATGGGTGGCCGACAACATTGCCAAGTTTGGTGGTGACCCCGACCGTGTCACTATCGGAGGCGAGTCGGCCGGTGCCATCTCTGTATTTGACCAGTTGGCCTTGTACGACGGTGACAACACGTACAAGGGCAAGCCACTCTTCAGGGGTGCCATCATGAACTCGGGCAGCGTTGTCCCCGCTGATCCAGTGAGTTGTCCTAAGGGCCAGGTCATCTACAACCAGGTTGTGCGAGAGGCTGGATGCGCTGCCGCGGCAGACACCTTGCAGTGTCTTCGTGAGGTTGATTTCGATACATTCAGCCGTGCTGCAACCTCGCCACCTGGTATCTTTGACTACTCGAGTGTGGCGCTCAGTTATCTGCCTCGACCAGATGGTAAATCATTGACCGATAGTCCAACGACACTTGTTCAGCAAGGCAAGTTCGCCAAGGTCCCATTCATCGTGGGTGACCAGGAAGACGAAGGTACTTTGTTCTCTCTAGTTCAAGCAAACCTGACCACAACCGCCGACGTTGTCGACTACCTTGGCACTTACTTCTTCAATAACGCTCCCCGGGCTCAGATCCAGAGCCTCGTGGACTCTTACCCAAACAACCCTATTGCTGGATCTCCTTTCCGCACTGGTCTGTTGAACATTCTCTACCCACAATACAAGCGCCTCGCTGCGCTTCTTGGTGATGCCACCTTTACTTTAACTCGCCGCATCTTCTTGGAACTTGCTGCACCTCAGGTTCCCAAGGCATTCTCTTACTTGGGCTCGTACAACTACGGCACGCCTATTCTTGGTAGCTTCCACGCGAGTGACATTCTGGCACTCTTTTTTGTACCTGGATACCCACAAGCCACAATCCAACGATACTACATCAATTTTATCAACAACCTCGACCCGAATGTGGGCGTGGAACCAACCGTTGCATGGCCGCAGTGGACGGCTGCCAAGCAGTTGTTGAATATTGAGGCATTGTCTAGCAAGCTTATCCCGGACAACTTTAGGGAGAGCAGTGCTGCTGTCTTACGCTCGGGCGTCAGCGGTGCCTTCAACATTTAAAATGTAACATGCTTCTGTAGTTTACTACTCTTCTAGGATTCAGAACCTTCAGTGATGCCAGATCCGAAATTGACTAGGTAATTGAATGCTTTACAAGTGGTCCGACAGATTTTCGGAGCACAAAACTTAAACTACACATGGGCATAAGTGTAGGCGCTTTCCTCAGCAGTATCAAGGGTTCTTAATAGAGAAGAACGTGTTATCATGAACATTATCATTATCATTATGGACTGCTATCTGACAAGTATTTACCATTGCCAGGCCGATGGTGGGTTGGCGTTGGCACTACCCAAGATGCTGATACCTGTGCAGTCTGTTCTGGCCGTCTTTTCAGCAGCGAAAATCTCATATTCCCCAGCTGCATCTGCAACCGGACATGCAAGGAAGCTCTCTTGACCGTTGAAGAGCAAGTCGACATTGGGGCCTGTGACCATCGGGCTCACTGAGAAGCCAGTGACTGTAGAGCCAGTGCCAGTGTTGCCTGAATGAGGGACCGTATAGGATAGACGGCCATCAGAGTTCACATAGACCTGTTGGCCGCCAGGAACGGAAACTGCAAGAGAAGCGCGGTCATTGGCGATAATGAAAGAAGTGGTGCTTGTACTAGGGAAGCCGGCAAGCTGAGGAACATCCGGGGTCTGCGAAGTAGGTGCTGTGCCACCGATGCGAATAGCACCGCCCTTTGCATACAGAGGTCTCAAGTGCACATGATTGTCGCCGGAGCGAGTAGAAATGAGGTTGTAGGTGTTGACAGCAGCAGGTGCAGAGCTTGCCGCTGGCGCATCGTCTTGCGCAACAGGTGCCGCAGAGGCAAAGGCCAGAATGCTTGAGGCAATGAAAGCTGAGAAGTGCATGTTGATGAAAGGAAGTAGTAGAAGAAGTAGAAGTCGGAAGAGAGGACTTGTTGAATGCTGTGTAGAGAGGATGGGAAGCTGCCCTTCTTATAGACTGGGCTGTCCAGCAGTAGGGTCTATTTCAAAAGCATTGGCGCTATTTCTGGAGGCCATATACAGTAGGACAGAGCTAAAGAGATCTGATGATCGTCGCAACAAGGGCGTCATAGCACATCCCTAGGCGGTTGTGTAACGGGTGTCGGTGTCTCCGTCGTCTTGCCCAGCAGGGAAGATCAATGCGTGCAGATCTCGGCTACTCCCAGGCTAATTGCGCCTCAGATGGGCAGCCAGGGGCCACAGCCAAATCTGGAATCTTGCCCTACCTGCTCACTGCTCAGTGCTTCCGGCAGAGAATGTCGGCGACTCGGCGTGTCAAATGTCATGCCTCTTTGCAAACGTCAGACAGTCGCTGGGGAGTGGGCTGAAAGTTCTGACAGTCTGTTCTCCTCGTCGCATTGAAGCCCGCTCACGTTTTGCGTATGCCTCATTGAGGGCGTCTCTGCAGCACACTCGAGACTGGGCAACAATGCTGCCTGCGCCTTGAGGGTCAGCTGAGCCCCTTTGCTGACCTCGGCAGTCATTTGTCGTCGATCCATCGAGCATTGGTCGAAAAACCCATCCCATCCTTTCCGGTGTAGACAGCACGACACTTGGTGCTGAAACCCAGCACTTTTGTCTTGAATGGTTCAATAGTCATTGGCGCAATTACATTGAGGTAGCAGTAAGCTCACCAGCGTGATACAGCACGCGACCACCCAGTTGTCCATCCGGATGCTGCCTAAAACTCCGCGGATGCTAGGACTGGCGCACCCATCATACACAGTAAAGTCCATGGCTTTGAATGGTCTGGCATAGTCTTGCTTGACCAAGAGGCCTTGAGGAGGCATTGAATTCATGGACACTGCTGTGCACGACCAGCGCGCCGATACAATCATCCGCGGATGTATCAGGCAGCATCAGGATTGGCAATCCGGGTGGGCGCGTCTGTAAGCACCTCGGTGAGCCAGATTCTTTCTTAATAGCGCTTGCGCCAATGGTCATCAGACCTTTCTCTACAAGCTTGCTGGGCTTCAGCAACAGTATACGCGCGCTGCATTCCGGAGAAGGTGAATTTGGTTTGTTCGAACAGTGCACTATGCAGGTACAACAGACTGCCGAGGTCAGCAAGGGGGCGAAGCTCACCCTCAAGGCGCAGGCAGCAATGTCGCCTAGCCTCGAGTGCGTCGCAGAGACGTCCTCGATGAGGTACGCGCAATACGTCAGCGGGTCTCAGTGCGAGGAAGAGCACGGTGCGTCACAAATAACCGTCTACTACCCAGCGACAAATAGTTCTAGCCATCTGCAACGAGGCATGAAGTTTGCCGATTCGCTGTATGTGCCGCTGGTCCGGTGCACACCCTGCCGAGTCTCCTGATTGCGGCGGGTGGTGCGCTGCCGTTGACTGCTTGTGCGATCGGCTGCATCGTTTGCAGAGTAGGCTCGCAGTCTGAGAAATCGAGGACAGGTTCAAGTTTATGTAAGCCATCTCGATATCCGATCACTTATACAGTGTAGTTTTGCCAGAGTTGACTAGCTGTATCTACGGGCGACGACCAAGATTACAGACCATGAGCAGCAGCTACGATCAGTTTCATGGTCAGAGTCACGACCAGGAGTAGGGTGGAGTACAGATTGATGACGCCAAAGTGAGTACGGCACATTGCCACTGGCGCATCATTTCGCGCAACATGTGCCGTAGAGACGAAAGCTAGAATGCTTGAGACAATGAAAGCTAAGTCGTGCATAGTGATGAAACGAAGTGGGATCGAAATGAGGAGCAGTGCAAGTTCGTAGGTATCATCAGCATTATCATTATGGACTAGTATCTTATGGAAATCTACCACTGCCATGCCTGAGGAGGGTTGGCGTTTGGGGTACCGAGGATGCTGATGCCAGTGCAGTCAGTCCTGGTCGTCTTCTCAGCGGCGTAGATGTCGTACTCGCCAGCTGAACCAGATACTGGGCAAGCAAGGAAGCTGTTCTTCCCGTTGAAGTTCAGGTTGACGTTGCTGCTGCCAGACGAAGCAACAGAAAAGCCTGTCACTGTAGAACCAGTGCCAGTGTTGCCAGAGTGAGGAACAGTGTACGAGAGACGGCCGTCAGAGTTGACGTAGACCTGCTGGCCACCAGGAACGGAGACTGCAAGAGCAGCGCGACCGCTTGCAATAAGGAAAGAAGTCGTGCTTGTGGTAGGAAAGCCAGCAAGCTGAGGGACATTGGGGGTTTGCGAAGTAGGTGCTGTGCCACCAATGCGAATGGCGTTGCCCTTGGCGTACAATGGCATCAAGTGCACATTGATGTCGCCGGAGCGGGTCGAGATGAAGTTGAAGGCATTTGCGACTGCTGGAGCAGAAGTGGCCGCAGGTGCAGCAGATGAGGCAGCAGTAGGAGATCCAACAGGGGTAGGGCCAGCAGCGGCAGCAGCAGCTGGCGTAGGAGCACCGTAGTTGACGGTCTTCCAGTCAACGTCGTACTTTACTGTGTTCCAGTCGATACCGGAGTAGTCAACAGTCTTCCAGTCGACATCGTATTTGACTGTGTTCCAATCAACACCAGAGTAGTCGACTGTCTTGTAGTCAACTGGAGCTGGTGCTGCCGAAGCAAAAGCGACGATGCTAGAGGCAATGAGGGCGTTGAAGAGCATGTTGAAGAATGAAGATGAAGAAGAAGAAGCCGTTGATTGATGTGGTACAAGGATGCGAAGCAGGCCCTTCTTATAGGCGAGCTTCTACGACCAAGGATGTTGAGGTAGCTCTATTCCTGGGATGTGTTCGATCATTAATGGTATAAGTGGGTTGATGTCGATCAGCCGCTTGGACATGTATTCAGCATGTCAGTCAATTCATGTGCCTGCCCAGGTGTTCCGAGCTCTGTTGTTGGGTGGCGCGTTGCCCTTCGGGGCAATTTATGACGCCCGCCCAAGCGACTCACAGTGAAGGCAGACAGGTACGGCGGGCTGCCCCGGGGAAGCTTTGTGTCCAGAATGCGCATGGCTGCGTCGGCCAGGAAGTTGACGAAAGGGCGCGCTATCCTCTACCGTGCGCATCTATGCGCATTCTCTTGATGGAGGCTAGTAGTGCATGACTACATTGACTAGTGCCGCAATGACTTGGGCTAATGACAACTTTGCGTCTGATGGGATTCAGATCAACGTATTCCCGGGTCCATCCTATTTCTGGACGTAGACGAGTGTTGGCGTCTTGTGTTTCAGACATGTGGATGAGCGTCATAGCATATGCTTGCCCAAGGTGGGATCTGTGTAACTGTTTCACTTGCCAACGGACGGCGTGCTTAGGTTGTCAAATGATGTGCAGATCGTGCATAATGGCCCAGGCTAAAGTGCAGTTGACCGGGACTCGGGACTCGGGACTCGGGAGAGGGCCATCCGACCGGCGACCACCAAAATAGTATCAGATAGGCGGTGCAGCTCTTCGCTTAAGCTTGTCACGTAAAAGATGGTACCTTAGTAGTAAGTTAATGCTCCCCGTTGTCTCATTCAATGACGAAGGATTCAAAGGACTGTAGCGGAGCATATGGCTTTACACACTTTGCCACCGCTGGTACAATCCACGCCTATGCATCTGGACGAGACACACTTCAAGAGTTTTCTGATGTTCATCAAAACCACAGAGGCGACAAACTGCCAATTGCTCTGTAGGAGCACTTGGAGTTGTCAGCACAGCCTACCTAGGTAGCAGCCCCTCCAATCAACTGCAAGTGCGTTGTGAGGTTCGGTCTTCATACAACACTGCGCCATGATCTCAGCAACGAGCTCTTGAGGGCGCTGGACATCGCTCGAGTACTGTTGAAGGATCAATCGACGTTGAGTCGTGTAGCAGCCAACAAGCTTGTACATCGATCTACTTTCTGATAATTGAAGAAAGTGGTGTTTTAACAATTACATAACCCGCATCGGCATCAGCAATCCTGTCTCAGGCTCCTCGTCGCATCGATCAGTAATCACTCTGCAATGGACGGTAGAGGACTAAGTGAAGCTTCTTTGCTCGCTCAAATTAGATTTGCCACAATTGCTTGCCTGCCCATCTCGCAGTCCGCCGCAGACGTCAAAGACTCGAAGCCCACTCATCCGAGATCTGCGCGCCTGGGCAAAATCTAACACAAGCGCGGCGGATAGGGCCCGGGCGAGCGTAACCATTTCGGGCAGACTTGTGTAACCCTCACACGGACCATCTGCTATGACGCATCTGGCTTGCAAGCCTCACTAGGAAGACTATGGAAAAGGGTGACAGTGACGAAGCTGAGAATAGCGCCGTCGGACAAGCTGTTGCCGAAGACTTGCTGTTCGAGCTCTATCTATAAGAAGGGCTTGCTTCGCACCCTTGTACTACATCAACAGCTTCTTCTTCAGCTTCTTTCTTCAACATGCTCTTCAATGCCCTCATTGCTTCTAGCATCGTCGCTTTTGCTTCGGCAGCACCAGCTCCAGTCGACTACAAGACTGTCGACTACTGTGGTGTTGACTGGAACACAGTCAAGTATGATGTCGATTGGAAGACTGTTGACTACTCCGGTATCGACTGGAACACGGTCAAGTACGACGTTGACTGGAAGACTGTCAACTACGGTGCTCCTACACCAGCTGCTGCTGCCGCTGCTGGCCCAACTCCTGTGGGCACGCCTGCTGCTGCCTCATCTGCTGCACCTGCGGCCACTTCTGCACCAGCAGTCGCAAATGCCTTCAACTTCATTTCGACCCGCTCCGGTGACATCAATGTGCACTTGAGGCCATTGTACGCCAAGGGCAACGCCATTCGCATCGGCGGCACAGTACCTAACTCGCAGACTCCCAACGTCCCTCAGCTTGCTGGCTTCCCTACCACAAGCACGACTTCTTTCCTTATTGCAAGCGGTCGCGCTTCTCTTGCAGTCTCTGTTCCTGGTGGCCAGCAGGTCTACGTCAACTCTGACGGCCGTCTCTCCTACACGGTCCCTCACTCTGGCAACACCGGAACTGACTCTACAGTGACAGGCTTTTCTGTGGCTTCTTCTGGCAGCAGCAACGTCAACTTGAACTTCAACGGCAAGAACAGCTTCCTTGCTTGCCCGGTATCTGGTGCAGCTGGCGAGTACGACATTTATGCCGCTGAGAAGACGACCAGGACTGACTGCACTGGCATCAGCATCCTCGGAACTCCAAACGCCAACCCTCCTCAGGCATGGCAGTGGTAGATACACTTGATAGTTTGACTAGATGACTAATGAATGATAATGATGACTACAAATTCTTGCAATGCTCATAACGGTTCAGCGACATTCGCGCCTGACAAGGTGGTTGCATCCCCTGAAATTCGTCCTTGTGCAAGAAACGCTTGCATCAGCTTAAGCAAACGAACATACACCTGGGCAGCCACTAATCGCAACAATATCAGTAAAGGGCTCCGATATCCAGTAGCCAGGGAAGGTTCTTAGATATAGTGTACAAGCCGATGAAGTTCGAAGCATTCAAGGAAGTACAGTAACCGGCGCAGGATAGCAACTTTCATTTAAGCACTGCTATCGATGAGACCCCCGGTACTTTTCTGCTGGGCACATCTCAATGAATCAGGCTCTGCTCAGCAGATCCAAAATTTGTAAGCTACCGGCTTCAGGCCACTGTCGCCAACAGTGAAATACCAGATGCCATTGATCGGCTTGATGGAAACCAATGCAATCGTTGACCGTGGATCTCCAGTGGCTCTACAGCCTACAGACACAAACACAGGGACAAGATCTGGTCAGTAGATCATATTGTACATGCATGATGGAACGTGCACTTCAATGGTAATGCCTGGGAAGTGCTAGTGCCATCTCGTAGACAATATTCCCAAAATAGAGCCGGCTCCCGCGCTGAATCCCGCTGCAATTGATCGACGTCGGTAGTCGGTACTCGCTTGGACCGTTCGTCATGGTTCTAAGTTGCCCTGTACAGAAGCTCGCAGCCCAACGGCAAAGCTCCGAAGTCCAAACTGTTCAACTCTACATGCGGTGCACATGAATTGACATGCTGAATACATGTTCCAGCAGACGATCGGCTGTGACCCACTTGTTACTATGCATTCATTGTACTAGGGTAACTCAGGCTACACAGCAGCTCGCTGAGATCGATTGAAAACTTATGCCCGAGCGGTATTCCAAGAATAGATGCCTATGACTTCTGAGACCGTATCAGCTCGTCTATAAGAAGGGTCTGCTTCGCATCCTTGTACCACATCAATCAACAGCTTCTTCTTCAGCTTCAGCTTCTTTTTTCAACATGCTCTTCAACGCCCTCATTGCTTCTAGCATCGTCGCCTTTGTTTCGGCGGCACCTGCTCCAGTCGACTACAATACCGTCGACTATTCCGGTATTGACTGGAACACAGTCAAGTACGACGTCGATTGGAAGACTGTTGACTATTCCGGTATCGACTGGAACACAGTCAAGTACGACGTTGACTGGAAGACTGTCAACTACGGTGCTCCTACGCCAGCTGCTGCTGCCGCTGCTGGCCCAACTCCTGTGGGCACACCTGCTGCTGTCTCATCTGTTACACCTGCGGCCACTTCTGCTCCAGCAGTCGCAAATGCCTTCAACTTCATCTCGACCCGCTCCGGTGACATCAATGTGCACTTGAGGCCATTGTACGCCAAGGGCAACGCCATTCGCATCGGCGGCACAGCACCTACCTCGCAGACTCCCAACGTCCCTCAGCTTGCTGGATTCCCTACCACAAGCACGACTTCCTTCCTTATTGCAAACGATCGCGCTTCTCTTGCAGTCTCTGTTCCTGGTGGCCAGCAGGTCTTCGTCAACTCTGACGGCCGCCTCTCGTACACTGTCCCTCACTCTGGCAACACTGGCACTGGTTCTACAGTGACAGGCTTTTCTGTTGCTTCGTCTGGCAGCAGCAACGTCAACCTGAACTTCAACGGGAAGAACAGCTTCCTTGCTTGCCCAGTGTCTGGTGCAGCTGGCGAGTACGACATCTATGCCGCTGAGAAGACGACCAGGACTGACTGTACTGGCATCAGCATCCTCGGTGTTCCAAACGCCAACCCTCCTCAGGCATGGCAGTGGTAGATTTCTATAAGATACTAGTCCATAATGATAATGCTGATGATACCTATAAATTTGCACTGCTCCTCATTTTGGTCGTACTCCTTTGACGAAAATACACTACTCAGCTTTCATTGCCTCAAGCATAGTCTTTGCCTCTGCGACATCTGTCACGCAAAACGACGCGCCAGTGGCAACCTTAGCACCTTGTCCCGTCAGCACCTACGACCTCATTACTACTCGCTCTGGCAACATCAATCTTACTCGAGGCCCTACTCGTGGTCGTGACTCTGACCATGAAACTGACTGTAGCTGCTGCTCATGGTCGTCGCCTGTAGACACAGTCATTCATCTCTGGCAAAAGCATAGTCTGTATGTGATCGGATAAAAGTCTTCCACGTGATGCGAACCTCCAGATGGAGCGGCACGCTTTCACAAATGAAACACCACAAATACAAAGGCTAGTATTGCGGCCGGTGGTAATTCAAACTGATTCGAAGTCTGCTGGAGCTAAAACTACTGTCTAATCTATCTATAAATATCTGTTTAGAGGCGCTTATGCATTGGTTTCGAACTGAGGCGCCCAGATCGTGTGAAGGTGACATTTCCAGGCTCTGCACTCAAAGTCTTCCCCTCTACCATGAAACCCGCGGCTTCAGTCAATTTCGACCCTGGATTCTCTTCTTGATTGACCACAGCTGACTTGTAAGCCTGATTGGGCTTCTTTTGAGCTTGCTTCACAGCATGGCTGGCCAGAGAAACAGCCTTCTTTTCCGCTGCGGCGGCTTCCTTAGCAACTTTGGCTGCAGCGCGAGCCTCCCGTTTCTGTTGAGCCTCAGCTTCCTTGTCTGCCTTTTTGATAGCCCTGGCTGTCTTTTCAGCCGCCCTTTGCTCGACTAGCATGTCCCGTTCTTGTGCACGCTTAGCTTCAATGTCTCGTGCATGCTGGACCTCGATAGGGCCAACAAATAAAGCGCCTGTCCGTCCATCCGACCTCAGCTGCTCCCCAACCTTCAGCTGTCTTTTCTTCCTTGGCTGATTTCGCTTGGCAACAGCCTTTAGCTGCGAGTTCTCCAGCTTTACGGCTTCATACGCTGTTTGGACCTCAGAAAGCCGGTGCGCCAGGAATTGGAGGGACTTTTGCGATTTTTGATCAGCATTGGCAGTTGTCTGCACCAAGAACCGGCGCATCTTCGTTGGTCTGGACACAGTACATACTCCAGTTGGTGGTCTTGGACTATCGTGCTGTTGTTGGGCTTGAGCGGGTAATGGAGTCGCTGGCCTTTTGCGCAAAGGACCCAGGGCTATCTCCGGATTGAACGGCCAAATGCCAGTCTTTTCCCAGGCAGACTCAATAGTCTTCTTGAAAAAGGTCTTCTGATAGGCCAGCCAAAAGATGGGAAAGAAATCTCGCTTCTTGATCGAGCACTGTCCTCCTGAATCTGTGACCATCTGATTGAGGCCTTGGCTATAGTAACTGGCCAAAGGGCTGAAGCAGCCAACATCCAAAGGTTGCAATCTATGCGTCGAGTGAGGCGGATAGAAGGCAAGGTAGATCTTCAGTTCAGTGCACTTGCTGATGAATTTTGTGTTCAGGTGCGAGCCGTGACCATCAAGAAATAAGAGTCTCCAGGAGCGTCTGGATTTGCGTCGCGACTCCTTGTCGAAAATGTCCACGAGCCAGTGCATGGCGAGCTCATCAGATGTCCACCCGTTGGGCGAGCTTGCAAAATAGCAATTGTGCTCATCTGTCTTGAAATCCTCGATCCAGGCATTTTGAATGTCGCCGGAGTCAGCCTTGTAGATAACAGCAGGCGATAAAGTCGTCCCATCAGCACAGATTGTCGCTAGAATAGTGACCCATTCTCGGTTACCATCCTGCCCAGCTCTGGGAAGCTCATCGAGCTCAGATTTCTGCTTAGCGAACACCCGGCGTGTCTTCTGCGAGACTCCAATCATGAACCCTTTCTCGTCCATATTGTACATGTTCTCCGCCGTGATGTTGTTTCTCTGAATAACAGCAGCCAAACCATTGAAGTAAGACTCATAGCTAGTGAGACTATCAGCCTTGTGACGAGCTAAGTCGATATTCTGAAGATATCGGCTGTCCAAAATATTGTTGTGGCGCTGAACAAAGCGGCTTGCCCAATTTTTTGAAAGCGGTCGGCCAGCCAATCTCGAAGCTAGCGAGGTTATAAAAGCTGGTGGGGGTGGAAGGCAAAGATCGGCTATATTCCCATGCCTGGGGCGCAAAGCGCCCTAGGCGGTTGATATAGACGTTTCATGGATTTAAATGACAGCACTAGCCGCCGTTCATCGTGAAATGCAAAGATGAGTACCCTTGGGTAAGCATTGGAGCTCTCTATAGTATCGATTCTGTTGGTGACTGCTTTTCCCTGATGGCATGGTCGCCTGCTTCGAACCTCCAATGAGCGCAAATCATCAGATGGCTCGGCTACAAACGACTGCATCTTCGTCGACCTATCAGTACCCTGAACAAACGCGTTGCAAACTATCCGTTCCTCAATGTATGCTTCAGGATGTAATGAAGTTTGCGTTAGATTGAAGGAAGCCAAGCAGCTTGCTTGACCTGCTTCCTATATCAGAATAGAGCTTGTCAAACAGTGTTATACAATTCGTGGTGCAAGCTGAAGGCAATGTCAATCCTGAATTCCTCTTGCGTTCATACTGCAATACACGCCAGCAATTCCATAATCTCAAGATGTCTGGCTTCAGCTTTCCTAACTTTACGGAGCGCTCAGCACGACTCAAGTTTTGAGGGGTGAAGCACGCAATGTACTGCTTTCAAAGCACCGCATGATTGGAGACTGCAACTCTTGCAGACTCTGCGCACATCACTTGAGTGCTTTCCCTTTTGGATGCAAATTTCGGGCGCCGAGGAATCAACAGGCCGCGGTACTGGTGCAGGAGCGGCGAGGTTCATATGCCTGACAGGCTGCTCAGGCGGTCTGGTCGGTCCAAAATTGCGCACAATAGGGTCGCTTAAAGTGAGATAACGCATTTCTGTTGATAGCCTCGCCTGATAACCAGTCGCTATTCGCCGCATCGTGTACGAGTGCAAGAAGTTTGTCAGCTTGTCGTTCATCCTCTCCTTCTCGTCCCTCTCTAAGAATTTTCTGACATGGTCGACGAGCTTGTATTGCATGGTCTGCCCATCAGCCTTTTCGTTGACAGCTCTGGTGATGTGCATATAGCCCTCAGCCGAAGGCAAAATGTTTTGGGACCCACTTGACCTTTGCCATTCGTCTAGAGCGAATCTGCTTCAATCCCTTTCTGCTCTAGTTGTCACGGGAGCAACTGCACACTTCGTTTCAAATTGGCTGGCGAGATAGCCGTGGACCTGTTCGTCTTTTGCATACGATTTAAAACCGTCAGATGTGCAAAGCTCCGGGGAGAGGCGTGCTACTCCAAGTCGTTGGTCGAGATAACGAGAATCGCGATCAGCGTATTCATCCACCACAACCCAGTGCCGCAGTACTTCTGGGACAGGTATGCCAAGTACAATGTGGAGCATTTTGATCTGATCTTAAAGCTCAAAATCGTATCCACCTTTCCAACATATGCCGTGACGCCAGCGCAATCAACACGCAAATTGTAGCGAGAACGTATAAAATGAAATGAGTCGTCCAGGACGCGTGAATAGAGTCTTGGCACCTGATTGGCCTGACTGCTCGACGCGACAGTGCCTTGATATTCTGCACTAGCTTCAACGATGCCTGCATGTGACGCGCTGAGAAGCGCAGCACTTGAAACTAAAGTGTCTGGCTCGCATGGCCATATCTCTAGAACGGTACGATGATTATGCTTTTATTTCGGCAGTCGATGAAGGACGCTGAAGACTCAGACGGGAACAAGCAACATGTGCTTCAGCTATGCACGGAAGCTGTAGGAGATGCAAGTTCAGAGATGTTTGCACGCGTTGTTGTCGCTATTCACTCTGCTCTACGCGCCTGATGCATTGGACTGTCGCGCGTATGATTGGCCAGAAGCGAAGATGCTCCCTGGCAGTTTGCGGCAGCTTATTGGCCAGAATGCCTTCCTTCTTGCACTCGTTTCGAGCCCCCTCATTGGCTAGGATCCACCCACATTCCCATGCCTGGGGCGCAAAGCGCCCTAGGCGGTTGATATAGACGTTTCATGGATTTAAATGACAGCACTAGCCGCCGTTCATCGTGAAATGCAAAGATGAGTACCCTTGGGTAAGTATTGGAGCTCTCTATAGTATCGATTCTGTTGGTGACTGCTTTTCCCTGATGGCATGGTCGCCTGCTTCGAACCTCCAATGAGCGCAAATCATCAGATGGCTCGGCTACAAACGACTGCATCTTCGTCGACCTATCAGTACCCTGAACAAACGCGTTGCAAACTATCCGTTCCTCAATGTATGCTTCAGGATGTAATGAAGTTTGCGTTAGATTGAAGGAAGCCAAGCAGCTTGCTTGACCTGCTTCCTATATCAGAATAGAGCTTGTCAAACAGTGTTATACAATTCGTGGTGCAAGCTGAAGGCAATGTCAATCCTGAATTCCTCTTGCGTTCATACTGCAATACACGCCAGCAATTCCATAATCTCAAGATGTCTGGCTTCAGCTTTCCTAACTTTACGGAGCGCTCAGCACGACTCAAGTTTTGAGGGGTGAAGCACGCAATGTACTGCTTTCAAAGCACCGCATGATTGGAGACTGCAACTCTTGCAGACTCTGCGCACATCACTTGAGTGCTTTCCCTTTTGGATGCAAATTTCGGGCGCCGAGGAATCAACAGGCCGCGGTACTGGTGCAGGAGCGGCGAGGTTCATATGCCTGACAGGCTGCTCAGGCGGTCTGGTCGGTCCAAAATTGCGCACAATAGGGTCGCTTAAAGTGAGATAACGCATTTCTGTTGATAGCCTCGCCTGATAACCAGTCGCTATTCGCCGCATCGTGTACGAGTGCAAGAAGTTTGTCAGCTTGTCGTTCATCCTCTCCTTCTCGTCCCTCTCTAAGAATTTTCTGACATGGTCGACGAGCTTGTATTGCATGGTCTGCCCATCAGCCTTTTCGTTGACAGCTCTGGTGATGTGCATATAGCCCTCAGCCGAAGGCAAAATGTTTTGGGACCCACTTGACCTTTGCCATTCGTCTAGAGCGAATCTGCTTCAATCCCTTTCTGCTCTAGTTGTCACGGGAGCAACTGCACACTTCGTTTCAAATTGGCTGGCGAGATAGCCGTGGACCTGTTCGTCTTTTGCATACGATTTAAAACCGTCAGATGTGCAAAGCTCCGGGGAGAGGCGTGCTACTCCAAGTCGTTGGTCGAGATAACGAGAATCGCGATCAGCGTATTCATCCACCACAACCCAGTGCCGCAGTACTTCTGGGACAGGTATGCCAAGTACAATGTGGAGCATTTTGATCTGATCTTAAAGCTCAAAATCGTATCCACCTTTCCAACATATGCCGTGACGCCAGCGCAATCAACACGCAAATTGTAGCGAGAACGTATAAAATGAAATGAGTCGTCCAGGACGCGTGAATAGAGTCTTGGCACCTGATTGGCCTGACTGCTCGACGCGACAGTGCCTTGATATTCTGCACTAGCTTCAACGATGCCTGCATGTGACGCGCTGAGAAGCGCAGCACTTGAAACTAAAGTGTCTGGCTCGCATGGCCATATCTCTAGAACGGTACGATGATTATGCTTTTATTTCGGCAGTCGATGAAGGACGCTGAAGACTCAGACGGGAACAAGCAACATGTGCTTCAGCTATGCACGGAAGCTGTAGGAGATGCAAGTTCAGAGATGTTTGCACGCGTTGTTGTCGCTATTCACTCTGCTCTACGCGCCTGATGCATTGGACTGTCGCGCGTATGATTGGCCAGAAGCGAAGATGCTCCCTGGCAGTTTGCGGCAGCTTATTGGCCAGAATGCCTTCCTTCTTGCACTCGTTTCGAGCCCCCTCATTGGCTAGGATCCACCCACAGTCGTAGGTAGAGTGCCCAAAGATCACTCAATTGCTTGATCTGATCTATGATCATTTTCTCCTGATGGTTGGAGAGCGCCTGCTTGTTTTCCTCCCTGCGGGCTTTGGAGGTGGATAGGCCATGAAATCGACGGCTGAGGGCTGGTCGACTGATTCCATGCTTTCTAGCTATCCTTGCTAATACAGGAGCGTCAGATGCGCGTGCCTCTGCAATTGCAAGCTCCATCTATTCTAAACCATGGATAAAACGCGTAAGTTGTGAGCCTATAATTGACTTTTTGACGCGTGCCGCAACCAATTAAAGTCCGTATCACGTGGAAGACTTTTATCGAGATGGCTTACATAAATTTGAACCTGTCCTCGATTTCTCAGACTGCGAGCCTACTCTGCAAACTATGCAGCCGATCGCACAAGCAGTCAACGGCAGCGCACCACCCGCCGCAATCAGGTAACTCGGCAGGATGTGCACCGGACCAGCGGCACATACAGCGAATCGGCAAACTTCATGCCTCGTTGCAGATGGCTATTTGTCGCTGGGTAGTAGATGTTCATTTGTGACGCTCCGTGCTCCTCCTCGCACTGAGACCCGCTGATGTATTGCGCGTGCCTCATCGAGGACGTCTCTGCGACGCACTCAAGGCTAGGCGACATGGCTGCCTGCGCCTTGAGTGTCAGCTTTGCCCCCTTGCTGACCTCGGCAGTCTGTTGTACCTGCATAGTACACTGTTCGAACAAACCAAATTCACCTTCTCCGGAATGCAACGCGCGGATACTGGTGCTGAAGCCCAGCAACCTTGTAGAGTAAGGTCTGATGACCATTGGCGCAAGCGCTATTGAAAAAGGTTCTGGCTCACCGAGGTGCTTTTAGACGCGCACACCCGGATTGCCAATCCTGATGCTGCCTGATACATCCGCGGATGATTGTATCGGCGCGCTGGTCGTGCACAGCAGTGTCCATGAATTCAATGCCTCCTCAAGGCCTCTTGGTCAAGCAAGACTATGCTAGACCATTCAAAGCCATGGACTTAACTGTGTATGATGGGTGCGCCAGTCCTAGCATCCGCGGAGTTTTAGGCAGCATCCAGATGTACAACTGGGTGGTCGCGTGCTGCATCACGTTGGTGAGGTTACTGCTAGTTCTACCTCATTGCAATTGCGCCAATGACCATTGAAACATTCAAGACAAAAGTGCTGGGTTTCAGCACCAAGTGTCGTGCTGTCTACACCGGAAAGGATGGGATGGGTTTCTTCGACCAATGCTCGATGGATCGACGACAAATGACTGCCAAGGTCAGCAAAGGGGCTAAGCTGACCCTCATGGCGCAGGCAGCATTGTTGCCCAGTCTTGAGTGTGCTGCAGAGACGTCCTCAATGAGGCATACGCAAAACGTGAGCGGGCTTCAATGCGAAGAGGAGAACAGACTGTCAGAACTGTCAACCCATTCCCCAGCGACTGACTGACGTTTGCAAAGAGGCATGACATTTGACACGCCGACATTCTCTGCCGGAAGCACTGAGCAGGTAGGGCAAGATTCCAAATTTGGCTGTGGCCCCTGGCTGCCCATCTGAGGCGCAATTAGCCTGGGACTAGCCGAGATCTGCACGCACTGATCTTCCCTGCTGGGCAAGACGACGGAGGCACTGACACCCGTTACACAAGGAACACAACCGCCTGGGGATGTGCTATGACGCCCTTGTTGCGACGATCATCAGATCTCTATGGCTCTGTCCTTGCTGTATATGGCCTCCAGAAATAGCGCCAATGCTTTTGAAGTAGACCCTACTGCTGGACAGCCCAGCCTATAAGAAGGGCAGCTTCCCATCCTCTACACAGCATTGAACAAGTCTTCTCTTCCGACTTCTACTTCTACTACTTCCTTTCATCAACATGCACTTCTCAGCTGTCATTGCCTCAAGCATTCTCGCCTTTGCTTCTGCGGCACCTGTTGCGCAAAACGATGCGCCAGCGGCAAGCTCTGCCCCTGCTGCTGTCAACACCTACAACCTCATTTCTACTCGTTCCGGCGACATCAATGTACACTTGAGGCCCTTGTACGCAAAGGGCAGTGCTATCCGCATCGGTGGCACAGCACCTACTTCGCAGACCCCCAATGTTCCTCAGCTTGCCGGCTTCCCTAGTACAAGCACAACTTCTTTCATTGTCGCCAATGACCGCGCTTCTCTTGCGGTTTCCGTTCCTGGCGGTCAACAGGTCTATGTGAACTCTGATGGCCGTCTATCCTACACGGTCCCTCATTCAGGCAACACTGGCACTGGCTCTACAGTCACAGGCTTCTCAGTGAGCCCGATGGCAACGGGCCCCAATGTCGACTTGCTCTTCAACGGTCAAGAAAGCTTCTTGGCATGTCCGGTTGCAGATGCAGCGGGGGAATATGAGATCTTCGCTGCTGAAAAGACGACCAGGACAGACTGCACTGGTATCAGCATCTTGGGCAGTGCCAACCCCAATCCGCCATCGGCCTGGCAATGGTAGATATATAATGACCTTCATAATGATGTTGTACGATAATGACTTCCAACCAGAACGACGTGTCCTTTGTCTATATCGAGAGGCGGGTACACGAAGTTTATAGTGCAAGTATGACTATCCTTCTTCATCTGAACACGACAACAGGTACAGCTAACAAGCACGCTGCAGTGTGATACAAAAGTGTCCTGCGACTGGCGTGCACCTCAGACGACACAGATTGTATGAATAATCAATACTCGTCGTCATTTCAACTGGGCTGGCAGCGCGCTGCTATGACCAATTGAGCCCTTATCGCTATCGCTGACAAGGGGCTGCCACTCCCGACCACGAACATGTGTCATGTTGTGTTCTGCTACGTAGCACATAGACAGACAGATATCCATCTCCTTGATTCTTTTGTATGATTTTCCAGGCATTAACAGCCACTCGCAAGGCCTGACCATCCAATGCTGACGGAACACACTTGAAAATGGGCATCACGACTTAGATGCCACAAGTATCAACAGAGGGAACGCAATAAAAGGCACGATGGACAACGGTTGACAGCACACAAACTAGATTGCTATCTTAGAAAACCCACAACACAAAAAGAACTACAAACAAAAGCAATCTAAAGCTTGTCGTAGTACTCCGTGTAAGGAGGCACTCCCGGCTTGAGACCCTTGCGCTCACGCATTGTCGTGACAATTTGACCAGCCTTGGAGGCAGGGTCGGTGACATCCGACTTGAGCACATCCCAGTGAGAGAAGATCATTTGAGGGAAAGCCTGACCACCGGTCGCTTGCCTGAGCTCTGTAGTGAAGCCAAAGGACTCGTTGACAGGGAGGTAAGCCTTGATGTTGAACAATGGAGTTCCTGGACGTTGCTCCTCAGAGAAGACCATACCACGCTTCCTGTTGAGGACAGAGTAAATACCACCCATTGCTTGCTCGGGGCACTGAATCTCAACAAGGAAGACGGGTTCCTGGAGCGCTGGTTCAGCAAGCAATGTAGCAGCATACACGACACGCCTGCAGGTAGGAATGATTTGACCACCACCACGGTGAATAGCATCAGCGTGCAAGACAACATCCATAATGTTGAATCGCGTACCACGCATGTTCTCCTCAGCGACAGGTCCCTCCTTGGTAGCCCACTGGAAAGCGGCAATGCAAGAGTCCTTGATTTCGTTGAGGTAGGCAACAGCCTTGGTCTGGTCAACAATCAAGTTGGGGCCGGAGGTATCCGGTCCGAAACACCAAATCTTACGGGCATCCGTGACATCCCACTCGTGGTTGTCGGCCATGTAACGTGCACGCGTCTTGAAATCATCACGGGCGTTGACCTTGCCGGCCTCAATGTCCTGTGAGAGCTCTTCGGTAATTGGCTCAGCAATCATGAAGATACGGTTGTGCTTGTTGGGTGACTTGGAGAGCGCAGTCTGCGATGACTTGGCAGAGACAGTCTCGCGGTAAGACACGACTGGGTCCGAAACACGGAGTGGGACACCGGCGTGGTCCTCCTCGAGGTCCTTAAGGCAAATCTCGAGGTGGAGCTCACCTGTGCAAGCAACAATGTGCTCACCAGACTCTGAGGTTGTGCAGAGCACGCAAGGGTCAGACTTGGAGAGACGCTTGAGACCCTCAACGAGCTTGGGCAAGTCCTGGGCGTTCTTGACCTCAACGGCGACCTGGACGACAGGAGACACAGAGAACTTCATGACCTTGAGGTTGTGAGCAGTCTCAGAGGTGGTAAGAGTACCAGACTTGAGCAAGAACTGGTCAATACCGACAAGACCAACAATGTTCCCGGCAGGGCAGTCCTCGAGGGGCTCAACGAAACGACCCATCATGAGGACGGTACGCTGGATAGCCTTGATGTAGAGGTCAGACTTGGATCCAGGCTCGTAGTTAGGGCCCTGAATGCGGACCTTGAGACCAGACTTGACGGTACCGGAGAAGACACGACCGAAAGCAAAGAATCGACCCTTGTCGTTGGTGGGCACCATCTTGGAAACGTACAACATGAGGGGTCCCTTGGGGTCACAGTTGGCAATAGCAACGGCACACTCGTCGTCGAGAGGACCCTCGTAAAGAGTCTCGCAACGGTACTTTTGTGCAGTGATGGGCGATGGCAAGTGAAGGACGACCATCTCCATGAGAGCATCAGCAGCAGGCAAGAAGGCCTTCATGATGATCTTGAGGAGAGCCTTGCCCTCGAGGTCCAACTCGTCGGCCTTGAGCTTGATGTCGAGCTTGGCGAGAAGGGTTGGGATCTCGTCCTTCTTGAAGTTCATAACGGCGGCGAAAATGCGGAAGATGGGGTCAAGCACAAAGGTGTTGAAGGCACGCTCGAGTGGCTTGCCATCTGCGTCAGTGCTGCTCTTGGTCCACTTCTTGGTCTTTGGGTTGAAGTAGTTGTCTCCCCAGAGACGATCCATCATCTTGGCCTTGTCAACACCAAACTTCTTGGCGTAACGAACGGCAAATTGCCTGACGGTGAAGCACCATCCGTGAAGACCGGATCCGAAAGCAACAGTGCCTTTCTCTGGGTAAACCTGAACATCACCGATAGCTTTATCGTAGTAGGTGGCGATGACGACGTTGACGGACTCGACGGTACGGTTGAAGGTCTGGTAGAGCTCCTCTTTGCTAATTTGCAACTCGAGCAGTGCACGGTCGACCTTGTTTACACAGACGACGGGCTTGATACGCTCGGAAAGAGCCTGACGCAGGACAGTCTCGGTCTGGACACAGACACCCTCGATACAGTCGACGACGACGAGCGCACCGTCAGTGACACGGAGAGCAGCAGTGACTTCAGAAGAAAAGTCAACGTGACCGGGCGAGTCGATGAGGTTGACCAGGAACTCGTTTCCATCTGACTTTTGAGGGATGTCGGCGACATCGTCCTCAGACATGACTGCGTAAAGGGAGATGGCAGTTGACTTGATGGTAATACCACGTTCTTGCTCATCGGCACGGGTATCCGTAAATCTGGCATCACCAGCCCTGGCAGCTGAGATAATACCGGCACGCTGCACGAGAGAGTCGGTGAGGGTAGATTTGCCGTGATCGACGTGACTGCATTGGTTAGCACACCCGTGCGCATGAATAACGAGAGGATGACGAACGCAATAACTGAAATGTTTCGAATATTGGAGACTTTGTCCATAAGGGCGCGGATTTCATCCACTGTGGCATGTTAGCGGATGCGTCTGGGCTGGCCTCTGTTGCGTACCAGTGAAATTCACCATGATTGCTGACTTTGCTTAGGCAGCGTTCACAGTAAGTTAGTGTAGGGAGGGAGGAGTGGGAAGAGGGAAGTTGCGGGTCTTGGGGGGACTGCTGACTGGCGGGGCGTGCGACATTTGGAAAAAGTTTTACTCTGGCTCACTGTGAGTCATGCACGTGCTGGCTGAGTCAGGAGTTAGGATGGTCAGGATGAGTCGGTAGTAGTAGTCTAGTAGTCTAGTCAAGCTGCTTGCTACTGTCTGCTGCTATTGTCTGCTACTGCTGTCTGCTGTGCTGTCTGCCCCGTGTTTGTTCAGTATCCTCTAGTATACGGTAAAGCTACACATGACGGATCCTCCCAGCTACTATGTCCTGAGCATGGGAGCACACTCAATGCAGCGCCTACCCTCATAGCCAATACTCCCGTGCAGTATAGATAGCTGTATCATGCTCTACTCTGTCTATCTTGCTGCTCTCCTCATATGTGCGCCTGACCTGTTGGTAATGGCCATCAGCTACGAGTCGACCTGGCTTCCCAGCATCAGCTGACGAGACCTCTAATGCTGTCATCCTTGCTCAATAGAAGCTCATCTATCCAGTCAGCTTCTGCTGATGCTGTCCTCTGCTCCCTGACTATATGCACTGATGCAGTCTGAGACGACTTGTCTGTGCGCCGCTTGTACCTCCTCGACCAGTACACAAAGTCGCCCTTCACCAGCTCCTCTTTGCCTCGTCAGCAGCGTCCATGACCTCGCTGCACGATCTGACGCAGCTGTCAAGCATCTCGTTCGTCTTCTTGCGCCCTTCAGAACCGATACTGACTGGCTAGAGACGAGTCCATTACAGCACTCCTGAGAGAGCGCTTCAACAACGATCTATTCTGCGCCAAGCTCTCGTCTACTGCAACAGTCATTGTCAATGCCTTCCAAGATCTCAGTCAGGAACCTATTGCCAGGACGTACAATCCCGAAGAGCTTCCAGCCGTGTCGGATGCAGTGTTGCAAGCCTATGGTATATTCTCAACTGTCATTGCACACGCTAACCAGAGAACATCTGAGGCGCGATCAAGAGTCTCAATCTGTTCTCTTCATGTTTGTTTCCAGCCTATACCATCGCCACTGACACAACAGAGGCGAGTCTGGCTCAGGCAAGTCTGCCTATCGCAAGCACTCAGTTGGCGCCTTGATTGACGCCACAGCAACAGAATCAACCCTAGCAGAGCGCATCAAACATGCTCAAACGATCCTCGATGGCTTTGGTAGTGCAAAGCAAGTATCAAGTGTAGATGCCTCACGCTTCGGTCTCTCCCTCGAGCTCCAATTCAACAACAAAACACGCATGGTCGGATGCAAATGGATGGACTTTCGGCTGAAGAAGGATCTCGTCTCCCATGTACCCACTGGCGAACGCAACTTCCACGTCTTTTACGGGCTTTTGGCAGGCATGTCACATTCTGAGCTTGCACATCTCGGACTGGACAGTACCGGTTGGTATCGCTATTTGGGTCATGCATCTGCAAAACAGGTCTCTGGTATTGATGATTTCCAGTCATTCGCAGCACTCAGACAGTCGCTACATCGTGTCGGCGTCTCTCGCTTGGATATCGCTTGCATCTTTCAAACCCTTGCAGCAATTCTGCACCTCGGCCAACTGGAATTTGTCGACAGCAAGCATCAAGAGGCTGCATACGTCAAGGACACTAAACCGCTGGACCTCGCTGCTGCCTTTCTTGGAGTGACGCCTGATGTCCTCGAGAATGCATTAGTGTACAAGACCAAGACCATCCGTCGTGAGCACATCTCCGTCATGCTTCCTGCGCGTGGATGTCAAGAACACTGCGATGAGCTTGCCTCAGTGCTGTATTCTTTGCTCTTTGCCTGGCTCGTTGAAACACTGAATGACAAGCTTTGCGTGCATGAATCGCAGGTGGCCAATTTCATCGCGCTTGTCGATTTTCCTGGCTTCGCTGCAAGAGGTTCCGATAGTGTTGCTGGTTTTGATCAGCTCCTCTTCAATACTGCCAACGAGCAGATTCAGCGTCTTGTGGTGCAAACCTTCTTTCACGACAAGAAACAATTCTACGACACGCAAGAAATTGAGGTGGCCGATATCAAGTTTGATGACAATGAGGCAGTCGTCACTGCACTGACAAAGCCTAGTAATGGTCTGCTCGCCATCCTTGACGATCAGTCCAGCAAACTCAGTCGAGGCAAGACCGAGACGACTTTCGTCGAAGCACTCGGCAAACGCTTCAGCGAAGACATTATCGCCATCAACCTCCCTTCTGCCGGCAATTTCAACCGTCGGCTAGGCTTCACAGTTGCTCACTATGCTGGTCAAGTGGACTATGACGTTGCTGGCTTTCTCGATCTTAATCAAGAAGTCATCTCTGCAGATCTTGTCGCCATCTTTGCCGGTGTTGGCCAGGAAGCTGCACACACATCCTCCACATTTATCCTACGACTTTTTCAGAGTACAGTCAGTGGTGCGCCTAAAGTTGCAACGGAAGGACGTGTTGCTATGCAGCCAGCACGACGACCCACCATGAAACGTCGAGTGCGTCCCGAGCATGACTCAGGCACTGGTGCTGCTGATCAATTTCGTCAAGGGCTTCAACGTTTGACGGAATCTTTGCTGCAAACACGACGCCATTTTGTCTTTTGCGTCAAACCAAATGATCGACGCTTAGCAAATCAATTCGACAGCAAGTGTGTCGCTCATCAGCTTGCCTCCTTGCAACTCTCGCGTATTGTCGATCGTATTCGCAGTGCAGACCATTCCAATGTCCTTTCCTTTTCCATGTTTCTCAGCCGGTATGTGAAGCAGGAGGATTTGCCAGTTGCAGGCACTCATGAAAGCCAATGTCAACTTGTTCTACGAGATTGGGGATTCTTTCAGCGAGATGCCATGGTTGGTACAACACATGTTTTGCTCTCTGAAAAGACCTGGTATACACTTGAGCAGCGACGTGACCTAGGTGGCGTTTATAACATGGCAGGCGCTAGCCGCTCCAACCTCTTGCTGACTGGGTCCCGAGAGAACCTCCTCGAAGCAGCATCAGAGTATGGCCAGCAAGACATTTTTGCCAATATGCAATCAAAAGATGCTCTTGAACAACAGGCCAAGATGGCGAATGCAGGACAAGCCGTTGAAGAGATCTCTGTGTCTGGGAGTAGGAAACGCTGGCTCTTCATTGTCTACTTCCTGACTTGGTGGTTGCCTGACTTTGTCATCAAGGCTTTTGGCTCGAAGCGAAAGGACATTCGCATTGCATGGCGTGAAAAGCTTGCCATCAACATCCTCATTTGGATGGCTTGTGCCATCGCCGTCTTCTTCATTGCCTTTCTCGGTGAGATTCTATGTCCACGACAAGCTGTATACTCTTTCAGTGAGCTTGCGGCGCATGGCCCGCAGGAGAAGCAACCCCTCACTGCCATTCGAGGCGAAGTCTTCGATGTCGGTTCCTTTGCACCTCGTCACTACCCGCCGATCGTCCCTACAAAGAGCGTACTCAAGTACGCCGGCCACGATGCCTCTGCCTTGTTTCCTGTGCAAATCTCAGCCTTGTGCCAAGGAACCGAGGGTACCGTCGATCCAGCCGTGACCATCTCCAGCAATTACACCGACATCAATGCTGGCTATCATGACTTTCGATATTTTACAAACGACTACCGTAAGGACTGGTATTTCCAACAGATGATGATGCTACGTAGCAACTACCGCGTTGGGTACATTGGCTACACGACCAAAGATATCACAGTATTGGCATTGAAGCAGCAGAGTATCGCCATCATCAATGGTCAAGTTTTCAACCTGACAGACTACATTCAGGGCGGTCGTCAGATCCTTGGTGGAGGTGGTGGCAAAGTCTCGACTGACTTTATGGATCCTAGTCTAGTCTCGCTCTTCCAGCAGCAAAGTGGGAAGGACATCTCGAAAAGCTTCAGTGCACTACCAAGCCAGTCCAAGCAGTACATGGAAGTGTGCCTTCGCAACCTCTTCTTTTGTGGACGTGTTGACACTCGCAATGGACCGCGCTGTCTCACTTCGCGCTACATCCTGCTCGCCATCAGTATCATGCTTGTTAGCCTGATTGGCGTGAAATTCTTAGCTGCCTTGCAATTCAGCACAAAGCGATTGCCCGAGAAGCTCGACAAGTTTTTGATTTGCCAGATTCCAGTGTACACAGAAGACGAGGAATCCGTGCAGTCCACCATTGACAGTATTGCTCGCATGAACTACAATGATCAGCGCAAGCTCATGTTTATCATTTGTGATGGTATGGTTACCGGCAAGGATTGCGATCGCTCGACGCCACAAATTGTGCTGGACACGCTGGGTGTGCTGGATACTGATGCTGTTGAGCTGCCATTTGAATCACTTGGCGAGGGAACGGGCCGTCTCAACTATGCAAAAGTGTATTCTGGTTTGTACGAAACGACTGGCCACGTCGTTCCCTTTATTGTTGTCGTCAAAGTTGGCAAGCCGAGTGAGACGCTCAAGGCTGGTAACAGAGGAAAGCGTGACAGTCAGCTCATCATGATGCGCTTCTTAAATCGAGTGGCAAACGGCTCACCCATGACTCCACTTGAGCTCGAGCTCTACCATCAGATCCAGAATGTCATTGGCGTTTCGCCAAGTATGTACGAGTTTTGCTTGATGGTGGATGCAGATACAACTGTTGAGAAGGACGCTGCGACACGTATGATTGCAAGTTGTTTGGATGATACTCGCATCATCGGCATTTGTGGCGAAACGCATCTTGCAAATGCAAAGTCGTCCATGGTCACCATGATTCAAGTCTACGAATACTTCATCTCGCACAATCTTGCAAAGGCATTCGAATCGCTTTTCAGATCAGTGACGTGTCTTCCTGGCTGCTTCACCATGTATCGTCTGCGCGATGAAGCAAGTCGCCGACCGCTGTTTGTCTCTGACCGTATCATTGAAGAATACTCGCAGAACCGAGTGGACACCCTTCACACCAAAAACCTACTGCACCTCGGCGAGGATAGGTATCTGACTACCTTGTTGCTCAAACACCATCCAAAGTACAGCACTATATTTATTCGAGATGCAAAAGCGGCCACCGTCGCCCCTGAAAGCCTCAGCGTCTTGCTATCACAACGACGGCGCTGGATTAACTCGACAATCCACAATCTGGTTGAACTTGTCGCGCAGGGCAGTGGTCTTTGTGGCTTTGCCTGCTTTGGCATGCGCTTCATTGTATTTATGGATCTGGCATCCACGGTTGTTCAGCCAGTCACGGTTGGTTACATTGCGTATCTGTTTTACCTGACTGCCAAAGACTCTGCATTGATTCCAATCACGTCTCTCATCCTGTTTGCTGCGATTTACGGTCTGCAAGCAGTTATCTTCATCATTCGTCGCAAGTGGGACATGATTATCTGGATGATCATTTACCTACTTGCATTGCCAATCTTTTCTCTTGCACTGCCATTATATGCGTTTTGGTCCATGGATACCTTTACCTGGGGCTCGACACGTATCGTTGATGGAGAGAATGGCAAGGCCGTTCTTGTGACGAATGAAGGCGTCTTTGATGAATCCATGGTCCCTCTTTCTCCCTGGACAGAGGAATACGCCAATTGGTCACCACCCGCGGAGAAACAAGTCGATGCGGCTTCTATGACGTCTCGTGGCTCCTACAATACACGCTACGAAGCATCAGGCCTGTTGAACCGCTATTCTCTGGCAGCAGCGCATTCGCCCAGGCAAACACGGCCAGCGTATTCCAAGACTGACCTACATGGCGATGCCGTCGAGATGGATGAGCTCGCCCTACAGCGACCGACACGTGATGAGTTAACGGCTTCTATACGAGAGCTATGTGCAACTGAGGTCACTCCTACAAGGCGCCTAATAAGAGAGAAGCTGGAAATGCAATATGGGTGTGACCTGGAGTTTGAGAAGGATTGGATCAACCAGACATCTGCTTCGGTGTTTCAAGGTCTGCGATAATGATTGCAACATTTCTCGCTTACAAGGGCAGTCTTTCCTTCATAGCAATTTCTGTCTTTCCTTCCGATTCCCGTTCAATGGGTCGGCCGACCTGCGCAAGCCAGCCTACGGTCAGGTCAAAGAGTACATCCGAATTCAATGGTGGCAGTGGCAGTTTGGTCAACGTTGCTTTCCTCCTTGATTTGAGCTTATAGTGTGCTCGAAAGTGCTTCGAACAGCGTGTATAAAAGGTCACTGCCAAAGTAATACAGTGTCCCAATGGTTGCGCTGTTCAAGCTGAGCTACAAAGTCCACGTCTGAGGGTTGTGCCAGAGTCCTATTCCTTTGATAGCGGCAAGTCTAAGAACCAGCCCGGTACACAATACTGTACACATCCCGGCGAGTTGGCGAAATCTTGCCGGAATCAAAGGATTGACTGACTTGCTCGACGACAGACAAAGACCCAAGGACTGACTACGACAGCCAGCACAAGCAGCCATGCAGCGCGCTTCGATCATGCGGAGTTCTGTTCTCAAGAACCTTCAAGCAGCAACATCACGTAGCCAGATGCGCCTACAGAGCACAATGGCATCCGATCCACAAGCCAACATTGGCGACTACCCGACCAACATCCCGGCCATCAACCGGCAGACACGCAGCGAGACGGTCAAGTGGGACAACCAGCAAGACCGCAGAAACTTTAACGAGCCGGTAAGTGCACGAATGATAGATTGGCTGCTAACCTAGTCAGCTCCACGAGCTTGATGATGTACTTACTGTGTTTGGGCCTGATGTGCACACACATGTCAAACCGCGCACCGCCTTCTTCCACCTCGGCGTATGGCTCGCGTGCTTCATGGGCGTCGTCGGCTTTGGCAAAATCATGTTCTTCGAGTTGCCAGCCGAAAGGAGAACATACCCATACAACGGCCTTGAGAAGGAGCTCGCGGGAAACAAAGCACGAACAGAGTAAAGAATAACTCATGCAATACATCATTATTGACATCACATCGCCATCACCGCTTTCAACCTCGCGTACTTTGTTGTGAGCTCTTGCGCGACCCATTCAAGGCCGGTCGTACAATTCCTTGCTGTTCCGCTAACCTGCTTGCCTCCTGCTTCTCCTTGATCCGCCGCTTGACAAAGTCCTTGGCCAATGTAGCTTGACGATCCACAGGCGCAACTTGACTCATCACCGTACTGCCCATACTTCGAAGCTTGAGCACGCGAAGAATGACATCCTCTGCATTGCTCAACTCGCGCCGCTCGCGAATCTTTTCTTCGCGTTTCTTGCGAATGGTGCCCAAGTTGCGATACTCACTTGCTGCTGCACGCGTACGCTGTCGCTCCATCAAGGAAGCCTTGTTGCCTCCAGTCGAAGCAGCATATTGCGTGCGCTTGCGTTCCAACAATGCCTCTTGCTTTTGGCGGGTGTGCTGTATAGTGCGTTCGCAAGCCTCAATCAGCTCCTCAACGGGGTCAAAGTAGAAGAAGCGCAGCGACAATATCTCGTGATAGAGCGGCGTTTGTAGCTCTTCTTCAGATAAACCACCGCCATCGCCATGGAACGTTTCCTTGAGAAAGCCAAGCCACTTGTACACCACATCCAGTTCGCGCTCTGACAACGGTTTCTTTGCCTTGATGCTCGTTGAGTGCAATGGAGGCACAATCAGATCTTCAATAGTCGTCAGAGTAAAGTTCCAGAGCTTCGTCATGACGAGTAAGAATGCTGGCCGACTCAAACTCTCGTCCAAGACACGAAAGTTGTTGTCCAAATAGGCCATCAGCGGCTCAATAGGTCCTTCCATATCCGCATTCGTCAATGACTCGCGCTTGACAGAAATCGATCGAGATGCATTGAAGCCTGCTTTGTTCAGCAGACTATAGGCAGAGTCGAGCGTGTTGTCAATATTGAGGGGCCTCGAGAGTAGATTTTTGAGTGCATTGGGTGACAAGGAGGCATCAATGAAAGGAGTCATCTTGTCCACAATCGATCGAGTCATGTCGCTCTCTGCACGACTCAGAGATCTGAATGCTCTGCCAAAGTAAAAGGCAGAATCATCACAATCGCCTTCCATAGTCACTTTCAGATGAAGCACGCCCTGCGTATCAAGATTGACATGGAACTCTTTCGGTTGAAAATCCTCAAAGAAGCGTGGATCGAGCTTGAAATAGCAACGCCCGCAGATGTCATGGTCACCGGATGGATCTTGATCCCAGACTGTACAGCACACCCAGAGAGGTTCTGTAGTTGGCACATCAAACGACTCATCCCACCGCGGGCTCAATGTTGCAGGAACCACGCGCGTCTTGCCAATACGATTACCCTTTTGTCCACTCAAAACGACATACGGGTCACTGAAGCCGTTCGTGTCGCATGCTTTGAGGCCCTCGGCAGCCATGACTTTGATGGTAAAAATAGTGCGTTGACCTGGCTTCCAAGCAACCACTGGACCTTCATATTTCTCAATGGTAGCAGCCAGCGCTTCTGTGTCGATACTGCGTTCCATCTTATCAAGCTGCAGCTTGGCCCATTCAATATTGTTGAGCTTGACACAGGCTGCTGATGAGATATGGAATGGCTCGAGCACCTTGGTTGTCATGGCTTCACGCGCCTTGGCCATAAGCCTCTGCTGAAGCGTGGCTGCCTCGACCGTTGGCGTTGCAGCTTGTGTAGGTGCTTGGTTGACATCAATCCAAAATAGACGCTCCACGCTGATGCAGTATTCTCTGATTGCATCACTAAAGGATTTCGACAGTGCCGTGATGAATTTGGCGTGCCAGTACTCTTCAGGCCATTCAAGGTCCTTCAGGAACGTCAGATGCTGGTTGAACGAGCGGAAGAGCATGATGATGGAATGTGATCGAACACCCTCATCATTGGACTCAGTGTCGACCGTAAACTCGTCTTTTGCAATTGCAGCCGGTACAAGTTCAGTGATGGATTTGTGCGCACCCTGTAGCCATTGCAGTACATATGGCCTGAAGTACTGATCAAGATCGATCGGAGACTTGTCAAGGCCGACAAAGTCAATCACCTGATATGTCGCGCGATACAGCTCAAACATGTCTTCCATTGCCAATTGACGGTCTTGCGATTTGGCACAGCGGTAACACTCCTCTACCAGCCCTTTGAAGTCGCCAAGAAATAGCGGAAGTGCAACAGACTGATAGATGCCCGGAAGATCGATGATATCGAGGATGGGCTGCTGATACTTACGTTGCAACCTTGACAAGTCTTTGACGAGTGCAACAGCGAGCTTGACGACATGCAAGACCTCAATTTCTGTGCCTTTGCGAATCTTGGCCAGCTGAGAGCGATAAGCGTCGACGGCTACATTGCGAAGACCGTCCTCCATCTCGTCGAAAAGATGGGCCGTCTCGGGGGCTGCTTCTTGAAAGAGAAGATCGGTGTAAATGTGCTCTTGTAGAATGTAAAGCGCCTTGGTATCCACATTCTTGAAGAATGCCTTCTCGAGCTGCGAGTAGAGCTCGCGGATCAGGTGGTCATTGAGAGAGAGCATAGACCGTTTATAGCTCTCTCTTTCTGATCGAGTCCATGTCGTTGGTGATTCGCTGCGCATCTCAACCAAAATCTCATCCAGCAATTCTATGTCCAGTCGGCCAGCGACAAAGAGACTCTTGCAAACATCGAGATAGATGGCAGCATGACCGCCTGGGCTGATGCGCCAGCGCACTCGGCAGTCTTGGAGCACCTCCAAGGACAACTTACTCAACAAATCGAATCGCGCATCGTCATCACCAGCTTGGACGCGACTCGCGGCTTCTGCCAAATCATCCTCAAGCAGCACAGAGAGCAACTCTCGATAATGGTTGAAAGGATCAGGTGGGATGAAGAAGTAAGGATGCGGTTCTTCTTCTTGCAATGACACCTGCGACATACGCTTCGACAAGTCTTCAGAGGTGAATGAGCTAGCACGACTCCGTGAAGGTGATCCAGGCATACGACCATCCGATACTTTCGCCAATGTCGTGTTGCCACTTGTCAGCTTGAGAATTGCCTGAGTGAGTTCCTTAATCTCACTCTGCTTCCAATTGTTGAATGCCTCTTCACTGTCAAACTCCTTATTGCTCTGCATATTGATATGCTCAACTTGTGTTTTGAGGTCGCGCAACAGAGCAAGATCGGTGCACATGGACCGTTGCTGGTCGATGAGCAAATCAAGGGCATTGCTGCTTTTCCGGAAAGCAGCTCCTAGCTTGTGCACTGCCACCATCTCATTGAGAAGCCAAGGAACAGGTGTTGCTGGTGCAGAAGGCGGCTCAGAAACTAGGCTGATGTAGTCATTGTTTTGCAGCAACTTTTGCTCGTACCCATTGAGTCTCAACACGATCTCCGAGTCTTTGCGTTCGAGATGATTCGACCGAATGACTTGTGTAATCAGACGGATGAACTTGGCAACATGGATATTGACCAAATTCTTGGCTTCTTCATCCGACATGCGCTTCTGCAGCTCTTGCGTTGCTTTGCTGAAGAACATGAGGATCAAATCCTCGATGCGCCGATTGTCCCTGAGTTGCTTTTGAAAGGCTTCTGTTGTGTAGTAAGAGTAGAAGAAGCCGAATGTACCGCGTATCAGGACATCTTCATACTCTGGATCCTGCCTCATCCACACCTTTTTCAGAGCCACATCCAACAACTTGACGAGCTCCTTTGGGAATTTGAGCGTCTTTTTATCCTTCGATGCCCCTCCAAGTATATCTGCAATTGACAGAGACGTCCGACTGGCCTTTCTAGCTTCTACAGCAGCATCAGGCCGTTGTTTCGAGACTTGCCAACGCGATCGCGTGCGCTGATGATGCGCCATACAGGTTGTGCGCAACGCATACGTAAAGACCTCTTCCTGCGTGATGGGTGCCTTGCGTGACCTTCGCAGACCAGCCCCATTTCTGGATATGCCAGACATGGGCGCGTCTTGTGGATCTTTATGTTCTGGTAGAAGGGTTTGACTTGAATGCGTCGTGCGCCAAGTTACGTCAAACCGGCCAAACGACCACACAAAGAGCTTATTTAGAACAACGGCCTGCAAGGAGTCTGTAGATGTCTGAGCCTACGGTAGAAGAGATGAAGACAGAGGCGATTTTGAGCATGCAGGAAGGACTCAATGCCCTGCTCGATCGCATCCAGGAGGTGCAGCACGACAATGAAAAGATGGAGCAAGAGAAGAAGCTGTTGGAAGACTACTACATGCATTGCATCCAGAGCGTGCGCGGCAATCAATGAAATGCGAGTAACTGGCTTGATCTACATTGGCTCACTACAACTTGGCTTGGCGGACGACTTCTTCAATGCGCGCGTATTGTTTGTACTCCTCCAGGCACTCCGGATTGGCGACCGTTGCGCTGACTTTGGGCGTCTGGCCCGAGACAATTTGCTTAACGACAATCTCCACCTTCTTCCCATTGATGGTCATGGGAATATCCTTCACCATGAAGACGTATCGAGGCACATGCCTCGGACTCAGCTCCTTTGCAATCTCCTTCTTGATGCGCTGAACAAGATCCTGGGAGAAGCTGCGTGGGTCCTTCATTTGCAGGAAGAGCAAGACACTTTCGTCCACATCTGTAGGGCGTCGCTGCCCAATACACAAGGCCTCTGCAATTTCCGGGAACTTGTCGGTGATGCCATAGATTTCAGCAGACCCAAATCGAACACCACTCGGATTGAGCACACCGTCTGAGCGACTCAGCAAGATGGCACCGCCAGTCTCCTTGAATTGTACGAAATCGCCGTGTCGCCAGATTCCTGGGAAATGCGTGTAGTATGCATTTTCATACTTCTTGCCGTCTGGGTCACTCAAAAAGTAGATTGGCTGCGAGGGGAAACCACGCGTAATGACGAGCTCTCCTGGATGCTCGATAGGCAAAGGCTTGCCTTCGTCATCGAAGCTGGCTGCTGCAATACCAAGGCAAGGCGACTGTAATTCTCCAGCATAAATTGGCAGAATGGGTACTGCTGCAATAATGCAGGAGAGCAAGTCTGTGCCGCCACTGATAGAAGACAGCTGAACTCTAGCGGGCCAAGCCTTGTAGAAGTGATAGTAAAGCTCAGTGACCAGTGCAGATCCAGTCGATGTGACTTGTCGTAGTCTCTTGAATGGAGCGACATCCTTGGGGACAATGCCCAAATTACGAACCTCTGCAAGCCATCGAGGGGATGTTCCGTAGAGTGTTACACCAATTTCATCCATGAATGTAAGAACCTTGGGGATGTCGACCATGGGCGAGCCGTCAAGACACAAAATAGTGGCGCCGGTAGAAAGGGCTGTAATGAGCACCTGGTACATCATCCAATTTGTGGTTGTGAATTGGTAGTAAACGTCACCTGGGTGCAGGTCGAGTTGGAGTACGGCTTCCTTCTTCATAGAAAGCACAACACCGCCGACAGAATGCTGAATGCATTTTGGTGGACCTGTCGTACCAGATGAGTACATGCTGAATACTGGATCAGTGAATGCACACTGCTCGTACTTGAGAACTGGGGTACGCTTCGCCTCCTTAATCCATTGAGTCAAGGCGACAGTCTTTTTGTGGCCCAGGTCACAAGAGATGTCGGCGATGTTTGGAACAACCACGAATCGGGACAGCTGGTCGCCATCGATAACGGATAGGACCTCATTCGCCTTGCTAGCCAGATTGAAGATCTTGCCGTTGTAGTGCGCAGCATTGTCCATCAGAATAACCTTGGGCCGAATCTGCTTCAATCGGTCTAGAATACCCGAAGTGCCCATATCAGTTGCAGTAGATGAATACACTGCACCAATAGAAGTGGTTGCAAGAAGGATGCAAGCTGAGTGGATAGAGTTACAGAGAATACCAGCAACGCGGTCGCCCTTGACGACACCCGATGCGCGCAATGCATCTGCATAACTGTGCACAATCTCGCGCACCTGACCGAAAGTGTAGCGCTTGATTTGCTTTGCGCCTTCAAGGGCTGTGATGATGGCGAGACTTTGGTCGTCATGGCCCTCAATGATGTTTTCCGCATAATTGAGCCTGCACCCCGGAAAGAACACTGGAGGAGGATACAAGGGCGCATCCGCTAGACTCTGGCCATTCTCGAGAACAGACGTCGGAGGTGATGAATGGATGATCTTCAGAAACTTGAAGAGGTCGAACCAAAACACATCTTTCGTGATAGAGTACTTGTGCAGGTCCTCGTAAGTCCTCAGACTTAGACCGCGGTCTTTGTTGATTTGCTTGATGAAGTGTGTGATGTTGGCATTGGCTACCACCTCGGGGCCTGGTGACCAGAGTTTGTCTGACATGATTCCACTGGGATACAGGAACGGATGACTAGGCAATACAAGGATAGAGACAGAGGAAGAGATCCAGCAGTTGCGCCTGTCCCCGGAGAGCGGAGCCGGCATCAATTCGGCACACGCCGGCTGAGGCGCAAAGTGGCGCATGCAACTTGGCAGCTGTCACCGTGCACTACACTTAACGCTTAGTAAATACAGCAAGATATTGCTGCCTCTTGCTCTTTGTTCTGGTCTAATTTTGCTTTCAAATGGCTCCTAGCGTTGCGCTTGTTGCGCTCACTGCTTCTACTAGTCTTCTTCTTGTTGGCGCTATTGCCGTCACGCTTTACATTCATCGCGAGCGTATCCAGGACGCGTTGCAAGAATTTCAGAATGAGGTGGAAGTGCGACACCAGCACTGGATGCGCGAGAGTGGACAGCGCGCTGAGCAGCATGAGCTCTCTCGTCCAGGCGGCGCGTCTCTTGAGCGCGACAGTATGAATGTCGATTCTTGGCGTCACGCAGGCCATGGTGGCGAGAGTCAGACGACTCTCCTGGACTTTGACGAACAGGCATCTCAACAAGCAGCAAGACACAGGCAGGGCTTCACGCAAGAGGTGGAGCAATCTTTAGAGTTTGACACGCCGGCGACACAAGAACATCTTTTGTCGCGCGCCTCTTCCTTTGCCGTTGTCAACGGTGACGAGTCTGAACCAAGCGACTTCACTGACTCTGATGACGACACATTCAAGAAGTCAATGTGAAGCAAGCGACTTCTTTCCTTCGACACTATGCGCATGGTTATGGCCCCTTGAGCAGCTCTTTGATACTGATTGCGTTTCGCACTGCATCGCTGAATCCGTCGCTGAACTTGATATACACCGTCGCCTTGGGCTTTTCCTGTTCACCTGCTCGCTTCTCTTGTGCATTGCCAAGACTTGCAGCGTCTGATCTGGTGGCCTGCACGACACGTCCGAAAAAGTCCTTCTTAACGACTTGTGCCGGCAGTGCGCCTTCCACCGGCAAAGACCGTTTCTTTTTTTCCGCAGCCGCTGCTGCCTCTGCCTCACGCTTCAATGCAGCACGTCGTGCTCGAGACTTACCCATACCAAGACGGTCGAGTGCTTCATCTGCTTCAAGTAATGCTTCCTGCTGTCGTCTGATCCGTTCAGCAGCAAGTTCTTGTGCAATTACTTGACGCACTGCATACCGACTCGGCAATAATGCCTCTCCCTTGAGCACTACAGTCCCCGTGGTGTCTTCATAATTCAGTAGCTCCGTCAAGGCTGGCTCGAGTCGGTAAATGTAGCTTCCATCGTCATTGCGGTACTGCTTGTAATCCAGACCCAAGAGAAGCATTGCATCGACGATCTTGGCAAGCTGTTTGCGTTCAGCTGGTTTGACCACCAAATGAGCATTGACTGGATTGATGCGAGAACTGCCAATGATGCGCACAGCATAGGAGAGCAGCTCACTCTTCATGATGAGTGCATTCTGGCATTGTCTGATGGACGGCTGGCATACAGCAATCCAAGTCTTAAACAGGTCCTCGTTGGCTGATGTCTTTTCTCGTGCTTGCCAAGCCTGCTTTGATCTTTCCAGCGTACGCGGTGACTCGTGCGTGGCAAAAAGGTGATGCATAGCAGAGGCAGCCCAAGGCATATAGGCCATCAATTCACCGTGTTGCCGTTCATACACCCCACGCTCACAAAAATCATAAAATGCGAGCCAAGACAGCGCCTTGAGTGGTTTTTGGAAGTGGCTATCGTGGTAGGGTGCTTGTGGGTAATGTGCAAACAAGCCATCCATGATTTTGCCATACTCATTGGTTGACTGAACGAGTTCTGCAATCTGAACAATTCTTTGGACTTCCGTCTTGACAACGGCTGCCTTTTTGCGTTCACGTTTGGCGTCTGGGAGTTTGAAGATGGCTTCCACCACTGCATGTGGTGAGCGAGCCATGTCGCGCTGAGCAAGTGTCTGAGAAACGCTCTCCAGTGTGAATTGCCGACTTCGTGTGCGTACGAATTGCAGGCTATTGACGCACGACCTTAAATCATGTTCAGCGACTTCACATAAAGCATGGAGAGCACGCACATCTGCTTGCAAGCCTTCGTGAAGGCATATCGTCCGTAATCGTGCCACGAGACTTGCTGGCCCTGATGCTTTGAAGTAGACAACTTGACAGTAGGGTCGTAGTGTTCGGAGTGCAGGTGCATATAGGTCATTGCAAATGACAATGATGGGTCGCAGAAGGGACTTGTTCGATTTTTGCTTTTTTGACTTCCTTGTGGCAAAGCCATTGAGTCCAGGAACGGCAGACATGGAAGCAAGCGCCTTTTCATCTGCTAGGACAATTCCCAAAAGACGCTTGATGAAGCCTGTTTCGCCACCAGCGCCACTCACTCCGTCAATCTCATCAATCACAATGCAAGATGGCCGCGATTGAAATACAGCCTGCGACTCGAGTGCATCCTGTATTTTGTTTTGCACCACGGTACCTGTTCGGTCATCACTTGCGTTGATTTCAATGACGTTGTAGCCTGCTTGACGCGATGCAATATGTGCGAGTGTCGTTTTGCCAAAGCCAGGCGGTCCTGTCAGCATGAGGATGCGTCTCTCTGGGCGTTTATGCGGGTCAGTGGTGGTGGCTTTGCTTGCTTTACCAAAGACACAATGATCCCAGTGCTTGAGCCAGCGTAGGACATCTCGATTCGTGCGTTCATCTCCAAGCAGTTCGGTGAACTTTTGTGGACGGTACTTGTCGACCCACATGCCTGTTTGTGTTGTTGGGAGTTCGCCATGATCAAAGGAGGCGGCTGAGCGGTCTCTCTTGTTTTCTGCTTCAATATCAGCAAGCAGTTGATGTATCTCGATACCAAAGTGCCGCGTCTTGCTGGCGTGCTGATCATCTACTTCTGAGGTGAAGACGGTAGTGCCCACTTGGCGTACACGTCTTTTGAAGCGCACGATACGGCCTGAACTGGTTGTGCCTTGGAGACTGTCGTCAAACACCTCTATTGCCGGTGAGCGTTCTCGTGGTGATTCCTCCGTAGGTTCAACAGGTAAAGACAAGTCCACAAGCGGAAGCGCATCGAGCATCACCTCATCGTCGTCATCCTCCATCAGGAATGGATTGCCGCTCGTTTTAGGAGCCGGCGAAGAAGGGAAAGGCTGAGAGGAAGGGCCAAGTCTGTTGGGGCTACTATGCCGGTGTTGGATGACGTGCTTCTGGCGCTCTTCCATGTACTCTCTCTGTGCCTCCAGTGCATCTAGATCGTCCGACATGGCCAGTACTTCCATGGCGTTGTGGTGCCAGCTGCTGTTGAGTCGCGTCGCGTGAAGATAAATTCGCGATTGGACGAGAAGACCCCTGGAAGCAGCAGCAGGCTCCTCCGTTTAACAGTTCAATCTAGACATCTAGACATCTACAAGGTATCGTAGCATGCTGGATGATCGATCAATCAGTGAGCCATCATACGAGGAGAGACTTGAATGAGAGTTTGGTCTGATTTGGGTTTAGCAACAGGCTACGTGGCCATAATACGCACCCAGCCAGACTGCAAAGGGGGCTAGCCTTGTGTCTATCTTGGCTGCATATGCTGCCTCAAGCAGATCAAGGCTATGAAATCTCACATTGATACAGCAGGACCTCACTGATGACTGCGAACACACAGATGAAGAAAAGGTATTGATCAGCAATGGCCGGCTTGCTCTCGCTATCTCTCGTGCCAGACTTTCCCTAGTCCTTTGACAGCACGGATATGCCTCAGTCCCCCTCCGGCCTCCCCACTGAGCATCCATACACCGCAGACTCAGGCACTCGAGGTGGTTTGTATCTGACGTCGTTTGCTCTCCGCTTGACGTCACTGCTGCTGGACCAAACACACCCGCGGGCAGTGCAGCAGCAGCAGCAGCAGGACCACAAGATCGATCGCAACTCCACACTCCCGCTCTCTCTTCTTAAGGCATCGACCATCCTCGGCCAAGACTCCCATCAGCAGCAAGCCATGGAGTCGCAGGCCCTCCTCCAGCACGATGACTCACCCACCGCCATCCTCTCCAAGAAGCTACGCACCCTCTTCCAGCTGAACGCCCTCAAGCAGGGCTACATGCCAACCAACGAACAGCTCCAAGAACACCTGACCGCTCATATCCGCTCACCCGTCCTCGATGCAAAGCAACGCGGCCTCTCCAAGGAAACGCGCCAGATCATGGACGATATCCGAGGCTTCCTCAAAGCCACAGGTCAACTCCTCAAGGACAAGAACGACGGTGACTTGATACAAGAGATCATTTGGAACTTGAAGAGCGCAAAGGCCCATGCGGATGTTGAGTTTGATGGGGATGTATTCGCCGCTCGATTGAGCGTGACACAAGCAAAAGCCGACGCAAAGACAGGTAGGCCCTTTCCTAAATCTATGTTCAAGAAGCTAACACTCCTTAGCGCACATGAAGGCCCGCGCAGTGGCCGATGTACTCTACAGCAACCCGCAATTCCGAGCACTCCTTCACGACGGCTCCATCCTTGCGCGTGACCTGCTCTCGGATGTTGTTGAAGCAACGGCCACGGCTATTGCTCCTGAAGAGGAAGACCTCATCCAACTTGAGGAAGAAGCTGTGGATGTGGATGGACGAGCCATCAAGGATGATGTGGACGACACCAAAGCAGCGATTCGCGAACGCGTCGACAACGTCAAGGAACAAGTCCGTGAAACATACGACGCTGCCACTGAACAAGCGATTGCCACGCTACAACAAATGCAAGAGCAAGGCCAGAAATTCGGTGGACAAGCCATCGAAGTTGCTGGTCAAGCCAAGGAGAAGGCAACAAAGCTCGCAAAGGAAGGGTCCGAGCAAGCCAAGAAGGCAGCAGACACAGCACTCAAGCTTGCTGACGAGGCTATTGCCAAATTGGAAGAACTGACGGGCATTCAGCGTGAGGATATCAAGAAATCACTCGATAACGGTACTCCCGTTGAAGACCTCGTTCGCAATGCCAAAAAGGGAGGCAAGAAGGTCCAAAAGCGTGCTGGAGAGCTAGCCAGTGATGCTGCCGACAAGGTCCAGCAAGGCACAAAAGCAGCTCAAGACAAGGCAGCTGAAGTTGCCGACAAGGGCAAGAAAGTCGCCAAAGACGCCAAGGACAAGGCACAAGATGTTGCCGAGGATGTTCAGGACAAGGCTGGTAAAGCAGCAGAGTCAGCCAAAGAAGGCGCCAAGGATGCCAAGAAGAAGGCAGAGGATGTCGCTGAAGACGTAGGCGACAAGGCAAAGAAGACTGCAAAAGATGCCAAGTCCAAGGCTGACGATGTTGCTGAGGATGTCGGCGACAAGGCGAAGAAGACGGCAAAGGACGCCAAGTCGAAAGCCGAGGATATTGCAAAAGACGCGAGCGACAAGACTGAAAGGACTGCTAAAGACGCCAAGTCGAAAGCCCAGGACGCAAACAAGTCTACTTCCTCAAGCAATGGTACACACTTGCAACAAATTGGTATTGTTCACGACAAGGCTGCCGACAAGAGGGAGGCACAGCAACAAGGTGGCAAGGGAAAGCCTGATCCTGATTACACCTTTGACGAGGAGGATACTGAGACGGATGATGCACTTGCTGGCATCATGGCACAGATTCGCACCAAGACAAAAGGTCAAGAAGGTATCACTGAAGCAGATATGAAGCGCACTGCTCGCAAGCTGCTGCACGACTATCAATCGCAATCTGGCAAGGCACAAAAGAATGGTAGCAAGGCTGCTGACAAGACCAAGGAAACTGCCAAGGATGCAAAAGCCAAGGCTGGTGATGCTGCTGAATCTGCAAAGCAAAAGGGCTCTGAGGTCGCTGATGAGGCTGTTAAGAAGGCTGAGCAAGCCAAGGAAAAAGGTTCTGAGCTTGCTGACAAGGCACAAAAGAAGGGATCCGAGGTGGCAGATGAGGCTGGTAAGAAGGCTGAGCAAGCAAAGCAAAAAGGATCTGAGCTTGCTGATAAGGCACAAAAGAAGGGCTCTGAGGTAGCAGACGAGGCCAGTAAGAAGGCTGAGCAAGCCAAGGAGAAGGGAGCTGAGCTCGCCGATAAGGCACAAAAGAAGGGCTCCGAGATCGCTGATGAGGCTGGCAAGAAGGCCGAACAAGCGAAGAAGAAGGGCTCTGAGCTCGCTGACCAGGCTTCTGAGCAGCTCGACTCTGCTGCCAAGACTGCTGATGACCTTGGTCGCAAGGTAAAGAAGAATGCAGACGAAGCTGTTGAGGCTGGCAAGGACAAAGCAGCCGAACTTAAGCGTCGTGTTGAGGAAATCGACCAAGAAGATATCCAAAAGGCCATTGACGATTTGATTCGTGCAACGAAGCAAAAGTTGACCGAGGTCACTGGCATCACAGAGGACGATGTGGTCGACTTCAAGAACAAAGCCGTTGAACAAGGCAAGCAAGCTCGCGACTTTGCCGTTGAAAAGGGCAAGAAGGCTGCTGAAACTGCTGAAGACGTCGCCGTCAATGTTGGTGCTCAAGCCAAGCACGCTTTACAAAACGCTCCCCGCAATGCAGCTGGCCAGATCCACGACACGCTAGATGCCGCACAAGAGTTGACAGATGCCACGGTCGAGAAGATCAAGGAATCGACCAAGGACATTCGCGAGTATCTAGCTGAGAAGTTCCCACCCAAGCGGCGTCAGGCCTTGCAGAAGCACTTCACCGCCCTTGCTGTCTCGCTCCGCGACAACACCGACTACTCCAATGGTCTTGATGGCTTGATTCCAATTGGCCGCAAGTACGTGGACTACACAATGACCTTTGTCGATGAAGTGCCCGATGCTCTGGAGGCTTCAGCCAATGTCGACACCAACAACGAGCTTGATGTTGCTGTTCGCAATACGATCACCCTGATTGAGCGCTTCTCCAATGGAGTTGGCTTTGGTGGCATACAGAAAGCATACAAGCAGCTCAAGGGGGATATGGGCAAGGACAAGCACACCGACGAGTTCTTGTCGGACTGTATGACATACTTCAAGCGCCTCGTACAGGATGTCAAGTATGCTGCTTCAGATGATGCACAGAAGCACGGCCAGGAACTCCTCGACCGCATCAATGAGTTTACAGAGTCGACTGGTTTCAAAGATGATGTCAACGACCTCATTCGCGAATCGGTCAAGCTTGCCGAAGGCTTCACAAGTGACCAAGTGCTGCTCAATTGGACTTCAAGGGGTCGTCAACTCTTCAAGCACTTGACCATGAACTCGCGCGGCAACTTCGTGTTCAAGACTCGCGTTATTCGCGACTTTTTCCAAATTATCATGCCATCGGCACTGAAGCTTGTTCAATATGTCCCTATCTCAAGGGTTGAATTCCAAAACGAGGAAATTGACCTCGTGGTCGAGAACCTTGTCTTTGAGTCGAGTGCGTCACACGACCAGAGCTTCCTGCCATACCGCATGCGCATCATGAACAAGAATGTCTTTGAGGCTGTCAACGCCTACAAGTACGAGTCTGCTTATTCACAACGCTTGACTGTTAAGCTTGAAGGATTGACTATGGCTGTGCGCGATGCTGGCTTCTACATTCGCAAGAAGACTGGCTTCTTCCGCTTCTACGACTCTGGCTTGTTCGATGTCATCATGGATGGACCAGGCGTTGATATTGAGGTTGACTTGCAAATGTCTACCGAGGATGAGGAAGAGGACGTCACGCGTGACGCTCTCTTTGTGGTCAAGGCTGTGCGTGTCGACATTCGCAAGTTTGACTTTAGCACATCAGGTGCACGCCACGGTTGGCTCATTGGCTTGTTCAAGCCTCTCGTCAAGGGATTCGTCAAGCGTCAAATCGAGACGGCTATTGCCGATTCAATGAAGGAACAGCTCGTTTGGTATGAGTATCAGTTGCGCATGCTGCAGCACCGTGTCAAGACTGCCTTTATCGCCAATAATGGTCAAGCCAGCTTTGCCAGCTTGTTCAGGGCGATCACCACTGGCTACAAGCCCAACCCTGGCAGACGTGGTCAATTTGAAGTGGCTGTTGGCACACATGGTCCACTGCGCAATGTACACACGAAGGCATCGCTCGAGCACGAGTTGGAGTATGCAGATGAGATTGTGGACGAGGAGGGTAGGCGTCATTCATGGAAGAATGATATCTTCAGCTTGGGCGTTTAAGGCATTTTATGTATTCGGTTCGTATCTTGATCTACTTTATTGTGTTTTCATTTCTCCATCAGCTTCGACTGGCTTATTAGTGATGTGTATAAAGTAAGGGGCTAACGCACCAGAAGTAACGGCTTCATGTGCCTCGAGGGTACCAACGTGGTCCTTAGGAAATTCAGCCGAGAATCCTTTGATGAGCGTGAAGGTCTGTCCAGTCAGCTCGGTCCTTTGTGCGCCCGAAAGTTACATACATCCTTGATAGTGCCGCCCTGTTTCTCGATGAGCTTCTTTGCACTGTGGCATGTGTCAGCTGAGCGCAATTGAACAATGCGCAACATACTCAGCAACTTGTGCGTCGCTTGCGTCGTCTTTGAGGTTGACAATGAAGGCAGGCATGGTTCTGGTCCTTGCTTTGAGTGTGTTGGTCAGTGGTCGCATTTGTGGAGTTGCGCCGGTTGTCTGGTGACGCAGCCGGGCCAAAGATAAAAGTCGCAGGAGGAGCTCACATCCAGAAAAAAGTTGCCTCTGAGAAAGGGACGACCAGGCAAAGTACTAGCTACACAGACATCTGCCGCTGCGCCTACTGCAGCAATGGAGCAGCAGGCAAATAGGCCTCACAGGGACAAGCATTCGGGACCCTCGGCCGAGAAGAAAAAATCGCAACAGTCGCGAGACCAAGCAGCAAAGCAAAATCCCAAAGGGTTTGCTGTCGGTCGTCGGGCAGAGAAGCAGGCGCGTCGTACAGCTGATGTTGACCAGAAGAAGCTGCATGTGCCACTGGTAGACAGAACGCCCGATGAAGCGCCCCCTGTCATTATTGCAGTCATGGGACCGCCAGGCACGGGCAAGACGACATTGATCAAGTCGCTTGTAAAGCGCTTTTCGAAGCACTCTCTGACAGAGGTGACGGGTCCTATCACAGTTGTTTCGGGCAAGCACAGGAGATTGACCTTCATTGAGTGCGCGAATGACCTAAACGCCATGATGGACGTGGCAAAGATTGCAGACCTCGTCCTGTTGCTCATCGATGGCAATTTCGGCTTTGAAATGGAGACGATGGAGTTCCTCAACATCCTTGCGCCGCACGGTATGCCAAAGGTGATGGGTGTTTTGACGCACCTCGACTTGTTCAAGAAGCCAGCTACCCTCAGAACTGCAAAGAAGCGATTGAAGCAGAGATTCTGGACAGAAATATACCAGGGTGCAAAACTCTTCTATCTCTCCGGCGTCATCAACGGTCGATATCCAGACCGAGAGATTCTCAACCTCTGTCGCTTCATCTCTGTCATGAAGTTCAGGCCCTTGCTCTGGCGAAATTCCCATCCATATTTGCTTGCAGATCGTGTCGAAGATTTGACACCTCCTCAGCAGATTCACGATGACCCAACTTGCGATCGAACAATCACGCTTTACGGCTATTCTAGAGGAACAAATTTCCCAGCAAAGGATGCTCGGGTACATATCCCTGGTGTGGGCGACTTGACTGTTTCGGTTGTTTCTGCTCTGCCAGATCCTTGTCCTGCGCCAGGTCAAGAGAAGGGCAAGAAGCGTCGGACGCTTGGTGAAAAGGCCAAGCTCATCTACGGTCCCTTGTCAGATGTCGGTGGTATCACATTCGACAAGGATGCAGTTTATATAGACATGCCCACCAACTCCTTTTCACACAAAAAATCACAAGCTGAGGATGAAGAGTCAGATGAAGAAGAGACTGGTTTCGGTGAACGTCTCGTGATGGGTTTGCAATCAGCCAAGCCGCAACAGGAAGAAGGACTGCAGCTATTTTCTGGTGGGGGACACGTAACGGACTCAGGGCGTCGGTCAATACGGCAGACCCAAGCACAGATGATGGACTTTGACAACGCTGAAGGTTTAGAGGACGTTCCTACGGATGATGACGACGAAGATGCGGAACCTCCCGTCTATGTTGAAAAGACCGATCGCGGTGGTGGCCGGCGCGAGGAACTCCAATTTGCCGATAGTGACAGCGAAATTGGGGAGCTTTCTGGCAACGAAGACGATGTCTCTTTCGATGAAGAAGAGGAGGATGATCAGACAACGGCTGCCTTGAGATGGAAGGAAGGGCTTGCAGAAAAGGCCAGCGCAGACTACATGGCCCGCCGTCCTCGTCGATTGGCTGCCCTCATTTACGATATGGAGTACTCGGCTGCCGATGTGGTACGCGAGTGGACTACTGGTATCGTGAAAGGTACCGAGGCTGAAGAGGCACCCGAAGAAGAAGAAGAGGCAGACGACTTCTTCAAGGTGACTACAGATGCACCGGCTGCTGAGGTCATTGACGCCTCGAAGTCTCGCCAGGGACCCGTTGCCCCTGATCTTCTTGCCCGTATCAAGTCTCGCTTCATCCCTCGTAACCCTGAAGCAGGCTTTGAAGCGACCGGGGACGACGGCGATGAGGAAGAGGTGTTTGGAGACTTTGAAGATCTTGAAGCATCTGATGCTGAAGCCGACGACAAAATCACTGAACCAATTGAAGCAGCGGAACCAGCAGCACAGCTTGACTTTGCAGCCGAACGATTACAAAATGAAAAGCGGAAAGCTGAATTGAAGCAACGTTTCGAGGAAGAAGATGACCGTGGTGGAAAGGAGGAAGACCCGCAAGGCGAGATGGATTGGCATGATCAGCAAAAGGCCAAGATCTCCAAGCAGCTCGAACTCAACAAGGAGGCATTTGCTGACCTGACACCCGAGGAGAGAATCTCGGTAGAGGGTCACCAGCCTGGAAGCTACCTTCGACTACAAATCTCGGGAGTCCCATGCGAGTTTATCGACAGTTTCACCGGCAAGCTTCCCGTCATTGTTGGAGGGCTATTAGCCAACGAGCAAAGCTTCGGCCTGGTGCAGGTGCGCATTAAAAAGCACCGCTGGCACAAGAAGATTCTCAAAACCAACGATCCTCTTATCTTGTCTATTGGATGGCGGCGATTTCAAACACTGCCGCTGTACAGCACCAGTGACAATCGCACGCGAAACCGTCTGCTTAAATACACACCAGAGCACATGCACTGTTTTGCCACATTTTATGGTCCATTGACTGCGCCCAACATTGGCTTTTGTGCCTTTAGATCTGTGGCGAATCACACACCTGGCGATACAGTGGGTGCTGGTTTCCGTGTGGCTGCTACTGGTACGGTCTTGGATCTTGCACAGTCGAGTGAGATTGTCAAGAAGCTCAAGCTGACCGGAACGCCGTACAAGATCTTCAAGAACACGGCATTCATCAAGGACATGTTTACTTCTTCACTTGAGGTGGCCAAATTCGAAGGTGCCAACATCCGAACTGTTTCCGGAATTCGTGGACAAGTGAAAAAGGCATTACGCAAACCAGAGGGACACTTCAGGGCGACATTTGAGGATAAAGTGCTCATGTCTGATATTGTCTTTTTGCGAGCTTGGTATCCAGTGCAGCCGCGCACGTATTACAACCCAGTCACATCGTTGCTTGACTCTTGGAAAGGTATGCGATTGACCGGTGTCGTGAGGCATGCAATGAGTCTTGCAACACCCCTGCCAGCCGACTCACAGTACCGCAAGATTGAGCGTCAGGAACGCAAATTCAATCCACTCAAAGTACCGCGTGGTATTCAAGCTTCGTTGCCATTCGCTAGTAAACCTGCACTCATGAAGAAGCAGTCAAAGCCGACGTACCTGCAAAAACGAGCTGTGGTGTTGGGTGGAGAAGAGAAGAAGGCGCGTGACCTGATGCAAAAGATTATGACGCTGCGAAATGACAAGACTGCGAAGCGTGATGCAAAGCAAGAGCAGCGTCGTCAAGTACATCGTCAAGCGGTGGCCAAGGAGGCTGCTTTCCAGGTGGAGAAGGAGAAAGCCAAGTCTCAGGCGTACTACAAGGAGCAAGGCAAGAAGCGGCGGCTCGAAGGTGGTAAGCCTACAGGGAATGCCAAGAAGCGTTCGAGGGATGATTAAAAGGATGCATAGGCTCTTTGTATCTCGGTAGATACGAATGCAGATTTAGTGAGCCGATAAGGTGTTGGATGCTTTAAGAGAGATAAACGCACTGCAGGAATGGATGTTCAAGCAACTCGCCAGCGGTGTGCCGATGAAATGGATCCAATTCGAGTGCCTTGTCGAGGAAGTCAAATGCCTGTTGTAAGAGGATATCATCTCCTTCTTCCAGCCAAGGGTAAGCGCCTGGTTCCAGACTCGGCATGCCCAGCAAGCTCTTGACGAGGTGTTGCCAAGCATAGCGATGCACAGGGACACCAGGCAGATTAATGTCAAGCAAACAACCATGAACAGTCGCACAGTGACTCATCTCCTCTGTGCCAAAGACGTTGCATAGTTCAACAAAGGCGACAAGATCGTCTTCAGCGCAAAAGAAGGGCATGCGTTGGCAAAGGAAGCAGAGGAGGATGATCCCAGTAGACCAAACATCAATAGCGGTTGATTGCCTGCTGCAACGAAGGAGCACTTCTGGAGCCTATCTGGTCAGCGCTTCTGCGAATGAGAGACATTGTTGGCATACACGGAAGCCTCGTGTACCGCCTCGCTCGCCGCGTTTTGAGCGACGTCGGTCATTCTTGAGTTCCCCAACAGGTCGCATGCGGGAACGTTGTTCCTCAATGTCGTGTGTTGTTAAGAGTGCGACTTGCTCATTGAGGCAACCGCATGCAGGAATACCTTCATCAATCATGTCCTCATACTGAGCCAATCCAAAGTCCACCAAGACACCTTGATTGATGTATGGATTCCAGCAATAGTTGCCAGGCTTGATGTCTCGGTGCACAATGCCTAGTGTGTGAATAGCATGGCAGGCAAGAAGGAGATCACGCAGATAGCACGCGATGTTGCGAAGGGGATAGCAGTCAAAGTAGTCTCGAAACTCTGCATGCTGGACTGTAGATGGAGTATTAGCAAATGATACATTGATGAGCTGAAAGGCGCACTAAATGGCAAGACAATGAGGATCTGGTCAAAGTGGCGAATGGCGGTGACGATAGACAAGACCTGCTTGACGCCCGTGTTGCGAATGTCTTGCAAGACTTCGAGTTCATTGTAGATGCGCCAGGGAGCAGCAAACGCATACACCTGCTTGATGGCGACATACTGCTGCCCTGTCTGAAGACGCGTACGGTAACGTTTGCCGTTATTGCTATCGGGCGTCGTCTGCTGGAAGCTGGCATGGCGCACGTCGAGTGCCTTAAAGACTGCCGAGAATGATCCGCTGCCAATAAGTTCTAATGGTTGATAGAGGCGGTCGATGCCAGGGAAGGACTGGAGGAGTGCTTGGATGGCGCCGGCAGAGTCGAGGAAGTGCTTCTCTTCCTTGTCGGCTGGAGACTCCTTGACGAGCATAGCAGGTGAGTAGAGGATACTTGATGAAGCAGCAGGTACAAGCAGTACAGTGAGCCAGTAAGGCAAGAGAGGTAGCGAGAGTGAGATTGAGAGCGATTATGTGCTAGTCAGAGCTGTGAGCTATGTGCAAAGAAGGACACTCAGTCGTGGAGGACTAGTGGCTCGCAATGGCTTGAGGGCATTCCGCTCGCTTGTGGCCTGGTTGCTGACAACCATAGCACAGCTGCTGAACAGCCTCACCTTCAGCTGTGCAATCACCTAAAGGGCATTAGTATGATCTCATATCAGAGGGGAATGTCACATACGCGCAAAGTGGTTGGCACCGTTACACTTGTAGCACACGACCTTCTTGGCCTCCTTACGCTGCCGAGGCTTCTCCGACTGCTGCTGTCGCTCTTGCTGCTCTTGCTTCGGCTCTGGACAGTCTCGCGACTCGTGACCGGCCTGCTTGCAGTTGAAGCACAGTCGCTCGGGCTCAGTGCATACACTGGCCAAGTGGTCCTTTGAGGCACACTTGTAGCAACGCTTCGCGCGTGCTGGTACTGGAGGCTCAAAATTGGCAAACTTGGCTGCCAAGGGAAGCCTGTCGCCCTCTGGAACTGGGCAGTCTTTGAGCTGGTGGTCCTCGGACTTGCAGGCGAAACACCTCTTGTTGGCTTGTGGGCAATTGGCGACTCTATGATCGTCCTCGCCGCACCTGAAGCATCCGAAGCTCGACATCTTCTGCTGCTGCTGCTATGAGAAAGAGAGTGATAGATCCAGCGACTTGGGGAAGATTTCTGCAATCTACAGAGACACGTGACAGCAGCGGATGCAGTAGAGTAGACGGAGTAGAGTCACCAGGGGAAAGAGTCGTAGTCTCTTGATGGAGCTGCAGATTGATCTGATGAGCTATGGACGGGAACACTGTCACTGCTAGGCAAGCACCATGGACTACATTGTAGCTATCCACTAGTTTTAGACCACTGCAGAGCAGCCTTCCCTGCTATGTTCGGCCATCTGCTCTCCTTGTGCCTGGGCGATATGCCTGATCACTGCCATGACTGCACCTACATCTACATCCTGAGCTAGCACTAGCAGAGAGAGAAAGAGATGCCTGCTACGAGTAAGATGACGCGTCTGTTCTGGGCAGCGAATTTTGGAATTTCAGACTTCTGCTGCTGAGACAGGGCGACTTGTGCTGCTGCTGCTGCTGCTCCTCTCCCGCCCTCTCAAACCCAACAAACCACCATCACCATCACCCACACTCACAAAGAACCAACCCACACTCGTACGTCGCCAGCCCTCCTTCCGCCTGACCCTCTCCTTCTCCTCCGCCTCTCGCAAAAGCCCCCCTCGCGAGTTGTGTGACTGCGCAACCTTCCTATTCACGTGGGCCAGAGGAGCTGGAAGGGACAACGCGGATACCTCCAAGGGCCAAGCCATAAAACCCAACAAGGCTAACACATCCGTGTAGAACTCCAACAAGAAACTTCTCAACATGCCTGGACGTGATGATGCTGTGTACCTCGCCAAGCTCGCCGAGCAGGCAGAGCGTTACGAAGGTATGGCCTGCTTCAAGAAAAAAAACACGCGACTAATACTCCCTAAGAGATGGTCGAAAACATGAAGACCGTGGCCTCTACAGACCAGGAACTCACCGTCGAAGAGCGCAACCTCCTCTCTGTTGCGTACAAAAACGTGATCGGTGCCCGCCGGGCTTCTTGGCGCATCGTCTCCTCGATTGAGCAAAAAGAGGAGAGCAAGGGTAACGGCGAGCAAGTCACTCTCATCAAGGAGTACCGCGTCAAGATTGAGCAGGAGCTCGCACAGATCTGTGAGGACATCCTCGACGTGCTCGACAAGCACCTCGTCCCATCTGCTCAAAGCGGCGAGTCCAAGGTCTTCTACCACAAGATGTACGCATTCCCTTTTAGCGCAGGAACTGATGGCTAATGTATTTCCAGGAAGGGAGACTACCACCGCTACTTGGCCGAGTTTGCTACCGGCGACAAGCGTTCCGACTCTGCCGAAAAGTCTCTTGAGGCATACAAGGCTGCGTCCGACGTTGCCGTGACTGAATTGCCTCCTACGCACCCAATCCGTCTCGGTCTCGCTCTCAACTTTTCCGTGTTTTACTACGAGATCCTCAACTCCCCAGACCGGGCTTGTCACTTGGCCAAGCAGGCATTTGACGATGCCATTGCAGAGCTCGACACATTGTCGTACGTCCCTCATCTCACATCAAGGAATGCAACTAATGTTCACAGGGAGGAATCGTACAAGGACTCTACGCTCATTATGCAGCTGCTCCGTGACAACTTGACATTGTGGACTTCGGACATGCAGGACGGTGACAAGGAGAAGGAGCAATCTGCTGCCGCTGCACCGGCGACGGATGCTCCAGCAGCTGCCAAGGCGGAGGAAGCCTCATAGGCATCATTGGGTTCCTTCTATCGTAACCCGTTGATTCACGCTACTTAAGACTCTGCGTGTTTCTGATAGATTGAGGCAGTATCCGAGTTTCTCTTTCCATGCTCTTGACTTCTTGAATCTTGACTCTTCAGTCTTGATTTTTACTTTGTTGTGCCTGCGTCATCCCATATCTCCACCGAGGCTCCAGCAACCACGACCACGGACCACCACAAGCACCGCACCGTATCATGTTCAAGACTAGCATTGCACGACTCTCAACCAGGTCTCAGACCATCACCCTTGCTAAGCGTATGTACGCAGACGCACCAGCAGGCAGTGTGGCCGCTAGCAAGGATGCTTTCGGCAAGCGCGAGAAGGCTCAGGAGGACAAGTCAGTGCTTTTCTTCAGTTGTTGGCTGCTCGAGTGTCTCGGCAGTCTTTGATCTTGCTATCCTCTCTCATTGATTGGACTTCGGCCTGCTCGGATGTGAGAGAAACATGTTCATGGACTGTCGGACACCCACGCATCAATACACTGATTACGATTGACGGAGCAATATACTAACCATTGCCAGGTACATGCGCGACCGCGAACGAGAGAAGCAAGAGAGGCTCAAGAAGCACATCAAGGACCAGCGTTCTGCCCTTGACGAGCTTGAGAAGTCGATGGAGGACAAGCACTGAAGGCATGGACTAACCGCTACGTTATTGCATTCCTATCAAGTCCATATGACTCTATGTCGTCCTCATTATGATACTGATCTACTTCCTATCGACATCAAGCCCCGGAGAGCGTATACTTCATCTTAAAGCTCGTGATTGACTGCTCGCCCTTCTAATGATTCTCGCCATGAACACTGGCGTCCTCGAGTAAATTCTCTTGAGGACTACAGTCATAACAGATATCACACCTGCATCCTTGACACGTCTTCTTCAGCAATCTCCCTCCGTTGTGTGACTGGCCCTTTTCTGTGACTGAATTACGTCAATTTTCGAGCTGGAAAGTTTTATGTGCGCCAAGACATCAGAGCTACAGCGCGTATTCCGCAAGTTGCAACCATATCTATCGCTTGATAAGGCTTCTGTATCGCACTTACTCTTCATCCAAGCTATTGCTCGAGGGCGCAATGTTGGCGCAGCTTTGCTCTTCGACGGCGCATCTCCGGAGACGATTGCAGCTTCTCATCCTCTCGCTTGCCCTTCTCGGCGGGCTCTCCTATCTGCTGGCGGATAGAAGAGCCATCATCGCGCAAGCGATAAATCATGGCCCTTTCAAGAGCGACTCAGCACAAACACTCTCTGTAAAAGACACGCCAGCTTCATCACAAGGCCTAGAACGAGCCGATAATGTAGCAGGCTGTCCAGCACGACTCGCCGCGCTATACGGATCGGATCGTTTCAGTAGCGTCCCTTGGCAGGAGGATACAGCCAATGTTACTTTCCCCATTGGTTATCCTGTTGAGGACGCTCATCTCTGCAACCCTGCCTTGTCGACTGAAAAGGTGGCAGTCATTGTCGAAATGCTCGAAGATGACAATTTGGTTCCTCACATACTGCGATTCATCAAGCGACTTGGTGACGAGTGGCCCGTGATTTTATATCACTCCAAGATGAACGAAGACTCTATCCTTGCCAACCGTGCTCTCCGGCCGTATCTGTTGTCGGGCAAAGTACAGCGCGTACGTCTCAATACCGCCTTTCTCTCGCACTACTCGGTTTCTCAATTTCTGGCACATGCACCCTTCTACGAGCACTTGGCTCCTGCGAAACATGTTCTGCTGTTCCAAACTGACTCGACATTGTGTAGCAACGCGACACAGTCGGTCGAGAGCTTCTTTGATTACGATTACATTGGCTCGCCGATACACTCTAGTCTCTTTGACGAACCTATCCCACGTTTCAACGGTGGTCTCTCCTTGCGCAACAGAGAATCTATGCTACAAGTCATTCGAGAGTCAGCGCCCTTCGAGGATCCTGGGCAACCATGGATCTGGGAGGATCAGTGGTTCTCGATGGAGATGGCAAAGTCAAGAGCCAACTACACACTGCCTACAATCGAAGAGGCATCTACTTTTGCAGTAGAGAGTGTCTTCAATCCAGCGCCACTTGGCGTGCACCGTCCGCATATGTTCATTCCAATGATTGATGGGTATGAGCAATATCAGAAGCTGCTCGACTTTTGCCCAGAAATCGAAGAGATGACTACACACTTTGGTCCGACGATTTTTGATCCCTGCAAGAATGATCCTGACAGCCATGACTGTGCACTGTCAAAGTTCACCGCTGCGTTGGAATCTTAAGCGGCACTCAAGACGTGTGAGACAGAGGCACAGAGCGAGACGTGTCGCGATGCAAAAGCAAAGCAAGCTCAGGCATAATACACTCACATTGCTATTGACAGCCCGCAGTCTATCCAGGGCTCACGACGAACATCCGTGGCAGGCTCTCTTCATTGAGCCCGATTGTATTTCCACCATTTACCGGCATTGTTTGAAAATGAAATGACATAGATATTATAGACTAGTCCAGAAGACTTCACATAGACATCACAGCGTAGCGTATCCTTCTACAATTCCATCGCGGAACTCTCTACAACGGCAGATGCTTTGCGCACCTTCAGGGGCAACGCCAGACATTTCGCCAAGTCGCTACCGTCCTCCACGCTATGCGCGCTCTTGACCCACGGCACATCACCCGTCGTACCAGTCAGCTTGACCACCTCTTTACCAAGTAACGCCAGCGTACTTGCTTGACGAGAGACAAACTCTTTCGGGTGCTCGCACAGGACGGGATAGGCCACGAGGAGACCTTTACGCTCGCACTCAGACACACCCATCCGCGCGACTTTTTGGTTTGACAGTGTTCGCAAGTGGAAGGGGAACACGCTCTTTGTTGCTGTGACTTCGCGCAGGGTCTCTTGTGAGGCTTTCAGCTTGGGTTGATAGGTCACACCGTAGTCTCGTGCATACAGCGTCGGTCTCAGTACGCCATGTGGACGAACAGCACCCTTGCCGGTCGAAAAGGCAAGATCCAGTAGCCATACTTCACCAGGGCTCACTTGCGTGGTTTCTTCCTCTTCTGCTTGTAGCCGATCTGCACTCGTCTGTGCAGGTGCAGTAACGGGCCGGTACACCCATGTGATCTGTTTTGGCCGGTCATTCTCATCCAGTGCTTCTTCCTCAACAGTCGCCTGGCCTACCAGGAAACGCCGGAGTCTCCTGACTTTTGAGCCTTCGCATACGCGCACGTCAAAGGCCGCAGCACAGGCTTCCACGAGACTTCTCAGTTGCGCAAGGGTTACGCTTTGTGTGTCTTCAAGTGCAGAGGGAGGTTGCGCTTGTGCAAGGAGACGAGTAACTGCTTCTGTTGCTGCGCATGTCGCAACAGTGACATCTGCCACGGGACCTTGTATGGCTTCAGATTGCTGACCTTGTGTCACAAGCATTGTGTGACATGCCTTGGCAGTATAACCATCGATATGCACGCCCAAGGATACCTTGACAAGATCTCCCGCTTGCAAAATATATGCACCTTCTTCCTCCATTGGAGCGTAGCCACCGAGACAATTGTTGACATTGACGGTTGTTGGCTCTGCACTGCCCTTCTCTAATTGCTTGTCTCGTTTGAACACGCGCGAGGTGCCCTCTTGCATCAGTGCATCGCCCAGTAGACAGAGCGCAGCGGTATTGGCGCCAGGTCGACATGCTTCGAGCACTTTTGCCAGTGCCGCATTTGTGAACTGTGCAGCGAGGCTATACTTTCCCATAACAGAATCGGTGAGGACATCTGGCTGCGCAGGGCCTTCGACGACCTCCATTGCGGGCATAGCTGTAGATGGAGATGCTTGGCTTTCCTATAGATTGTCTGGCGCCGAATCTGCATCGCGCCAACTTTTTTGTAAACTCGCACGGTGCTTGCGGGTCTGGTTCATCGCTCGAGAGTCGAAACGCGACAGAAGCACTTCAACTTCGAGCTCGTCTCTGACATCGACTCGTCGCGTATCTTGCAATGAAACGAAAGGCGGAGGCTGATGTGGACAAAACAGCTGATAGCTCGAAAAAGGTCTCGCGGGATGGTCCAGTCTCAAAGACATCCAAAGACTCCGAGACTGAAGGCAAACCTACCCCTCCACCAGTGCAATTCAAACGGCTGGCTACTTACGAATGTCCACGCTTGAATGGCGTTCCACGCAATGCTGCTGCTATATTGGACGAGCTATGTAAAGGCTTCGACGAAGACACTTACCTTTGCGAACTCGAGTCATGCCCAGTGACAAGCGCCTCCGCCGAGTTCATGCAAGGCATGTATCTGGATTACTTTGTGGCTGCGCCCGGCACACATCTTCCCATATGCAGGCCAATTGATAAAAGAATATTGGAGAGAATAATGAAATTCAAAATGGCTGTACGTGTGTTCTGAGATATACTATAGGACGTGGAAGGCTAATGGCAGCGTGGTACGTATCGTCCTACCCTTATGGGCCTTGTCGCGCAAAACGTCAACGCAGACGTCAAGAAGGTCACCAAGGAGGCATCAGCACCATTGTTTGATGACTTGTCTGAGGAGCAGGTACGGAAGAGTCTCGCACAACTAGGTACGCTGCGAGGTGTCGGTCCCGCAACCGCGTCTCTCATCCTCTCCATCGAGCACTCGACCGTCCCGTTCATGAGTGACGAGGCGGCACGGTTCTTCGGATGTCTGGGTCCCGTCAAGTACACACTGCCTTATTATATGCGTTTCCGGTCAGCGATGCTTCAGTTTCTGATGGAAGCTGAGAGCGATCTGACCTGCTGTCAATTGGAGCAACGAATCTGGCTCAAAATGAAAAGTGATGGAGGGCTCTTTCGTTAGATCATTTCATATTTATGTGTACAGTCTTGTCGTCTCAGTAGGGATCGGAGTCTAGTGAATTTGAAACTTGAAAATCAGGGGATGACACTTCACTCAACGACTGCAGCGCCAACACCAGACCAGCCACTACCACTGCAATGAAGCGCAAATTGAATTCTACTTTTAAAGAAAAGAGAAACAGCTCGAAGAAGATCGACCAAGATGCAGCTGAGTCTTCTGGTGCTCTAGAAGAATGTCACCCAGTCTTCAAGACTGAAGTCGCAGCCGAGTTGACGACCCAGAAGATCACCGTGATTTTGAGCGGCCCAGAAGAGCTCGATACTACCAAAATCAAGTATGAGCTGAATGCTGAGCCGAATACGATAGCTAGCGTCAACGTCAAGAGCGAGGCCAAGGCTGAAAGTGCGGCGATGAAGCCTGAACAATCTGAAGTCAAGATTCAGCTTAAGAAGACCGTGGTCAAACCTGGGAAGAGGGTGAGGAAGACCAAGACTAAGGAGAGTAAGATCAAAGACGGCAAGGACGAGGCCAAGCTTGACGTCCGGGGTGAGATCAAGCCTACTATGCGCATTGATTATATGATCTTCCCAAAGTACGAATGTCCTGTAATATATGGGACCCCAAACAATGCTAAAGCGATTCTCGCCAACCTTTGCGATGGCTATGAGGAGAATGAGTCCTGTCTCACCACTCTGGCAGCTTGTGCTTCGACGAAAGCTGACGAGGATTGCCTGTGCACCGTGCACAATCGCTTCTTCAGCATTGGAGACGACAAAAAGAGTCTCTTGACCTCCGATTTCGGGCTGCAGAGTCTGAAAGCGGCGACAAGGTATAAGGATATCGCTGTAAGACTCGCTACAACAGTCAAGGCACAATGAGCTGACTTTCTTTTAGCGTGGCGACCGTGCAGCCTGGGGCGCGGCCTACGTTGGGCACAACACCGATGCAAAGATCAGGCAGGCCACAAGGGAGGCAACACTACCTTTATACACTGATCTGTCAGAAAAGCAGGTACGCAAGAGCTTGGAGACGCTATGTACGCTGGGAGGAGTTGGTGCTGCCACAGCTTCATTAATTTTGAGCATCGAACATCCGTCAATTGCATTTATGAGCGACGTGGCGGCTCAGTTATTCTCATGCCTGGGAGCAGTCCGACACAGCATGCCCTTCTACATGCGATACAGGCGGTGCCTGCTGCAGTTCCTGGAGGCGGCTGAGAGCGAGCTGAGTTGCTGCCAGCTGGAGCAGCGGATCTGGGTGCGATTCTGCCCATACGTGAAGTAGGGTTAGGCTCAGGCTGTCTGGCCAATGGGAGGGCGGGCAGGAGCGGGAAATGCTCAAGAGTAAGCAGAAGAAAGACAACGACTCTCTCTGCATCCAGTACGAGGACAGACTCTCAGTGTGCGCAGGCAGTCAGCATGTTCTCCTCCAGAGCTATTCCAAAGGCCGCCTCCTTCCGCAGGTTCGCCTCGACTCTTTCCCAAAAGTCCACTAGCAATACATCCCTGGCACTCGCAACCCTCACATCTGCTGGCCTCGTGGGCTCGTACGCGTACGTCTACGGATCTCCCATCAGCGCCAATTCGCCACTGGAGAATGGCTTGCACTCGCCCGCCTATCCGTGGCCCGAGAATGGCATGCTCTCGTCCTTCGACCACCAGTCCTTGAGGCGTGGCTACCAGGTGTACCGCGAGGTCTGCTCCGCTTGCCACTCCCTCGACCGCATCGCTTGGCGTAATCTCGTCGGTGTGACACACACAGTCGATGAAGCCAAGGCAATGTGCGAGGAAAATGAGTACGAGGATGGCCCCGACGACCAAGGCGAGATGTTCCAACGCCCTGGCAAGCTCTCAGACTACATGCCACGCCCATATCCCAATGACGAAGCTGCACGAGCTGGTATGTTCACACGACTCGACCCATTGTCCATTGCTAATGCCTCCAGGAAATGCCGGTGCACTGCCACCTGATCTTTCGCTGATTGTCAAAGCTCGTCACGGCGCTGCCGACTACGTCTTTGCACTGCTCACTGGATACGTTGACCCACCAGCAGGCGTTCAGCTTGCTGAGGGCATGAACTTCAACCCATACTTCCCTGGTGGCGGTATTGCCATGGCCCGTGTTCTTTACGACGGTCTGGTCGAGTATGACGATGGCACCCCAGCGACGACCTCTCAAATGGCCAAGGATGTGGTCAGCTTCCTGCATTGGGCTGCTGAGCCTGAGCTCGATGAGCGAAAGAAGATGGGTTTCCAGGCGGTTGTGCTACTTTCGGTACTGTTCCCTCTCGCACTCTACATGAAGCGGTTGCGATGGTCTGTGATCAAGTCCAGGAAGCTTGTCTACAACCCGCCCGTCAAAAAGTAGGCCTTCCTTTAGATTCTCGTTCTTAGCAAGCATCAAGTGACCATGTCCAGATTGAATTGAAAAATATGTGTCCTATATATTCCAGCAAGTCACTTCAAGACTCACTTGGCCTTGGCCTGTGCTGCAGCTCGGTCTGCAGCAAGGACTCTCACCTTTTCCTTGGAAATGAGGTTGAGGAGCTTCTTGTGCAGTTTTGGGTCCATGCCAAGCGAGAAGAGTACCTCGAGAAGCACAAAGAAGGGAGCCGCGTAGAATGCTTGGAAGATGTTATCGAGGAGGGCTGGCTTGCGTCCCTCAAACACGCCATGACCAACGAATTGCATGATCCAAGATAATCCACTAGAGGTATCAGTCGGTGGTCAGCAAAACGCAGGGACTTACTGCAGGACACCAGCGGTCTTGTTTGCAAGAGGACCATAAGTGTGCAACAGAGCAGTGGCACTGCCGACCATCCCTAGCAAAATCGGTACAGTCATAAGCCCAGCCTGTGTGTGCATGGCGATATAGCCGGGAATACTCGCGAGCGCTACAAGGGTTGCCAGATTTAGCTCCGGCAAGTACGTGGGCCATAGTCTACCAAGCGATGACTCTGAGGCAATCAGGGGGCCTGTGTTTGCCATGAAAAGGAAGGCCGTCCAAAGGATAAGCGGCACAAAAACCATGTGGATTGACACATTCGTTGGGTTGGCGTGGTAGGCGCCATACTTTGGAATTTGATACTCGAGCGAGAAGTAGCGCTTGATGGCTGACATGGTCTTTGCCTGTCGCTGAGTAAGAAGAAGGGTAGCTGAAGAGCGCAAGTAGATCCGGGGAGTGTCGCTGGCAAAGGTGGGGGAGCTGTTGCCGAAGCAAGTCGCAAACTCGAATATTATGCACGTTGGCGCTAGACTTCAGCACCGAGTCAGCATGTGATTGAGAGGGCCTGGTCAGACTGCGATCAGCATGAGCTAGCAAAGACGTTCATGTGTGATACCAACAAGAATGCACGCCAATTCAGTTTGGCAATGGGCTCGTCTAGACACCTTTGCTGCTCTGCAAGAGGTGATGCTGGATGCAGCCATCTCGAAAAGCGACCGCGTCTCGCGCGCCTTCAACATCGCAACGCACACCATCTCCATTGAAGACAAGCAGCCATGCGTATCAAAGTCAAGGTACGCCATGCATGTCACGAAGTCCCTCTGCTTACGTCCAGACACTGACAGGCAAAGAAATTGAGCTTGATATTGAGCCAAGTGACAAAATTTCCCGCATCAAGGAGCGCGTGGAGGAAAAAGAGGGTATTCCACCACCTCAGCAACGTCTTATCTTTGGCGGCAAGCAGATGTACGCCGTCCCAATGTCTTTGAACCGATCTGACTGTAGGAATGATGAAAAGACTGCTACAGAATACGGCGTCGAAGGAGGCAGCATTCTACATCTTGTGCTCGCGCTACGCGGTGGTCGCTAGGACTCTTTCTAGATGGTAGCACGAAGTCATGTCAAGAAGCGACATGTCGGCAGTCGATAGCGCTCAAGAGCCCAATACCGTCGTTTTGTCCCCTCCCATTCAGCATCTACCGTTGCAATCGGCAGCTCCTCGAACGAAGTGCTTAAACCAAAGTCTCGCAGCTCAATCTCGAGGATCTGGCTGTAGACTTCATAAAACGTTTCATTATCAGCTCCAAGTCCGTGAAAGAAGCAGAATGTTCCGTCAGGCTTCAACAAAGCCACTACTGCATCGAAAAAGGCATACATGTCTTCCCAGAACTCAAACGGGTCGTACATGATACCATCGAAGGTTTCCCTGTCAGCAAGATCATCCACAAGATCTTGCCACCGACCCTCCAGTATCTCAACACCTGGTCTCTCGTACCAACCACGCCGCCGCATCTCCCTCAGCACGTCAGGGTGCGCTTCAATGATTACATGCCGTTCCGGCTTTTCAAGCTGAATGGCGTCGTCGACAAGTCCCAACCCAAATCCTATATTGAGAACAGCCTTGCCGGGCCCTGACACAATCTTGGCTGAGCGTTTCATAATCTCGTCCTCCCATGTCATCATGATGGCGTTCTTCTCTTCATCAAGAAGAGTGGTACTGGTCTCTGTCGGATTCGTGTAGACCACATGGCCATTGAGAAAACTTGCGTTCCGCTCCACTGCATTGTGCACACCGCGTGCTTTGTCCAGGGCAGTCAGGAGTAGTTCTGCCCGGACGCCAGCTGAGACGAGGTGGTCGTAGAGCAGTGTCAAATGAGCTTTGCGAGCCAAGCAACCAGCTGTCTCGTATGCCCTGTTGGTTTGGTTCCAAACAGCGCCGTTCGAAAGCAGGAATTGGAGAAGCATTAGCGCTCTCTCCTGGGTGTCAAGCGAGGCCCCATTGACAAGATCGTGCAATGGGCCGTTACCCGTAGCGTCGTCCTGGCAGCCAAGATCAGCACCATTCTTTGACAGCTGTTTGACTTTTTCTAAGTCGAGAGCTGTACATGCCTCGTGAAGCTCAGTATCTAGTGCGACTTGTTGAGGATTTCGCACAGCCTCCTGAATGTCTTCCATTTTGAAGCTAGACTAATCTTAGGATACGACTGTAGCTCTTATATCTTCCAGCTTAACTTTGGTATGTGATCATGGATTCTGGCATTCTGCTCGCGACTGCAATTTTTATCTGCTGCTGCCAAATCGTCGCGCGAACACTCTCCAGATGCAGGCAAACAACCAACCATATCGCAGGTTCTCGCTCGCTACACGCGAGCTTTGCAGCCGAAGAACCTGAGCAGTACGTCAGCTATAGCTCTGCTTAATTGTAGCCGGCAGCTGATGACCAAATATTCAGGTCCCGGTCGTACAAGGTCTAAGCACACGGACTATGAGCGCACGGCGCCGGCTTCATCACAGGCAACGACCACCGCTCCTGGTAGAGGTCATCACCAACCCAGAGGTGTCGCAACAGATCGCTTCGTGCAGAAGCTCGTGAGGCCCATGGCCCTGTCAGGGAAGTATGCAGGCCGCTCGCTAGACATACTCTATACGAACGACCCATATCTTGCGGATGAATTCTGTGCTCTCCATATCGATAAGCAAGGCTGTACGCATGTAGGGTTTGACCTAGAGCATCGCCCACACTTTGCTCCGGGGAGCAAGGCGAATGTGGCACTTCTTCAGTACGTCCGCCCTCTCTCAACGTTAAGCTCGGAACTTACCACAGATTCGCACCATTAATGCCAGCCTTGAGTACAACCTACCCGGTTCTCCTCTACTCGCTTTATCACGCCAATGCTACTCTACCGCTCTCGCTTCTCTGCCTCCTCAGCAATACCGCTATCTCAAAGCATGGTGTAGGTATCTCCGGAGATTTGCGCCATCTAGCGTATCTAGAGCTGCCTCAAGAATGTCGTTCCTCATACAAAGAACTAGAAAGGGATGTCAAGTCCGTTATGCCACATCATCCTGGAGGACGCAGCCTCAAAGCACTCATAACGAGCTTGATGGATCCCCCATGCGCAGTACTCAAGACGAAAAGGTTGACAATGACAAACTGGGAGAAGAAAGATCTCTCAAACGATGAAATCGCATACGCAGCAATGGATGCTCTCTGTGGAGTGTTGCTATGGGAAATTATTGACACGCAGCGTGGGTGAGCAGCTCCTGCACCTGGTCGGCCTGCTCTTTCTGGTGACTTACACCAGCTTCTTCAAATAAGCAGAAGTGCTGTCATCATGACGCCCGAGCGCCTTCGGGCCCACATTGAGGGATGCATGGACTCGGGCATCTGTGATGAGCTCAGGAGCAGGCTCTTCCGGCATTGAGGATCGAAACAGCCTTCAATTTCGAGGCATATGAATTCTCTATGGTCATGCGCGTCATACAATGCTTGCTGAAAGCATAATCACTTTCAACAAAACGCAACAACGCCCGCTGAGTGACTTTCGCAATGGCAACTTGGTATTTAGCCATGGGTACGCTGCACACGGTTCCCCTTGGTCGTTTGCGCCTTTGGCCAAACAACACCAGAAGACTGCCGCAGGATTTGCGGCATGTGACATTTCTGCTTCGTGTTGTTCTCTTGCCTCAGATCTGTGCTTCAAAATAGAAGGCCTTGTTGACGCAAATCAATCTGACAAGCGGAATGCCTCATCAATCAAATGTGCTATCGGCTATGGACATGGACTTTTTGGCATGGGAAGACAGGGTATCTGTGCTGTCCATTGTCTTCATAAGCTTATATCATCTAATTGTTGACAAGTCATACAGCGTGTCGACATAGTAGCTTAGTGATTGACGTCGCTGCATTCTGCGTGGAGTCGTGGACAGCTTGGGCCTGCTTGGATGACTAAGCGCCACGCTGTGTTTTTGTTTTCAGCACAGAAGCACGTCCAAATTTTGGATTCTAGATTTCACTCTGAAACGAAAACTTTCATACGCATCTGCTTGCTCGCTGGGTTGTGATGGTCAAAGCTGCTAAAGATAAGCGTGACATCTACTATAGGCTAGCCAAAGAAAGGGGTTTCCGGGCACGTTCGGCATTCAAGCTGCTTCAACTCGACGAGGCCTATAATCTTTTCACTCCGACGACACGCCGTGTCGTTGACTTGTGCTGTGCACCTGGGAGTTGGTCTCAAGTCATTCTACAGAAGCTCAAAAGTCTGAGTGACGGCAACGTCCGAAGCTCGACAAATCGAATAGATGCCTTTTCCACAGCTCAGGAAGCGCTTTTGGCGGTGAAAGCGCACGATGCCGCAATTGTTCAGGCGCAGAAAATTGGCAGAGATGATGCTGTGCTAGTTTCTGTTGACCTTCAACCAATGGCCCCGCTTGACGATTCTTGTGTCTTTCTGCAAGCCGACATCACGACACCTTCTACCCTGAAACGTATTTTGGAAGCATTCTCAAATGCTGCTCGAAGTTGCAACACGCAGGCAATGCCGAAAAGCCCTCAAAGCAAAGCTGATCTGGTCGTCTCAGATGGGGCTCCCGATGTCACGGGAATGCATGATTTGGACATTTACTTGCAACATCAATTACTGCTTTCAGCTCTCACTCTAGCAACCTGTGTCCTGCGCCGTGGCGGCGGATTCGTCGCAAAAATCTTCAAGGAGCATGACACATTCCACGGGGACGCTCAAGGCGGTGTGCACGGTCTCAGTAACTACAGTAGCGGAGACACATCTGCCACTCTGCTTGTCGCCCAGGCACGACTTTTCTTCGAGCGCGTAACAATTTACAAACCTGCGTCTTCGCGCGCAAGCTCTCTTGAGCATTTCTTGGTTTGTGAGAGATATTCTCCACCGGCAGACTTTCAACCAAGTCTGGATCGCCCGTTGTCAGTACCAGTCTCTGCGCTCTCAGATATTCATGGAACCAATGGAAAGTTCTCTGACTTCATGGCGCTCGGAGATCTTCCCCAGGAACGTCCGATGTGACTGCTTCTGCCGTGGTATTCGCATCGAGCTTGCCAAAATAATTTGTCAAAGTGTTCCGTTGCACCGGTACCGGTTGGTTGACCTTTCTTCGCGTCGCTTGACCGATGCCCATGGCCGCGTAGAGCATATCCCAGGTGGCAAGGTCCAATACGCCGCCACTTGCTTCGCGGTGTCCCTGGGCAAAGCTACCGCCTTGTCCTATCCTGAGTTTGTTCCACAACTCATCATCCAGCTTGGCATAACCTTTCAGAATTTCTTGCAGATTGACTGCGTTCGCGGTTCCATCATCTTTACGCCGGTGTTTGGGAATACGACATGAAAAATGGACTTTGCCCTTCATATAGCCTTTATTGGCACACATGACGACTTCCAAATCTTTCGAATGTAGAAAACACCAGCGTGTTGCCACAAGAGGATGAACTTGGCAGGGAGATGAGATCACAAAGCAAGCAGTACGCTTGTCTTGCGACCAAAGAGGTGCTGTGCGGCCTACGCGGTCAACTTCGTCGGCGACTTCGTCTCGAGCCGTCACAAGACTTCCGAGGTGCACATTGGTGGAAAAGTGCAGAATTTGACTCGGGGCTTCGGTTGTGAGGAGCGATAACCAGGCTTCAGAAACATTGTAAGCTGAACTGCGGCGAGGGGCGTTAATCAGTCCGACAGCATCGGTGAAGTTTTTGCGTCCGAGTTCTTTGGCCAGCAGACCGAGGTGCGACGGGAATGGTGCTGTCCACTTCACGCTAGCACCAAGATCACCGACAGTCCCAATCACAGCGAGATATCCAATGCCATCTATTGCGTCGCTCCAATAAGCACTGCATAATTCGTATGTGAGCAGAGCCGTTGTGGCGATGGGTTCATGAAGAGCCGCACTACAAATCACAGCATCGTCTGGAAAGGCTGTAGAGTAATGGTGATCCAAGATGAGTGTCGGGACACCATGTAGAAGCGCAGGCGCTCGACAAGAGCCCTGGTCAAGTACAATAATATGTCCAGGCGCCTTTTGAGATATAGATGAGCGCTCAGTTTCAGAGAATAGCGAGGTCCCTTTGCTCAGCAAGTGAACCTGTATTTGTGAAGGATCCAGTCCAAGTCGTGTAAGTGTTCGGTACATGATGACGCCTGCAGACAACCCATCAGCGTCTTTGTCCGGGCAGAGCAGAACGGATCCATTTGTCTTTGCGGCATCTTCTATGAAGCTCCTAGCTGCAGCCATAGCAGCTTCTGCAGCTGGCCATTCTTGTCTATCACGCTTAAGGCAAGAGTCCACATCAGAGTCATCTTCAATCGAACGTTTCATCGCTTCTGGTGTCACAACTTACAACCGAGTGGACGTTGACTAGCAAGGTCTCCCTATAGCTAATTAACTGTGGCACAAAATTATGATGTCACAATGGATTCGAGACTGTTGTACGTGCCTCATAAAGTGCCGATATATCGGGCTAGCTTCAGTCTGACGAGATCCAAGACATCCCTGGCATCAAAGGCTTCGGGTATGCCATGCCGCCAGTCGCAACGACTGCTTGGCAGTGCTTTCCGAGCCTGCTGTAAGACGTGCATCCCGAGATCTTGATCATTCTCCTGAAATTCCTCCAATGCCGCAAGAGCATCGAAGACATCTCTGTGCGAGAGCAATCGCGTGGAAACATCCAAAAGAGGCAAAAGCTCTACCATGAGAATTGGAACATATTCTTTTGGCAAGTCGGCGTATCTAAGAAGCGCCATTAGGTGGACGGCGAATTGCAGCATGTCGCCGGCCTGTCTGGACTGATGTAGACCGACAATTGTCGCATAAGGAGCCAGGAGCGCTGAAAGTTCCCGCGAAGCCATCATAGCGGGTGCTTGCAAAGACTCCACAAAATATGGATCAGAAGAGCTGGGTTGCCCTTCAAGGCACGACTTTCGGAAGAGAGACCAAGTCAGTCGATTTATTTGCGCATAGTTGGCAGCTCGATCAAAGGCAGCGAAGGCCTCACCATGTTGACCGCCTCGCTCCAAAAACTTGGCCCAAACAGTTCCAATGGTACGCGCTTCTTCAGCCAGCTCAAGCTCGTAACAGAGCTCCAGAATGTCATCTGCCGTATCCTGCGAGTGGATCGGAATTCGTGGCAAAATCTGCTGGATACGATCGAAGCCTGCATCTCCACAACTGCGCCAAAGTGAGACCGCAGCGGCCCATGCTTCCTGAGTGGACAACCAGGTGTCGCCGAGCTCCAGAACAAGAATTTCTCGGATCGCGAAATCGCTAGAGTCTTCGCGCAACCCATCGAGGAGCTCAGCCTTGTCCAGCAAATCTGCTAAGAGTGCAGCTCCTTCAAAGCTGACTTGTCGCAGGTGTGCAATGGCTTGCGGTATCCGCCCGGCGCAAAGGTCTGCAGCGGCCATATTCGCCGGAAGCGTTCGGTCGACACCCATTTCCGACTCACTGACCAAATCAAACAGAGCGAACACATCTTTTGGAGCTTTGCAGCCCGTGGGATCGAAGAGAAGCGACAAGGCTGCCAGACTTTCTTGCCAAGAGTCGCACTGACAGAAAATTGCGTCCTTATCTCCTTTGAGGAGCTCATAGATTTGACGGAACGCAGATGACAATTCTGGGTCAAGCTGATCCAGTGATCGAGCTGCGAGGATGACCTTTGCACGCCACTGCCGGTATCGCGCTTTGAAGTCGTCCATTCGTTTTGCGTATGTTGTAATTCTCGGACAGGACCGCAGAATCACTTGCAACTCTGCACTAGCCCGCGCCGTCGCGGTATCGCGCTGAGCAAGACCCGATCCAGCTAAACATTCCGCCGCCATTGTGAAGAGGCCACGGAGGACACCTTTCGAAATGTAATCCCAAAAGGCCGGGTGATCACAAGGCGACCTAGCCATCATGATCTCTTCCCCCTCTTGCTGTGCTGGTTGAGGATCGAGCGTATTCAGCCACTCCATAAGAAGATCGCCCCGTGGCATGTCTTCTTCATCTGTGAAGAAGATGGCCTCCGCGAGATGTAAGGTAGCATTCATGTCATACAGTGATTGTAAGTGGTCCTCATCCGCTTCGTCTAAACCCTCTGTCTCTGCTACTAGCACGGCCTTCTCGATTGCGTCTGAGGTGAATCCGCGATACTCACGGCAGCAGGTAACAATGAATGGGAACGGATCTTCGTTTTCCTCGTTGTTATATTGCAATTGTAATTGATGAAAGGAAGAAGCTAGATCGTCTGTATGCCTTTTTTGAACTCCTGCTAGAAGGCCATTGAGAACGCCAGGTATTCTGTAGACTCGGGACTCGGCAGCCCTTACTGTTCCAAGTTCCTCGCGTTCCTCGCTCCCATCGTGTAGAGTAGGATCACCGGCAACCCAAGAGACTCCGTGGATACTGTACGGATGCAATGCAGCGTGTATGTGTCGTCCGCGCGCCAAGAATGTCAAAAGACTACCTCGCTCGATGGGTGCGCCTTCAATGACAATCTCGGAGGGCCCGTCCGCAAGAGACGTGTCCGACATGTAGTGCACTCGCTTACAGGAAGATTCAGTCAATGGCGATTGCCGTTGACGATGCCGGGACCCGTCTGTTGGAAATGCAAAGTGCTAGCTCACTTGTCAAAGAGTATCGACGTCGCGTATGTTTATTGCGCCTGGCGCGCTCGACCTGTCCCACGGTGAGAAGTCCCAATATTGAATTTTCAGCGCATTCAATAACGCCGTCTACGCGCACGCATATGCGAATACAGATATACGCATCAAAGGAACGCTTATTGTTTCATTGCCTTGAGTAAAAGCTTTGCCTTGTAATTGTCCCGCTATGAAGCGCATCGGGTCTCTGAGGCACTGCCATCGTAGGCCATCTACACCCATGGCACCCTTGGTTGAAGCTGTACATGTCACTCGCTCTTTCAACTCAGGGCGGTTTGATTCTCCTAAAAGATCATCTCCTCGAATGGCATTCGATAGGAGCAACAATGCTCACATAGACGGGCAGAAGCCTACCTTCGGATCGGACCCTGAGAAGCTGGTGCAACACGCCCACGAGAAAGAACGTCTTGCCTTTCGTTACGCCCTCGAACAGCACGATTTCCCTACCGCCTATCGCATTTATAGGGAATACTTGGATACGCGGGTGCTCAATGCAGCTGAAGTGACCTCTCTTGTACAGCTCATCAGCGCAGATGCTCTCCTGCGCAAGCATTACGCCATCGAGCAACCAGAGGCACTCAAGACTGTTCTCTGGCAAATAGTCCAAGATGTCAAGGAAGAACGCGTCGCACATCAGGTAATCATCTGGGCTTTCGTATTCGGTGCTCTACAAACTTGGGGCCATTTTGACCAAGCACATGCGTTGTGGGGATATCTTCAGAAGTTGCCAATGCGGTCGCTCAGCGTCAAGGAGACCCAGCTTCGTATTGATAGTCGGATTTATGGTGCCATGATCAAATTGATGGTCGCTGAAGGCAGACCGTTGTCGGAATGTCGAGCTTTGCACCAAGAAGTGCTGCGATTGCCCCAGTATAGACCTTCTCTTCTGCTCGATGAAGCCATGATTCGGGCGCACTTTTCGGCTGGCGATATTGGGGGTAGCTACAAGCTCATGGACAAAGCTATTGCTACTCATCGCCCCGTCATTCGATCGGGATTCTTCAATGCCATTATGGGTTTCGCCATGGATGCCAATGCCATCGGGGTAGCAACGGAAGTCTACATGAAAGCATGCTCCTTGGGGATGGTCGTCAATGCTGCCCAGGTCGGACGGCTCTTGCAAGTCATTGCAACCCATCCTGGTGCCTATGAAACGGCAAAGCTGATTGTCAAGAAGTATCGCTTGCTCAACCACGGCGAGCTTCCCGTCGAGATCGTGAATGCTCTACTGACCATAGCTTTCACGCAAGGAGGTGAGACAGAGACAGTGCTCCTCCGAATACGAGATTGTTTGCAGTATCTCAAGGAGCAAAATCTTTCAGCAACAACTGGGACAATGAACATCCTTCTTGGCGGTTACATCGCTCTGGGTGAGGAGCAGCTCGTACAGGAATTGCTGAGAAGCGCTGCCGTCGATGTGACTTCTTACCGCACAATGTTGAAATCTTTGGTAAATGCGCCGAAGGAAGACGCACTGAGGAAAATCAAAATTGTCTGGTCCATGCTTGAAACATTGCGGACTGAAAATGGCACATCTATGGAAGCACGCGATTTGGCAATGGCAATGAGAGCTTCTGGACACTGTGGTCAAGAAGCATTGGACTGGGCAGAAGCGCTGATTGACAGATACGCTCCTGAGATAGACGATGAAGCTGTTCTCAAATTGGGGCGGGAGCTCACAATGCACCGCAACGGCACTTTTGAGCATCGCAGCAAGTTGCCGCGGGTGCATATTCATGGAAAGGTGCTCGATCCCGTCGTTTTACCGATCTCCTCAGACTGTGGGAAGCCGCAATTCATGGAAGATGCGTAATTGTTCTTCTCGCGCAACCGAATCTGCCTCTCGACGTCGAGCGGCGACATGCCGGATAGCATCTCCATATGTCTCGGCAACCAGATCCCTCCCACAGGTCTCCACAGCCTCTTCTGTGGATCCTTCGACTCGACACACTCGTGAAAAGGTGTAGTGGAAAACGGATGCAGTTGTCCTAGCTCGAGTTTCGGGATCAACTTTGTCCGCGGTGACAGTGATAGTAAATTTGCTCCCATCTTGAGCCACTATCCTCGAGCGGAAATCGAGGACGGAGCCTATAGGTACAGGATTCTGGAAAGTCAATTGAGAGCTCGAAAGAAACCGCGGGCGCCGTCCGAGATGCAAATTGGCCGTGATGAATGAAAGATCGTAGGCCTGAGCAAGAAGATATCCACCAAATGCGTGTCCATTCAGATTACGTTGGCCAGGATGTGTGATGACCGCACGACTAAGCTGAGTCTGTCTTGGCGTTATGGCGTCTGCGCGCACTGTTGGTACCATATCTTCAATTTCAAAATTCCTGGCCCAGGTCGTATGGATGAAGCGAGATTCGTCTGCCGTCGGTGCCGTCCTCGACAAATTAGCACGTCGCGCCTCCTTGGCAGCTTCTTTTGCTCGGCGACCTTTGTCGAAGATATCATGCTCCAAGTGAGAGCTCAGAGCGAGAGTATTGACACGGACTGCATTGCCGTGCGTGGGATCGCGAGCTACCATGGTGAAGCGTGAAAGCATAATTGGGATCATGCCATCGCGTGCATCAGCGTGGGTTTCACCTTGCTTCAAAAGCAGATTCGACACGGATGGTAATTTCCATAGAAGATCTGCCAACATAGCTCACATGACCAGACAAGCGCATGTCACGGTCGATGTCCAGCACGTTCAACAAGTCAATACGATCCACAGTCGCCGTGACAATAGCGAGAGGCAAGGTGTGATGATTGGAATCGTCAGCGTGCCGATAACTGATTGCGCCAGAGAGTGCATCAAGGTCTTCTAGCAGCTTCGCAATTCGGACGCCACCATAAGTATTGATGTAGTCCTCCCTAGAATCCGGGTCAGTTGAAAATGGCAAGACGCCTTCAACGTAAGACTCGGACATTCTTTTAGCAATAGGCTCTACCGGAGAGTCTTGTGGGCTCGCTCCATGTGCTTTGTACTGCTCGATCGCCTCGTTGATAGCTTGCATCCGTGTCGACCACAAGCCTTTAGTGAAGCTCGTCCTTTCAGGTCGGGTAAGATAAAAGCGCCTCGTGGCAGCCAATGGATATGAATATGTATAGCATCTATTGAGGAAAAACATGTTGCCAAGATTCACGGTCGTATAAAGCTTGAAGAACGATATGATTTTGTGAAGCCAAATTCGCACATTGAAGGGTTCTGCCGTTCTGGTTGTGTGGGTAGATGCACGTGCTGGGTAGTCGCCACTCTAGAAAATTGACTCCATTCGCTGCATGCATGACCAAACTCATCCTTTGAATCAGCTTAAAGGGCGCTAGTAGCTCCTATCGCTAATATCCCTTCGCGCCACAACGGCACTTTGCCCAAGCCCAGGGTTCAGCTAGCTTAGTGCAATTGGAAAGCTTTCTTTTCCTTGCAATGCATGATTCAACAGATTGCGACGTGTCACCCCAAATAGCTTATGGCCTCAGTCCAGGTCTATTTGATCGCTTCAAATACGACGCAGATCAGAAGTTGAACGTGACCCAAGACACGAATTCGCGTCCCGATCGTCAGCTTTGTTCGCCCTTGGAGACGCCAATGTCCAGCAATTATTCGCCCTCAGTGAAAGGTCGCAAGCGCAAAACTAGGTCATACGCAGCTCCATCTGTTTATGCGTCGCTACCGCAAAAGGTACCGGATTGCATTCGGGAAGGGTTGACGCTCCTAATTGTAGGACTCAACCCAGGCGTCTTGACAGCGAAAACAGGCCTACACTTTGCAAGCCCCACAAATCTCTTCTGGCCTTTACTTTACGAATCGAACATCATCACGAGACCAATGAAGGCCCAGGAAGGTTGTGCATGTTTAGTCAACGAATTTGACATTGGCATCACAAACATCATTGATCGTCCAACGGCCGAGAGCGCAGAGTTGGGAAAGAGCGAGTACAAGGAAGCAGCAATAAAACTCGAGGAAAAAATCCGTCGCTACCGGCCCAAGGCTATCAGTTGCTCGGGCAAAGGCATTTGGGAGGCAATTTTTCGTCAAATTTATGGCCGGCCATTGCGTAAGCAGGATGGTTTCAAATTCGGATGGCAAAGGGAAAAATGGGCCTGCTGTGCCGACGGCTATAAGTGCCCGGTCTTTGTCACGATGGGCACCAGTGGACGAGTCGCGGCGTACTCGCCGGCTTACAAAAGACAGGTCTTTGCAGAATTGGGTCGATGGGTCAACTCGGAGCGATCAGCTGTGATTGATTGCAATAGTAATCGAGAACGATTGGACGTGCCGGATCTCAGTGCGCCAGACACTCATAGGCAAGCTTAAGACCCCTCCTGGCTGTCACAATTTTAATAAGGATTGGCTGACGAGAGCTTTTATTACGTATGTGTGCTATTAAGCTTCAAGGCAACGGTCTCGTGGATTGACAAAGCGCCCGTCACTTTAGACCGAATGAGCTTGTACGGGCAGCAGAATGATTGAAATGGCGATTTGCGAGCCTTGCCGAGTGCCAGACTCACCGACGCTGCGTCACTTTAGGAAATGACGCTGTGTTGTGAATAAGCAAGACATCACGACAATCACAACGCTTCTTCCTCGATAACCTGCCAAGATTGAGCTCTTTCCCATGATCAGAGGCAGCAATCTCGGCAGATACTCGACTGTCTGCAGAACGCCGATGCTCCGACCCATCTAGAAAGCACACAACCGCTACTGGGCAGATATTACAATTGAGACAACTGGTATTGCAAAATACTTGACCAAAACTCTTGCCGCTACAAAAGATTCGCTCGACATTTCCAGATGCCGAGGGCCGGCTAAGACTGCGCTGAACTGACATGTCTGGAGACGCATTGCATCGTCAATCATTAGAGTCTCATTTGCAAACCTGATGGTACGCTCTCCCCAAATCATCCTCCTACTTGTTTCCTCAAATTACTTGTCATCGAGATATGTGCGAAACGAGAATACGGCTGTCAATATCATTGTTCAAGTGCAGCAGACTCGGCCCTCCGTTTCGTTCAATGATACTGATGGTGAGCAGGACGAAGTAAGCTGATGACGCGCTGCCAAATTGAATGTATTCGCATCTGATGTCTCGGATTTCTGGTTCTTTGTCTACCCGTTGTTGCTGGCTGGACAAATCGGCAAAACGGTTCCTTATAGCAGCAGAAGTGGTTGAGGATATATAGGTCAAACCACTTCCACTGATCTTGTATGCTACCTGTGCGCGAGTCACATGCAGAGCGTCGACAACGAAGACAAGATACCAAGAGGGTGTCAGTCGCGATGTTGGAGAAGATCAAGATACGGTTGATTGCCTGAGGAGACGGAGGATGAACTTGATACGTGATTTACAGGTGCACGCGATTTCTTGAAAATAGGTGAGGCAAACAAAAATGACTGTAGAAAGGAGGGAAGCTATATTGATGTTGTGCGCAGGTGCAATGGTATATGGAGCACTGACCCTGTATCCGAATGCTTGAGAGCTTTTATGGTGCAGCGGGAAGTCGTCTCCAGTCCAACAATTGAGCGGTAGATAATGCATGGCGAATGCCGAATATGAAGCGATTGAACTGCTACGGCGTTGGAACTATCAAAGTGGTAAAAATCTCAGAGCACAATTTCCATCAATGTGGCCTTGAATTGTAATTTTGCTGGCTTCTGTCCACGACGAGCTCTGTTCACGAGCCTGTGCCGATAAAGGATGTCCCAACATAGGTCGATGAGCGAGCCCTCAGTAGCGACAGCATGATGCTTTGTTAGACATTTGTTGGACTGGGGACGACTTTCCCGGTGCTTGCGACTTGATGGTTATCTACGATTCTGATGTGCTGGCCTTTATATATTGCCAGCTGGCAGGTCTTGATGTTCAGATGGTACATCCAGCCCTTCACCGCACAACACTTGACCTGGTTCCATATCCCCTCTTGCCTCTCTACCAACTCCAAGCATCGCTTTGAACTGGCCAAACTTCCTGCTGCCGAGCGCTTTCGTCAGTAAGTCTGCGAGCATCTGGCCAGTAGCGACGTAATCCAAATGCATGAAGCCAAGGCGAAGGCATTCGCGTACATAGTGAAAGCGAGGTAATATGTGCTTGGTTCGCGAATGAAACTTGTTGTCTTTTGCCAGTGCAATAGCGCCTTGATTGTCGCCGTGAAGTTCCACAATGAGTGCCGCGTCTGTGCCTTTGACTGCCGGCGTCATGTGGGCGACGATACACTTGAGCCATTGAAGCTCCTTGGTGGCATTGCTGAGGCCGACATACTCAGCTTCTGTGGTGGAAAGGGCAACCACCTCCTGCTTCCTGCTTGACCAAGAGACACAATTGCCGCTGAGAATGCAAACGTAGCCGCTGGTGGACTTGCCAGTATCTTGGCAGCCGGCATAGTTAGCGTCGGAATAGACGTCAAGCTTCATGGGCCCAGGTGCAATGGTGAGCCCGTCATCCCTCGTGCCTTGCATGTAGCGGAGGAGGCGCTTGACGGCTTTCCAGTGATCGTAACTCGGGTGTGCCATGTACTTGCAAAGGATGCTCAGCGGGAATGCGAGGTCCGGGCGAGTGGTCGTCATCACATACATGAGGCATCCCACTGCTTCTTGGTAGGGAATCTTTGCCATTTCCAGTGCTTCTTCTGTGGTTGGCGTGGTGTCTTTGTCTTGAGCGAAGAACTTTGCATTCGGGTCCATTGGAAGTGCGGTGCTTCGACATTCCGCCATGCCAAAGCGTCGTAACGTGTCGGAAATGTATCGGGAGCTAGACAGCTTGATGGCTCCGATCCCTGTACGCTGCATCTCGACACCACAAAATTGAGTAGCAATGCCCAAGTCTGACATTGACCACTTCTGCTTGATCGCTGTCTTGAATTTTGCAAGGGCATCTTGATCTCGCGCAACAATGAGTAAGTCGTCGACGTAAACGACCAATCGGATAAGGCCATCTGCTAGCACGAAGAGGCCCTGTTCTTGTTCGCACTGGTCGAATCCATAGGCTGTCAGGAAGTTGCATAGCTCGAGGTAACATTCTCGTCCCGATTGCTTGAGACCGTACAATGTCTTGTGTAACTTACATACCCGGCCGCTGCCATCGCTGTATCCCTTTGGTTGCTCCATGTAGACAGTCTCCTGGAGTGTGCCGTTCAAGAAGGCAGCAACAACATCGAGATGGTGGACCTCCAACCCTTCGTTGACTGCCATTGTAAGCAAGACCCGTACTGTGGTGAATTTGGCGACTGGTGCAAATGTCTCGTTGAAGTCGATTCCTTCGATTTGGGAAAAGCCTTTGCCGACCAAGCGTGCTTTGAATTTGTCGAGATTCCCGTTGGGCAGTGACTTCACCTTGTATGCCCACTTGCAGCCAATGACAGGGCTGCCAGCCGGTCTATCAACCAACGTCCAGGTCCCCATTTGCCAAAGAGTTGTCATTTGATCGAGCTGGGCTTCTTCCCAGTACTCGCGCTCGGGTAGTCTGATCATCTCGTGGTATGATGTTGGTTGTATAATCTCGGCAGCAGGTCGCAGTAATTTTGGCAGTGGCGGAGCTGGTGCTTTGTGTGGAAGGGCGTTGACGTGTAGCATGTTGATTTCATCTCGATCCTCAATTTCTTCATGCTGATCATCTTGTCCAGTAGTGTGGGCAGCCTCAGTGTCGTCCACATCGGAGTGAGGTTCGTCGCGGTCATCTCCACCATTGCTGCTGGCGTCGTCGTCGTGGTCATTGTCGCTTGTGGCATTTTCGTGGAACACGGCATCGCGTGAGCGGACTTCACGGCTATCTTCAGCATCCCAGAAGAGCCAACCTTTTGTGCCTTGCGGGTAACCAATGAAGCGGACTTCTGCTGCTTTGTCGTCGAGCTTCCTGCGGTTCGCGGCTGGGATGTGTATCCATGCTTTGCAACCAAAAATGCGCGTGTGCGAGAGATCCGGCTTCTCACCGTGCCAAGCTTCGTAAGCGGTCATGTCTGCGTGTGCCTTGATTGGCGTTCGATTGCCGATGTAAGCTGCAGCGTTGATAGCGTACGTCCAGAAACCAGCATCCAAGTCGGTCGTGGCCAGCATTGCCTTTGCGCGCTCAACAAGGGTACGATTGAGTCGCTCTGCGACGCCATTCTGCTGAGGAGTGTGCACATTGCTGAGGTTGCGTTCAATGCCAGAGTCCTTAAGGTACTGGTCGAATTCTGCGTTGATGTATTCTCCGCCATTGTCGCTGCGCAATTTCTTGATCTTGTGGCCGCTTTCCAACTCGGCGTGCGCTTTGAACTGCTTGAAGGCATCAAACGTGGCCGACTTTGTTGTGCAAAAGTAGACCCACACGAATCGAGTCTTGTCGTCTGTGAAAGTGACAAAGTACTTCTGGCCGGAGACGCTCTCAATGGGCATCGTGCAGAGATCTGTATGCACCAAGCCCAGTGGTTCGGTTGCGCGACTGAGACTTTCTTGTGGAAATGGCCTTCGAGCAAGCTTTCCCTTCAAGCATCCGGTGCAATCAGTTGTATCCATTTGATCGTCGCCTAGCTCCACGCCCTCAACCATGTCCTCAACGCGACCCATCGCTTTGGTACCGATGTGGGCAAGACGCTTATGCCATAATGTTGCTTTGTTGTCTGTTCGTGTGGCCAATGCGTATGCTTCGTCGCGGCTATTTAACCAGTAAAGGCCGTCGCGTTGCTGTCCTGACGCAAGTAGCTTGCCTTCTTGCCGGAGTTCCCATTTGTTCTCGTCAAAGTAGGCCTGTTTACCATCTTTCGTCAATTTGCTGATGGACAGCAGGTTGTAGTTGACTTCCGGCACGTAAAGGCACCCAGGCGCCGAGACCTGCTCACTGACATTGGCTGTTCCGCTTGCTGTGACTGGCTTGGAGCTTCCATCACCAAACGAGACTGCTGGCAATGTAGTTGCATCAGACAGCGATTCGAAGACTTCACGCTCGCCGCTGACGTGGTGACTGGATCCACTATCAATTATCCACTCATGGGCAGAACTCAAGGCAGACATGTTCAAGACTTTGGCTTCAGGTGCCGACGTGGGGCTCAATGTTTCAGCGGCGACAGCATGTGGCATCACGAGGTTGGATCGCGGGTAAGGGTGGGACATGTTGGTAGCTGCGCTATGGGCTGCTGCTGCTGCTCGTGCCTTGTCCTCTTCGTCCTTCTGCTTCTGGAGTGCGTCGCTGAGAGGCTGCTTGCACTTACGCCATGGGTGGCCTCGCTGTCGGCAGTTGTAGCACAAGTAGTTGCTGAAATCCTTCCTTGGTGCACCGATCCAGAGTGTGGTAGCCTGGTTGCTCTGTGCGTAGAGTGCGGTGGCCTGGTTGCTCTGCCTGGCTTTGCGACGGTCGTGCTCGTAACGCAGGTCGCGTGCAATCCTTGCAGGCTCTCGGACGTCCTGGATGAAGTAGTGACCCTTGTACTCATCCCAGTCATCCGGCAACGAGCCCACAAGATAATCACGCTTGTCGAAGTCCGAAATGGTATGGCCGCAACTCTCGACCTGAGCAATGAGGCCAGTGACTTGTTCGAGGTGATCGTCCATGGTGGTGCCTGGCTTGCACTTGTAGTTGTTCAGGGCCTTCATCCTGACACTGATCAATTGATCGGACGAGCCCTCGTAAATCTCGCACAGCTGAGACCACACCTCACGCGCGGACTGGTCGTCGCGGAACTGGACCCGCACGTTAGGCTGGAGGTGCAAAAACAACAGGAGGCTGGCGGCTGCGGCGATATCCTCATCTTCTTCTGGCTGAGTCTTGCCAAAGATGTATTCGGACACGTTGTACTGCTTAGCAACGCGCTTGAACATGGTCCTGAAGTCTGTCCAAGCTGCTTGCTTGCCGGTGAAACTGACTGCGGGTGCTGATGTCAGGAGCTTGTCGATGCGCTTCACGATCCTTTCGCACTCGGATGACTGTGGTGCGGAACTCATCTGTGCTTGCGGCTGTACTGGTGAATCGGGTTCTGGTGAGTCTGGTGAATCTGGTTCTGGTGAATCTGGTGGATCTGCTTTTGATGCGGATGCTGCTGCTTCTGCTTCTGCTGCTTGACTTTTCCTTGTTGCTGATCGGAGTGCAAGGCTCATATACCTGCAGAGCTATAGTGCAGACTTACTGACGAAAGCGCTCGGCAGCAGGAAGTTTGGCCAGTTCAAAGCGATGCTTGGAGTTGGTAGAGAGGCAAGAGGGGATATGGAACCAGGTCAAGTGTTGTGCGGTGAAGGGCTGGATGTACCATCTGAACATCAAGACCTGCCAGCTGGCAATATATAAAGGCCAGCACATCAGAATCGTAGATAACCATCAAGTCGCAAGCACCCAAATCCGCCTATAGCTCTGCATCCGCTGCACCACAAAAGCTCTCAAGCATTCGGATACAGGGTCAGTGCTCCATATACCATTGCACCTGCGCACAACACTTCACCTGATTCTATATCCCCTCTCGGATCATAGCTTTTGCGTCTATCAACACTGCGCCTAGCTTCCTGAGGGAGATCTATCGTCGACCCATGCCTTTGACCCCGAGCCTTCGCGACAGCAGCATTCGATATTTCACTGTGGACTGGGGACGACTTTCCCGCTGCACCACAAAAGCTCTCAAGCATTCGGATACAGGGTCAGTGCTCCATATACCATTGCACCTGCGCACAACAACATTGTGCTAGTCTTGAGTTTGGCGGCTTCAACTCATCAATCAAATATTGTTTTGAGCTCGAGTCTCATGCTCGGACTCTCCTGCGCACAACAAACATTGTTTCGTGAGCTCATGGCTGTTGTGATGCCAAGGAAGCTGCTGGCACGCTGTTAAGCAATTGAGTGGAGGGGCGCAGCTGCCAACTTTAAGCAGAGGACTCGTAAACTCAATAATCAACCAAAAGTCTGATCAGACCTTCCTCGAAACGGAGTTGTCTCACATCTTTTGGATAGGTCAAAAACGATAGGGAATTGTAAGCATTTGACTGTTCAGCTCCTGTAGCTTTTTAACCTTTTGCTGTGAGTTCATGCCACCTTCGTGTATTTGCGCTTATAGAAGGTGCAAGGAACGCTTGTTCTTCTGAAAAAAGGCGATGAGAAATTTTCTGTTTTTTGCTTTCTGGATTGCGCCACAGTGATCGTCCGTCGACTTGCGGATTGCCACTGCCAATCATTGCCTGCGCACAACAATCATGTCGCGAAATTTTGAATGAGTACAGCATCAGCTCCAACATCGACTGTTGCAACTGTTATGCGCAGGTGAAATGGTATATGAAACAATGATCCTTTGTCGGAATGCTCGAGAGGTTTCGTGGTGTAGCGGGAAAGTCAACCCCGGTCCAACAGCAACAATGATCTTATTTCAAATTACAAATTTAAGGCGACTCATATTGCATAGCAATGAAATCGCAAACGTGTAGGTGAGAGATGCTAGCATAAATCAAAGGCCTGCCGAACAAATTGAACGATACAATAACATTGCTTAAATAATGACGTTGTTGCTTCCAATGCGAGATTATTTAATACTTTGTCTCGAGAGTTTCATTCATCGCAATATTTGTGAAGCGCTGGTCAACGCTGTAGAGCGGTAGCGAATGCATGGCAGATGCCTGACGAATAGGGCATTGATTGCAAAGGCATTAATGTAACGAAGGGTGTTCTTACTGTTGTTATCGTTACGAAATTGCTGTACTAGTGCATGCGTTGGCAGTGTCGCACGCTCAGAATTCCCGGCGCACAACACTTGCACTGGTACTGTTGCCTATCTGTGCGATATTGAACTGGGGATTAGTTTTCCGCTGCACCACAAAAGCTTTCAAGCATTCGAAAACAGGGTCAGTGTGCCATATATTGGAGGTGATGCTACTCGCGGTCAATATCTCTGTTGGAGGTGATACTACTCGCGGTCAAGATCTCATGACGTGATCGGCAGTGGCAAATCGCATGTCTATGAACGACCATCATGGATCAACACAGAAAGCAAAAGAAAGCAATAGAACAACAGATGTTCTATTGGCTTCCATGAACAAAACAAATGTTCTAGCAGCTTCCATGAGCGCAAGTATATAAAGGTGGCAAGGTCTCATAGTAACATAGTAAGGAATCCCAGTATCAACTGAACAGCGAAACACCTAAACACCCGAAGAATTTCACGATGTGATCGGCAGGGGTAAATCGCATGTCTGTGAGCGACCATCATGGAACAACACAGAAAGCAAGCGAAAGCAATAGAACAATAGATGTTTTCTTGGCTTCCATGAACACAACAGATGTTCCAGCAGCTTCCATGAGCGCAAGTATATAAAGGTGGCAAGGTCTAATAGTAACATAGCAAGGAATCCCAGTATCAGCTGAACAGCGAAATACCTAAGCATCCGAAGACCATACACCATTTCACCTGCGAGAGTATATGCAGAGCGTTTCAGACGACGACAACGAAGACAAAATTGGAAAGCGTGTCAGATGCGTTGTTGCTTTGACTTGACATTAAGATAGGCGATGACGAGACATGATGCTGCAGTGCAGGTGAGATGACAACGTCGTTGCGGAAGAACGGTGATGATGCGTGCAAGCGTTAAGTGTCGCGGAGAATTGGTGATGATCTATAACAATGCGTAGTGTTTAGCATATCGTAGACAAAATCGTCGCGGAGAAATAGGGATGATGTATAAGAATGCGTAGCGTACCGTATAGATCTGGTGGGGCAGTGCGAAGATAATTGAAACAAATGTTGGACTGGGGACGACATTCCCGCTGCACCACAAAAGCTCTAAAGCATTCGGTCACAGGGTCAGCGCTCCATATACCATTGCACCTGCGCACGACACTCCACCTGATATTCTATTCCCTCTCCGATCATAGCTTGCGTCTATCAAGACTGCGCCTAGCTTCCTGAGATTTTCATGGAATTCTACCGTCTGTTGTGCGCAGGTGCAATGGTATATGGAGCACTGACCCTGTATCCGAATGCTTGAGAGCTTTTGTTGTGCAGCGGTCAAGTTGTCCCCAGCCCAACAGGTGTATGAGTCAATCCGAAGTTCGAGTCTCGATGGGGACAGTGAAATATCGAATGCTGCTGTCGCGAAGGCTCGGGGTCACAGGCATGGGTCGACAATAGATCTCCATGTAGACCTCAGGAAGCTAGGCGCAGTGTTGATAGACGCAAAGCTATGATCCGAGAGGGGATATAGAATCAGGTGAAGTGTTGTGCGCTGGTGCAATGGTATATGGAGCACTGACCCTGTATCCGAATGCTTGAGAGCTTTTGTGGTGCAGCGGGAAAGTCGTCCCCAGTCCAACAGGTGTATGAGTCAATCCGAAGTTCGAGTCTCGATGGGGACAGTGAAATATCGAATGCTGCTGTCGCGAAGGCTCGGGGTCACAGGCATGGGTCGACGATGTTGTGCGGTGAAGGGCTGGATGTACCATCTGAACATCAAGACCTGCCAGCTGGCAATATATAAAGGCCAGCACATCAGAATCGTAGATAACCATCAAGTCGCAAGCACCCAAATCCGCCTATAGCTCAGTAAAATATGCCCCAGACTTCAGCTGGCACAGTCAATTTCCCTTTAAATTGTAGTGGGCGCGGTGGCGAGACATAGTGACAAGCTCAGGAAGCAAGCAGCAAAGGGAAAAGGACACATGTACACAATAGCTGGAGCAAAGATCGCAGCGCCCAACATGGATGATCTTTTTCCGGAGAAGCTATCAATGCTTGATCATTTTGAACATCTCCATGAGATTGTTGGACTGGGAACTACTCAGACTCCCTGCATCAAAAGCTCTCAAGCATTTGGATACAGGGTCAGTGTTGCATATACCATTTCTTCCCGGTGCACAACAGAGTTGTCTTGAACGTGCTAGTAGAAGCAATTGCTAGGCGTCAAATGAGTCCACTAGGGCGCAATTTGTCCAGTCCCTCATTTATGCCGGCGCATAGCGAGGACGCGAGCTTCACGGGCGAGCGTAAAGACCTTGGGCGCGAGCGCCTTGCACAACTCTGACAATATCGTTGGATCTTGCTATTATACAAGGGGAACTGCGCAAACCCCGCTGAGTTTGCTTGACTGATCACATCAAGAAGATCGTCCTTTTCTGTTGGAAAGCTTGGGCTGACGGCACAAAAGCAAAATAAGTCCGTTTGCACAATATTCCTGTTAAAAAGCAAGATCCAGGAATACTGCCAAGGCTTATGCCTAAATTTTTCATCCAAGCCGCACAAGCTCGCGTCCTTGCCATGCGCCGGCATGAATGCGGCGGCCGAGGGACTGCAATAATTCTGGGGCTGAGGGACTGCAATAATTCTGGCACTAGCGGACCCATACACAGATGAGCGATGGCTTTTCCTTCGATGGACTGAGGAGTACGAAAATTGTGAAGCGGTAGCGAATAGCCCAATGGACGGGCCTCGACTGCTAAGACATGAAAATATCAGAGGGTGTTGTTACTCTTGTTATCACTACAAAATTGCTGTGCTGGCACTTTGTATTGCGCGCGTTGGCGGTGTCGCACGTTCAGAAGTCCCAGCGCACGACAAGCTTTGCGTCTATCAACACTACGCCTAGCTTCCTGAGGCCTGCATCAAGATCTATTGTCGACTCATGCCTGTGAGCCCGGGCCTTCGTGACAGCAACGTTCGATATTTCACTGTCTCCATCGAGACTCGAATTTCGATTCGACTCTCACACCTATTGGGCACGACATTCCTGTTGAGCGCAGGTGCCCAGTCCAACAATTGCTGTTGCACCACAAAAGCTCTCAAGCATTCGATTACAGTGTTAGTGTTATATATACCATTTCACCTGCGCACAACAGCCTTCGCGACGGCAACAATTGGAATTTAACAGGTCCTCATCTGGGCTCGAACTCGGGCTGGCTCATACGCCTATTGGACTGGAGTGCCAGACCTATTCGGATTTCGCTCATGGCATTATATTGCGGAAGAAGTCCTGAAGTTCGGTTCATCAGGCATTCAACATGCATTCGCTACCACTTTACAGGCAATGAGCCTAATCATCTCGAAAGCCACATCATATGTCTTATCGTAATATTCACACTTCTGGAATTTTCGCCAGGCAAAGTGTATGCGCACCGTTCGACCTGGCCAATCATCCTTTCTGTCGCTTTTGTTGGACTGGGGACTACATTCCCGCTGCACCACAAAAGCTCTCAAGCGTACGGATACAGGGTCAGTGCTCCATATACCATTGTACCTGCGCACAATGTTGGACTGGGGAAGTCGTCCCCAGTCCAACACACAACAGCTT